AGCTCTCGACGGCACGGGCGTGGCGGGCGTGGCGCGCCCGCGCAATGGCACACCTCGAACGCGGTCGCAGCGGAGTAAGACGGTTAGTCTGCAGGTGGCAGGCTCGTCGCCTCCTCGATCAAGTCCTTTAGCCGAAGCATGAAAATGTCTTCCGATACCATCATTCCAGAGGAAGTCAGTTCATCTCTCCTGGTCTCCGGGGTTGACATAGGGTATTGGGCGGCCCGGTCCCATAAGAAGTACATGGTCGAGGCGTTTGTGTGGTCTGTTCTTATCGTCTGCGTCTTCAACTCTCCATTCAGGTTGTTTGGTCGGGATTACAGCACCATCTGCGACATGTTCACATTCATGTTCGGCATCCAGCATGATGGCCAATGGCCGACTCCATCCGAAGAGGCGGAGCGATGGAAGTACACAACCGTTGAGCAACTCACAGAGATGGTGGACCGGGACGTCATCACGCGCGGCGCTGTCACACACGCGCACCAGGGTCTCGAAAACAGCATCATGAGTGCACGGCTGGTGACTCGCAATGCCATTGAAGGTAATCTCGCACGCCTCTCGCCAGGAAAGGATTTCTCGCATGTCGAAGGCATCGTGAACAAGGCATTCGGACTTGCGCTGCAGATGGCGCTCCAGCGCTCGCGTCTACAGATCGTCTACCCAGAGATCGGAGACGTGTATACCCTTGGAGAGACACCAGCTTTGACGATCATTCACGAGAGCGAAGGGGTGGAGAAGGGGCGTGTGGCATTCATTGTGAACCCGGGACTGGCCAAATGGGGCGATGCTTATGGCAGGCATCTCGCACGCCTCTCGCCAGGAAAGGATTTCTCGCATGTCGAAAGCATCGTGAACAAGGCATTCGGACTTGCGCTGCAGATAGCGCTCGCGTCTACAGATCGTCTACCTAGAGATCGGAGACGTATATGCCCTTGGAGAGACACCAGCTTTAACAATCATTCACGAGAGCGAAGGGGTGGAGAAGGGGCGTGTGGCATTCATTGTGAACCCGGGACTGGCCAAATGGGGCGATGCTTATGGCAGGCATCTGGAGCAGCGTCTTGATCTCGTTCCTCCTTTGGTGTTCGTTAAGGGTCAGGCTGGAGGAGAGACGAGCGAGGTTAGGTCCCTTATTTAGCTTACGGGAGCTTACTGTGAGTGCGAACAGTCTCTCTATAGATTGCGTCGGCGCTGTGAAGAGTTTTCTCATTGCAGTCACTAGCTGCGCTCCGTTTTGTCCAGGCGGATCATATGAAGAGACGTGACTTAGAGTTCCGCTCGAGTAATAGTTCCCCTGCCGCGCTAAGACGGTGTTGAATCAAGCAAAAGTGATCACCTACTTTTCATAGTGCCTAACTAAAAAATCACAGCGGCGAGTGTAACCACTGCTGCCAATGCTCCTTTACCTGCATCTAATGTTAGCATAACCAGTGCATCACTTGCATACCGAGATGTTGGGGAGCACCGCACGTCGCGGTTCGCGTCCTCGCAAATCGAGGGTGTCCAAGACCTCCACCAGCAAGCATCCCAGACCTCGGCAGCGGCCTCGCGCTCCGGAAGATGCTGACGATGCACCGTCCTCGCTCAGATCGGAGGTCGTTGAACCATCAGCCCAGCCTGCTAGTACACCTCCACGCCGAAGTCAGCGCTTGCGAGCTCTCGACGGCACGGGCGTGGCGGGCGTGGCGCGCCCGCGCAATGGCACACCTCGAACGCGGTCGCAGCGGAGTAAGACGGTTAGTCTGCAGGCGGCAGGCTCGACGAAACCTTAGGGCGTATCGAAGAGGCAGCGTTCACAAACTACGCGGCTGAGGACAATAAGCGGCAGAAAGTAAATGGCTTAAACGGTAGCTCAGACTCAGCCGGAATTGCTGTGCCGAGGTCGCAGTGGATAAGAACGGCGCCGATAGCTGCTTTGATGTTTTTGCCTGTTAGGAGTGAGTTAGCTAGCTGCGCATGCTAACGAAGCGATCCGGACAGGAGGTGGCAGAGAAAAGGGGTGAAGAACTGATTCAGGCTTTCAAAAACTGGAGGTCAGTGCTTGTTAGGATAATTATGTACTATCTAACTAGAGATTTGCATTACTTGACTGACACAATACACTGCATTCCGATTCGTTGAGGTATCTAAACTAGATCTGTTGCTCTTCACGACTGCCTGCTAGTGCGTCATTCAGCAAATCGAACAGGCGCCATCAATTTCTATCGTTAGAGTCGTACGAAATGACCAAGATGATCAGGCTTTTCACTATTGAACATGTCTTTTCAACGCCCAAGGAGCCGCCCAGAACTACCCCGATCCATCAGCGCCTATGCTTCCATCCACTTGCCACTTACAAAAGCTTGGTGGCTGCTATACTCACAGAAGACCCTGAAATATGCCAGCGGCTTCTGACAACATCAGCTGCGCAATCAGTGCATTCCTCTCGCTGCTAATTCCCATTCCGGCTTCGGCGATTTCTATCACAGCTTTGCATTCCTAGAGCCTTGGCCCTGTCCGTCTGATACGGTCCATTGCGGGTTGTTTAGTCTCGACTTGTTTCTAGATGCTCTCGGTCCAAGGCCTTATCAAGACCGGATACTGGGCGACGGCCTCAATCCGTGCAGCCATGGCTCCGGCAACGCCGATCGCGCCAGCAATTTCGAAATTATCTTTCACGAGAACGGAAATCGCGATTCACGGGGCGGAAAGGACCTTCTACAGAACTGCTATGACCGTGTAACGACATTAGATGTTTGAAGAGAACTAGGATTGCAGACGAACAGCTGTTTGGGCGTTATGTGCTACACTGCGTATGTATGTACACTTGAAGGGCGTGGTTTGCGAGGTCTGCGTAGTAGTATAGTCTATTGGAGACACGTACCGAAGGCTCCTTGCTGGTCTTAACCTCTGGTCTAATAAAAGAAATCTGATGTATGTTCATCCTGGTAAAGGCTTCTAATCTGGTGGAATGTGAACAACTATAAGGTAGCTAGTAGGTATATCCGATGTTGAATCGCGACACGCGCTACAAGGCTAGAGCTCTCGGTAGTTAGTACAAACACTAGCCATAACTACCTTCCTAGAGGTGAGTACGCGGCAAACGGAGTGAGAGTGATGTATTTGGGAGTGCGTAGGGTGACGTTGACTGACGTTGATGTGCTTGCGGGTGGCTGCGTCAAGGTGATGACGGAGAATGAAGCGTCTCGCACAAGCGGTACTTCCCCACCAAGAAGCCTCTCCAAGCACCCTACCCACAAACCTCCACGATACCATGACGTCTCCCTGCACCCCGAGCTCGGAAACTTATCAGCGGAAGCAAAGAGGCTGGCTGCGCAATAGCCTCGATCGGAGCGCCACCCGACCGCGCTAGTCTCGCTTTTGATATCCGTCTTCCCAATGCGGAAGGGAGCCGCATGCTTCAAAGGACGAAATCTACATAGCGGAGAGGAAAAAAAATTAAGGTTATTATACCTACTAGAAGCACCCAGCTACTATTCAGCAGTACGAAGCGTCAGAGCGCCTTCACATGGAAGAATAGCCTCCGCGCCTCCTCCCACCGTTCCATGCGAGCGAGATTGGACACCAGGGATTGGTACAACCCTTCATGCAAAATGCCTGAAAGCATTTCAGAACCTGTGATTTCGTCGAGACTTCACAAACTTTGCGAAGCAGTATGCGATGATTTGTACACCATTCGATTCATATACAAGCCTAACTTCCACCGCAACCTCTATCCGCTGAGCGGGTCATAGACCTACTCAAGCTAAGAGTCTAAACACTCCCCACAAAGCCCCTCTCAGGCTCCTCTAATGCCAGTCATCGCCATGGAAAGAAATCCGCACGGCTATAACGCAGCCGTGCAATGCAAGCCAGCCGCATGGGGCTGCAGGGTAAAACAACCAAAGCCAGCATCCAAGCTGGTGACGCCCAGTCCAAAACAAAAGAGATAAAACGCGATCAAACGAGACGGAGGGGAAGAGAGATTATAGAATATAATGTCGTCCGCTCCTCGGGGGAAATGGGAACTTTTCCACACAGAAAGTGGGAGAACGGACTCCATGTAAGAACGCCACCTTTCATGACCGTTGAGGATTCCGAGCGAAGCCGATTGTTCGTGGAATTAGTATACTGTACTATGATATGCACACGCGAATTCCATTAATTAGAACTTCTGCGACGAGCGATCATACATCTCGATGATCCGCTCGTTCGAGAGGGATGACCGCTCTTCCTGGCGTCAATGCTCGTATCCCGCTCCGCGCTGCCACGGGCTCGAGTTGTTCGCTGACCGATACTGCGCCTCGTTCCTTAGGCTCCCTGCCCTCCCATACCCGGTTGAGGGATGTGAGGGGGCTGGGCTGCCGCTGCGGCCGTAGTAGGATGGGGGCGCCTGTGACGGCATTGATGGAGGGTGCCCATGCGACGAGTAAGGTGAAGTCGTCGACACAGGGCTTCGCGGAGGAGCTGGCTGGTAGTGCTCAGTGAAACCGCCCTCCTTGGCCGCCATCTGCCTCTGCTCTGCGGAGCTGGCTGAGAAGGCGTCGTCGTCATCGTCAATGCCAGCACGGTTGTGCGTGCCCTTGCCTTCGCCGCGTGCCGTGGCACCAAGAGCATCGAGCTCAGTGGTGAGTTGGGTCTGCGACTTGATGAAAGATCCGCGGTCGTCACGCATGGGCTGGTAACGGGTATCTGGGTTCTTTGAGAAAAGAGCGAGTCCGGAGGAAACAAGGACCATGAGAAGAAGGACAAGGGCGAATGCAGCGTTGTAGATGAAGAAAATAACGCCCATGACACCGGTTACAATGCCCTGATAACGTTAGCGAGAACTCTGGGTACAATGTTTGCCTTCCACTTACGGGTTGCTTGAACACTTCAGTGAACACAAGGAGAAAGATGGCGCTCAGGAAGTTGACAGCAGCGATGGCAATGTTGAAGCCGTTTGTCTTCTTGTCCATGTATGGTCGCAAAACGGAGACACCAATGAGAAGAGCTGCCTCAATCAAGACAAAGGCAATAGCCTGGACGGTGCCGTTGTTCTGCGAGAAGCCGACAAACATGGCTTTGACGAGAAGGTAGCCCAGGATGGGGGCAATGAACCAGTACGCGGCAGCCTTGAATTGTACGTAGAGGAAGCCCCACTTGTTGAGGGCTACAGGATCCGAGTAGAGGATGTAGGCCGGGTTCTTGTGCATGGTGATGGAGCGTTGAGCGATGCGGATGACCTTGGACGTGGCCCAAGCGAGAATACAGATCATAGTAACCAAGGTGAAGATGGCGAGAACAACTTCGCCGGCGGAATCGCGCTGTGTGAGCTCCCAGAAGCAGAGGACCATCATCTGCGGGAAACCAATGAGGACGACGCGGAACAGGATGCCCTTAAGAACGGTCCGCCAACCGTTGCGGAAGTCCAGGAACTTGTCGCTCTTCATCTTGCCGGTCTTGACGAGACCCTCACAGATGTACTTGAAGGCAATGACGCCGAGCACAACCACGATAACGAAGATGACGAAGAAGGAGTAGCCGGTGAAGAAGATGTTGGTGGTCTCGATGTGGGCCTTGAAACCAACGCGCTTAATGCCGTGCAGCACAATTCGGTTGTCGGTCTGGGCATTGGTGGATCCCGCGTTGCTGCGTGCCACGATGGCTCCCAGCCTCCGGGCACCTGCATACAAGGCTCGCTTGCCAGGAATCGGAAGCGCATCTAGAGAACGCTTCATTTTCTGGACTTCAATAGAGATGGTGGACAGCTGCGACAGATAGGTAGTCGGGGTTCCGCCGGTGGCGCGCTGGTACCAAGTCGCCATCTCCTGGAGGAAGCCAACGCGGATGATACCCATGCTCCATTGGAAGTTCTGCGTCCAGGCAGCGACAACGGGGGGCAATGGTACAGCGCACATGCCGATGAAGGCCTGCGCTTGGAAGTAGCCGAAGAGCGACATAGCATTAGCGGCGACGTGGGCAGCGGTATTCGAGTGGCCCAAGCCAGAGGTAATGGCAGATGCCACCAGTCCCAGACCGGCAATGACGGCGGTCACCCACGCGACAGCCTTCTGGTCGACGCTGTGGCCGTTGGAGAGCTCTGCCTCGACGCAGGCAAGCTGCTCGCTGCTTCCCTCCTTGTAGATCTTGATTCGGACGACGGCGTCGAGGTCGGGGATGGTGTAGGCAATGCCTGCATTCCGTTAGCAGAGGCACGGCGGCAGCACAGGACCGCCCTTACCTGGAATGTTGCTCATGACATCAGCGCTGATGTCGATGTTGGACTTGATCACGATGTTGCCGGAGTTCATGGGGCACATGCCCGAGAGCTCGGGGTTGTCGCAGGGCGACAGGTCCTGCTTGAGGGCAGAGTAGCCGTAGACCAGCAGCTCCATCTCGGCATCGACCTTGCCGGCTATGTTGGAGACACCCTCGATATCGAAGCCCAGGCTTCGGTTGTCGGGGGTGAAGGCGACATTGAAGAGCGTGGCCGAGAAGCTCGAGTTGGCCTGGCACGGGTTGAGCGACCGGGACTCGATGATGCGCTCGGCGGAGACAAAGGGCAGCGCGGCCGCCGCCAGGACGAGGAGCGATTTCGATAGCGACGGGACCATGGTGGGCGACGGGTGTCGGTATTAGCGTGCGAGAGTGGGTGTCGTGAAGGCGGGCGGCCCTCAGGAGATGGTGTCGTACTCTGGGCGAGTACGGGGAACAGGGTCGGCCAAACCAGCGGCTGCGATGTATCCTCCAGCGAGCGTCGAAGGGTCGGGTGGATAACGGCGGTGGGAGTGAGTGCGCGGGGTGGGCGTGTGGAAATGCGGAGGGTGGGTGAACGAGTGGCAGGTCGAGTGACGATTGTGGTGGTGAAGAGGGTTGCTGGAAACCGGGCAGGCGCGAGGCGGGAGTTGGCGGGTCCGGGCTGATGAGCTAGCGAAGGGGTTGAATGATGGGTTAAACGACCGTGGCGGGTGCGATCAGCGGACCTCCAGCGTTCCACTACAACGCACACCAATTAATTGCGGGCTGTCGTCACTGCAACGAGCTGGCGGTTTTGAGAGTGCCTGAGGTGAAAGCGAGAGTTGAGGACGGCGGCGGAGGATCCTGGGCGGGTCTTGCGGGCGCTGTTGGGGGGCTGTCTCACCGATAGGGGGTCGAGACGGGCAAAGTCACATGTGGTGCTAATTCAGTATACGCGGCTCTGCCCAGGCGCCGAGAGGGGAAGAGGCTCGTCGACGAGGCTGTCAGAGAGGCGGAGGGCTCCACGGCGTGTGCAAGCGATATGTCGGTGCTGTCGCGCTGTGCTGTTCTGTTCTGTTCTGTGGTGTTGCAGGGCTAAAAACGGGCCTGTCTCCTGTCGTGACCGCGGCGGGACCGTGGACGAGCGTTCCTTTGTTGCGTCTCCGGAGGGCCGCATCCGGAAAGCGCGAGTGCGAGGGTAGCGTGCGAGGGCAGGAGCAGCCCAGGTGCTCCGCCACAACACGCAACCCAGGCGCGCATCGTTCTGCCGCCAGACGCAGGCACACATGCACCCAATTTCGCTGCCTCAGCCGCCCAGCCAATAACTTCGTCACTCGAAATGGACGCCCGCCAGCCATTTGGACCTGGCTGAATGCCCTCCTCAGCCTATCGCAACCCCGCCAACGTTGCATCCGCCCGTACTCTGCTCCTCCGGACCGCTACTCCCGTCGCCATCTCCACCGGGTGCGTGACGGCGCCGGGGTTGGCGGCCCTGGAATTTCCGTCAGGCCTCCTGCGGCGCCATGAGTTTGGCCCTCCCCATCCGTGCTTCTGGGACGCCGCCCGCAAACAGAGCAAACCTGCCAACAGCGATCGTAGCAGGGCAATAATAGCCAATCAGCTGCCCAAGCCGGCGCTTGGCGGCGACATCGATGTCTCATCGACATTACTGCAGCCGTCGGATCGACCACTGAAAACGCGCGTTGCTTCCACATCACCATGCCATGCCCAGCCACACTTCAATTTTGTAGATACTCATAGACGGACGTTAAAAGGTCAGGCGGCCGTCAATATCTTCGCATCTTTGAGGCGGTACCCGTCAGCTCGTGGCCTTCTCGCGATGGCGACTCAGCTGACCCGCAAGGTAACGCTAGAGCCTCGCGCCTCCTCGATACTAAGAATAATGTTTCCCTCTGCATTCGACGAGGGACCTCGTAGATTTTTGAGAGGCACAACGTTGAGGGTTTTTGGGACGCTGGCACGGCTGCAGGAAACTACCTAGGTACTCTATCGTCAAGCTTCTCTTACCCTTTTCCGCTTCACTTACGGAGAATGCAAATACTCCGAGTCAGCCGATTTCAGAGCCAATTTCAGTGGCGCTGGTGATCAGCCTCATGCTTCAGGCTTGGATATTTGTCAAGCAGACGGGTATCCAAGTACTTTCGGTTCATCAACACGCTGAGGTCGGACGACAACTGGTGGGTGGACATCGATGGTCTTTCGAGACATATACACCACTTTCTTTTTGGCCCACTTCTAGCAATTCTCGCACCTCTCTTCTTGTTCTCAGGCCTCATTTTCGTTCCCTACTGCTATTGTTATTCCCGAAGCACGTTCCTGTGCGCGGAATTTCCTAATCCAGTCAGCAAGGGATGTCTCACAGAATCTGAAACAGAAGCGCAACCGTCTCACAGGTACTGGTACCCGCTCTGCACAGCCTCGGAGTCCACTTTTCATTCGAAATCTTAAACTCCGGTTCCGTCCAACATCAAGTCCCCACACTTCCAACGTCCAATCTACAATACCCACCGAACCGGAAGTCGCATCAAATATCATCATCTCTCACATTTGCTCGATTCAACAACAAACTCGGTTAACAGGCGAGGGCTACGATGTATTCAAGACGAGTGGATGCCGCATCTTGGGACCTACAGAGTTCGGTCCGGACGCTGGCGGCCTGGTGGACGCCTCTCCCGCAATCCGCGCGTCTTTCTGTCATCTTCTGGATCATGCGGCCACACCGGATTGGACAATTGCTGCAGCACGCGGGATGACGAGATACCACGGAGCTCCGTATGGGGAACCGTTTCAGATGCTGACATGCTTAGTTATCTGGCACAACCTACTCTCTTCGACTTAACTAATTTGGCCCTCGCAAGCGCACATACCTTCTATTGTCGTTGCTCGGTCTCTACAACTGTGGTATACTGCCAACTCTCGCTTCTAATCGCGCAGAGTACGTCAACCTACACTCCGCAGAAGTCGCAGAAGAGGAGAGACGGGCTTCTGCTCGGGGATCCGTGATCGACGATGCAGAGAGTAAGATTCACCTGCGGTGACAGAGGCATGCGTGCGGTGACAGCGCGACGCGGAGGGATGCCGTGCCGGCGAACACACCTTGAAGTAAGCTTGCAAAGAGTGGGGCTAACCGGGCTCTTCTTACAGAAGAACTGCAACATCCAGAGCGATGATCGATTCGCTCGTCGGCCTCTGGATACGTCCCGAAAATATTGATGAAGGCAGGACACCCAGCTCAACGTTCACATCACTCGAGGACCACCAAGAATATTGCCCAACGACATCGCATGAGCGACTGGTCAAGCCATCGAACGAGGTCTGGCACGGCATATACCACAGTAATATGATAGTCGGTATGCCTTAGTAGATCCAATCAAGCTAGTACGAGATGCCGCCTTCCCATTCGTTATACCATTTGCTCCTTCTTTGACCGGGTTACCGTCGTACAGTATACTCTCCCTCCACCTGTACTAAATAAATGTACGTGGCACATTGCGCTGCACCTGCCAAAAGATCCAGGGGCGGTATCTGGCGGAGCGGGGAATCTCGTTAGAGTATGTATGAGACGTCCTTCAGCCTAACATCCGCAAACTCTTTGGCCACATTCTTGACGAAAGCTTTATGCTGAGTCTGCGCTGGTGGTGATGGATACTGCTAGAACATTTTACATGAAGAGCAGGCTAACGGGTACGGTAGGCCCTGTGGATCGGCTTCTTCTTCTTTATTCAGAGGCGCAAGTCCGGCTAGATACTCCGGTTACTTCCATTAGCAAGTCCAGCGAGTGGCTATTTCTGCACGCAGTATTGGGGCCGGAGAAGGCCAAGGACACAGAAGCAAAAGAGGCGTTCGTCATCATAGTCATCGCCACGCATCTCCAGCGCGGCGACTTGAAATTCGAAATCAACCTGCTTCCCAGCAGTCTGTCTCCCCTCCCTCCATTCGTAGAGCAACACCACTCGCTTCACCACGCCATGAGGAACTACCCTATCCCCCGCCCTCTTCAATGTGAGCAAGCCAAGCGACATCCCCGACTTAATATACACTACGCCTCACTCTCCGCCAGAACTTTCTCAATCCCAAAGTCATGGATCGCTACGGGACTCGTGGGGGACATGCTAGAAGGGGAGGATCTAAGCAGGTCCCAAATTCTCTTATTGCTCAGCTGTTTGGAGAGGATGCCGAGAGTGTAACTTGGGTGCATCGGAAGGGATAGTCGGTTGCTTCTCTGCAGAATGCGAATGGGCCGGGTTTGGAGGGTGTAGAGCTTGTCAAAAGAAAGCCGCCGATGAAGGGGAATGCCGGAAGTGAGCGCATTTCGAAACTGGGTTGGAGTCTGCCTAGGAAGTCGCTAACCTTTCTGCAATGGGCGGTGACATACTACACTTGTCTCAACAGCCCACATAGGAGAAGCGGGATTTGAACCTGAGGGTGACTCGCATACTAAACATTTGACAATATCAGGTATATGACGCTGAAGGTCTTCTGACTGACAACTACAGAATACAGAATCAATGTACGGTCCTTTCCCGCGAGTGTGGAAGACGTGCGGAACATCATCCATTGGAAACTTCACCCATCTCACTATCATCACGATACCTTCGGAATACTAAGCAGGTGGCAGCATTCAATGACTTCCGCATTCCTTTGCGAACCCGAGGCTATCTACGCACAAAAGCCGCCACTGCAAAGAAAGACCCAAGGCCCTTCAGCTAGCTTTGCAACCTGCAAAGGCGATCTTCTTCCCTAACCGACAACCCCCAGATACCATTATCCCTCAAGCGTGGTGCCTGCCAACATGCTGCTAAGCACATCAACGCCCAAACTACCCTGCTCAGCCGAGGCCTGCCCGTCAATCGACCTCCATCTCCGTCTCATGCTTGTCCTTCGTCTTCTTCTCCTTGAAGATATTGTTGAAGATGACCGTGGGATCCATCCAGAAGCGCTCAGCATCCTCGGGCGTCGGCTGCGTCGGCTTAACGTGCTTTGGGTGGGGAAGACTGGGATCGATGGGAATAAGGGGAGATGCTACGAGCTGGGACTCGCGACTGGTATTGGCGAGGCTGCCCTGGGCCCCCGACTCTTTTGACGTTGATGCCCATTCGGACCCGCTCGATTCGCTGGCGCCTCCCCTCCCACTTCTTGAATTCCCGCTCCGCCCCCCAGAGTTCGTGATGGATTTCATCATAGTCTGCCTGAACCGCTTCCGCGGACTTTTCCTGCGCAAACAGCCACTGCAACGCTAAGACAGGGCCATATTTGTCGAAGATGTCGCTATCAACTTGTTCTTGTTGACACGCGGTGATGAATTGCTCCGGCTGGAACGAAACCTGATGCTTCATCTGGACTTCCCTGAGCATCTGGTAGATCTTCTTCATGTCCTTGAGTTGGCGAGTAGTAACTTTAATTGTCGTTGCTTAGTCTCTACGACTACGTTATACTACTTACTCTTACTTCTAGTTATGCGGGGTATATTAGCATATCTTTTATAGAAGAGAGGAGATAGGCTTCTACTTAGAGATCTGCGATTAATAATGCAGAGTAAAATTCGCCTTACAGTTACGAGGCACGCGTACAGTGACTGAGCAATGCGCAGAGCCGCTTTCAAGTTTTCGAAAACATCCCGGAGCAGCTCACGCATAGGTGCTGTTATTCGGTGTAGCGCTGCTCACTTCTCATGCAGGAGAGTCGGAATGTTTAGATTGGTGCTTTACGCTTGTCGACATGTCGATAATGGTATATTTTCCAACTTTAGAGTCAAGCTAGCCTGGAGTAGCCTATATTTTGACGGTGTGAAAGGATGCATATTCTTAGAGAAGAATAACTGGGTTATTGGAAAGTTGAGTGTGCACATGCTCCCGTTCTATAGTGGTTGAGGATGGGGAAAGGCGACCCCTTTCACAATTCTTGACACCACGAAGATCGCTTACTCAATCGCCACTCAATTCACCGCAGTGGCGGGTACCGGCGGTTCAAATGTAGAAGGCTCGCGCTTGCCTTATAATTTTCTACCTCCGCCCGCCCCCACCACTTCCCATTCTCCATCCCGACACTATGGCAATGCCCGACGGTTTCGAAATGGTACGTATATCCCCTTAATTCTATCGCTGCTCCCGAGAACCTCCAACCAATTGCGACGAGCCGCCGTCGCTCCAATATCATGTGCTAATACCCATCCGTAGGTTGACTGCGACATGGTGGAAGCTGCTGCAGACGGCTATGCTGCAGTAGTAGCAAGCGATGCGCGTGTTCATCATGAGGAGGAGGATGGCGACGCCAACTACGTCTTAGCGCAGCACAACTACGACATCAAGCTCTTCAAGGTCGGCAAGTTCATCCCGAAGCCCACGCTCGAGACACTATGCTTTCGCCCTGAGGAGGCCTTCGTCACGTGCGTGCCGGCGGATCTGCAGCTCGGCGTGTTGTTTGGGCAGTATAATCGGCTCGCCGAGAGGAGTAAGTGGTCTTTGGCTTTGCCATTATGGATTAAAGGTCGGCGGGAAGGGGTTTGCGACGAGTGAACTGACGACATTCGTAGGCTTTACGGCGAGACCTTCTCTTGATCGGATCGAGCATATCCTCAACCGCTCGATGTTCTACTGGGGTATGGATGCGACACATTCATTCTCGCGCTTCTTCAACCAGGTTCGATACAACGTCGCCTTGATGGCCTTTGCATGGGCGTCTGGCTTCGATAGCAAGTACGTATACCACGGGTTTGTGCTCTAGAAAGCTGTTCCTGATGGCGTTCATCGGATAACTAACCAGCGGCGCATCGACTCATCTTATCCAAGTCTGCATCACTTGCTAATGCAAAACGCAGATACTGCAAGCCATACGTTCAGAACTTCGTCCAAGCCTACGTGAGAGCGTGGATCGAAAACCTTGTGGACAAGCGCGACCTGAAGCTGAATGATTTCTCCGAGCGTGAGCAGTTCCTGGAGATCTGGGCGCAGGGCCCATACGACTTGATCAACTTCAACTCGGCGCAGCTTAAAAAGATGAAGATTATCTATAGGAAGTTGATGGAGGTCGAGATCGATCACAAGCTTACGGTGCAGCCTGAGAACTTTATTGCAATGTGCCACAACGGCGACATCGATCCAGAGACCTTCGAGCAGTATGGCCCTATCCTTGCGATGCGTTGGTTGCACGCCCACCAGCGGTCTGCGAATGTCGATCAGGCTGACTACGACATGCTTCAGCAACAGATCTTGGCTGCAGGTACGTATATCGATTGCGCACATATTGGCCGTCGCACTTGAGGAGTAGAGGCAAGTGAGACATGCCTTGTGTGTTTGGCTGCCATCCCCATCCTCTCCCCGGCATTGTTTCAACACATTTGCTAAGGTGTCACCACATTCGCAGATAGAGAATTAGAGGAAAAATTGGCAAAGCTCGAGCAGCTTCAACTAAGGAAGTTGGGCATCGAAGTCACACCCCAAGCGCGGGATACTCTCGACAACGTCGATTGGACGTCGGAACTGCTAGCCTCTCTGCTCTCCCGCGTCGATCAGAGCCTCCCCCACCCCAGCGAAATCATGCAGAACAAACCGGGCGGCGATGACGTGAAGACCTTCTGGATGGACCCCAACGTCATCTTCACCGAGGTTTTCAAGAAGCAGGCGGAGGATGGCCAGAATGGGGGAGGGCAGAACAGTGGTGAGAATGGACAGCCGGAGAAGAGTGTTGGGATGGATGTGCTCAGCAATTTACTGGCGGATCTGAGACTGAAGAGGTCTGAATGAGGGAGGCTGGGGCAAGAATGTAGATAGCACCTGGAAAGAGTGAGGTTTTACATCACTTCTTGTTAAGAATTAAGTAGTTTTCCTTCATCTGCCGCCTCTGCAGGACGAGATAGTAGCATAGTTGCATGGCCTTCAAGGTTAGGTCAATCCAATGATTTCAACAACAACTGGCGACCCAAAGCCTCTGAAGCCATCATCGCGGTCTTACGGCTTAGCTGCAATGGCCTTTCAGCCCCGGACTCTCTTAGAATAGAGAATTGTTGCGGACAAGCTAGATCAAAATCTTTCAACGTGACTTCGCGAGTTCAGACCGTCCATATGGCTGAGTCCCTTTGGTCACCACAAACATGGCCCAAGACCACTTAAGATATCAAAGAAAAGAAGCGACGCGTCCCAAAGAGCATGAATTCTAACCTGAAGAACAAAAACAGGACAGAATTTCGTTCCCACTCTCCTCTCCCAACCCCTCGCAGTGACTCCCACCCCGCTCTCCCAGATCACACCCTCCATCTACCCCTCCAACCAAATCTCTGCCCCTCACCTCCGCGAGCCCTCAACCATCTCATTATCGCACCCATTTCGCGCAGAGAACAAGCCCCAGGACTGTCCTACCCTATTCGCGCACTTGCAGAAAGGTATTGTATATATATCTCCTTATTCTCAAACTCCTCCAACAATTCAAGGCAGGGGCGTCGCTACACCTGGATAGTCTCTAGACTATCACCACGATCACAGGCCGCGATGCAGTTCTAGTTGGGCGTTCGAGTCCCCTGGTGTTTCCGCTCCATCCGCGGGGCATTGGGGGGTAAGGATGTCTGGCTGGGGCTTTATCTTTTCATTTAATTTTTTTGGATGGTATTGGGTTTTGTGGGTATTCTTTTGGAGTTTGTGGGAGGGCGAAGGGGTGATCTTTTGGGGGGTTTGGGTGGGGGCTGGTGGGGGAGAGAAGTGCGGCTTTCAGCTTGGGCTTTTTATGTTTGCGGCACGCCAAGTGCTCTAATATTTTGCTCGATGGGCGTGTTCACTAGCTAGATGGCGGATACTGGTGTTAGTAGATCATGGGGCGTAGGGCTCTTCGAGTAGGCAAGACGAGCTTCTCTGCAAGTCTTCACGCTTCCTGAAGGCTTGCAGCGCTCCATTTACGGAGGTAGGTTCAACGGACAGATATTGTCGTACGCGAACGATCTGGAGCTCCCGCAACATTGGCCAATCCGTCTCGTTATGATGTCTTTAAAAAGTGAGCTACCTACATAACATAAACGAGAACGCTTACTTCGGCATTTAATCGTACAGGAAACGCACATCTACCTGGTAGTGACAGCCGCAAGGCCCTCCGTACTACTTTTCTGATTGCGGCTTGATATTTAATGCCTTCCGCCTACCTCGTTGTTGAGACGAACGTACCATGTTATGGTAGGCCAAGATAACCTTGGAAGCTAGCAAGTTGAGCTAGGAACCCAATGCCGCGAATTCCATTACATATTAAGACTATGTTAGAAACCCATTTCTGAACGCTACTATCCGCAGCCTTCTTCTTCGATTGTGTCTTATTGTGCCGTCGCTTACAAGGCGGCTTTTTTTTGGCGTGTTTTATTGTATACTGTCGCATTAGTTGCAATGATTCAAAGCCAACTGGGAAGGGGAGAATAATGGATCATGTGACCCGCTGCGCCGCACGCCTTTAGGAAGTTCTCTTCCTTGCCGTCGAGAGGCACAGCCGCAACCGTAGACAACTATTAACAACTTCAGATGCCGCTTTGTATCCAAATATCCACTACTTTATAATTCCACTTTTCGTCGTCCGTTACGCAATGCGTCCTGTTTACATCCGTGCATTTGTGGCATTCGCACTTACCACAAATGTTCCTGGCCACTTCGAATCACACCAACACCCACTACGACCTCCACACCGTCCAATCACCATCGCTGAGCCCAAGAGGGTGGCAATCATCGGAGCGGGAATTGCAGGCGCGTCCGTGGCTTACCAATTGCACAATGAGTACACCCATCTCGTGCCGATGGAGGTCGTCGTGTTCGAGGCGGATGAACAGATTGGGGGCCTAGTGAACAGCACACCGCTCGACGGTGGGACGCATGGGGTCTACCGTTTCGTTGAAACTGGAGCCACAATCTTTCGAGGCGACGACTCCTGTATGCAGACTGCCGTAGATAATGCAGGGCTTCGACGGAAAGTTGCTGAGGTGCCGCGGAGGTATACCTCCGTCCCCGCCGGGGTTTGGGATGGGGAGAGCATTATATTAAAGAGAAAGGGAGATCTCAAAGCCAGGACGAGGAGGGAGCAAATTCGGGATATCTGGTACTACGGTTTGTCGGTGCGCCGGCTGCACGCTATCGTCGACGATAAACTGTCACGTTTCCGGGAGCTGTATTCGGAAAATTCCTACACCGACGGGGATCTGCTCGCTGCTATTCGGCGAGTGGGGCTTGAGGAGGAGAGTAAGACGCCAGCTACTCAGTATTTGTCCGATCACCGAATCTCCTCGTCTTATATTCATGACATCGTCGAGCCTACGGTTAGAAAACTTTTCGGTCATGATATCAACGAGCTGAATGCTTTTTCAGTCTTGATCGCCATGGATTTATCGCCCGCCTTTGAGCTCATCAGTCGCCCGAGAGGGATGGCCGAGCTGGTCCTCAGGCTTCTACGCCTTTCAGAAGCCCAGCTCCAGCTGCGCACACGTGTCGCTTCAATCACAAGGTCAAGCCACGACAGGTTCCAGCTCAAGCTGTCGGACAGCAGCCGCAACGAAGAGAAGGAAGACGATCAAGAATTTGATATAGTCATAATCGCGGCTCACTTGCGAAGAGCGGCGCTGGGTTTCGATTTCGGTTCATTCTCGAACGGGGAGTCTCTTCCTGCTTTCGTTGAGCGCCATGTTACCTATTTCACAACACCCTTGAATATCCGACTAGCTCCCGCAGTATTCAATGTCAGCACGTCGGACGATATACCAGATGTTATCTACACAGCTGCGCAGCGTAAGACCAGGGTGTTCTCCCTTGAAAGTTCGTTCGCCCCTACCGTCCTAGAGGGCGACGTCGTCTACGGGGAGACTCTGTACAAAATCACGTCACCGGAAACCATACCGGACGCATTCATCGCCGAGCTGCTAGGACACCCTCTAAGGCCATTAGCAGAAATCGGCGTGAAATGGGTGCACCGCCGCGTCTGGCCGCTTGCTTCTCCGCTAAACGTGGATGGGCCACATTTGGACAATATCGAGCTTACGAACGGTCTGTTCTATACGGGCGTAGCTGAAGAGCTACTGCCAACAATGGAGATGAACTGTCGTCTTGGCGTCAAAGTCGCCTCGATGATCTTCCAGCGGTTGCGCCCCCGCCAGAATGAGATGTATCCATTTCTCTTCGAGCGCTTCGAACGGAGGATGGAGGCGCAGTAGGCTGCTGAATGAGGCTCAGTATTATATTCATCATGCTTACATCTCCTGGAATTGGTCCAAATTCTGTCCTAATGCTCCTCCATCACTCTTGGCATGGAAACGGCAGAGTGTGGAGGATCTCACTCCGTGGCCTCAAAGAAACACGGAAGTGGCTAGACGCCTTATCGACCGCTGAGGAGCTCCAGAACATGTAGGGAACTGCCGCCAGGCGACGCAAATACCATCGAGGCTCCCCGCGGTATCAGGGAGAAACGTCATCCTTTTCGGTCGAAGGCATTGCAGATAGCTGGGCACAACGCCAGTAATACTAACTAAATCCACAGATCCTACATGTATATGCTTCATGTCTGCTTCCACGGATTCTACTTCAGGGTTAGAGGCGGCGTAAGAGGCGTGTATGGAGGAAGAGACATTACAGCATCCCCTGTCCAGCACGTCACTAGCCAAGGAAAGTCGAGCGAGATATCTTCCTGCCAATTTGGCCTCGAGCAGACGGACCCATCACGGTCAACATGCCAGAGTTCGATGACATTGTCTGCGAGGACTCGGATGGGTCGCCAGTCCTGGACGATTGCTTTCATGCAACTGGGGTCTTGAAGCTGGACACTGCTGGCTGGATGTACGTTTTGCGTGGTAAGAAACGTGGATCTTGGTGGCTAAGCGTAAGTATATTCTCTCATCTCAGTTCACAATATCGCCCCCATCTCGCCTCTCCCCTTCTTTCTTCCCTATCCCTCCTACTCCACCCTCACGCCACCAATTGCACTTTCCACGTTCCACATTCCACGTTCCACGCTCCACTCCCCACCCCCACTAACAAGCCTTCACCCAGTACGCCCACACCTGCGCCCTCGCAGTCGACTATTCCGCCAACTGGACCGAAGACTGCTCCATGACATCCCAAGACGTCGGCGACTACGCCACCGCCATCATCATGAAACGCAACAGGGCGAACGAGCTGGGCAAGGTAAGAGGCCTTGTCGCTATCGCCATTCCGGACTGCCCTGGGCAGGTCTAGATCAGGAGGGCCGAGGGAGCGCCGCCGCAGGGGGAGCCTCCGCAGGGGTAAAGTTTACTTCGAGCGTTAGGTTGGCAGAACGCGGGGGTAAGTTTATTTCGAGCTTTGGGTTGGGGGAATCGTACCTCATGTCTGTCTATACGTAAAGCGCTCCTCTCGAGACGCTAGCTATGGGATTTGGGAAAACATAGTGTAAAGTACGTCGGCGGGGTAGATAATTCAGTTTTGCAGACAAAGGTTTCTAGGCCAGAGGCGTGATATCCAGCGAGTCACATCGGCTCCAGCCCAGATTAGTGCATCACATCCACGAATCATTCACAGGTCGTTCAGCAAGGCCATTACAACTCCCGAGCATACCCAATGCATTCATAACCTCATGCATCTAATGCCTGATAAAGCCGCTAATGCAATAATGAGCCATCCCCTCATCCATTCGCCCACCATTCTCCCACCATTCTCCCCATCATCCCTCATAAAGCATGAAGTCATCCCTCATGGATTACAAAAGGAATTAGGCGGTCGCATCGTCCAAGTAAAAAAACGCCGAATTGAAAAGCCCCACAAAAGCCATATACTCCCGAAGTATGATGAAAAGAGTTTTATGCACGGTACCACTGCCACTGCCATCGGATTGATTGGAGTCGGGTATCGCTCCCTACCCCACTCATTCTCGTCTTGCCTCTTTCTACTACTTTCGCGAGAAAAAGCCAAACGCATCCTCCTTTTTAGATTGCAAAACAGATCTGCTGCACGGCACTGCCGCTGTAGATCGAGAAGAGTAGTGAGCGGAAAACCGTTCAGATTTAGAAGATCTCGTCATCGAGACTGCTTCGATAACTCTCCAGACTCTCTGTATCTGCTTGAATGAGAGTCAGCACACATTCTTCGAGTTGAACCCGCACCGAAAGCAAAGGAAAAACGATCGATCACAGCAAACGAAGCTTGGTCATATCTTACCTGGCCGGCAAGAAACAGAGAGCGTCATTTATCGCGGAGCTCCACCCGAGCATACAAAAAAAGTGAGGTGGACGGAGTCAGTTACGTACCAGCGACCGGCTTCCTCCTGATAACCGTGTCAGAGTGGCCTAGCTGACCCTGTCCGCTCAGACCGTGCTGCCCGCTCGGGCTCCTGCTGCCCATCGGTCGAGGCCCGGTAATCTTGCGCTGTGGGCTAGCCATGGCGGCGGTGGGGTGGAGGCCCTGGTTGTTGGGACGGGGTGATGGGGTGGGAGTGTACTACAAATGTCAGTCAGGTATGTCGGATGATAAGGATGGATGTGGGACCTACACGGTGTCCCGTGTCCGTCTCTAGAGAATAGCGCACCTCTTGGATAGGCGCCAACGGCGTCAAAGTACCCTGACCTCCGTACTCGTTGGGTGAACTGTACATCTGCCTCGCTTGCCCGTGGCCAGCAAGCGGCTGCTGCGGAGGAATCAATGGACCGTCATCAGGAATCTTTGGCGGGCGAGGGGGAGCATCTTGTTGCTCGGAAGCTGAGTGCTGGCTGTATCCACCATCTGATGAAATTGGCGACAAGTGTCCGGCCCCTTGGCTGGCGGCACCACCGGAGAGGCGGTTACGCGCCAGGGAGGGATTGCTACCCCACTGATCGTAGTCTGGAGAAGCGACAGGCTCGAAGATTCGAGCTTGAGATTCTAGATGGGTCTGGTGACGGCCGGTCGGCCCGGGTCGTGGCTGAGGATGCTGTAAATTCAAAGAATTGCGGTGGGCCTGATACTTCGGATCGTCCATGGTGTACTGCTCCTCAGGGTCCTCAGGGATGAGAGGCGAGGCAGACCGAATCGAGCCGCGCTCGTCCCTGGCAAGAGAGGTGTTGGAACGCAACCTGTCATCGTCCTCAAGCTCATAATGTCCATCGCCGTAGGCAATGTTCACCTGTGATCCGGACCGGGAAGCGCTAGAATACGGCCTCCTCTCTCCTGACCCGCTGTTACGTGGAAGGCTCTCCGGATTTGTCGAAGCTGTAGTCTTGGACCACCTTGAAATCTTTGGGATGCCGAAGATGGATGAAGAGTTGGACTTGTGTTTGCGCTTCGGCGTGTTCTCTTGGCTCTGCGATTCATGGAATGCTCGTGATGCCTGCGGAGGGGTCTCCTGCGGGAGACTGTTGTGGCGACGAGCTTCTTGTGTCGGGGTCGTCATACGCTCCGTGTTATCATACCGCGGCTCTGGATCGTCGAACTCCTCATCATCTTCCTGCACGGTGCTTACACGGTGCGTCTGCGGGACATCATATCCAGAATGCAGGTCTTGAATGCGACGAGAGGATGGGTTGGAAAGATAGCCGGACTGGTTTGGCGATGAAGCAGTGTTAGCTCGTCCCTCTGGCTCATAGCCCGATTCGGGTCCGCCGCTGGCCCTCAGGTTCTCGTATGAGGTCAGGCTGTTAGACCGGTTCTGCTGCTCCATTGACAACTGGTGGACCTGCTTCAGACCTTCAACTTCGCCGAGCAGCTGAACGAGCATCGCCTCGATCTTCTTGATGTCGTTGTCGCCCTTCATGCTCAGGCCCTTCAGGGCTCGCTTGAATACGTTCTTCTTTTTCGTCTCGACATCGAGATCATCGGTCGATGAGCGAGGGGCCCGTGGAGAACCAAGAGGCTGTGGACGGGGGCCGCCTAAGATGCGTTGTTCGGCAAGATCAACCCTCTTGTCTGTGTTATTCATGACCATTGCATCCTGAACGCGGATGAACTGCTTCATCTCTTCAAAAGTGTTGCGCATCTCCGCCGCGCTTCGCACCAGGGTAACCAGAATCTCTGTGTCCCGAGCGTTGCGTTGCGCATCGCGAACAGTCAGATGATCCATCAAAGCCACGATATCCTTGGATTGGATACGATCAATGCCTCGTCCGGTCGCAGCATCATACAGTGGCGACGGCATCCCATGAGAGTTGCCACTGAAGTGACGTGTGTGCTTCCCATTGGCGGCGAAGAGGTCGGCACCGCCGAGGCCGGTATCGTCATAGTCTCCGAGCCCATCATCGTCAAAAAGCTTCGAGCGATTGCGCATCTCCGGGGTGATGCCTCCTCCGGGTTGGTTAGCGGACTGGTAACCCTCATCCTTCCACAGGGCCGGGCTCCTCGATGGTGTGCGATCCCTCGAGTAACTGGGCTGCGCGTAGTGGGGCTCACCTGCATAGTCTTGGTCGTAGTCATCTTCTACGGTGGCCTGTTGCTGCCCGTCATACGCAGCCGGACTCTGGTCTCGCACACGTGCGGCGGCAGCCGCAGCAATGGCAGCGGCTCCGGCACCAGCCCCAAGCGCAGCCGCCTTTCCATACTCATGGGTTGGAGTGAGTTCGCGCTCCTCTTGCCTGCTCAGAAGCTCTTCGGTTTGGTCGTGGTATTCGCCTCCTCCCAACGGTCCTTTGATGATTGATGGATTGGTCGTAACCTCAGACTCATCATCGATGCCGTATCCGAATTCCGGCATGATATCTCCTTCGGTTGGTAGCGCTGTCGCTTGCATCCTGGGAGCTTCATCAATAGATCGAGCGGTGCTTTGTCTTGGCGAATTTGTCCCTTGCGATTGCTCCGCTAGAGTTTGCGCTTGATCACGGATCGCAGTCCAGCGCTCTGAACTGGGATGTTCTTGCAGTGTCGGCTCTTCGTGGAAAGACTGCTGTTCCTGAATAGAGCTGACCTGCGACAACCGGCTCTTCTTTAACGGGCTAGACACAGACGAACGCACGCTGATGTTGGAGGGCTCGTGGAGAGAGGCAACGGCAGACTCAACAGCGACAGGGGTGGAGACGTATTCAGGGTTGGAGCCGACTTTGCGGATGTCCTGACTTATAGAGAGCTTGTCCTCGCGGTCGAGATACTGTCCCTCCGCACTGTCATCGGTGTAGTTTGTCATTCGTCGGTAATCCGCGGTAGGTGATCCTTGCTGGCTGGCCTCGAGTTCCCGCCGGTACAGCTCGTTCTGCTCGTGATTCTGTGCGAAAAATTCGTCGACATCTCGCGGGGTGGACGGCTCTCCGAGGATCTCTCTTCCGCGCTCAAGGCTGACACCTTGAGGACGCTTCCTCGTACGAGCGGCTTTGGTGCTTGGGGAAGATTCAAAGGACCGAAGGGACAAGTTGGATGTTGGTCGCTCCGGATTCCGCCCTACCGAGGACACGGAGGCGCCGCTGTGAGCGGAGCGAAGAGCATGCGGTGATCCGGTCGCTTGGAGTTCCTCCCGATAACTAGCCTCACTCTGAATCGGGCTGAGACCGCGAGTAGGCGTCTCCTCAGCAATCTCATACTGAGGCCGTTGGGGCTCAGAGCTTTCGATTGCACGAGCCTTAGCTGCGGCGGCTGCTTCAAGCGCGGCAGTCGAAACTTCCCTAGATCGAGCAGAGAAGCTTCGGTCGCTCTTCGGTGTGGCTAGGCTAAGATCGCCCTGAGATCGGTTGCTGTGAGCTGTTCCAAGGCCGCGCTGGAGCGCAACGGGCGTTCGGGTAGGAGTTCGAGACGATGGTGAACCGTAACCACGGGGGACTTCTCGAATTGGAGTCTCTGAGCCGGTACCGCGAGATGACCTTGAGCTTGGCCGATCCCGTGTCTCCGTATCGGCGGAAAGAATGGACTCTCTGGTCAGCTCAGACCCCTGCAGCTCGCTCTGGAGGATGGGCAGTGGGGGCACTTCTTCCTTCTGCTCTTCGAGACGCTGTTCTTCTACGCTTTCGGATATGCTCGCAGTCCTGCTTCGGCTGGTTCGAGAATGACGACGCCTCCTCTCTTTCCGGTCCGCTTTCTCTTCGTGAGAATCGTGGTGCTTCAGGGCTGCGGCAGTGAGACCGGCTCCAGCAAGCCCGGCCAAGGCGGCATCGCGCGCGGACGGGCGGTCCTTGTCCTTGCTCTTCTTCCGACGGACCTTCTCTTCGACGGATTCAGCGTAGCTGCGGTCAGATGTAGAGCCACGGCTCGAACGGCGTTCCTTGCGGCTTGAACTTCCAGAGAGGACGGTACCGGGATCGTTCTCATCTCGATTGAGGACAACCTTTGGCTTGCTACCGTGTATGTGGGGAGCGCTCGAAGATTTTGAAACGCGTCGCCGAGAAGCGTCACGGGAGCTCGTGGTTTCTATGGTTTCATAGGTACCAGTAGTGTCACGGGACAGCCGGTCGAACTTTGAACGGTTCTGCTCCTCCTTTAGTGCATTCAGTTCGGGCAAGATCAGACGCTTGATAGCATCTTCAACTGTCGCCAGCAATTTCGGGTTGTTGATCGAAGAAGTGCCTGAAACGCCAGAACGCACCGAATGGGTATCTCCAGATCGGCGGTGGGCATTGGAGGATAGGAGGCTAGACTCAGTCCCGCTAACGGCGCTCAGATCTTCCTCCCGCGAGCCTCTGCTCGTTCTCCGGTGCGACTTGCGGCTCGAGCTGAGCTCCTCCCTGCTGCTCCTGGTCTCCTTGGACCTGGAAGTGCTGCCCTCGACGGGCTTCTGCTGCAGCTTCTCCATGACGCGCTGCGTTATGCGTTCCTTACTCAAGCTCCTGCTGCGCTGGCGCGTCGGGGCCTTGAGGGTGTCTGATGTATCTTTGGTCTCAACGACCTCTTCCCTTTCCAAGCTGCGGCTTCGACGGCGGCCCGGTGGTTTGATGATGGGCTCTCCCTCGAGCATGCTATCCGTGGGCATAGAAGAGATGTCTGAGGTTAGTGGCACAATGCGCCCGCCGTTGCTGGACAGGTCGCTGGCGTTCTGCAAGACTTCGATATCTATGGGCGGAAGTGAGGACACGTTGGAGCCTTCTGAATGAGAGACGTCAGTGTTCTGGACAATCTCGTCGCGCGGCTTGCTGCCCAAGGAGATGCGCCGGATGTAAGAGGGCTTCCGGGTGCTGCGGCTGGTCTGCGTGATTTGCAGGTGGTCGTTGGATGTTTTGTTTTTGCGGGAAGACGGCGTGACTCGGACTCGGACGCTCGGGCGCGAGTGGACTTTGCCTTTGACTTCGGCCTTTCCGCCTTCGAAGTACTCGATCAGCAGTGAGGTCTGCGAGGGATACTTCTTGTGGACGCCGCCCTCTCGCTTAGTGGTGTTGATGGTGACGGGCGTGCCGTCTTCCGGGATGGAGTACGAGGTCTTGTCGGTGCGCGCGGAGACGTTGGTGTCGATGTCGTCTCGCAGGGTAGTGTCGTTGTCTACGGAACTGAGAGTCGAGGGTTCAGTGGGCGCCGGGAGGGGTGGTCGTCGGGTGTCCACGCCCATTGTGAATCTTGACCGACTCTAGAAGCAGACGCTGTTGACGGGCGACATGAGGGCAATGGATACTCTCGGAAGGATACGAGGATGGGATATGCGTGTGATGGCGAGTGCAGGACCGTTGCGTGGCCGTTTCTCGTTTGCGCAACCGCGGCGTCTTGATGCTGCCACGCCGTGGGACCTGGGGCGACGGCGGCACACTCAGATGGATAGCGAATGTGATGTCGGGCGGTCAACGCATACTCGAGCGGGCGTGATGCTGAGATATGCTGGGGCGGCGCTGCGGCGTGCGAGCGACGGCGGGAGCGGGCGGACACGGCTCCGGCGAGAGGTTGAGCGTGGTTGAGCGTAGCTGAGGCGGGTGAGTACACAGTGCAGTAAACGCAGCCGAGCCGCACGGCAACTGCGACTGCGGCGGAGCAGCAATAGACCGACGTACTGGCGCCAGGAACAGGCGAGAGGCGAGAGGCAGTCCGCACTCGGTGGGCTGGCCCTGTGCAATGGCTTGCGACGGAGCTCGGTGGTGGTGATGAGGAATTGCTGCGCGGCGGGCGAAGGTGGGCTGCGGTGGAGAGAGGGCCGGGCAAGGTCGTGGGTGGGAACGAAAGACACCCCTGTCGCCTGCTTCACTAGCGCCGCCGCGGCTTATTGGTAGCAGGTAGCCCACCTTCACAACACCCTCTGCGCTCTGTCTATGGACCAAGCCGCCGTTCGCAAAAGGCTGCCGCACAATAGCCTGCTAGACGCTGAAGAAGCTGGCACCCTATTCCAGCGCTCCAAGTTTTTCCGGAGAGCTACCCTACAAGACCACGTTCCGCTACACTCCAGCCACCCTTTTCTCGAGACGTCCACGGGTGCGTCCTGCGTCCTCGCCTGTATCACGCACCCAAACAGACTCGCCTCGTGGCCCCCGTTCTCGCTATGCAGCTCCTGCATACATGCCACCGCTAGGAGACCAAACTATTGCGCCCGCGCAGGACAAGAGACCCGCCGTGCAGTTGCAGTCAGCCGCCAGCCCAGCGCCAGACCCAGCATCGTGAGAGGGTGGTGGCTGGGAACACGCACAAGTCGTTGCGCCTCACGGGGAAAAAAGGAAACCAGCGGCCCGAATCGAGACGGCTCATGGTTCACAGTATAAGTTGCTACATTTCACCCGTGGAACTTTGTCTCAACAGACCGAGTGCGGCTCCTCACCGCCATAGCGTACCCTCCCAACTGCTCTCAACGTCATACATCCCACCTTGTCCTTTTTAAGTCGCCGCGTCGCTTGTCTCGTTTCTCCGGAAACGCAGGCTGCCCGCCTGCACGGGCACATCCGCCGCCTGCAAGTCGTTTCGCCCCTCTGCGCCCTGATTCGCCAGTTTATTTTGAGACTTGCCAGCGCATCATCCACTCAACCCGCTCCGTTAACCCTGAGCGTTCGCAGCAGCCTTATTGCGCGCTGGTGGGTCGTGATGTGCATACACTGCTTGTCGAATGACAGAGACAAGGTACCAATTCTCGAAGAGGTGAGTGGGGATGCCGACAGAGCTGATGGTGAACTGGCAGTTGGCACGGGATGGAAAGGAGCGATGAGCGCTGCTAACTGGCTAGACTATTGTACATGGCACCATTTCTTCACCGGTCTTCGTGTAACCATGACATGTCTTTTCAGTGGCGAAGGCCGCCCTGGAAAGCTTACCATGTGATTGTGAGTGCACTTTTTGCCAGCTGTTCTCAGGAAAGGAGATAGTTGATCGACTTTGACCCATAGAGTAATAGACCCCACCGATCTTAATGGCAGAATGCCATAAACTTCACATTCTAATGTCTCCGTGTATGCGCGGGAGAGGCAGCTGTTTGGTTGGATTCACCAGCGCAGCCTATTTGGGACTAATTTTTGCTACACTTGGCGGAGCGCCTTGATAAGAAAGCCGTGAACTTGAATGGCAAACTCCTGACCAGATAGTATTGCTTTGGCATTCCTACTCGGCCTAGAAACCGTTTCGCTCGTGTCATACATCGTGCCTTCAGGTTTGCCTCAACTCGCGCGTTCAGCTTGAAAGCTCCTCATCATGCCCGCTTGGGCTTCATAGGCCGTTTCCCCTGCTTCGGCTGACTCCCGTATGCCCTCCTACCTTCTGTTTTCTTGTCTCTACTCAAGCTCGCACCTAGAGTAAGATCTATCCGCGGCGGAGCTCCGAAGCCAAACGACTTGGCGACTTTGCTGCTCATGGTTAAAGTTTGGCTTCCATAGACGAGCAACAATACTTACACAAGATCCAGCTTATGAACATCAAATATAGACCTCAGACTGTACACATCGTGAGCCTCGAAATGCGGGTAGTGACGCGCGTTGTTGAACCTACCTGTGGGACGCGTAGGCATGCAAATATGAGCGATAGCCCTCTTTTGCGGACTTGTTGAGATAGTAGTTCTTCCCTATCAAGGCCTGTAAAGGTGGAGGTCCAATGTCAGCAAAGTCTTTCGAAATGGAGATCGGCACCGCAACATCTCGGTCTAACATTGCCGCGTTGCCGAAATGCCAGCCGGGTAGCATCTCAGACAACGGCAGCATGCACTCTGTGAGAATACTAAGCCTGCACCAGGGAGAACATACCTCAAGCTGGCTTTGGATGTTCAGTATTTTGTTGTTGGGTAGTTCGAATTCTACCAGAGGCACCCGGGCCTCCTTCAGCAACTTCAGAAAGCCGACTTCGCTCGGGAGGAGGAAGAGCAAGCTGCGCCCTTTGCCATTCGATCCTCTCGCAGTACGGCCAACCCGGTGAATGTAATCACGCGGATCGTCCGGAGGGTCGAATTGTATCACCCAGTCGACCTCAGGTATGTCCAATCCTCGTGCCGCGACATCTGTGCATATCAACGTGCCTGCGCTAGCATTGCAGAATTCGAAAAATCTGTTAGTTCGTGCTTGCTGTTTGAGCTTGCCCTGGGTCGTGTCAGTGAATGAAGATGCGTGAGGTGGATGGAAGACCGACGTGTAACGCCATCACAGGCAAGTCGATCTAAATGTTGGTCAGCCTGGCTCAAGACGCGATGAGGCGCCGGGAGGATAAACCTACGTAGTTGAGTAGCTCAGAAAAGTAGTTCACCGCGTTGCACGAGGAGAAGAAGACAAGGATCTTCTTCTTCTGGTGCTTCTTGAGGAAAGAGAACAGAAGTCGGAACCTCGTGTCGCTGTCACAGATCACGTAGCCTTGTTCTAGCCCCTCCACTGTGGAATGCTCTTTCCTGTAGTCGACATTGATGTAGAGAGGTCCCGGCTTGAGCGATATGCGAGCGAGGTCCTCAACCTTCGTGGTCTGCGTCGCTGAGAATAGCATGGTCTGACGGTCCTTTGGCAGGATCTTGATGATGGATCTCATTTCGTCTTCGAATCCGACCTCGAGGATGCGGTCGGCTTCGTCAATGATCAAGCTCTTGAGGTTTTTGAAGACGAACCCTTCGGTGTTGTGAAGGTGATCTAAGAGGCGGCCTGGTGTTGCGATCAGCAGGTTAACGCCTTTGGCCAGCTTGTCTGCTTCCGCTCGTCGATTGGCGCCGCCTATCACGATACCGAACGTCTGGCTGTGCTTCTCAAGCAACTCTCTTGCGACTCCAAAAATCTGTAATGCAAGCTCTCGGGTGGGTGACACGACAATCACTCCAGTTCCGTTCCGTGGTTTGAACTTCATTGCGGAAAGCATTTCGATCGCAGGTATGAGCTACACTCGTTAGTTCTCTACTCACGCAAGAGAATGAGGAGCCTTGGAGACTTACAAATGCCAAGGTCTTCCCTGAGCCGGTCTGTACAAAGTCTGTTGTCAGCAGCAAGCCACTACGAAACCATAAGCGAGTATGCGTACTTTTGCGGCACCCAGCACATCCTTTCCTGCCATTAGAGGTGGTATTGCGCGCCTCTGAATCTCCGTCATGCTCTCGAAACCCATCGCCTGTATAGCCTGCATCGTTCTATCTCCGAGCTTCAGATCCGTGAAATTGACGGGGTCGTCGACGGTGGGTATTGAGGTGCCGGACGTCAAGTCGGCTGGAGGCAGATCATCGTTCCGCTCGTCGTCTGCTCCGTTCTGTTCGCCATCCGCCTCGTCATCTGCCTCAACTTGGGCCACCTTTGCGTCCGCGGCAATTTTCTTCAGCTCCAAATTGAGCCCCTCTTCATTCTCCTCATCTTGAGTGTCGCTAGCAATATTCGCAACATCCTCTACCTCAGGTTCTGGTGTGTGCGCTTTCTTAGACTTCTTGCGGGGCTTTTCATCGGCGGTGCCATTGCTGGCGGGTGGAGCAGGGGCGGCAAGAGCGGATTTCTTGTGCTTTCTTTTACGTTTCTTGGACTCGATTTCGGCCATTGTGGGAGTTGTGGAAGTCATGGCGTGCAGTCTGTCGTTGTGCGGTTCGCAAAGTTCGAGCGCTTGTGGAAAAAAATGTTGCGGCGGAAGATCGCCATGATACGCTAGTCCCAGGTAGGGTTAAGTGCTTTTGCGGGGCTTGGCGCTCCCGAGGTCTCCACACGAACAGAGAACATGCATCGCTTCCCACGTCCGCTTCAACACGCCCGAGTCAACGTTCCGCTTTACTATAGACTATCAATCTATAATCTTCCGGGGCATGTCAGTTCTTGAGTCGTCTACCGATCGATTTCATACGCCGGGCATCTCACGTCAATCATTTTCCGTGCGGTTCGATTGAGCGGACCGTTTCCCACGCTTTTCTCATTTCTGCACCTCTTCCTCTCAATGCGATTTTGAGCTCAGTGCATCACCTGCTTTTCGAACGGGCTCTCCGTCCCTCATTCGAACGTTTGGGGCTGAAGGGCCCCAGCGTGCTTTGGTGAAATTATCGAAGCGTCTGGTGGCCAATTCGAATACGCTCCTTCGATCTACCGCCGGACCATATTGAATGGTGGCGAGAGCGTATAGCCACTTGTATTACATATGCGGGGTCCACAAGCTCCACAATTGGCTTCGTACCTAGGTACCCCCAACTAGCCATTGCCTATATAGTATGGCCGCGCTACTGATTACCAATCAATGTCCAGTGCACCACAGCCCCTGCAGGGAAAACTGAGCCTTTTCGGATAATGTAAGCAGACTACCAAATTACCTTCCGCCCACACAAATACCTACACAATAAGGGCTTTTCGTAGTTTCTAGGTTAGAACTAGATAGAACTAGACTTTAAAGCTGTACAAAAAGTAGTGTTAAGGTGATTAGCCTTAAGAGCTCCACACAAACATTATCTGAAAAGGCTCAGTTTTCCCTGCAGGGGCTGTGCACCATAACCTCTATCTTCGTTATAAGATCTCTTTATTCACATCTCTTAAAAGTATCCGACTGTACACTAGAGTTCCTATTCCGATCACCGTCTCCATTCAAGCGATATAAGTACTATGACCCCGAAGGTTTTTCTGTGAGTCCCGACTTCGCTTGATGGGGGTTAATCTAATGAGGAACAGCACCGGAGGCACGGGTTACATCGGCGGCTCCGTACTTCATACCATCGTCACCGCCCATCCCGAATATGATGTGACCGTGCTTCTTCGCAAAGTCCCGGGCGCCTTCTCGTCCACTTATCCTAAGGTCAAGATCGTCCAAGGCGACTACGACAGCTTCGATGTACTTGCAGAAGAAGCTTCCAAGGCCGATATCGTTGTCCGTAGGGTCTTCCACATTACATTGCTCCCTCAACCGGGTCCACTTGATTGATCACAAGCAGACAACGGTAATTCCGACCACGAGCCGTCCCTGAGCGCTATCATAACCGGCCTCCTCAAGCGCTCTTCTCCGGGCTTCCTGCTTCACCTGTCGGGTACTGGCATTGTCTCCGACTGGGCGGATCCCACCTATCTCGGAAAGCTCAATCCAAAGATCTGGTCCGATATCGACGATCTCGGCGAGATCAGCTCTCTGCCTGAACATGCACTCCACCGCAACACGGAGAAAATGCTCAATGCGACTATAGCCGACCACAGCGATAAGGTGAACATCGCCATCATGTGCCCACCGGATATCTATGGCAGGGGCAGGGGCAGGGGCCTTGCGAAGACTTGGAGTGCTTTCGTGCCTTTCTTTGTGAAGGAGAGCATGGGGCTGGGCGGCAAGGTGTTCTATTATGGCGAAGGCATGAACACCAGAAGCTGGGTACACATTGACGATCTCATGATTGTGTATCTCAAGGTCGTAGAAGCTGCCGCCGCCGGTGGTGGCGGTTTTGGTTGGGGGAAAGAAGTAAGCGTCTCGTCTCGTCTTCTTGTTTTTCCTGTTTCTGTAAATCGCTTACCCGCCCAGGGCTACTACTTCGCCGGCACACAAGAAGTCTCCCACATCGAAGTTGCCAAAGCCTCCGGCAAGATTCTCAAGAAGCACGGGGTGATCAAGGATGAGGAACCGGTTCAAGTCTCGACCGAGCAGCTCGATGCTATGATGAAATTACCGCGGTTTCCGAAGCTGGCTCGGTATATGTTTGCGTCGAACTCGCGCACGCGGCCGCATAGAGCGGAGAAATTGTTCGGCTACAAAGGCACTGCGCCGACGCTGTTGGAATCTTTGGAAGAGGATATTATGCAGGCTGTGAAAAGCTTGTAGACTGGTCGTGGACCTGTGACTGCAATGCACAGCACGTCCTTAGCCGCCGAACTAGAATTTTGTCGCTCCTTCCAGAACAGTCTCGGATGGTGACACGGTCCGGTCACGCGTACCGTTTTCTTTGCCCAAGGGAATGGCTGTGGAAATGGTTGGCTCCTATTCGTTAAGGCTGGTGCGGCACGGTTTCGTGCTGCCTCAACATCGAAGGCACCAGCCACATTCTCGCCAGATGCAGTACCATCGATCCGCAGTGAATGCAGCTCTGGTATATTATGCCCATTAACTATTCTCTTAAAGTAACCCAAATAGGACGCGCATCCGACACTGCATCAACTGCGCGATCAACTTCGAAACCCACGCCCACCGCAGTCATGGCTCACTACTGCTCCATGGACGCTCGCGTCGAACTCGCTGAATCCATCCTAGATTATACATTCGTTGACAAGACGCTATGCCTTGAAGCTCTGATGATGGCAGGCGGTCCTTGTGGCACCAAAGCAATGGCGACATACAATGGCCAACTATACCCTGTCGATAAGAACACACGCTTAGCGGTTGTTGGAGATCGCTTGCTCGATACCGTACTCAGCGAGATGTGGTTCGCGACAGGACGTATCAAAGGCATGCTCCACTCACGCCAACCATCCAACAGCTCAGCCTACTAACTGGCACCGCAGACGACGAGACAAAGATCCGGCTCGCGCTAACCAGCAACGACGCACTGGCAGTCCGTGCAGAGAGCCTCGGCCTTGACAAGTGCATCCGGGTGAACGATGGCCAGGCCAAGATTTCGCCGTACATGAACGCCACGACGTTGGAAGCGTTGGTTGGCGCCGTGCATTTGGATGTCGGAGGTGGAGGAGCGGGATTTGAGGCTGTGCGCAAGGTCATGACGAGATTAGGATTTCTTGAGCATACACTGCTGAAGGCGAAAAGAGAGGTGATGGGGCATAGTGGGTTTATGGCGCCGTGAAGTGCGGTTTGAAACCGGATGTGACTGAAAGGACGAGGGAGACTTTAGAGTTAGGTGATGGCATAATAGATGAAAGGATGGATATGCGGTCGGTAGGATGGAAAACAGACCAAAAATGAAGAAACATGGTGGCAAAGTAGCGAAGAGCCTTGTTCTGAGCCCTTTTTGGAGGTTCTTGACCTTGCTGGTGGCTTCAACTCATTATCAAGCGACCGAACAGGCTTTTCGTCCTGGATCAAAACCCCCAGGATGCGGTGGTTGTCCTTGAAACTCAGGCGTCATTCATGCAACTTCCCATAAACCAAGCCAACGTTCAAGTATTTATGGTTCTAGGCTTGACTAGGACGGCCCGACTAATCACCGAAGGTCACGATGTTTTGCCGACGACGCGTCCCTCATGCGCATCGTCATCAACCACAACTCTATCATGACGCGGCGTATCCTTTCATTTCATCGCTCACCACCATCGTACAACGCGCCACACAAGGAGACCAAAGGAACATATCCGGATGGGCGTGTGCCCGTGGGGATCTTTGCTGCTAGGATGCTGCAGTCTGCAAAATTTGATCGACGACCAAAATTCGGTCGACACGGCCCACTAGACGACAGAACTCATAAACAAGGGCCCTACGATATACCATCGACTACTTACATGCTAATTTTATTCTCTAGCTCCTTGCTCCGGCGAGCTACTGGCGCGCTGGATGCTTGCATTTCATCTTTCGGGTTGTTCCGAAGGTGCTACGCTGGTAGGAGAACGTGCTGCGGCCACAGCATTACGTTGTTCATGATGTGAACTGCGCAGTCCAAGTATATCGGCTCTTCATCTAGCCTCCGACGACTTCCAAATTAACATGCCATCACGGCGATTGGCGGGCTTTGTACGAACATGAGGATATACATAAGGTAGGTCTCTGAAGTGTCTCACGATCATCTACCCAATAAACATTCATCCAATACATTCGTTTCGTCGCACGTTTCCCTCGCTTCGACTCATTATAATCGTTTTCTCCTTTATCGACTATGCGTCGCTCCTCTCCCGCAGCTATTGCTGCTTTGGCGGCAACGGCAAGGGCCGCCAATTCCTCTCTCGCAGATCTATGCACAGTTTCCAACGTGCAGGCGGCCCTACCCGCGAACGGCACACTTCTCGGCCTCGACTTGCTGCCATCTACTGTGACTGCGAGCGCGGTTTACAATGCGAGCGTTGGGGGTGGGATGGGCATGGGAACGGGCAGCAGTGCCACCTACTCGTACTGTAACGTCACCGTCAGCTATACCCACACCGGCAAAGGCGACATCATTCCCCTGAAATACGTCTTTCCGCAACCATCTGACTTCGAAAACCGCTTCTACCTGGCCGGCGGCGGCGGTTTCTCCCTCTCGAGCGACGCAAGTGGCGGTCTCGCATACGGCGCAGCGTCCGGCGCCACCTCCGCAGGCTACGATGCGTTCTCCTACAGCTACGACGAGAAAGTGCTGTATGGCAACGGCTCCATCAATTGGGATGCTACCTATGCTTTCGCATACACCGCGCTGGGCGAACTAACCAAGATCGGCAAGCCGCTCACCCAGGCTTTCTACGCCTTGTCCACCGACACAAAGATCTACACCTACTTCGAGGGATGCTCTGACGGCGGCCGCGAGGGCATGAGCCAGGTCCAGCGCTGGGGCGATGAGTACGACGGCGTCGTTGCCGGCGCACCTGCGTTCCGCTTCGCCCAGCAGCAAGTCCTTCACGTGTATCCTGCTACCATCGAGCACACCATGGACTACTACCTCCCGCCTTGTGCATTGGAAAAGATCGTCAATGCTACTATCGCCGCTTGCGATCCTCTCGACGGACGCACCGACGGCGTCATCTCCCGAACGGACCTCTGCATGCTCAACTTCAACCTGACCTCCATCATCGGCGAATCATACTACTGCGCTGCGCAGACTAGCAGTTCCCTCGGCTTTGGCTTCAGCAAGCGCCAGGCGCCAGGCAGCAGTACCAGCTCGACGCCCGCTCAAAACGGAACCGTGACCGCCGAGGACGTCGCCGTCGCCCAGGCAGTCTACGACGGCCTGCACAACTCCCAAGGCCAGCGCGCCTATCTTTCCTGGCAAATCGGCTCCGACCTCGGCGACGCAGACCCCACGTACGACAACACAACCGGCGCCTGGGCGCTCAACATCCCCTCCACAGGCGGCGAATACGTCACCAAATTCGTGCAGCTGCTCGATCTCGACAACCTGTCCGACCTAAACAATGTCACCTACGACACTCTCGTCGACTGGATGAACACGGGCATGATCCGCTACCTGGACTCCCTCCAAACCACGCTCCCAGACCTGACACCCTTCCAGTCCTCCGGCGCCAAACTGCTCCACTACCACGGCGAATCCGATCCGAGCATCCCCTCCGCGTCGTCCGTGCACTACTGGCAGTCCGTCCGCGCAATCATGTACCCCGACATGAGCGATGAGGACGCGCTGCAGGCCATGTCCGAGTGGTACCAGTTCTACCTCATCCCAGGCGCGGCGCACTGTGGCACCAACTCGCTGCAACCGGGCCCGTATCCGCAGGATAACATGGCGACGATCATTGACTGGGTGGAGAACGGCATCACGCCTAGCCGGTTGAATGCGACTGTTTCTTCTGGGACGCATGCGGGAGAGGTGCAGCAGCTGTGCCAGTGGCCGACGCGCCCGCTGTGGTCGTCGGGGAATAGCTCGGCGTTTGATTGCGTGGATGATGCGGCGAGTGTGGAGAGCTGGACGTATACGTTCGATGCGTTTAAGCTACCTGTTTACTAGGCTTGGCGAGGAGATGCTGTAACTTCATTGTATATATTTTTACGTCGGTAACGCATTGCATTTCTCATGTTGTTTCTCTGGCAAAATCTGATGCGCGTAGCGCGTATATGTATGATAGATACCATTTCTCTATTTCCCCCTTGCCCCGGTGACCCAAAACGAGAAAAATCAATTAGTCAATCAACCTCTTACCTACCTCCCACGAATCTCTCGTCTCTTCTCTCGCCTCATCCAATCCTAACATTCACTCACATTCACATCTCTCTCCTCCCCTCGTCACACGTTACGTAACGTAATCCTCTCTCCCTCCTTATTCTGTTCTCAGAGCTCCCAATCTCTCTGCATCGTCGCTATCTCTCTCAACACATACCGCACATGCCAGAAGCGTTCTCACCACTGGACTACAAACCCGAGTAGTCTCATTCCGATATATACTCTCTGCGACGAATCAAGTCTAAATACCGGGTTTTGGGATTGCAATAAGCAAGCCGTGTTGTACTGTAGAAAGGACGTTTGATGACTTAGACAGACAGACAGGCAGACAGACAGACGGATGTGGGACGTTGTGGGGTGAAAATCAGAGTAGTCTCCTCTGCGAGTAGTCACTCACCACCGTCTCCGCAGATAGATGTCCTATAACCATGATTTCAGCCAAGGCCGATCTAGAAACACAACAAAGGTCTCAACCGACATCCGAAAAACAATATTAACATTAGACTACAAAGCCCGATTCCATATCATCAATCATGTACAACACTCCATTAGTCCCAAACGCCCGCCTTCCAAACAACCCCTATGTCAGCGTAAACGCACCGCTCGTCCCATTGAACGGCGTGATAGTCCCTCCCACACTCTTCGAATCCCCATAGTACTTAATCCGATACGTTCCCGTGGCCGGGGCACTCGAATCCGATTCCCACTTCGTCCCCGTGTCCCAGCTGATGGTCACCTCGCTCGTGCCCGTGAGCCCGTTCGTGCGCTTCCACTCGTACACGAGCTCCCAATCCTGGTCGTTTTTGATCTGTGTCCAGCTGCCGTCACTGGCTTGCTGTTCGATGGCGGTAAAAGTGCCCTCCAGACGGAGGTTGTTGCGCGGATTTGCGCCGACGAAAGTCGCTTTGACGAGCGAGCCGCGGGTGTAGGATGAAGACACGTCTGTGACGACTTGGCCGAACTTCTTGCCGAGCGGAGCACCGTCGTAGACGACGCCAGTGATGAGCGAGATGCTGTTGTCGCGGTTGTCGGGGGGTGAGGGGCCGGCGGGGGACGTGCCCTGAACGTCGTCGGCGAGGAAGGGGAGGAGGGTCAATGTGGAATTGATGTATGCATTAAGCGTATTCGGCCCGTAGAGGGTCGATGCACCCTCGTAGCGCTGCACGCTGTACTCTTCTTCCGTGGCGATATAGTGCGTGTAGCTGTTCGCAGGACCACCCAGCACAACGATTGGTGGGGTGGAGGAAGAAACTAGGTTTGATGAGATAGCTTGGTTGTAGACGGCTTCTCTCCATCGACGGCCGGACATGGTGGTTGCTTCACCGGGCGAAACGACGATGATGAATTGGCCAACGCGGAGGACTTGGACGTCGACAATGTTGGGAGACCAGGCATAGGGCACCTTGGCCTCGCCGACATTTAGAAGGACAGGCTTCGGGTACTGGCACTTGATCTGCTCGGGGCCTGGAGGAGCGATCGCACTTCCGACGATGTTCCAGAAGGGATTTTCAGGTGCTCCGGGATCGTTCTGCACGAAGTCAAAAGCGCCAGGACCGTCGGAGGTGCCAGCTGCGAAGGAGTTACCCAGGGCAGCAGGACAAGTCGACACGGTGGTTCCGTTCTTCAAGGTGAAGGTGAAGTTGGAGAAGTCGACAAAGGTATGGAAAGACCGCACGCTCCCAGAGATAGCAGTAAAGCTGTCGGAGTCGTATATGCCCTTCGCGCCCGCGTACTGACGCTTTCCGATCTCGTAGCAGGATTTTGCGCCTCCGTCGTTCAATCCGAAGTAGGGCCCTCGGCCATGGCAGTCCTGGCTTTTACCGCCGCACGTACTGTCTTCGAGCTTGCACTCCTGGTTCGAGCCATCTTCGCACCACGCGCCGTTAACATTGGGCGTGGTATCCCCGACATTCGCTTGCGAAAAGCCTGCAACGAAGCCTGACGCGGCGTTGGCTGCGTCCGCATTCGCAGCGACATCTTGCTCGAAGAGATAGGCAGCCACGCCCTTGTTGTCAGCCGCAACGATGGTCTGGTTTCCGAGTAAACTGGTACCGTGGACGGCGAACCAGTTCAGGATGCCGATGTTCTTCCCGTCGCTGGCTCTTGTGAACTTGAGCAGAGTCATCGTCTTGTCCACGTTATCGCTGTACCGGGCCCTCTCGGATTCCGGGTTGGCCAGGTAGGCGTACAGGCTGCGATTGATGTTCGCGTCGGAGACCTTCGCCGCGCCGGAACTGACGGTTCCAAGGGTCAAGCCCTCGTGTGCCCTCTTGATAGACAACAGTGCTCCGTCCACGATGGCCTGGTAACTCTGCTTATCGAATCCCAAGCTCGTGATCTGCGGCAGCAGATAGTTCAACCACGCGCCCGGCCCAGAATGGCTGTGCGTCCCTGTTACGGCTACATTCTTCTGGGTGTAGATGGAGTAGTCCGAGCCCATGGCCTGCAGGCCCTCCAGGATGCCGTTTCGGATAGCCGTGTCTCCCGACTGGGTATCCAAAACCATGTATACGAAGCGCTCGCTCGTGTCGCTCGGGCTGCCTACGATGAAGGCGCGGGAGTAGAGGCGTTGGCGGAGGCCGGTGCCCACTTGCGAGGTGTTCGCATAGCCCATCAGGTTGAGCTCAACGACGGGTCTGAAGCTGCGTTAGTATCACTGCTTGAAAGGCGAGTATTGTGATCTACCCAGTGATGTCCGCCTTCCCCACGCCTATGAGGTACTGCGACGCATCCTCCGCAGCGTCCCCGGCCTGCTTCTCGCTGAAGAAGTGCGTCTGCGTGCGGTCATACTGCTGCTGGTCCAGTCTCCAGTGCCAGAAGTCGACCTGCGGGAATCCCAGATTAATCACAAGCTGGCTGATGATCAGCGAGGCGAAGAGCGCGGCGCCGAAGGCGACGGCAATATGTGAGCGTGCCATTCACGCAGCCAGAGGTCGAAGAGTTCGGAGAGCGGCGGCCACGGCCTGGGACGCATGGGGGTCGTCAATGGCTATATAGCTGGCTCCGTAGATAGCTGGGACGAGCAGGCACGCGATAGGAAGGTCGGCCTGGGTGTGACGGCAGCGGCAATCCTGGCCTGGCTGGATGAACCTGGAGGGCGGCGGCGTGTGCTGCCAACTCTCCTGTGGGACGCGGCGCTCGCGGGGCCAGTCGCGGGTGGCGCATGACGTTTCTGGCCGCGGCGGCCGCTGTGGCCCGGATCGCGCGCAGGGATGCGACGTCTAAATTGGCGGCTGACCGTGCGAGGCACGTCCAACTTCCTCACTCGCGCGCCGTCCAACGCTGCAATCTTGCAATCTCCCTCTGCTCGCCCGCGCACCCGCTGCAATGCCGCTAATCAACGAATCCTATGACGCCCTCCCTTGTACGTGTTAATCTATCCTGCGGTCTTGCGACTCCGCACTCTTGCCGGAAGCGACTCGATATCCGAGGCGCGTGCGGAGGAATTCAAGCTCTGCATGTGCTGCACTTCGTATCACCACAGGCTAACGGAGTCGCAGACGTCGACGCCCCGCCCGACGAGGCCAGCCTTGCCGCTGCGAAGGCCCTCGTTGAGAAAGACATCCAGAGCAGTGGCGTAGATGCCGCTCAGCTGCACCCCGCCCTCATTCCCGCTGCGTCGTACACGCCCAAGTTCTCCGCCGCTGTCGAGCAGGAACATGCGCGCCTGCAAGCCGATCCAAAGTCCAAATTCTCAGCTGTCGACCTGAAGCGGTACGAGGATCTCGAGGCGCCGCCGAATACAAGCCCCACCAGCGACGAGGACCGACCGGAGGTGCTCGCGCAGTGGAACGCGGCGCTGAAGAAGGCGTACACAAGCTCCGAGTACGTCAGTGCGCGGTTAATGGAGCTGGGGCTGCTGGAGAAGTTCGGCAAGAATGCATGGTTGATCGGCAATTCGCAGCTGGAAGATATACTGAAGTCAATTGAGGCGGAGCTCGCAGATGTGAGGAGGCAGCAGGAAGAGATGGAAGCGCTGCGGCGGTCGCAGCAGGAGAGCGTGAGCGGCGAGATGAAGACGCTCGAGGAGACGTGGAAGCGGGGCGTGGGACGGGTGCTGGAGACAGAGGTTGCGGCAGAGGGCTTGAAGCAGCAGATACTGGACAGGAGGCGGGCAGGCGCTGTCTGAAACGTTTTCTGAGTCCCTTCACACTGCGCGATCGCCGTGGTAGGTGGGCATAGACACGTGGCGGGGATAAAATATGATACCCAAATGCTGACTCCTTACTTATACATGGTCTAGCCACCTTGGCCCCGTCCTCAGCCATATCTACACCTCCGTCGGGGACCACATTCCCCGTACCCTCAAATTGTGACCTGCCTATTAGTGTTGGATATCTCTCCATTTATTCTCAAAAAGCAGCAAGAATCAAATAACTCGGGTATGTAGTACAGTGGTAGAACAACTCTGATTACTGCAGAGAAGCCTCAGGTTCGATTCCTGGCGTACCTCATCCATTCTTGCTTTCAATCACTATTGACAATCACTCGCTTTTTTTTTGGCTCCGACTTGCGGACGAACATAGTTGAGATTAGAACGGCCAGCCTACCACGGTCTTGGCTGCGAGCCTTTGCGACTTGTAGGGTCTACAAAATCTACACATCCAAACTAGCGAGCGATATCCGACACTTCATCACATGATTCACGTTTACGCTTGGAGTCTAGGGGCGTCAGTTCTATGTGAGTAGGCCGGTACGTTTACTCACATCAGATCGTGGAGTCAGAACTCAGTATAAAAGCTCTGCTTCAAGGCCTTCACTGCTTCCTCCTCCTCTTCTTCTTCCACAGAGAGTTCTAAGATTCAGCAAGAGTGTGCAAGTATACCAGATCCGCTTCAGAAGTCAGTGACCGATCTTACATATTCATTCTTATACCGTTATTCCTTTTCCCCATCTTCGCTACTAGAATCGCAGTTCACACGTAAAGAAAGAGCGCAGCAGCCCACAAACATCTCACCAGAATGTCGACCTCACAACAAGCCCAAGCCCAAGCCCAAGCCCAAGCCCAAGCCAAACCCGAAGCCAAAAAAGCATGCGGAGAATGCACCCACAACCCTAATCAGCACTTAAAGACATCGGTCTCCGCCGAACGCTGGGCAGAGTACTGGTAACTCCCACCATTCTCCTGCAGCTGTACGGGGTCTCATTGCTAACGTTGCGCAGTGATAAATGTCATGAATGCTGGAGGTGTTCCATACTCCGAGGTAAATGCGACTTTTGGCCGTGTCTGTACTGCCCCCCGTCAATGGGGTTACACCGTGTCAAGATGCTCGAGGAGCTCCTCAAATGCACGAGAGAAGGGTGTCCCGGTATCGACAAGGAAAAGGGGCCGATCGAGCAGAGGACTGGGAATTGGATCCTGTGGCCGGAAGATGCGGAGGCGGGGCCGATGACGCATGAGAAGTGCGAGTGTGATTGATTGCTTTCTTGACAATCTTGGGTGCTGGGTATGGGTGGCGTTGTTGGAGTTGGGGCGTATTCTTTTGTGTGGTATTGGAATTTTGGGGCTGAGTGCTGTTATAGAAGTGTGGCGTTGTTGGAGTTGGGGCGTCGTATTTTTGTATGTTTCTTGGGTATTGAGGATGGTTACCAGTATACGACCTATCTCATTTGATGAGTATGACTGGGCAGCGGTGACTCAGGTTTCCTGCTGGACTTACACAGGATCTAAAGGCCTAAAAATCGAGAGGCCCGTAGTAAGCTCGAGCTGGGTGCATGTATGCCTTGGACCTATAACGAAGTTGCATTTCCACGCACTGTCCGAATGTTCGATTTTGTATCACGCGACGAGCTTCTGATGGAGTGGTCGATAAATCCAAAGCGCGGCTCTGTGAAGCGAGGTGGGTGTATACAAAAAAGGTCCTCCCGCTTTAGCGCTCGCAGACGGAAGTCGCGCTGTGCACCGAGTATACTGAAAAAGAGACACTCCTTCTGAATCCCTCAAAAGGTGCCTTCTCTTGCATCCGGACCTCTAAGCAGCCTCCGGCTATGAACCTATGCGATTGCGGCTTCGATCTCTTGCTCGTTTCACTTTTGCTCGGCGGCTTGAAGGCCTCCAGACGGGCTGTTCATCCTGACTGCTCCGCATTTGGCCACTTTCGATTCATTGCTGAATACTGACACGGTCCCTGAAGTTGCAAATATGAACTTCTAGATCGGTTGCGATGCCGTTATAGGCCGCGAAGGATTCCAGAAAGTACAGAATGGGCTTGTCCCAGCCCTAATACGACCAAGTAGAACATCCAGGTTGCCGGCGGCAAAAATAAGAATGGATCTTGGCTCAACTGCCGTCAGTCGTCGCGCTTGGGAACTTTGGGCACCAGTGCCCAGGCAATGCCCATTGCGACGATGAGTCCAACTAGTATAGGTTGCATGATTTTGACGCCGGCTTGGCTAGCAATAACGCCAGTGAGCGCGGGAAAGAGCGCGCCACCAGCTTGAGCGAGCACGAAGACGAAACCGAGGGCTGTTGGTTGAATACGTTTTTCGAAAAGCCTAGAGCCAATAGACATGCCCTAGCATCGGATCAGCACAGAAGAGCCACTGCAGCAGAGTGTCGTAGACCTTACCGTAGCGAACAGCGGTCCATAGAAGATGCCCAGAAAGCAGATGGCGACTGCGCTACTCACTAGGTTCGGCACGAGCCAGAAGACTAGCTGGAGCGCGAGAATCATTACGCAGTACGCCATTGACATCTTTCTCTCGCCGAATCGGTGAGTCGGCTCCGCAAGCAAGACTCGTCCCAAGAAGACGCCTCCCCACAAGCCCGCGGAAACGTATCCCACATCTGGCAGGCGGCCGTTTCGGGCAGAGACCAGGTATTCGACTACCCAGCCTCCCGCTGTGATGCCGGCGCCGAGCATGAAGAAGTAGAAGAGGGAAAGCAAGTAGACGGGCGGGGATTTGAGTGTGTCAAGAATGTCTCGCCACGCGGTTCGGCTGCGGGTCTCCACTTCTGGAACGCCCTCAGAGGAATTAGGTCTCATGTGGACCTTCATGCTGTCCCGGAAACTAGCAAGGACGGCGGAAGTGTTAATGGTCCCAATCCCGACCAGAAAGAGATAAAACAAAGGCCAACGATCCTGTACTTTCGACGCAATAGCCGTAGCGACAAAGGGCGAGACGAGACAGCCCAGAGCGTACATGGCATGGATGAAGCCCAACCATCTGTGGGCCCCCTTTACAGAGGCGACGAAAGCGTTCGAGTGCGAGTCTTGGTACGCCATGCCCACGGCTTGGAGGAAGAAGGTGGCAACGTAGAGACCGAAGGGTGGGGTCCAGAAGCGTAGGCAATGGGCCACGAGCTGGAGAACAGCTCCAAGCGTCAGGATTAAGCCCAAGTCAAGGGCGTGGATAAGGTAGCTGTTAGTTGCTGCCGCGAGGATCCAGCCGAGGAAGGTGGAAGCATAGCTGTTACGAGTCAGGAAACGAAGCCAATATCATCAGAGGAACTTACATGAGGGCCACATATTCGGTGCCGACGTGATAAGTGCGCAGAATATATGGCGTCAATGCACCTAGGCTGCCGTCGTTTGTTCCTGCGAAGAAGAAAGAGAAGCCCGCCGCAAGGATTTTGAGGACGTTCTCCCCCGTCACTACGGCGGATTCGGGGCTGGTCTCGAAGACACTGGGTGCAGAAGGAGAGCGAGCTTCGCGATCAACGGGATAAAGTTCGATGTCTTCTGCTGGACCGTCATGGCGACGGGCGGTTTCTACTACGCTCGTAGTTGACATGGTTGAGGCTTAATGAAAAGTAGTAATGGAGAGAAGTAAAGAGCAACATGATATAGGCTCGAGCATGACTAGAAGTCAATCAACCCTCGCAAGCAATTCTCAATGCAGAAAAGAAGCGGGCTCTCGCATCAGTTGTGCCCAGGGTGGGAAAGCGCGGCGATATCTAGTCCTTCGTCGCTTCCCCTCCTGTTCTGATGCAGGGAGCTAGCGGCAGGACTAGCCGTGTTTCCGGCGAAACCTCGCCGCCTCCCGATTGGTCTACAAAGGCTACTGTCAGATGTGTTTCATTCACGCACCAGTGTAGTCTGTCTGCATCGTCACTTTGGATATGTCTATTTCTTCGCGAGAATAACCTTTATGCGCGATATGACTGATCAGATTATGAGCTTCGTCCGGTTCCCTCCCTAAGCGAGGCTGCGGTGTGATTGGCTAGCCTTCTCGACTCCGCCACCTTCGGGCTGCCCGGCACCAATTGCTTCGTGCTCTCATGTGAGCCTTGAGAAAGCCCCCGGGGCTGAGCCACCACAAGCAAACATCTCATGAACATGGCCTTCTCACCACTTCTCCCTCTCTCTTCCACCGCGACCGACTCCACAGTTCCCTACAAACCGCGTCGCTTCACCCGTCGACGAGTGCTGCCATCTAGGTAGCCACACTCTGACATCATGGTCCTCCTCGGTGGACTGGAATTCGTCGTCGGCGGATACCTCATCCACCGCTACCACAAGGACAAGAATGAAAAGAAGAAGCTGGAGGCAGAGGCCCAGCAGCGCCGTCACCATACCTTTCCCGGGCCGGCGCCGCAATCATGCAACCCGTATCCGCAACCGCAACAGCCCATGATGCCACAGCAGAAGTATGCCTGTTATGCTCCGCAGCCCCAACCTCAACATCGCCCGCACCCCCAGTTCCAGCCTCAGCCTCAGCACCGACCTCATACTGCTCAGCCTGTCCCTCACGCCCAAACCTTTGAAATCCCGCGCCGACCGCTACCTCATCAGCAGCCGCCGCCGCAGATCATACAGCCGCTTCAGCGAACAGACTCCTTCGCCACGATATCGAGAATGCCCATCGCGAACGGCTCTCGTCCCCACAACGCCGAACATCAGCCGCCCGGCCTACCCCCACGACCCCACGTATCGAACCTATCGATACCCCAACAACAGCCCGCGAACCACCCCTACTCAAACGCGGGCTTTTCGGTGTCAACGCCAGGCTTGGGAACCACACCAGCTACATACCCCACATACCCTACTGGCTATACTGGTCAGCAGGGCGGAAGACAGACCGTGGATGACAACTGGGAGACGTACGCGCCACAGACTGGGCTGGGACATGGGCAAGGACATTACTCGCCTTCGGAGTCGACGGCTCTCGGTGAGGATGACCCGCCACCACCATATCGGCCTTGAAACTTGGTAGAAGAGCAAGGCTTAGGCGAACATTACGCTTTGGGTGCAGGCATTCAGAGGTCTTTTTCTTCTCGCTTTCTCACTTTCTCACTATGACTGTAATGTCGAGTGTTTCTTGGGCTTTTGATGGCAACGTCCTCGGCGAAGGACTATTGATGGATACCCGATTTCCTTTACTTTCGTAGGTCATGGTCTTGGGAACTAGACTGCTATTATAACGCTGACGGTAACGGCTAGAGAGCTTAATAGTATTATTTATTGGTGGCACATTAACATGGCCCCTTTCCTTCCTTCTTCACACCACCTGCATGAACCTGCGACTTTTCCACTACTCGTTCAGTCAGGCCTAACCTGTCGGATCAACCCATGAGAGGCGGCACAGAGAGGCTCTCGCCAAGAACGCTTATCTCCGCCTCAACACCACGCCGCCCACCGCGATTTGTGATGTATGCCAAGGGCTAGACGACTATCACAACCCCCATGTTAACTGGCACGCGCAGGAAGCCAAGCAGATACCCCGCTGATGGAATATGCCCGTTCCTGAATACGGCAGCTGTCAAGAATCACGACATGAGGCCTTACCTCGCCGCTTTGCTATCGCACGTTTTGCCGGTGACGCGGCCGGAGAACGATACGCGCCTTGCATTCGGCAACATGTACCTAGACACCGGTTGCACAATAAGAGGATGCAGGTCCGCATGTTCTTGCGGCTGCGCAGATCGCAGCAGTATCTTGGAGACCCGAATTGCTCATACAGGGCTGAGCATAGTTGCTAAGTGCTGGATCTCACGATGCTTCGAATACTCAGCTCGCTCGTCCTCCTAGGTGCCCTTGCATACGCCTGTCAGCGAGACTGGGACGCCCTCCACCGCCGCATGCACCAACACCGCGCACACAATCGCCATGCCAAACGCGCCGAAGTTGAATACCCGCCCACTTTAACGGAAACCGAATCCATACTCGTCAATTCCTTCGACAATAAATCCATATCTGATTGGTCGTACTACTACACGCATGGCGACCACCTGGGCTCGCACAACAAAACCATGGCGGAATGGACGGCGCAGAAATGGAGAGATGCGGGATTTGACGCCTGGCTTGAGGAATTCCCGATCTGGGTCACGTATCCTGAGCATAGTAGCTTAACGCTGTATAGACCGGATGGAACGACACATGAGGCCAACCTTGTGGAAGAAGTGTTGAGCGAGGACGACACGAGTTCATATCCAAACGTGATTCCGGCATTTCACGCAATGAGTGCGAGTGGAAATGTCACGGCGGAATATGTTTATGTGGGGTATGTGCTTCTTAATCTGCAGAAGAAGTACCTCTGCTAAATAACGTATAGGCGAGGAACTAGGGCGGATTTTCAGGTGCTGAAAGATGCTGGAATAGAACTCGAGGGCAAAATCGCGATGGCAAACTACGGCGCCATCTATCGAGGAACGAAAGTCAAGAACGCGCAAGATAACGGCATGGCGGGGTGTATTATTTTCACGGATCCGCTCGATGACGGGGAGGTCACTGAGGAGAATGGATATGATGCTTACCCAGGTCTGTGGCTCTTGTTGCTTCTTATTCCAAAACACTGCTCATGTATGCAGACGGACCCGCAAGGAACCCATCTTCCATTCAACGCGGCAGTGTCCGCTTCTCGTCCCTCTACTCCGGCGACCCAACAACCGTAGGCTGGGCTTCCTCATGGGACTCACCGCGCGGCAACGTCTCTGTGTACAATCCCTCCATCCCCTCCATTCCGCTCAGCATGAAAGACGCATTACCCCTCCTCTCCGCACTCGAAGGTAACGGTGTCTCCGCAAAGGAAGCAAATCGCAGTGGCTGGACGGGCGCCTTTAGCAACATGACTTATGATAGCGGACCAACATCAGGAGCGGTTGTGCACATGAACCATCTAATGAAGGGGTGGATAGCGCCCGTGTGGGATGTTATCGGCGTGATTAATGGAACGAGCCCGGACGAGGTTGTGGTGGTGGGTAATCATCGCGATGCGTGGGTTATTGGGGGAGCGGCGGATCCGAATTCGGGGTCTGCCATTTTGATTGAGCTAGCGGGCGCGTTTGGGAAGTTGCTGCAGAAGGGATGGAAGCCGAAACGGACTATGTATGTCCCCGACACCGCTCTCACTTCTTGTCTCGAAACATAACTCGTTGGCTAATGGGCTACACACAGTGTCCTTGGCTCTTGGGACGCCGAAGAATTTGGACTCCAAGGCTCCACCGAGTGGGTGGAATCGCATCTCCCGTGGCTCACATCGACCGCGGTCGCGTACCTCAACATCGATATCGGGGTTTCTGGGCCGCGCACTGCGTTTTCCGGGTCTGGCGAGATTCAAACATTCGTCATCGAGCAGATGAAGAAGATACTGTTCCCTGAGGGCTGGGGTGACTTCCCGACGCTGTATGATATGTGGTATAATGTTACGGAGGGAGAGGTTAGTCCGCTGGGGAGTGGAAGCGATTATGCGAGTTTTTATCAGAATGGGATTGGCTGTGTGAGTTCCTTCTCCTCTTCCTCATGATCGTTATGCTTGGCGAGCGCTAACAAGCAACGGGGATAGATCGATATCGGTAGCGACGGCGGAGAAACCGATCCTATCTACCACTACCACTCGAATTACGACTCGTACAACTGGATGTCCAAGTTCGGCGACCCTGGTTTCCGTCTGCACGCCGCAATGGGGCAGTTCCTCTCCCTCATCCTGTACCACATCGCCGACGACCCACTCATTCCCTGGGACATGCCACACGCAGCTTCCGTCCTAGAATCCTACCTCTCCGAGCTCAACGACACAGTCGCGGAGTCTGATTTCCCTGACCTAGATCTCACCCCCCTCGCCTCCGCCATCTCAAATTTCACCGCGCAGGCCGAGCACGTCGCACAAGTTGCTGAGCAAGCTCTTGCATTCAACGATACGGTTATGCTGGGCGTAGTGAACTCCAAATACCGCGACTTTTCGCGAGGGTTTGCGTCGGCGGGTGGGCTGCCGGGGAGAGAGACGTTTAGGAATGTGATTAGTGCGCCGGGGATTGATAATGGGTATGGAGCGGATGTGTTTCCTGCGGTGACGGATAGTATTAATGCTGGAAATGAGGGGCCGGCGGGAGAGTGGGTGGAGAAGAGTGCGAGGGCAGTGTTGAGGGCGGCGGAGATTTTGAAGGTGGGGAGTTAGGGAGGGTATGTGAGTGGGTGAGAGTTGAAGTCGCGAGCGATGATGGAGCTGTAGCCAGCGCTGCAAAGTTACTGTCTTCTCCGTTCAGCGACGTACACGAACAACCTTGGAAGAAAATGGTACCAAGATCGCACTTGCTTGGGTCCGGTTTGCGTCTTTTGGGACGCCAACCCAAATCGGACCGGGCTAAACTAGAAGTCCTAATGTCTCACCTAACGATGACTCTTATTTCAACTTCACTGCATGGAGCGCGTCAGCTTTCAGACTCATCGAACGGTTGCATACATTAAAATGCTATGACTCTTTGCGCCCTATCTCGCCTGGAAGGCACCTTCTTCTTCGGGCGCTCTTGAAGCGAGCCTGCCCCACTACGATGCCTGAGGCGCGTCAGACGACATGAGACGGAACATTCACCGCGCGAAAGCCAACAACTTTGCAATCAAGTACAGCTCGATGACTCTTCGCATGCAACGTTGATCTCATGCAAATGGGATCTGGGCGTTGTAATACTCTTCTGCTTTTAAGGAACCCTGCTTGGAATGATAACCTGACAAATCAGAAGCTTGATGCTCGTCACCGCCGGGCTAGTGGACTTTTACTTCAAACCGAAGTATAAGAAACACAAGACGACACCTCCTCAAGCCTCAGAGCAGAGCACCATAGCACTTCGTCTTCCACCCCACACCTCCAAACATGTCTCAGCCCGCCAATGCCCCTACCACTCCCCGCCAACGCCTCCGGGACCTCCTCCCCACGGTGTATCTAGGCCGCTGGAAGACCGGAGCCAAGAACGGCCTGACAGACATACCCGGAGTTCTCGTCTCTACCCAGTCAATCCACGACTCTCCGAAGTATCCCAACGCTCCCGCGAACTCCATTAACACCGGCGTCACCACGATTCTCCCTCGCAAGGACTGGTTTCACAAGGCATGCTTTGCGGGCATTTTCCGCTTCAATGGGTCCGGCGAGATGACGGGCAGCCACTGGATTGAAGAGACGGGCCTCCTCCATTCGCCTATCGTGATCACGGGAAGCTTCGGCGTTGGTAACGCGTACAATGGGATCTATGAATATGCCATTCGCGAGTATTCGGATGACAAAGGGGGAGTGGACTGGTTCTTAACTCCAGTCGTGGCCGAGACATTTGACGGCTTTCTGCACGATGTCGCCAAGTTCGCCGTCACGGCCGAGCATGTCATCAAAGGGATCGACGAAGCTAGCAGCGAGCCAGTGAAGGAAGGTAACACGGGCGGAGGTACGGGCATGCTGTGCCACTGGTTCAAGGGCGGTACTGGAACGAGCAGCCGCGTGGTCCCTGCCGAAAACGGCAAGTCCTATACGGTCGCCGCCCTTGTGCAAACCAACTACGGCGCCATGAGGGACTTCAGAATCGCTGGTGCACCGATTGGCCGTATGATCTCTGAAGAGAAGGAGCGCGAGGCGCAGCTGAAGCCAAACGACCCGGGGCCCCAAAAGCAGCAAGAAGTCCTCTTCAAAGTAGCGGAAGCCAAGGAGAAGAAGGACGGCAGCATCATCATCATCCTAGGGACGGACGCCCCGCTGCACCCAACGCAGCTGCAGCGCCTGGCGAAACGCGCAACGGTCGGTCTCTCCCGCGTCGGCGGATGGGGCGCGAACCCTTCAGGAGACATCTTCCTGGCGTTTTCGACGGCGAATGAGCTGGATGTCCAGACAGTGACTGCTGCGAACAAGAAGGTGGATCCATGGGTACCTAGGGAAGTTGGAATCGATATGATAGATGACCAGACTATCAACGCACTGTTTGAGGCGAGTGCGGATGCGGTCGAGGAGTCGATCTATAATGCGCTTTGTATGGCGGAGACGATAAAGGGATTCAGTGCTACGATTGAGGCGCTGGACTTGGATAAGGTCAAAGAGCTGATGGGAAAGTACCTATAGACCCCGCCAGGCAGCTGTACCCTGAACTCTCCACATCAGGCTGCCTTCCTTCTCTTTTAGACGCATTCCTTCGGCGCACCCTCTTCGTCATTCTGTACGAAGTCCTGACGCACTGTACGCGCAATGCCTACTCGGGGTTCGTTGGAATGGAGAACGATCGTACTCAATACCGCCTTCCGAGCGCCCTTCCAGCTCTTGTGCAGCGTGAAAACGGGCTGAAAGCTGACTCACTGGGTGCGGGTTGATTAGGGAGGTGACCGAGTTAAACCGCTCACGTGATTCACGTCGGCCACAATCCGATCCGATTCTCCGACCCTCCGAGATGAGCCCTGCTCTTTCCGCTTTCATTGATTGGCCGGAATACCCCCGTATTCAGACGTCGCTTTCGTATGCATCGTATTTTCATCCTCCACAACTCTGGCCCAAGACTAATGTGCAGGTGCCTAATCGATCGCTGTGCGGAGGGTGTGTTGCGCCTCCGCCTCCTGGACAAATGCAAAGAAAGTACACGTACGCTTCTACCTTAAATCAAGCCCTTCTACTCGGTGTCGACGTCGATTCTTCGCTTTTCAGTGTACGAAGTCGGGTGATTTCACCTGATCCGCCGTCCTTTCTCCTTCTCGTTGACTCCGCAGCTCAGCCGCCCGTGACCCAAAACCCAGGTCCTTCGATATTCGTCCGCATACCGCCTTGATATTAGGAGACTGCTCGACGCTGCGTTTGGTGTCGTACACGTGCAGGATCCCACGCTTCGCAGTTAATCGCTCGATTAAGGATAAAGGCGAGGCCAAGCATTTCCCACTCGCCTTATTTGCTCCCTTCGGCTTAGCTCCAAAACATCTCGTCTTCTCGAACAGGCTTCTGCTCCTTCGGTCGTTTGCGCCGGGAAGGACAAAAACATTTCTTGGTCTTGTTTGCAACGTCGCCCTGTCCTGCGACAAAGGATAACTCTCGAGCGTGATCATTCGCGACTTCGGATGATGCCTGGAGCCTAACAGGACGTCCTTGCCCACCATGACGGCTCACGAGGCGGAGGGTGTCACGGTCACGATGCCGCCGTCCGAGAAGCAAGCAGGCTCTGATGAGGACATAGGCTCGTCGGCGGGCCTCACGGAAGATGAGAAGAAGATTATCGACCGACAGCTTCAAGCGCCGAACGCTAAGGTCGGGTACTTCTCGCTATTTCGGTATGCTAATAAGAAAGAGGCATTCATCATGTTCGTGGCGACGGTTGCGTCGATAGCTGCTGGAGCTATTCTACCTTTGATGACTGTAAGTCCTGTGTTTAACAATATGGACTAGTGGACTTTGCGCTGATTGTCGATGCCAGCTTGTATATGGTAACTTCGCTGGGAGCTTCACGAGCTTTTCCGTGGACGCCATTGCCGCCCAGCACTTCCAGAACCAGATTAATACGTTCACGTTGTATTTCGTATACCTTGGTATATGGCCCCCTTGAATTCCGTCGACTAACCTTGACTGATTTGCATTATAGGCATTGGATCGTTGGTCACGGTTTATATCAGCATTGTCGGCTTCTCGTATACCGGAGAAAGAATTACGCAGCAGATCAGAGAGCTTTATTTGCGTGCCATCTTTCGACAGAACATTGCGTTCTTCGACTTCCTTGGATCTGGAGAGATCACGACACGAATCAGCTCCGACATGAACCTAGTTCAAGATGGCATAGGCCAAAAGATCGGCCTCTTTATCTCAGGAACCTCTATGTTCGTTTCCGCAATCATCGTTGGCTTCGTCCGCTCGTGGAAACTCACCCTTATCATGCTCTCAGCTACCGTTGCTCTCGTGCTGATGATGGCCATCAACGGCAAGAACATGCAAGTCAATCAGACCAAAGCCGTCGACGGATACGCTACCGCCGCAACGCTCGCAGAAGAAGTCATTTCCTCCTCGCGCAACGTCACCGCCTACGGAACCCAAAAGCGGCTGGAGCACAAGTACAAGGCCTTCCTTACGAAAGCCTCAGCGTGGGACTACAGGTCGAAGTTTTGGCTAGCTTCGATGATCGCGGGCATGATGGGCGTGATTAATGCGCAGTATGCGCTCGCATTTTGGCAGGGCGACCGCTTTCTTAAATCGGGCGAGCTTGGAGTCGCTAATATTCTGACTGTCGTCATGGCGGCTATGGTGGCTGGGATATCGATCGGGCATAATCTTCCGCATATGCAAGCCTTTGGGGCGGCTGTCGCAGCTGCTACGAAGGTCTTCAACACCATCGAACGCGACTCTCCAATCGATCCCGAAACCGACGAGGGCGAGAAGCCTAACGAATTCATTGGGAACATCGAGTTCAAGGATGTCAAGCACATCTACCCTTCGCGGCCTGATACCACCGTCCTTGAGGGCTTCAGCTTGAAGATTGAGGCAGGCAAGATGGTGGCGTTGGTTGGCGCTTCGGGATCTGGAAAGTCAACTATCTTCGGCCTCCTGGAGCGTTTCTATCTTCCTATGAGCGGCCAGGTCTTCCTCGATGGGCACGATATTAATAAACTTAACCTCAAGTGGCTTCGTCGGCACATGGCTATTGTCAGCCAGGAGCCTATACTCTTCAGTACTACGATCTATGAGGGCATTGCCCATGGGTTGGTCGGTACTGAATACGAACACGCTAAGGACGAGGTCAAGATGGAGCTCATTGAGAATGCTGCCAAAATTGCCAACGCTTACGACTTCATCATGGAATTGCAGGACAAATTCCAGACGAGGGTCGGGGAGCGAGGCAACCTGCTCTCAGGTGGTCAGAAGCAGCGAATTGCCATTGCCCGTGCTGTAGTATCCGACCCCAAAATTCTTCTCCTCGATGAAGCCACCGCGGCGCTTGACACCAAGTCTGAACGGGTAGTGCAGGAAGCACTCGACCGCGCATCCAAAGGCCGAACCACGATAGCCATTGCGCACCGACTCTCAACGATCAAGAACGCGGACAATATTGTGGTAATGGCAAAGGGCAGGATAGTCGAACAGGGAACGCATGATGAGCTCATCAGAGCTGATGGCGTATATCAAAGCCTTGTCCAAGCTCAGGAGCTCAGCTCAAAGATCATGCCTGGTAACCGGATGTCGGAAATTTCCATGGGCGAGAAAGAAGGCGAGACCGCCGTTGACGCTGAGAAACTCAGCCTTGTTCGAACCGCGACTACGAAACCCGCCTCCGTTCACGCCAAGAAGGACGACAAGAAGAAGGACTACAGCAACTGGGAGCTGATAAAGTTCAGCTGGGAGATGAACAGCGGAGAGCATGGCCTCTTGTGGCTTGGCTTCCTACTGTGCTTCCTCCTTGGTGCAGGACCAGCTATTCAAGCTATCTTTCTCGGTAACTCGATCAACGCATTTTTCTCCCCGGAGACGAACACGGGCGGACATGGGATGAGCTTCTGGTGCTGGATGTTCTTGATGCTCGCCATTATGACTTGGTTGTTCCATATCCTCCACGGGCCTACCTTGTCGAAGGCATCCGCGTAAGTAATCTACTCTCCTTTTTTAGTTGACCGGATATCTGACTTGAACAGCATGCTCATCGCACGCATCCGAGAGCGGGCGTTCAGCGCTATCCTCCGCCAAGTAAGCTCCCTCTCTACGCTTTCCTGACAGCTTCTGATTCTATCAGGATATCGAATTCTTCGACAGCGACACCGTAACTTCCGGCGCCCTTGCAAGCTTCCTCTCCTCCGAAGCAAATCGTCTTGCCGGCCTGAGCGGATCCACCCTTGGCACGATCCTCACCTCATTCTCGACAGTGATAGTCTCCATTATTGTCGGCTGCTGTTTTGGATGGAAACTTGCGCTCGTTTGCACCGCGACTATCCCGCTTATGCTCGCATGCGGATATTTTCGCTTCGCTGCGCTTGTGCGCATGGAAAAGCGTACGAAGGAGAGCACGGATGCGGCGAGCTTTGCCTGTGAGGCTGCGAGTTCGATACGGACTGTGGCGAGCTTGTCGCTGGAGAGCCATCTGCTGGAGCAGTACCACGAAAAGCTTGGGCTGCAGGCGATCGGTAACTTGAAGTTCATGAACGTCTCAGCCATCTTGTACGCCTTGTCGCAGGGCCTCGCGTTGTTCATCTTCGCCTTGGTGTTCTGGTACGGCGGGCGTCTCATGCTGCGTATGGAATACACTGTCCTGCAGTTCTTCATCGTCTACGCCGCCATCATTAACGGCGCGCAATCGGCCGGCGCGGTATTCTCCTTCGCACCCGACATGGGCCATGCGAGGGAAGCTGCGGTCCTTCTTAAGTCGTTCCTCAACCGCATCCCCAAGATCGATCATTGGTCCACGGAGGGGAAGAAGATCGATCGGCTGGTTGGACGCGTCGAGCTCCAGGGCGTGCGATTCAACTACCCGGGGCGACCCGATCAACGTGTCCTGCGCGGTGTGAATTTCACCGCCGAACCGGGGCAGTTCGTTGCGCTGGTGGGTGCTAGTGGTAGCGGGAAATCGACCGTCATGGCGCTGTTGGAACGCTTCTACGATCCGACCGCCGGCGCCGTCCTTGTCGACGACGTTGAGCTAAGGGATTATAATATTCAAGACTATCGGGCGCAGTTGGCAATCGTCAGCCAGGAAACCACACTATACACCGGTACGATAAGGGAGAATATCCTGGCGGATAAGGACGATGTGAGCGATGAGGCGGTTGTGCAGGCATCTAAGGACGCGAATATCTACGAGTTCATTGTGAGTATCGCGAGGCTTTGGATGACGGATCGGATAGCTGATGGAGACTAGATGTCATTATCAGAAGGCTTTAACACGCTCGTCGGAGCAAAAGGCGCACTGTTGTCAGGTGGTCAGCGGCAACGAATAGCCATCGCCCGAGCACTGCTCCGCGATCCAAAGATCCTGTACGTATCCCCTCCCTACAGCCTCTTCTCTTCGTGCGACTGATCCACGCTTCACAGTCTCCTCGATGAAGCCACCTCCGCTCTCGACAGCACCTCAGAGCGCGTCGTCCAAGCGGCGCTCGACTTGGCCTCAAAAGGCCGCACTACCATCGCCATCGCACATCGCCTGAGTACGATACAGCATGCTGATGTTATATATGTTTTCGATCAGGGGAAGATTGTGGAGAGGGGCACGCATGAGGAGTTGATGGGAAGGAGAGGGGTTTATTGGGAACTGGCAAGGTTGCAGGATATGGGCGCGCCTCAATAATACCGAGCGTCAGCGTCATGACCTGAGCATACTATCCTAAGCCAATGTATTGCCGAATAATGTGGCGAAGGTTACTAGTTTGAACAGTAGGCACCAAGTCAAAGTTTGTCGTACTGGACTGTGCCATTCTTCTAAGTACTCTTTCTTGATAGCTATGCTATGACCACGCACTTCAAGCTGGTGACAACCTCTGCACAGGCGTTTGCCTTCTCTTTGTAGTTGCTCCAGGCCCAATCCGTTATCTTGACCTGCTCAACAGGGTAGGATTTCACCACCATTTCATAACTGAAAACAATTTTGCATGAGTAGCAGCTGTCTCGCGGGGTTAGAAGGCTGTCATATGCCTGGCCCCACTCGTTGCTGCGACCGAGCGGACGTTCCTTGATGTCGCCGAGGATCTTTTGTCGAATCTCGCGGAGGGGTGGCTTTTGCTGCTTCTTCTTCTTGCTCTTGTGGAACGCCTCGATTTGGGCCTGCTCCTTCTCGTGGTATTCGCTTAGGACATCTGATATGCGTGTTGTGTAGTTTTGACCAATTCGGTGGTCACGTATGTCTTTCAAGATCCTCCGAGCCTCCGGGAACTTCATCATATCGTCGAGACTCGCCCCTACGTTCCAGACACCATTATGACCGCACACAAAAAATGTGCGTGGAACTGACGTTGATGGTGCGCCTTTGTCCTTGGCGACGGAGGGATCAAGACCGAAGGTAAAATCAAGATCGATCTCTTTCTCTAAGGTTTCTTCAAGAGTCAGCAGGGGTATAGAGCGCGTTTTAATGATAGACTTACCCAAACACGCTTTTCCTTGCTCACGGGGTTTTCGAAGCTGCTTCTGCAGCTCGAGACTCAGAATTATTTCTTTCGCAGAAGCCGAAGGTATGCCTTCCAATCTGTAGTCCATGTTGATCGCCTTCATATTCCAGCCCCGAAACAGGTAGTATAGTCGGAGCTCGTTTATAGCTTCTACAAGCTTTTCAACTCTACGCTCGGCCGTCTCGATCATCTCTGCGATAGTCGGCATCAAGGGTTCGCCGTCGTCGTTTACTGAAGCTCCCGGCGCGAAAGTCTTTTCGAAGCGTACGTGCAGGATTGCTGTGAGCTCCTTTTTCAGGACTTTCAGAGGCTTCACCACGAGCTCTTCGGCGAACCAAGTAGCGGAGAGGTAGAAATCCTGAACAAGGGCTACGAAATGCTTAGCTCTTTGGAAGCTCTCCACAAGTATCTTGGTAGTTTTCAGTTACTTACAGTTGGTGCTCATTTGTGCGTAGTCGTTCCTTATGAACTGATGTACCATTGAGTCGTTAACTCGTGCGACAGTTTCAATTGTCGGGATTGTCCAAGCCCAATCTTTCATCATCTGGTCGACATTGCATTGTCGGACTGTGATAGTGACGACTGGCGCTGGAACATGTTCGCGTAGTGATGTGGGCTCAGCAAGGGGGCTTGGATTCGCCATGGTATCTTAATACTGCCTCGTGCTGCAGTGTGCTGGTGATGGGTTGAGTCTAGGTTTTAAAGTAGGAAAGCAGAAGGAAACCGAAAACTGAAGGCTGCCTATTTAGCAGACTCATCGTTCTCTATTACCTGCACCTACCCATTATTGTCGTTATCAAGGTCAATAGGTGAGAGAATTCGCCATGTTTCCCGCGGGATAGGAGTGGCATAATAGGAAGAGGTCAGCGGAATTCCTTCACCGTAGTAAATGTGCTTAACATAAAGTTCTCGCTACTCACTTATGGGTTATTGCATTTCTCTGGATGAGTGAGGTGTACCTTTTGTAGTTTCACTCACATGCAAGACTTTCCTAAACAGTAAAGGCAGCCAGTGACTTAGGGTGTTAGCGAGCAATATATCAACGCCACATGCTCCGAGCTTCCCCGCCCCTCTCACCTGTAGCTTCTCTACCCAATCTTCGGATGTAATTGCGTCCAACAGACTCTGCGTGTGGCGACGGATTCACTCCCAAAATGGCCGCTACTATGCCTAATCAAGTCGATGTCGCAATACGCCATATATCCCAGTGCAACTTCCTCGACCTTCCCGGAGGTAAGTCGACATCTGCTCCCACCGCCATTCCGCATCGCGTAAAGCTAACCGAATTCCCCAACAGAGCTCCGAAATCGCTTCTACAGCTTCATCGAGGAGGATGACTCAACATCCATATATCTCACCGAACGTGGAGGGCGGCGCCTCTTGCCCTGGTTCTGGATTCTTCAACGGCGCCAGTTCTTAGGCCTCACGCAGACATGCCGTCACCTCCGCCGCGAGTTCCTTCCCTTGTATATGGCGCGGACACAGATCTGGAGCAACATCACCGAGCTGCAGGCGTACATGAGGACATTCTTTGGCGGCTCCGCGGAAGTAGTGGGAAACTTCGGCATCGACGTGCGTGGTAAAACGAATAACCCGGCCGTAGACATCACCAGCTTGATCCAACGCTGCCATACGGCGCCCAATCTCCGCGTGACGCTTCGGAGTAGCAATTTCAACGAGAAGGCGTTTAGCACACTCGTCGACGTCAGGGGAAAGACGAAATGGGGGGATTACTTCAGTACTGTGGTGGAGAAAGTAGCCGTCTGGCCAGAGAGACCGGCGGAGGGGTTTCCGGCTCATGTCGTGGTCTCCGTTAAGCCAGAGCACGGCGAGAGCTGGATGCTGCAAGGTGCATATGATATTGGCGCCCCGGCCAGTGTTCGCTGAGCTAAGCGTGCGGGACTTGAGGAGGATGGGTATTACCTCGACGCGAGGATTTGGCGCGAGTCAAAGATTGGGGAGACCTGAGTCTTAGGATGATGTTATTTCGATGGCTCCAATTGGAGGAGTAGCGATTTCGAGAACTAGAACGCTGATAGGCTTCGGTACATGGAGCGCGCAAATCGTTCGGAGGCTTGCTTGCGTGACCTTTATAGAGATTCACAAGTCATATCCTTTTTGAACACATGACAGTATTCTGGTGTTGGGACGTTAATAATCGATCCAGAGAGAGAAGGCCGTTGCCAAGACTTTAGCGTCCACCACCCCCACTGCGAGGCTCCAGCTCGAAGACCGTGCGAACCTGACTCACCTTCCTCGTCCCTCCTCCAACCTACACTCCTACACCCTTGCAGAGATCCGCTCTCCAACCTATACTCCTACACCCTTGCAGAGATCCGCCACTTCACGGCAGCGACTCCAAAACTCGGCAAGATGGCTACTGGGCAGGGAGACGTTGAGAAATTTGAGATAGTTGACAAGGAGCGGAAAAGACTCCTGGCGAAGGGAATGCACCACATTCAGGTTACGGACGAGATCGAGGCCAAGTTCTCCTCAGAGACTGAGTACAAGAAGTACCTCAAGTGGGTCATCGATAGGGCGATCCGAAAGCCTCTGCCCCGGCCTCTCGCCGTACGAATCCCCCCGGCAAAGGAGATTATCGCCATATTCCGCAGGGCCGACGTGCGTAACGGCAACGATATTTGCCGAATCATCGGTACTCTCAACCTTCCCGGTATGCCCTACATTGGGCTAGGCACAATGAACAACGTCGGTTATCGCCTTTACACCGACCCGGAGCTTCTCGCGCCTACTCGCGATCGACTACACGACGAGCCTCGACGACTCATGGAGGAATCGGTGATGGGTGTCAATCTGAACGTGATCCCCCCGATTGGAAAACGTGCAACTCAAGAGCCTGTCCTGAGTGACGATTCGGAAGCACTCAAGGATAAGAACGGGTTCGTGTTTTGTCAGCTGGGGAGCTTGCAGTACTACGATGGAGACACCAGAAGCGCAAGTGAGCATCTACTTCGAAAAGGTCGTTGGGTCCACACGGGATACGCGGTGGTAGCCAAAATCGACGGTTCGACTGGGAAGCTTGGAGAGATCTACATCATGTTCAATTTTCGACCTGTGGACGATGACGGTGAGAGAGCAGAATATTGGCCCGGCGGTATTGAATATGGAGAGCTCCCGGAAGTCGATTTCCGTTTCACCATGGCCAAAATCGCCGACGATATCCAAGAGTTGCAGCACGGCAAAGACTTCACCCTTCACCTAGGCACGGTCCGGTACGGCAACTTCGAGTTAGTGCCTGCTGTCAAAACCCGTAACCTTCGTCACATTGTTCGGCAATACGTTAGCTCAAGGCAACATGGCCAGCAAGGGAGCTCAAGAGGTTGAAAAAGAGTTCTTAACATTACCCCTAGGATAGCTAGAAACTCCAGGGCGGTCGACATGAGCTTGTCATACAGTTTACTTCTTCGGATGTAGCCTTAACTTATACCCTCATTATATGCGAACTGATATATCTGCGTGTCCTAATTAGCATGACTTTTCCGCAGTGAGGGTAGTAGTAAAATGCTACGCTATGTTCATGAATCCTTGAAACTGCTTTCATTTTCATACCCCCTCCCCCTCCCAATGCACCTAATCCTCTTTATGGTAAGTCTACTATCGTGCGGTCATGCCGGTAGTATGAACACAGCTGATCAATCGGCAGTGACTCGGCGTCAACGCGTTACGCCGAACGACCCCGTCGGACGACCCGATGCGGCTTAACTTTCCGAGCGCACTCCCGTGTCCATTGGAATGGACGTTTGGGCCATGCTAAAGGTGTTGAAGGCAGTTAGGTCCCGCAATACCTTCCCCAAAGGACTGACCGACCTGACATCAGTGAATAGAAGAGTAATAACTCAACATATGTCGCGCCTTTCACCTGCACCTGCACCTACCCGTTTCTTATTCTCACCTCTCCCACCCCGGGTCCACTCCGCCCGCAACACCGACTCCAACCGCGTCAGCCTTGTTTTACATCTCCACTGTTCTTTCCGGGGAGCATTCCAGCTCGAAAACACTTCACCGCGAAGAAAACAGCCGTGGACTCCGCCGAGACGGCACCGCACAAGAGCTTTCGCTTTCTTGACCTTCTGGGAGGTGCGTAATGATGGTTACGGGGGCTTGCGACGGGACTTTGCTGACCACGTTCTGTATAGAAATTCGAAACCGGATCTACGAGCTTGCGACAGACAAACATGTAGCCCTTCTCCCACCAGGGTCCACTGCATTTGACTCGCTACCCGCCCGCAGCCGTACAAAGAGGCAATTCTTCAACTTGACGCACGTCTCACGACAAGATCGCGCAGAGGCCCGGCCAATCTACATGAGGCAAACTAATGTTTGGGTATACCACGTGGATCTCTACAAGTACCTTGTCACATTCGTCTTTCCGGGCATGGAGCGACAGGACGCCGTCGGCGACGTCGGAATTGTTCCAGGCTGCTATAGTGTGGAGGGGAGTCTCCGGGGGCCGCAACCCTTCGATCTTCTCCCCTCCTTCCGCCATTGCGATATTGCCCCAGGGCTTAAGGTCTCTTATCCCTCTACGTACCCTATTGCCGAGGATTACTTGAGCACAATCGCCGAAGTGAGGAAGAATGAGCTTTGGAGGGAATATGTCCACTCGGCAGTGGCCCGTCTACGAGTGATTAGAGATATGGGAGTGGGTGTGCTTGTCGTGATCAAGCCTGGGTTTGCAGAGGAATGGATGAGCCGCCACTCTGATACCCGGGCTGGCTTCTTTAAGGAGCGGGAAGCCTGGATGAAGCGTGTCGGGCTCTCCCTTCCTCGGATGTGGTGGTGTAAGGTCAGGATCGACGGGGAGAGTGGCTATTAAGGATTGAATCATTCCGACGCCACCAGGAGGAATGACTCTTTGCAAGGTACTGAAGGCAAATAATCCGGTCGACGGCTTGTGCCTTGAAGGCCTTCAGAGGACTAATCCGTATAGGTTTTTAGGGGCATCGTTGTGGCCCTGCTGAGGAACGAAAAGAGATGACCGCCATTATGGAAAAGGCCTCTTCCGACTCGCCTATGCCGGAGATGAGTGATGTCGTTGGGGAGCAGATACCTCAAAGGGTTGTAATGTCGAAGCAGCTGTGCCTTCTTTCTCAACCAAGCGTAAGGAGGAGTCTTGACATGCGGTTCCCAACCTGAAACTCATATCCGTTTTTACCCGTTCAACCTCTTTCAGCTCGCACAACTCTCCTTGCCGAGAGCTCGGCGGGTAACCTTGGGAAGTTAGGAGTATCCGCCATTGTGTATCCGCAGGCCTGTATCAATATCGTGCAGTGCATATGAGCACTATGAAAGTTCTTGAGCATTCCCAATGGCCCCGCGACGGGGATTAAGTGCATGGAGTGAGGATGAGTAGACAGGTGGTTAGCCAGCCGTCCGAAACATAACCGAGGAGCTGCAGGCTGGCAAATACGAGCCGCAACTGCTCGACAGAGACATTCCCACCAGGCTGCTATTTATCGAATTGCGTTTCCCGGTGCGCTCGAGATGATGAGAGTCTGCTGGTTTATCAACCGGTTAGCGAGATTCAAGGTTGAGGGAACAAGTAGAGGCACGTGATTTCGCTTGCCGTTCCCACCCGTGCGTCTTCCGCACAGACAGTCAAATCTTCTCCGTTCATGCGTCGAAGCACGCCTGACTCAACACCACCATCTCGCCATCCTAAGATGATTCGGTCCGGTATCGCTTCGCCTTGTGTGGAGGGGCACAGAATCCGGCTGTCATCCGCTTCGCCTGTGTCGATGCGGAGCTCAAAGTCCAGACAAGATTTGACTGTTGCGATCCGCACACCACGACCGCACCGTCGACCCCCAAGGACATGTCGATCCAGTGCCGCGGATGGAGCCGGCGTCAAACGTGGCTGGACCGGCAGTTGCTACATTTCCCGGAGTTTAGGCGATTGTCGCATTTTCCCATGGCCAGTCATCGTCGCTTCAGCATGGGATTTTGAATCGTTTCGAACAATTTTGGATCCAGCGCGCTCCGCGGATTGATACCTTTGTAGCAACTCTACCAAGGTATCGTGACGGTGACGGACCTGCATACCGGTTCGCATTCAACCGGAATTTGTCGCAGGGCGTTCAACTGCAGATCTTTGTTCTCGCCACCGCAAGGGTTGTTCGACAGTTTGAAAAAGGAGAAACCGGCAATTCTACACTGGCCATATTTTCCTGGCTCCTTACATGAGTCGCACTGCATCTTAGGGCTTACCTACAGCGCGCAACCTCAATCCGCTTTCAACCGGCATCCATGAATTTAGGCCCGGCGTTCAGGGTACAACGGCACGTGTTGGATATAGAGAGCAGGTCCCAGAAGTTCCCCAACACGCTTTGCCTTGGTGGTCTAAGGCTGAGGAACGCGAATGTTTCAACGCCGGCCCCTGCAGTAGTAGGTTAAGAGCCGGGAGCCGATATGACGATCGTCTGAACTAGTTTTCCAACAACTGGCGGCCTTATCTAGGTAGAACGCGGGTTTGCAAAACCGTCATTCGATACTGGTAAGGTCGGATTCGGGGTATCAGTAGTAGCTGTGCCGCACGTCCCGCAATAACGGTTCAGTGCAGCGCATATGGAAGTCCCGCCGGAATGATGACAGGACATCGGTAAGCTGCGGGGCAATTGGGCAATATCTCCGAGGGATCAGCTTTTATCCAAACTGCTTCGAGGTCGCCTAAATGCCTCGAAAGACTTTTTGGTCTCCCCCGTCAAGATCTGCGTCCCAATCACAAAGCATCAGCGTTCGAGCCTGGATGCAGGAATCTACGAAGGGCGATCAGTTAAAATCTCCTAAGGTTTGGAGAGCGGCCAAACCCTCGCAACATCGGTCCGAAACATCTCCAATGATCGGGGTCTTAGAAGTAGCTAACAGCCGTCTTCGCCACAGTCGCTCACAGTTAGCTCGCAGTTAGTGCGAAACGCTCTACGGAGGACAGTACCTTTTGGTCGTCCAATTTGCTGATGGAGCATCCTAGACAGAAATCCACTTTTACCGTGTGTCTCATTGGCTCACATACTTGAATCCAGGTACCAGACGAGGGTTCCTAGAAAGTGGATACCCAATCCTTGCGTCTAGCCTCCCGTCTCACGCGAGGGCTTCCCTCGCGTGCGGCGTGCCTGGAGGAACAAAAGGCTTCGCGTTCTAGATAAGCTTATGTCTGCGACCACTATCGCGTAGTCCTTAGGATGCGCCTCCGGACCTTCTGGCGGCTTTGACTGCGCAACCCCACGCTCTTTGGCTACGGCATCCGTCCTCACGATTCTTCCGATCTATCACGCCCCCGCACTTCTTCTCGATTCTATTCCTGACGCTCATTAAGAGATGGTGATATCTGGACGCGAGATCTGAACCCTGCGGTCGCATCTACAGTTTGCCCAAACAGCACTTGGCGTGCTCCAACCTTTGTGACTGCTACCAGACCATTGACATCGACACTTCCGGGACGCTCTTAGGCCAAGGTCCGATCGGCCTCGACGTTTGCGGTTGCGCAGCTCGGCAATATGAGGTGTTTCAAAGGGTTATTGCTGCTCCCATTCACGCTGCTATCGCATGTCCACGCGCAGGACAGCACGGCAATCTTAGAGGCTGCCATAAAAGAACTGCCGAACTGCGCGGTAAGTTTGTGTCACAAATGCTGGTGTGCATCTTCTAACCTTTTGCAGCTGCAATGCATGATATCCGCCGTATCGAAATCTTCCTGCAAACTGTCGGACTTTTACTGCATATCGCGGGATGTGGAGCTCAATGAGAAAATCAACGTTTGCGTGCAGGCCAATTGCACCATCAGAGAAGCGCTCAGTATGTCCTCACTCCAGGCTGCGGTATCGAACCGTGAACTGATGCTATTGCAGCTGCCCAGAACTTCTCGCAAACCGCGTACGGACAGCCAATTCGCGATCACACACACGTGGTTGTCTATACTGGAATGATAGGAGGCGGCTTCGCTATCCTTGCAGTCATACTACGGGTATTCGCTCGCCTACCATGTTGCGGTGGAACTTGGGGCTTAGATGATTGGGCAATTATTGTAACAATGGTACGCTGGCAGTCCACTCGATCTTGGAAGCTTACTGACTAGCATAGGTACCTGTACTTCCGTTCACTGCTTTATCCGTTCCTAGTCAGTACATCCCATAATCGATGTCATTGAGTATGGGTTAACGAGACATAGTCGCGAAGTATGGCCTGGGTAAAGACATATGGACCGTGCCCTTCGACAAGATCACCAAGATTCTTCATGCAAGTGTTGCCAGCCTATTTACATCGGTGGATGCGGCTAACGACATGGTGCAGATATACTACTTCGATGAGCTCTTCTATCTCACCTCAATCGGCCTCACCAAGATCTCAATCTTACTATTCTACCTGCGCATCTTCCCAAACCGGAACTTCCGAAGATTAGTGTACGCTACTATTGCTTTGTGCGTCGCCTATATCCTCGGCTTCGTTTTCGGTGTTGCCTTCCAATGCTGGCCTATCCACTACTCGTGGGATCGGTGGGACGGCCAACATGAAGGAAGGTGCATCAATCTGAACGTGGAAGGCTGGATGAGCGCTGCCTTGAACATCATCTTCGATCTAGTCGTCATTTCCCTGCCCCTGCATGAGTTGAGCAAGCTCGCGATGAGCCGACGCAAGAAAGCAGGAATCATGTTGATGTTCTTAGGTGGTGGATTGTAAGTCCTCCTCTCTTGTCAAGACTCCCGCTAATGAAGATATAGCGTTACTGTCGTTAGTATGCTCCGTCTAAAGTGGATGGTGCAGTTCGCCAACTCTCAAAATGTCACCTGGGACTACACGCCGATTGGTTATTGGTCCACGCTGGAGGTTCACGTTGGCATCGTCATCGCCTGTCTCCCCGCTCTGCGCTCCCTTCAGCATCGTCTGTTGCCCAGCACGAGATCACCGAACAGCTACTATCCCCAGCCTTCCAGCGGGTATGGGTACGGCTCTAAAGGCGGTAGCGTGTTCCCATCCATATCGAAACACAAGAAGGGCCACGTTGACCTCATGACCGCTGCCTCGCAAGCCAGCATAATGCGCAGCCGGGACCGAAACAAGGACGACAAGGAGTTCATCCAGCTCGACGAGTACGAGATTCGCCTTGGCGATGACGTGTCAGACATGAATAAGGGCGGTTACTTCCGGGGCGTAAACGATACACAAGTTGAGCGCGGATCTATCCACACCGATGACGCTGTTCTGCTCCCTATCCAAGGCAACTCACCACCTGATCCCACCGTGTTGTCCGCTCCCACGTACCAGAAGGGCTGCCCACCAAATCACAGATCGCCCATGGCAACCCTCCCGCATGCGATCACCGTCAGGAAGGACTACAGTGTCACAGTCGAGATGAGTCCTGAGCAGTTGAGCCCGAGTCCGCCGCGGGTGAGCGAGGATGAACAATCGCTCCGGCGTGGCAGGAGCAGGAGTAGCCAGAGTCCAACCAGGGGGGTTGCGCATAAAAGCGGTCGCAGTCGGAGTTTGTTGAGAGATGGGAGGTAGTACACAAAAATATAGATGTATTAATCGCAAGGAACTACACGATCGTCCGTTGGCCAGATCTTGACATGACCACTCATGTCTGTGACATGAAGTCTCGAGGTCGTGCAGCACGTGAAGCCCCTCCGACGCTGCCAACTCTCACCATCTACTCATAGCTAACCTGTGCAAATATATCCGCAAAATCCAGTTCAACGTCCACATCCAAACCTATGCATCTAGAGCTCCACTACTGCGGACGTTTCCTTACCCCCCAATCCATCTAGTCCTTACATCCCGGCTTAACGAGGAACCTACGTCTCTAGGCTACCTAATGTCCCGCGCTCATTACTGGGAAATGTGCCCTGCACACTCCGAAATCCGGGCCAGATGTGGAGAAGGCTTGTGTGTGTCGACCACTGACTACCTAGAACCGCGACTTGTTTACAAAGGACGTGATCATGTAAGCTAGCCCTGGAAAGGTTAGTCTAACATTTCCCCGACTGTAAATTAACATCTTCAAAGGGCTTCAGGCTTGTGCTTGCACCGTTGGTTGTAAGCGAATGTAAGCTTTAATTCCTATTTCTTTGAAATTTAGGGCTTATGAGCCCATCCTCCAATCATGGTCTAGAACAAGCTGACTGGTTTCGGAGCTCTGTTGGACTGTTAGAAAGCTCACTGTCTTTATTGCTGGCGCTGGATATGGGTAAGGATGACTTACCTCCGGGAAGGTCGAGGAAGCCTCGTTTAGCGCGCTTTGGTATCGTGGCGTCTTCTACTCTGTAGCACTTTTCTCACTGGCTAGCTGCGTTTCGGCTAAAAGTTGTGTGTGCCCTGAGTTGACGTGGTGGGGTGTCAGTCAGTGGAGACGCGGGCGAAAGGTGAGGTGAAATAAAGGTAAAATGGAGAAGCGGGCGCTGAAGTAGGAAGGCGCAAGGCATGCTGCGTCATGGATCAATTTCACCAAATAAGTTGAAGAGTGGCATGGCCCCGCTGTTTCTTGGGTTCTGTGGTTTCCTTTCCCCTCAATCATCCCATCGGCCCATCCCAAACGCTGACACAGAGACGCAAGGAACTGAATTGCAGTCTTAGTTTGGCTGTCCAATCTTCTAACTTAGCTTGATAGGAGGATCCGTGATGGGCACGGCCACGCTTGCTCATCCAGCTTTGCTCATGTTCCAGCTTGATGAGAAATTCCACACCGGCGTGAGAAATTGCCCTGATTCTTTTTGAACCAGGATATTGCATATTGCATTTTCCAGATAGCTCCACAATCTTGCGTTCCCTCTGTCGAAAAGGCTCTCGAATTCGCGGGTGATGGAGAGGTTGGGGCTGTTAAACACGACGCGAAGATCGGTAGCTACGTGGTATAGTTTGAGTAGAGGCAGGATATCCGCTGTATCGTGCTGGAATTATTCGCTGGGTGGGGCATAGATGACGATATTGCCAATAGCGTCTTTGCTCTCGATTCCCCCGCTCAGAACGAAAACAGAGACGTAGCTGTCGACGTCCGCGAGCGTGACTAATGCGTGTGTCCTTCTCAGGTAGAGTGGGCGATATTCGGTGCGGATAAGTCTGCATACTTTGGTGAAGTTGAGAAATATGGGCGTACATCCCTTCCCCGGGCGCTTCGCAATCCGTACCCGATTATTCTCGACGGCAAACTCGTAGATGCGGTTCCGGACCTCTATACAGGCTGGGTTTAGCGATGCCGTTCTCTCGCGGCCGATCTGAGACTTGATTACTCACCTGCTGGAAGCTCGAGGAACGGGAAGGCTTTGCTATTCTTCGCCTGGGTTGACATCATTGCACTCTCCGAACATGGCGGCATAGCGGCGAGCTCGCGCATAGCGAAGTAGAGTACCTGCGATATGACCGTAAGCTAAGCGCGCGGTGAGGAGTGCACTATACTGACTGGGAGCGCAAGAGATGCGGAGGGTTGTGGAGTTCCGCGCGGGTGGGTGATGTCGCGCGGAGAAAGTAGAGGAGGGAGGAGGGGGCTGTGAAGTCGGGAAGGCGCACAGGAAAGCTTAGTCATCCCAGATATAAACACCACGCACGTGGTTTCCGCCACACCATTCCAAGGTTCGAAACAATTCACTTTCAAATTGGAAGTTCAGCTTCGAAGCGTACTGCTGGCTGAAGCACATCGCACCTTCGCATACTCCACAGCATAGCCTCCCGGGAATCTCTATGGCGTGACCGGCCGCCTCATCGCGCCTCCGCTATGTCCACGAACACCCTTTCCGACGACAGCACGTTGTCCCAAGACAGCAACCACCGCCCGGCTTTACACCGCACGTTGATGTCACAATGGCGCGGATGCAAATCTAGCCCCGTATCCCTCACAAACTTCCCCACGACCACCTTCTCGGCCTCCAAATTCCCCGTGCCATTCAGCGACGGCGCAAGAATCAACGTGAACACTACATTCTTGCTATAGACAGGCTTATCAAACCCACGCAAGACGACTCGACGCCATTCGACCGTGATCCCAACAGCGATGATGTCCGTGTTGAGCAAGTAGCGATAGTCCGGACGAGCATGCAGCAACTGCACCATGATATCGATTTCGGGCGGTGGCCGGGGACGACAAACGTGGTACTTGCCTGGGAGACTGAGGTTGAACGCCTGATTACTCCAGTCGATTGAGAGCAAGGGAATGATATCCACACCTGGTGCAGGCGGCAAGGGCGGCTCGTACAACGCCACTAGAGCAGCATACGCGCCGCGCGCCGCTACACGATCCGCTAGCGGAAACATGGCTAGCCATTGTGCCGCCAAACGCAGTGGAATCGACGGCTTGCGCACTTTGGCGTACAGTGGTGCGAACTCAGCGCGGGTCGTGCGACTGACTTGAGTGAGACCGAGATATGGACGTCTGGGGTGGTTCTCGGCGAAAGAAGCGCGGCGGTCGACCGAGCGGATTAGGGAGAGGATGAGGTTGGTGGGCGGCGAGTCGGCGAGGATGTGTCTGTAGACGCGGTTGCGGAGTTCTGCGGGAAGAGGTCAGTAGAGGGTAGAGGGCAGGGAAGGGGGAGGACCTACCGCCCGGAAGGCGCATGAACGGGAAGGTCTTGTCATCGGTGGGCGAGGCGGAATTCTTGCCCATGCGAGGGTCGGCCATCGAAACGGATGCTAGTGTGGTAGAGGGATGGTGGAGTGTTTACGCGAGGAAGCTGATGTTAAGAACCCTCCTGCTGGATAATCGCACACCTAGGTAGGTAAAGAACGCTTTGTGGTTAAACCACGCGGGGTTACGTCATACGCGTGCTCTATAGTGCGCAGTGAAAAGAATTGAAGGAGCGGACGGAAAAACTAATTCGACTTGCTCGTGGCTGGAAGCTTGCGCACGGGATACTCTTGAAAATTTGACGCTAGTATTGACTGTCGCTAAGAAAGTGCTGGGTATTGTGATAGAAAGAACCGACTGGCCTCGGGATATCAAATGGAGCTCCGAAAAAGTCCACCTTGAATATAAATTACACGCGCGGCCATAAGACCCCATGAATACTGGCGTTACGATCCATTACTATTAGGAAATGCGTTCTCTAAGATTGCCTCGGTGGCTGTGGGTCCGGTGACCCTGGTGGATTATACGGTTGCTGCGGATATGGCTGAGGTGTTGCTGAGACTTCTGAAACATTCGTGAGCGGTGACGGCGCTGGTTGCGGAGGAGCGGGCGCTTCCACAACGCCTGCTGGTGGTGGAGCCATAGGCTGTGGTGTAGCAGAAACTTCTGAGACGTTGGTAGGTGGCGAAGGAATGGGCTGCGGTGGTGTAGGTATGGGCTGCGCCGGCGGCTGGATTGGTGAGACCGAAGCCTCGGTTACGGACGGTGCCTCTTTCGATTGATCGCCGTAGTATACTGGCATACCATTCGGGGGCGGCATATAAGCTTGACCCGGTGGCGGCATATACACCTGGCCAGGGGGCGGCATCGGATAGCCTTGACCATTTGGCACTGGCGACCAGCCTTGAGGCGGCGGGAAGTAGTAGGCTTGCCCTTGAGGTACTCCGCTTGGGTATGCTGCGCCGGGTGGAGGAGGACCGCCAGGATACATGTTTTGTTGCTGCATCTGCGGTACGACTTGCTGTCCTGCTGGCACGATGCCGACCGTGTTGCGTGAGTACTGGCCCAGAAGAGGGACCGGGTATGCGTGGCGGAAGCCCCATTTCCACCACATCTTAAAGGCCTCCCAAGAGCCCATCTGGTTCCATTTCTCGCGGAGCAGCTTCTGGTCCTCCGGGCTGCGGGCACTTTGCGAGCGCGTGAAGCACGCCACCCATAGCGAAATCATGATCCAGCATATGGTTCCGAAGCGCAACGCACCCTTCCCAAGCATCAACCGCCGGAACCACAACCAGCTCTCGAGGAACCCGAGGACGAATAGACTAGGAATTATGGATGCGATGACGATGACCCACGTCTTCACGCTCGTGCAGGCGCCATACCACGAACACATCGTGAGATCGGTGTCGTCATCATCGCTACTGCTGCTGCCGCCGCCGCTGCGTAAACCGGTGGAGGTGGCATATGAGTAAGGTGTTGTGCAGCTGGCGAGGTAGTACTCATAGTAGTACTCCGTTGTCGACGTGAAGGGCGCCGCGCCGTCACTCAAATACCATGTTTCCCAGTAACCGAAGTTCGTGTTGGTGTCAGTTTCCTTTGAAATTGGCGTAAGCTGGTCGGCCACGATGCTGGGTACAGACACTGACACGTCTGTCGTAATCACGTATTGGGTCGGACACGATGCGGGGGCTGTTTCGGTGACTGTCATCCTGAACTGGGTGTAGCTGCTATCAATGGTGTAGTCGTACGAGGTCGGCTCAAGGTCTGAATCCGCGACGGCGCCGGAGCTGTAGTAGGCCTCGATAAGCAGGAGAGTTTCGTCTGAATAGTAGGGGTCCGTGGATGTCGATACCGGCGCTCCTGTGGGTGTCACACCGGACTTGATCGTGCGCGTCCGCGTGTAGGTATCGGTATCCACGTCGCCATCGACGTATGTGTAGTATGAGGTCGTCAGCGAGTACTGATACCGGGTCGTAGCAGTCCAGAATGCCGCGCGAACAGTGGCGGCATTGAGGAAGAGGGCGAGCCATGAAGCTTTCCGCGCGATTTGGGTGGCCATTGTCGCCGCTGCTTGTTGGTACGGCTCAGTCGCGAACTGCGAATTGCGAACTGAATATGCGCGTGAGGCTGCGAGGCTGCAGACCCCGACTCTCGCGGCAACGAAGTCATTTTAAACTCTCCCTCCACCAAGGCAGCCCTCAAGCCGTATTCTCAGCGCCACGAACGCCCTCACCGGTCCGCAAAATCTCTCGTCGACCCCTTTACCGTTGTTTCCTGGGCCCGCGCACTGATAGTGACTCTCATGATTGGACGCATGGTAATCCATCTAGCCTCATGTGTGGATGGCCCGTGCCTATTTTAAGTGTGGAAGGCTGGGCGCTCGTATCTGAAGGGCTCGATTTGCAGGGATGCCGATCCCTTTGCAAGGCTGCAGCACGACTGTTTCCTTTGCACCGCCTCTTTTCTATCGAATTGATGACTCAGGCGTCGAAGACTCATTGATGGAAGGTAGACCCGAGTAGAATATGCATCGAATTCCTTCGTTGCGCGATATGGGTGGTATATTTTGAGCGTTCGTTGAGATGGACTGATGGTGCGGCACGGAGTGGGGACTCTTTGCAGTGTGATAGCACGAATACGAGGCGGATCCGGAAAAAGAATGGGATGCGAAATACGGTCGGCGTGTCCAACACCCTCGCCGATCCCCAAATCTTCAGTGCCGCCAGTTGGACAACTTTTCCCATCTCTTATCGACTGCGATCAATTGAGGTCGGTTGAAGTATTGCGTTGAGCTAAAGAGGCGAGGTGCGTCGGAGAGCGTGGGGTTCCAAGGTTTTCTTCCGAGCACGTGATCCGCCTTCTCCGTCGCCCACTCCGCTGATTCACACCTATGCTTTAGTTACAGTGACCAAAATCAAGAGACTGCCACCGTCTTGTGGGAAGCTTGCTCAACTTCGAGGATGCCTGCACCGCATACAACTCCTATTCCCCCAGGACCTCGGAAGGGACGATTTGGAATAAAAAATTTACCGATGTGTCAGCAGACGCATATCTGTAGCCTTGCACACTCCAGCTCATGGAGCAGAGCCAATGCTATGGTAGAGCTCGTAAGCATCGACGTTTAAGCTCTGCTTACGGAAGCGCCTCGGGTAATATTCCTAGGTCACCTGCCTTCTTTCGAGATTTCCTGTCCTTTCTCGTCTCGCTACTTTACTCCATTCTTTCGAGGGTCTCTCAATACAGTCGGACTACGAAGGGAATGAGATTTAGACACTAGCTAGGTATAATACATAAAGAGCCCGGGGATCCTCCACACACCATCATGATCACGTCACGTGTCTCTCGTCAATCGCTACGCAAGCAAGGCCCAAAGGCAGGTAGGTCGCTAAGAAAGCCAGGACGATTGACATACCTAGCTTATCAATCATAAATGCCCACGCTTGCCTTGATGTCCTGCAGGCTCTCCTCCATTGGCTTTGAAATCTCTGACTCATCACATTCGAGTTCCGTCTCTACCAGCGCCAAGAACTTAGGAGATATCTTCGGATACTTCTCGAAAGCTGGTCCATTGAACGGTGGCATAGGTTTTCCCACAACACCGTACCCTTCCTCCCGAAAATACTGCACACCCATCCCTAAGACGTAGGGGCATGGTGTATCGTACTGCCCATGCCCTTTATGGGGATTCGTGCATCTGATTCCCGGTGTGTACTTGTTCTGGGCCTCCTCCGGCCAGTCCTCGAAACCTTCCGGCGTTTCCGGATTCTCAACGCTGTTCATGTAGATCCGAAAGGAATTCTCTGCAAGAGTGCCGCCTGGTTTAACAACCTCGATGCCCTCAAGGTGGAGCGGCCAAGGGAGATCTTTCGCTGGTACGGGGAGATAGCCCCCACCAGACATAACGTGCTTCTTAAAATCCTCGTCGTGCTTGAGATCGTCGCGGCGTACCACGCATATAGGGCACGCGATTTTCTTGCTCATCTCCCCATCAAGCCCGGGAATCGGGAAGACCATGGCCTGCATTTGCAGTTGCAGCTTGCTCTCGAACGTCTCCTTCCGAAAGAATTCGTATTTGAAGTACGGAGCGATGGAGAAACCACATGGAGTAGAGTTTCGACGGAGCTCGCCATCGAGAAAATAAATTTGGTTCAGGCAAGTACGGACCTGCGGCAAGTTGGCGTAGAATGCTGAGTTCGAAGTCTCCCCGTTCCAGTTGGTGAGTTGCTGGTAGAAATTCTCCTTCCAGTCTTCGCAGAGGCCTTTCTGGGCAGCTTCTCCGGCAGCTTTCCTGTACTTGGTATAGGTCCAATGATCACGATTTTTGTCGTCAACGTATTCAACCTCCTCGGAAGTGTCGGATGACTCGCTATACGAGTATTCGGATTCGAATTCGAACGGAGTCGCTGCCGGAGTTTGACATTCGTTGCTGGATTTCTCCTTAGGGACCGCGATCATGGGGTTAGGGCCAGTGAACTGTTCGAATCCGAAAGCGGGAAGATAGAGCCAGTATTCCCCGGCATTCTTTTTGTCTACGGAACACCTAGGGCAGAGCCATCGTCCCAGACCGTTTGTGATAAGACTCGATGGCGCTGCCTCTATGATGAGTTCGACGATATCCTTGCGTATCGTGCTCGGAACAGCGAGTGGATTATTTGAGCCGCAGTAAGCGAGCGAACCACGATTCTCTGCGCTCATTGTGGAGACTTTGAAAGTCAAGGCAAAGTTTCGTGAAAGGGCTCGAAGGCGCGAGATGGAATTGTGGAATTCTGAGAGGTAGGCCTGTTGAAATGTCGTCTGTCAAAGATGCCACTTTCGTGATGCTGAAGGAAAAATAAGAGGATGCTAGGAGGCCGGCGAAGAACGAATTATATACGTACCTGAACAGTCATGCCAGCATAAGTCATGATGGGGCCATTGACGCATCGTAGAGCGTGACTAGTCTGCTACCCACTCACGGTGACGGAGTCAGATATGCGCTGAGCCATACTGACTCCTCCATTATGACAAGCCATGACGGATCCATATACAACTTCTCCCTATCGAGTTGCAGCTTCCCCTGCTATTAGTTCTTTTCTAGTAGCGTTTCGAACAGTCGGGGTAGGATGGAATTAGGCGTGGTGGCATTGATTGAGAGTTGGAGGCGAGAACCTGCTTCTGAAGGATATCTTAGCTGATCAATCTTCAGAGAATCACCGGGCACCGGGATAGGGAATGGCATAATGAAAATGACCACCCATACTGATACATTGAGAAACCCACTTATCTATAGTACAAAGAAGGAAGAAGCTAGCCGACCCAGCCGGCTGTCTCCTCCGAATAAAGGAAAAACACGGAACCCGACAGCAGCAGAAGCATCAGCCTGCTCCTCGTAGTACCTACTCTATATAGCCCCCGCCCGCAACCGCAATCCAGCAGCCATACTGAGATGAGTCTGGTATGAACTCCACCCCAGCCCCGTAGGTAAAGTCGCAAGGCACATTTTCGTGCTTCGGCCCTTTCCCGAACCCTTGGTTCTGGCAGACATAACTGCGTCGACCATAGGTCGTCATTGCCATCTGATTGACAAAGCAGTACCGCTCCTTGATCTCCTCACTCATCTTGGAGCCCCATCGCTTTTTGACTGATATGAATCTGTTCGGAGCCCCGCTGTAGATGTAGTTCGCCCAGTTCCGGACATCCGCGATGTCTTTCTTGAGGTCCTCGGGGTCGGCACTGCACATTGGACAGACCCATGCAGTAGCGCCAGGCACGCCAGCATTGAAAGTCACGCCGGTTTGCCCGATTATTGCTCGAAGTTGCTTGAATGCGTCGTCCCCGAGCTGCTGCTCAGCTTCTTCAGTGTCGGCATGCAGAAGTGGATACTTGGTACCCCGGAACGGGCGTCGACTAAATGCACATGCGTGACGCTTGTTCAAGCAATGAAATGTATCCGGGGGATTGGCAAAAAGGGCAACCCAGGTTTGCGGATCGTTCTCGCAGACCCCCTTCAGCTGGATGTACATTTCCTCAAAGTGGGAATAGTGAAAGTTTTTTCTGAGCTGATCGACCACGACCCACGCTCTCTTGCTCATGATCTTCACGTAGCCTCTTTGTTGTGCTTCTGGCCATATTTCGTCCTTCGGGCAAATTGAGCAGTCGGAGCACAACCAAAAGCCGCGGATGTCTAGTGGAAGGCCAGTGATGCGGAGTACCAGAATATCGTAGAAAAACAGATCCTGAGTCTCGAAGCCCTTGGGGAGTGAATATTCCTGGAACTTCGGGATTACGACGCGGCCAACATTGTAACCGGATTTGGTCTGGACAAACTCAAAAGAGAGCCCGTAACGGTAACAGCATGGCTCGTCTCGCTTGTCCGGTCCTAGCCCGTAGAGCATGTTTCCGCATTTTCGGCCGTTGATGCGGGGATTCTGATAGACTCTTCGCTGCTTGGAAAGGACAAGATCCATGAAGTTGGCGCTCCGCACATGGTCTCCCCATTCTTCCTTGACGATGCCATGGAATCTGAAGTCCATTTCCCAGACGCTGCAAGCGGGGCATGACCAGCAAGCGTTCCGCGGATGCGCATTGTCGCGGGACGGCCAATTGGCTTGCATCTTCCTAAGTTCTGCAACTGACTCCGCCGTTTCCTCCCATAGACCCTCCGTCTCCGGCGCACCATGGTAGCGTGTCCTGTTGAAAGAGCAGTGCACATTGCAGCACTGAAAGGCCTCCAAAGGATTGGCGAAACAATTGACAGGGACACTAAATTTCCAGGAGAGATAGAAGTCGCTGTCCCAATTTGTTGGTAGGGGATCGGTAAGGAAGTTATCCGAAGATTGATTTTCTGGCCGCTGGATGCGGACGAATCCATATGGCGGGTCATCCGAGTTATCCTTACAAGCCGGGCACAGCCAGTTGCCATTCTCGTCGATAAGTAAGGATGTGGGGCGCCTCTCAGGTGGTGGAATACCCCCGACGGTACAACGTGTCTCCATGAGGGTACCAGAGCCAGGAGTATCCTGGTACGCTTTATGGCTCTGTGAGGCTGACGCTGTCGAATTCCGAATAGTTGGTGCTCAGAGAAGTAACGGGCAAGATTCGTCGCTCGGGGTTGAAATTGTCGGGTAGAAATCGTACCTTAATGCAAAGTGAAAAAGAAATCGTTCGTCTTCAACACTACAGTATGTATTCATGATAAGAGTCACAACCACGGAACCAACTATGCACTGAGTCATACTGACTCCTCCATTATGACGAGCCATGAAACATCCAACTCCTGACATGGAGCCGGGTATGAGTGTGACAGCTCTAGTACTGAGAAGCCGGCGCGTTGACGTGGCATGATCGAGCGTCTCCCAGAGTCTCGAGACACCTATCCGGCAAGAAGCCTGAGGATGGCTTTGGCGGGATCGCCTTTCCGATTTTTAACGATTCGTCGTCAGTCCTTCGTAGTTCGCGAAAGTATTTGCCTGAATATCAATGTGTGAGCCATCTCTGCTGTTCCGTTTTGTTGGTGGATCCAAGCGCGTTGACGAGCTGCGGGAGTCCAGGTTCTGTGCTATTGGGCGAGCACGTAGTACAACGCCGCGCGGATCGAGTGGTCGTGCTAAGAGATCCCCAGATGCTCAATGCGCAATACTGACTCTTAACGATGGCGCAATTGACGGCGACTGGCTACCCGGTGTACAGGCCGCGGCGGCCATGATGGACGCAGCGATGTCGAACAACAATCGAAGACTTTGGCCACCTGGTGACATGATTGCACACCTCTTCGCTGTTTCTAGGGCTCGACGATCTGGGAACTAATTGGTGCTTCTCAATAGCCTTCGGATGAGGATTTTATGAAGGCGGCGAAAGGCGGTCGCATTCTCATTGAACCTATCGTTGAGGTGAGCCTGGGATTTTACTTGACGGGTGGAATTCTGCAAACGCCTCCTCTATGCCTTCGTCGGGCTGGCCAAGCTTCGTTCCAAGCCTAGAGGCTGCGCAGCCGAAGCTTGACTTTACCGTCGCCGTCTCACACGGTACCGTCTCATCACATATCTTCCAGCACTTTAGTATCCATCCGACGAGGGGCGTTCATTTGCTCTTTCTATTGGTCTGTTCTGTTCTCGCAGAGCGGCAGACCGTTTTTCGACGCCTCTCCACCAAAGTCGGGCAAAGAGCTGCTTATTTGGACCCCGCGGTGCACATACGAAGTAGCGCATCGTTCCCGGGCGGTGTGGGCGAAGAAACTGCGAGGAATGAAGACCGTTCATTTTGGAGTCTGTCAATCAAGGTGATCGTCCCTTTCTGCCGGTAAAGGAAGCCCTTCCGTACGTCCTGACGCGTGGCAACCCTGCCCAGTAACCAGGTCCGAGAAGGGTTCGAATTCACGCTATTCGTTAGCATAATCCATGCCGCTTGTTCGTACCCAGCATCGGATGTAACATGCAAGCACCACGTCTGGATCCTCGCCCCGTCACCTCTTCTACCGAGCTCCCCCAAGACTCCAACGTCCCCATATCCGCCAGCGCGGTAATTCGCACGGCAGATGCAGACCAGCAGTTTGCCTCGGCTGACCTTCCCAAAAGACATAAAATCCGCCGAAAACATGTCTCCGACAGCCAGTCAGCGCGGGTTGTGGGTCCAACGCTGGTTTTGCTCGACGGTGACGCTACCCCGCACGGCAAAATACCCCAGACGATCACCACCTCGCCGGACTCGCCCCAACAATGAGCCAAAGCAGTAAGCCGCGCGCGCGGCATTCGTGCTAATTCCGCACCGAGGGGGCCCTACAAAGACGCGGTTCCGGCCGCCATGGATCCGGCGTGCGCTCGAGTGCACTTTATTTCGACTACCAACGTTTGCGGGTGAGAAAGCGCTGCCTGAGGCACGACGAGCAACATGGCGACCCATGACGTCAAGACGGACCCTTTGGCGGATGACAAGAAGATTGAGGATATTGAAGAGAAGAAGACGAGCTCGGATGCCGAGATCGAAGCGAATCAGCTCGAGATTGATGAGAAGGAGGCGAGGCGGATTTTGTCCAAGGTGGACTACAGGCTCGTGCCCGTGCTGGCGCTGCTGTATCTTGTCGCGTTCATCGATCGGAGCAACAGTGAGTTCCCCAGAGCGGCCTGCGTGCCGCGTTTGAGTTGGACTGCATGCTGACGGCTCTGAAGTCGGGAATGCGAAAGTCGCGGGCTTGACAGCGGACCTGCATATGCACGGCCTGCAGTACAACACCGCCGTCACGCTCTTCTTCGTCCCGTATACGCTGCTCGAAGTCCCCAGCAACATCGTCCTGAAGCTGATGCGGCCGAGTCGCTGGATCGCCATCCTCATGTTCTCGTGGGGCGTCGTCATGACGCTCATGGGCCTGACGTCCAGCTATGGCGGACTTCTTGCCGGGCGCTTCTTCCTGGGCGTCACAGAGGTATGCAAGCGCCAACGCCGCCCAGGCCGTATTTGCTGATGCTTGCAGTCCGGATTCTTCCCCGCTGCGACATTCCTTCTCACGCTCTGGTACCGCCGTTACGAAGTCCAGCGCCGCATGGCCGTCTTCTACGTCGCCGCCTCCCTGTCCGGCGCCTTTTCGGGCCTGCTCGCCTATGCCATCCAAAAGCTAGAGGGCCGCTCAGGCCTCGGAGGCTGGCAGTGGATTTTTATAATCGAGGGTCTTGTTCCCGTCGGCCTCGCCACCATCATCTGGAAGGTCCTGCCGGATTCGCCGGAGACGGCGCGCTTCTTGACGCAGCCGGAGCGTGACTTCCTCGTGCGAAGACTGGCCGACGAGACGGGGAGTGGCCGTGGGCATGTGACGAACCAGGATAAGATGGGGAAGAAGTACATCATCGCGGGACTTTCGGACTGGAAGATTTGGGCGGCGGTGGTGATTTTCTGGGGAAATACCGTGGGCGTGTATGGGTACGTCAACCCCCCTCCTTCCTTCCTTCCTTCCGCGCGGACCAAGGGAAGGAGCGCTAACAGGGTCGCAGCTTCACCGCAACCGTCCCCACCGTCATCAACGGTCTCGGCTACTCCGCCGCCAACGCTCAGCTACTTACCATCCCCATCTACGTGTTCGCCTCCATCGTCACCATCATCTTCGCCTGGTGGTCCGACTACGCGAAGACCCGCTCGCCCTTCATCATCGCCGGCTTTGCAATTGCCTGCTGCGGCTTCATCGCTCAACTCGCCATCCCGCACCCCAAATACCCCGGCCTGACCTACGGCTTCCTGTTCCCCGTCGCGGGCGGCCTCTACTGCCCCTTCATCATCCTCGTGTCCTGGATCGCTAACTCGCTCGCTCCGTCCAGTAAACGCGCAGTCGGAATGGCGCTGCTCATCAGCGTGGGTAACATGGGCGGCATCATGGGCAGCAACATCTATTTGGAGCGCGAGAAGCCTAAGTATAAGACGGGCTTTGGTGTCAGCTTGGCCATGTGCTGCACGGCAATTGCGATGACATTTGTGATCAGGATGGCGTATAAGAGGGAGAATACCAAACGGGAGGCGCTGTTGAGGGAGCATGGCGAGGAGGTGATCCGGGCGAGGTATACGGAGCAGGAGATGCTTGACCTAGGAGACAAGAGCCCCTTCTATAGGTATACTCTGTAAGCTGAGTCGTCTAGCTAGGTCTGCGGTGGTTAGTGCGAACGTAGGTAGACAAGGCTCGGATAGCAATTTAGCCGTACTACTACCATCCCGCGCTGAGGAGCACACAAATGCAAACACCGTAATGTATTGTGATTAATCCCTTTCGTCGGGGCCGAGCTATCAGTAAGCACTCTATCTAGCGTCTTGCAGTGTCATACATGGTTAACTTAGTGAAGTCACCATGTCGGTGGATCCATTCCCAGGTATCGGCCCCATTATCTCAGATGGTATATTGTACCAGACGTACAATAAAACTGAGTGGAGAGCGAAGAGCAGCGCGAGGCGGTGAATGTGCATGCACGTGCGCTCGGTCGTGGCCTTGGCGACATCCGCCGGTGAACATTCACTTGCGACTCTTCCTCGCAATTTCCGACCCCGCCATCCGCACTAACCCAACCATTTCTCTCAAACCATCCGTCTGCCATCCGTGCTACTACTACAATCCGCCGAACATACGCAGCAATCCACTGCACCCGGCTTCGGCAGAAAGCATACGTACTACAGTATAAATCAACAACGTCACCATGCCTCCCAAGCGTACACGCGAAAACAATGAGGAATTCGTTCCCTCATCTCCGGTCCGAGCCGCGAAGCGCGTCCGTACCAATGGCGAATTCACCAGTTCAGCCAGGAGCAGTCGATCGGCTGCAAGTGGCCGTAGACATATACACAGACGCCGCACGACCTCTGACCTCTGTCGGTCGAAGCAAAAAGAGGACGTAATTCCCGATAGCGAGCTGGAGGATCTCGGTGTCCAGGTGAAGCGAACCGCACACCGCCGTACTCGCACACGCGCCCGCGAGAGCACCCCTGAGTATCACGGCAATCGCGCGAGGAAGACGGCGGAGAAGAGGGCTGAGAAGGAGCGCAAGGGTGAAGATCGTTCGGAGAAGCAGGTGAAGAAGTTGCTGAAGGAGTTGAGCGAACTGCATGACAGTCTATCCGTCCACGAGCAAGTGACATCTAGGAGGAGGAATGCTCACCGGTGCGTCCACCCACTGCACTCTGTTTGTTGATGTCGTCCTCACAGTTGTAGCTCACGCATCTCTCGTCGCTCAGAGAGCCTCGAACCCGAGGACGACTACATCGAGGCGAACGCCGCCGAACAAAACCGCACGCGCGCTTCCAAGCCGCAGCGTAAGAATTCCAACTCTATCCGCAACCGCTCAAGCCGCTCTCACTCTGAGGAAAAGGGCCACTACAACGAAGTTGATGACTTAGAAGTCACCTCTAAGCCGCTCCGTAAATTTCTCTACCAGAACAACGAGCGCGACGCGATGGACGATCCGCCGAAAGCCGGAGGTAAGCACTTCTTGGAGCTGCCGGCAGGTAAGTATAAGCGTTACTCGTTCCCCGCGGATGTCGACCCGACTAACTTCGCGATAGAACTTCGTAACAAGATCTACGACTACCTCGCTGAAGACGAAGTAGATCGGGAGGAAATCACCATCCGCCTACGCCACAGCGCACAGGGCCGCCGCTCAAGGCGCACCAGCAGCAACCCACGCTTCCCAGATTCGTCGTTGAGTTTGACGCAGACCTGTCGTCAGATCCGTCAGGAGTACCTTCCTATGATCCAGCGAGCACGATCTGTGCGCGTGCCATTGGATCAGCTGCACGACTATCTAGACACTTTCCATCCACCAGAAGATCCTGCCGACCCGCATCTCCGTCCTTCCGGCAACATAGAGCCATTCTGGTCGGACATTGCGTTCCCGGACCCTATCGACATCCTCTCCCTTGCCAAGATCGTGCACGGCTCGCCCGACCTCCACATCCGTTTCCAGAAGCCAGACCCAGAGGATGTTCTAGATCCCGAACGCCATGAACTCTCACTTATTAAGACTATTATCGACACCTACCCAAAATGGAGGGTCCTCGAGCAGGACGCGGACATACAAGGAATCTATCTCAGCTCACGCACGCAACTCCGCCTCCGAGCGGAGTACGAGCGCACCATCAGAATGGAATGCGCCAAATATGACATCGAAGATGCTCTGGGCACGTGGATCTTCCGAACCAAGATAGCGGATCTTGAGGGCCTTCGCATTGTCGCTGAAGACGACCTTTCGTCTCACAGTTGGAAGACTGTTTATCGCGGCCGTGTCAACTACCGGCTGGGTAATGGGGGAGAACATATGGTCACGTATAGGATGGAACGGAACCGCAGTCACCCGGCTGGCTGGATTGCACGGGTTTAGCGCCAACCCTCTGAGGGGTTTCAGGCTCCGTTTTGCACAGCCGGAAAAGACGACGTACAGCTTGCTGAAGACCCCTACGCTGGCTTTTTGTTTCCTTGAGGTTGCTGGCGTTCTCATGATTTTTTCGAAGATTGATATGTACCATCGGAGTTTTCCCGGGTTTTTCCGCTCCCTAGAAGATGCCAGGGGTTTATAGGCTGCTGTTCTTGCTTTATTAAGTCTACTATACCCTTATTGTGTCCGAGCGGAGTTCGTACAGGTGTGGATCATGATACCGGTGAACCTTGGTGACCTTTCACCGGCCATCGGCTACAAGGCTCTGCCGAGTTTTTCGTTTCACTTCGCACCGCCGCAGACGGGGAACTATTGTGCTAGCGCCACAATAGTGAAGTTCGAATAGCGCCGTCCGTCATTGATTAGTAAGGAATGTTCGTCGATACCTTTCATATTGTTGTCGCAGCCCTCAATAGCTATTCATCGCAGCTGGCGCAGTCAAATCTAGACGTACTTAAGAGTCAACTCGCAACCACTCTCCCAAGCTTTTGACATTCTAGCAAACCACAACCAGATAACCCCAGCACTCAGTATTCCACGTCAACCGCACCCGGGATCCATCATCATGAACAACAACGGACAGAAGCGCACTACGGAGCAGGCCTCCGATGATCGCACTCCGAAGCGCCGCCGAGTTACGGAGACGGAGAGCTTGAAGATCTCCTCTCCGTCCTGGAACCAAGACGGAGATCCCATGCAAGCCAGCAGTGACCGAGCGTACGTGCTGCGGTGACATCCATGTAGGAACACGGCTGACCTGGTGTAGTGAGCGTCACCGCAAGCGCCACCAGAAGACCGAGGCGATGACAGAGCGCGTAATTGCGATTCCTCGGTCGCCCAAGCGAAAACTGCTTCGCAAGCCCTCCCAGCTTGCTCGTTCTGCTGCGCCCGAAGCCCCTCAAGAGCAGGGCATGCAGTGTCTTTCTCATCAGCCTGCAGGGACATTCCCCTTCCTGAAGCTGCCATCTGGTATATTCTTCTTCCCGCTAACACTTACTTCTTTGGGCTAACTTTGAGGAAGAACTCCGCAACAAAATCTACCACGAAATCGCAGCGGACGCCGCAAAGGAAGAAGTCACTATCCACCACCTCCCTCACAAGGGGAATATCAAGATCCGCCAAGACGGGCCCAGCAAAGCATACATCGGTCTCACCCAAACCAATTGCGCAATTCGAAATGAATTCCGCCACATCTACCTCGAGCAATTCAGGGCAAGGATTCCCCTGAAGTCCTTCCACGAATACAAGGACGTGTTCACGACCACGGATGCCAACGGCAACAAGGTCGCGCACGTATCGTTCCACACGTGCGGCGCCAAGCTAGCCCACGATGAATTCGACATGTTAGCTCTTATCGATTTCGCCCGGAGGAACCCCAACTTCGACTTCCAGCTGGACAACTGCCCGCGCTGGTCGTGGGACGAGAAGAAGATCACGCAGACATTCATTGCGCACGCGAACAGCAAAACCCACCAGGAGCTAGTGAAGCAGTTCAACATCACCGATGTCCGGCTGGGGACGCGCATGGTGGACGGGCAGGGCAGAAAGACCATCCTGACCGTAATGTTTCGAAACACGCTGCTTGAAATTCAGAGGGCCCGGTATGCGCAGGATTACATGAGAACGCTGGGATTGCTGGACATGGAAGGCTTGATGGTTGAGACCAACTTGACGGGGCGGAGGGGCAGATGGGTTGTTAGGGATCAGGAGTATGTGAGATACAACATGGATTGGCAGTTGTGAAGGGGCTTGAGGGGATAGGTCATGAGGGGGTGACCGACTCTCATAAAGAAAGGCCATTCCATCCTCCCAACACTCGTTGAAGGCGTCCGGGACAATTATTGCGTTGTTATACCATGGATGGCGGTTGGACTTCAGTACTGGCCTGGATGCTCGGTCTCCGTATTAGCATGAGCCGGAGGTTTGCTGTTTAGGCATTACAGTTCATGTACATCCGCCCTCTGAGCTTGTTCTGGCTCTTATAGAGGAGGGTTATTTCGTCTTCCCAAGTATCCTTGAACGCCTCCACGATACTTGTTGCGATATTAGACCCTAAATACTGGATGATCAGAGTCTCTGTTGATATGCGGGATGTGGCAGCAGCTTGGTCGGATATGCTCACCTACTCTCAGTCGAAACGGGAGATGGTGAATAAGAGAGCACGTGATAAGAAGCAACGCTATACTGTGTTTGGTAAGCTCCATCCACTAGCTCCGCGTGCATCAACACGCGATTGCGACTTCATGCATTATCTCTCAACACCGTCAGCACACGCTCGTGATACCTTGCCGATGTATGTCATGAGGTACGTTAATGACAGTATTTTGGCCGCGCCGTTGCTAATGAGCTATTGCAGGGCATACAATTCATGTCATGACAGTACGCAACAGCGATTGCAAAGTTTAGGTTTTCATAGCGCCTCGGTTTCGATGCGACGATCTGCGCGAGCGGAAGTGCTACGGATACACTGGGATATTACCATACGAATACGATGGTGCAATATATGCATGTTGCCGCTCAAATAGCGCAACAAGCATTGTGATAGGCCTACGTTCGCTCCGGTGGGGCACTGTATGTAGGCTAAGAGCCACGTCGTGCCTTTTCCTACTTTAAGGGTGGTATTCCTCCTTCCTATACATATCTACAAGAGCGCCCGGAAGGTTTTCTGTTCGAGATTGCTTTGAAACATTGTTCAAAAATGATCGCACCCGCTGTTCTACTCGCGCTCACCTCTCTAACTGAGACCGCTCTCGCACATGGCGGGATATGGAATTATTCGATTGCAGGAAATTGGCAGCCAGGGTAGGCTTTCTCTCGGCACAAAGTCTGGTACTAATGTTGATAGCTTCTTCCCCTACTATCCTGCTGAAGGCCAATCCTCCATCCAGCGCCACTGGATTGACTTCAGTCCCATCAAAGATGTCACCTCGTTCGCCCTCGTCTGCAACAGCCCCGGTTCCATCGCCGAGAAGTACGCTTCCATTCCCGCAGGCGGCGAAGTAAAAGCGTACTACCCCGGCTGGCCACATGATATCGGGCCGATCGTTGTATGGATGGCATACTGCGGCTCGGAACCTACCTCGTGCGACTCTTTCAATGGCACTGGAAAGTATTGGTTTAAGATTCAGGAAGTTGGGCTTCAGAGCGGCACGATTCGGAATGGGCAATGGGCTTTGAAGGATCTGCTCGCATCGAATTATACCTGGACCACCACGATTCCGGAGACACTGCGGCAGGGTGCGTATTTGATGCGGCACGAGATTATTGCGCTTCACGTTCCGTTTGAGCCGGAGTTCTATCCTGAATGCGCGCATTTGTGGGTCACTGGTGGTGGAAGTGAGAAGCCGAGCGAGGAATACTTGGCTAGCATCCCGGGTGTGTGGAGGCAGGACGGTAAGAGTAGGTGCACTAGAGATCGATATTATGCTGATATGAGGATAGAGCCGGATCTGCATATGACGATCTATGAGGAGCCCACTTCAAGTAGGACTGAGTGGAAGATTCCGGGTCCGCCAGTCTGGAGAGGATCGTAAAACTCAAGCTGTTGCCGCTCTGTGCGCATCCAGTACTCGCTCAACCACTTCACCGTCCCGTTGAATCCTAAATAGGGACCACAAGCTTTACGCCGCTCTAGTCTCTAGCATCCACATTCGCTATTGAGACAAGTCTTGTTGCACCAATCACGCTCCCTTTGCTGCTCGGAAATGAGACATGATGGGGTCACCCCCTTGACTTCTCACAATGATTATCTCACCGCTCCAAGGTGGGGGACGTTGCAAAATTGACTGGAGATATCCTTCACTACCTACGTAACAACGTGGGCGCACTTAGCGGCGTCATGTGCTGCAGCGCCGCAGCATGGGAGGCGCTACACATCACGTTGTGAGTGCGCGATATCTGCATAATCCCTTACACATCTCCACTGTCCGAGCAGGTTACGGTTAGGGGCCCCGGCATACTTAAACTATCCTACTCCCACCCAGTAAGCTCTTTCATCGCACACACAACACCCATAACCATCATCACAACAAGTACAACCCGAAGACATACGGAAACACTCTCCCATCTTAATTTTCTACGAACAAAAAGCAGAGACCAACTTCACAATGGATTTTGATCCTCGTCGTGGAGGCGGTTCATGTCCTGGCCGTCGCAACGCCTACAATCCTGAATCGGACGATTATTCTGGCACTGGCTACAGTGTCGGGAACCCTCGCATGTATGGCGCTCGCCGCGACATGAATGGCAGCCACCGCCCTACTAGTACACATGGCATACCCGATATGCAAGGTGCCTACAATATGAGCAGGTCGATAGGCGCCAGCCCTCGCATGTCCGGTCGTCATCCCGGCATGCGCGACTCTCTTGATCCACGCAAGCATCAACCTCCGGGCTCGTACCCTTATGGTTCTCACTCTAATCCAGACTTCGAGGAGGATGACCGTAAAGACGATCTGTACGCATTCACGTCGATGACTGATGTACGTTATGAAGAGATTTCCATGCGCCCACTGAACGGCGGTCAAGGCGGCTCAAATGGCCGCGCGTTCCTTCCGCTTCACGATCATGGTCTTCGGGATGACTCTCGTGCTCGTCACAACGCTCATCGTGACATTGGCTTTGATGCTGAGGTCTATCATGGTATTCAAACCTACGTGGAGACTACTGTGTCTGATAGCTCTGAAGACTCTGAGAATAGCGGATCCCACGGCAGCTACGAGCCTTCTCGTGATGGGCGCCCTGGTAATTGGTGAACATCTCACCCTCTGGTATCACTTGACAGAAATCGAGCAAGAGCAGATGGGCCACATCGATTCCAAAAAATATCGCACAAGCACATTCGTGCGCCTAGCTCCCTTGTGGCCATTCATCTTCGAACGGATGGTGTGCAGGACTGCGAGCCCTACATTCGCATATGTTGCTTGTCCAGATAGCAAGTAATTAAAAGACTTTAGTCACAAAATTCAACCCTTCTCATGCCCGTGACGCTATCACCCAGGCAATTTCCCGTGGTGATCAGTCATATTTACCAGTGATCTCGTGATCTGATAAGCCTCCACTTGGTAATTCCATCATTGCATAAACTCCAGTGCGATGGGATGGACAATTGTGGAATAACGATGACCAAATGTACTCAGCCCCGTAACCTAAAGTGGGTAGTGCATTGCCATATTCTGGAACCTCGACGGTTCCGCCCCGCTCGTGGAAGTTCGCCAGACTTTTTGGGATTAGGTCCTTACAATTGGGACCATCTCTCATTCACACAGTTAGAGTTGAGTCGAAGAACGCAGTCGCATATCACGTGACCGTCCCTGAGCTTCCCCGAAGATTAGGTGAACGAGGTGGCAGTCCATTGCCATATAATATGCGCTCACTATCAGCAACTTCAATCGTAAAACACGCACCCACAAAGGCACAACCAACTCACACCACGCTATATACTCAGTGAGTACAGCAAACGCTATTGCCGAGTTCGAGAAGCCAACCCGATAACAAGATCGAAACGAAAGCTCAAAAGGTCCACTGCACCTCCAGCAAAGAGGCCAAGAAAGCAACAGCCTGGAGCTGGCGCTCAGGCGGGGAGTACCTGACTCAGCTGGGGAGTACATGGCTCGTGCTCAGACGAATTTGACTACATATGTCGATGCAATGGCTCTCCTAATTCCGAAAGCTGACATGAGCAAACCCGGCTTTGGAGATCTTTCAGGAGGTAAGGCATAATACCCTTCAGTTTACCCTTTTGGGGGAAAGCTAACGATCCTTTTTCAGAGATTCGAAACCGCATCTACGACGTCCTGATCGGCCAAAACCTGACCTGCCGGGGTCTTTCGCATATCCCCAAACACCTTTGCACGTCCAACTCACTGTCCTTCGTCCCGGGGCAGTACTTTATGAGCATTTTCCAGCTGTCAAGTTTGACTCGACAAGAAGCGCGCCCGATGTTTATGAGTCGAACAATTCTCAAAGTCGAATGCGGAGATGCTGCAGAGCTAGTGGCCACGTTCTTTCCCTCCGAAGACCCGGCCGTGCGTGCGAATTACGTGGGCAACCTCTTCATCTCGATTTTGAAAGAGAAGACGAGCGATTCGGGCGATATTTTGCCCCTCGTAAGGCTTCTCCTGCAAGCACCCAATGTGTCTTACCAGTTAAGTCGAGGGCGGTTTGAGTCTGGTGCAAACCCCGTACCTATTGAGCACATGCAGGAACTGGAGAACGTCCTCTTCCGATCCCAAAGCCAATTCTGGCGCAACTGTATTGTCGACGGCATAATCGCGAAATTGGAGGTTTATGGTAGACTTCGAAAGGTGAAGGAAAGGATCGTGCCAAAGAACATCTCGATTACCGTCCGCGGAGCCGATACGAAACCTTGGATGGACTCAGCATATTGGACCGGGGATAACAAGGAAGCAATGGCAGCGCAGTTCGAGGAGTTCTTGGAGGCTGCCGGGCTCTTGGACGTGGACCACTGGGACTTGTTGGTCGGAGACGCCTCGCGTTGCGGCAGGGGTTTGACGAACGAGCGGTGGAAGCCTTTCTGGTTTCAATATTATCTATCGTTTTGATCTGAGTAGTGTATCTACATATGACCTGGGAGGATGATGGTATGTTAAGCTAATGGTCGAATGCGTGGCAAACCGTCTAGCATAGTGGTAGTGCTTGATACAATCCCCCTACAGCTGTTCCCTCCCTACCGTGTATCTCACCTTGTGACACTCGGTCCAAATTTCACGCTCCTACATTGAGCGTTTGATAACACCGCTGAGGGAGGACTGCGCTCGTGTAGTGAATGCCGCAAAGTACGTCAAGAGTTTCGACCTGTCTACCTGAAAGCGAATACTTTCTGGATCCGCTTAAAGTACCTCAACGAGTACATATCCAACTTCCCTCTACCCGAGACCAAACGCGAAGATGTCGAAGCGAAGCTGATAGTGGGCATCGAACCCCACCACCTTATCCCTCATATCGACATTCTACCACTGCTGAAGCTGTGGTACAACTTAAACGTAGATTGCAGATTCGCCTGCAGTGCTGGGGATCTGTGGAAATATAACATAGGCAGGTGGCTCTTCACAGCATTTATTTGCTTCCAGGACGTGGGAACGGTCCTGCCACTCCGCTGTCCGTGAGATTGCTATCCAGCCATCTCGGCGAGAGATGAACATCATGGTGCGACCTGGGTGGTGTTGACCGTGGGTGCATACTGGCAACTCAAATAAGATGGAGCTTGTGCAATTGTTGGGAAAGTTAGGCTCGAGGTCGCCTAAATACCTTGAACGATATTTTAGTCTCCTCTATTAAGGATCTGCGTCCTAATTACAAAGTATTAGCGTTTAAGCCTAGATGTAGAAATCTACTAAAGGTAATTAGTTATAATTTCCTAAGGTTTGCAGAACAGCTAAACCCTCGCAACATTGGCTCAAAACATCTCCCGCCGGCGTGGATCGAGCACCTTAATCACGTCATCAACACGCTGCTTATCTATTACAGAGGCAGCTATTGTATTCATGTGGAAGTCAGAAAGAGTGCGACGGAATGGTGGATGGGGGAACACCACAGCGCGGAGGCACAACCGGCGAAGAGGGAGTGGATTAAGAAGGCGAGGATTCCCGGAGAGTGGGGCAACATTACCGTAAACGGCCCGTAAGGGGGGTTGTCTAAAGCAAGCTGGATTATGCGAGCGAAAATTGGGCGGGAACGGCTTACTTCTACACTGCGTTGGGATCGGTCAACTATAATACGGGAAACGCCCCGGGTGTTGAACATCGCCATTGGGCAGGACCGAAAATTGAGACAAAAGAGGGGCCCACACGAAAACCAACATGAGCTGAGCTATCTCAATGACAGCAACTACCCCCAGCTATTCTTTGCGGGACATTGAATCATAAATCCTACATACGATCCGGGACCAAGGATTGCTAAGGAGGCAAGAGCGGGTATGATAAGCCTATCTCATTTCATTGACTGCTAATCAAGTCTACTCACCTCCTCTTCTACCCCTGCTGACACAACGCCGTAGCATACCCCTGAAAGCTCACTCCATCAATTTCCTCGATCTCTTCAGTCGTCAACCTCCACCCCAGAGCCTTACAATTCTCCACCGCCTGCTCCAGCTTCCTAACTCCCACCGCCGGCGTAATCCACTTGCACATGTCGTAATTCAGCGCGACCGCCGAGATCGACGTCTCATGCTTCTGGGCAATCTTTTCTAGCAGCGCGTTCACAGGCTCCACGTCCTTCATGTCGTTTAGAGAACATGTTGCATTTGGGATTTGTATGACTAACAGCTGTGCAGAAGGCACAAAGTGGCTCTCACGGCGTGGGATTCTCGGGATATAACAACGTGCGTAACAGCCACCCCGGAGGCTTTCACGGTTGCGTACAACAGATCTATACTGTCAGCAACGTTCGGCGAACGGTGACAGGCAACATCTTCGTCATTCCAACATCTGGCGACGCTTCAAGCTTGTGCCCGAGGTAGACCAGAACATCGCGACTTCAACCCTGTGAGTGCTGACATGGACGGCTTATGGTGAGCAAATGGTGGTGCCATTCTTGAATGCCGCCTTCTCTTAACGAACCTCAAGGTGGCAATCCCTTGTTGGACTTATCTCGGAAATTACTTTCTTCGTGTAGATCATAGCCGCGTGGTTTGAGCGTGCACGACGCATTGAACACCCCTCCCGCTCTGGCCAGGATGCTTGCGATGCGACGACGAAAGATCCTGCAATGCTAGTGGTATCATCGGGAAAAGACATACAAGATGCATGAAGTGGAGGCGAATGAAGGATTGCAGCTTTCCTAGCGTTGATATAGTTCATAGTCGGACGCCGAGAGGTCTGGAGTGAAAGACTCCATCACGTGACTCTCTGGATGTTACCTTGAAGTTCATGGCTCAACGGCCAACCGTCCAATAATTGAAAGTGTGGAAGGCTAGTACCAGCGTCTATCGTATTGTTGGATCTCCAAACCTTGACCCACCAAAGGTTAGCCTGCAGTGGCCTTCCCAGGTCAAAGCCATGTACACCCAGTCCCATCACGTGACCACCTCGGCAAGACTAGTCTCGATAACTGGCCCCTTAAAGACTTTCCTCCCGTGGGCTAGCCAGAAAGTGCCTGCAAAGATCATCACCCCGCTCCAGAGCACACAGCTCCAATTCATATTCGTCGCTGTGACCGGCACCGCCGCCGGCCAAAAGCTAAAGAACGTAACCAAAATACTCCAGCATATCGCGCACCCATTGACCCACGGGCCCCATTTTCCCAGTCTCCAGGGTCCGAAGTCAAGTTTCGAGGGGTGGTACAACCGCGTGTATAGGAGGAGTGAGAAGGGCACCATATATGACGCGAAGAATCCCGCCACGGTGAGGGAGACGATGGCGTTGAACACCGCCGCGCTACCAATATTGATAAGTGAGAGAAGGCAGCTGATCGAGCACGTAATCGCAATGCTGACGAGTGGGATTTTCATCTTCGGATGGACGTAGCTGATCGCCCGCGCATTCGGGACCGCGTTGTCGCGCGCGAAAGCCCAGAGCTGGCGCGAGGCGGAAGCCACATTGACTATAGTTCCGAGGATGAACATGGTAAAGATGAGGGCTGAGAGCGCAGTTCCACCGGCGATGGATCTCGTGCCTTGCGTGAGGATCTCGATGAAAGGGTAGCCGGTCGGCGTGTTGAGCGCAGCATCAACGTCGCCGATACAATAGAGCATCGCGATGAGCATCGTGAATCCGGTAAGGCCGTTGATAGCGATGGAACCTGCCCCGTATTAACATCATGGCGGCACTTAAGGTGGCACGCGAGGACAGGACGGGGATACATACCGAGCATGGCCCTCGGTAGAACGGTGGAAGCGTGCTTTATCTCCTCGCACATATGCACGGCGCCGTCTGCGCCCAAGAATGCAAAGACGGGCGTGATAAGGCCAACAAAGAAAGAAAGACCCTTGCTTTCATAGCCTCCCGCGTTAAGGAACAGTGCCCATACATCATGGCTTGTACTCTTCTGCGGAGCCATGACAGTGAGAGTAATGAGTACGATGAAGAAGAGGGTAATGTGAAGGGCCAAAACAGCTTGCTCCGTTCGCGGCAGGAGTTTCGCGAGAAATGTGTTGAAGATTAGCGCAATGAAGATGACGGCGAAGATCAAGAGTGTGCCTTGCCAACGCTGGGCGTTGTAGGACGGCCGAGAGTTGATGATGAGACCTTGGAAAGTCGTAGCGGTAAGATAGCCGGCCGAGGCGGTGACTGCTTGCCATGCAATTACAGACTGCCTATTTTCTTGGTTAGAACTTGCACATTTTGTCGCACAGACGAGTAGCAAAATACCATCCCGTGATGTAACTCAGCAAATTCTTCCACCTCTCAGGTGCCAGCTGGTGCGTCCAATGGTACTGACCCCCCGCGGTGGGCCACATGGAAACCAGCTCTCCCATTGTTGCGACCACGGCTGCATATCCAATCCAGACGAAGAGGAAGCCGTAAATAAGACCGGCGGGTCCCCCGTTCTGAAGGCCGAAGATGAAAACGCTACGCTGTTGGTTAGTGATCCGCCTCGTGGCGGCATCGGGGCTGGTACCTGAAGAGGCCCTCCCATGTGACCATGAGAGAGCAGGAGAAGCCGAGGATGCTTAGAAAGGCGAAGTTACGCTGATGCTGAGGTTAGATAGGCTATATCGTAAACGTGATTGTCGCTAATCTTTAGGGAAGCGTAGATTGCACATTCAAAAGCGTTTGACATACCCTAAGCACACTCTTCTTCCCTACTTTCGCTAGTTCTCTCTCATCCTGATCGGAAATTGTGTCCAAGACTCCCTCGCGCGTTTCTTGCGATGCTAGCACCTTTTCTGTCTCCATTCTGTTTGAAATGCTTTCCTTCGCGACGCTGATGATGGGCGGGCTGAGCTATGTTCCAGTCGGATCAGCAAGGAAGCACAAACTCCGTCTGGCGGGGCGCAACCGTGGCGGATATGCAGCCGTACTGTGGTGTAGTGGGAGAGGTAGGTGTAGCTAGTCGACAACCGATATATTCTGCTGCGCGGAACTACGTTCTCGTGAACACTATGCCGTGTTATTAGACAAAGGTGTTCGCAACGGCCCGGCCTAGAGTCGTACCCCACCAAGAGAAGCTACGATCGTCTTTGTTACGATGGCGAAAGTCGACTCTTTCGTTGTGCGAGCCGCGGGGGAGATAGAAAAGACCGTAAGGCGACGAAGGCTTAAGAAAGACCCAGCACCTTTTGTCCAAGGCATTTGCTTACCTCGACAGTGCAGCATATTCGCTTGCATAGGTGTACATGCACGACCAACTCGTCGGTGCTGTGCAACCTATCGGACGAATCGGAGCGCGGGATCAGCCGCGAATCGATTTAGCCACACCTATGAGGACCGTTGAAACGCCCACAATACGCCGAAAGGAAACGCGACTAAGAAGTGGGATATTGGCGCTTATGCCGGGCGTAAGTTGTAAGAAATGAAGGGAAGGGAAATCAGGATACGGTGAGATGATTCCAGGTCTTATAAAACATGGTGTGATGGGTGCATTAGGGAGACCGAGACTGAGGCCGAGCGAAAGAGCGACAATAGGAAGGGATTGAAAGCCTGCGGGCCCATGAATTGAAGGTTATCGGGGTGCTAGTCAGCTAGCCGGGCTGCTTCCTAGAAGGGAAGGTGCATCTTAGGGCGCATGAGCCTATCGTAGAGACAAGGATGCCCCTAGACGGCAGTCACGACAAGCGAAGAACGATATAAAGAACCCAAAGAGAGGGATTGAATGCAAATGACGTTGGATGGCCTGAAGTGAAATTTGAGCGCGAGAGTAACGAAAGAAAGAGAAAAGAGTAGGGGAGCAGGGGAGACGAGAAATGATGATGAAGCATGAATGCGCTCGTAATAGCGAGGGATATCTTCCTTCGCCATACTTATGCAAGGCGTCGGAGATAATGAGACTCTAGCGGATGAATGACATAGCAACACCTGCATACACTATCAATATCCACAATCAATACACGACAAAAAAAATGTGCTCACCAGCGTTGGCGGCGTTGTCCTGAGTTCCCGGAGCAGCTGAGCCCGCGGTGCCTGCCGCCGAAGAGCCTGGACCTTGCGAAACCGATGTCGCCGGCATCATTTGCCCAGCTACAGCGACCGAAACCCCGATGTACACTGGTTTGTTTTCATAAAGCATAGTGTTCAGCACACGGTTGACCTGAGAGGCCACAGTGGTGGGACTGGCCAGAATCGTTGCGGCGGCAAAGGTTAGCCCCGCTGTAACGGTCGCCGTGCTGTTCATCGAAATCAACTTCTTTCTCGTATACTGAACAAAGAACGGGAAATACATACCTAGTGAACTGAGCAGAACTCAACTCCTCAATGAATACCACAGGCCGACATGCAAAGCCCGGTCTCCCTTCTTCAAAACATGCCGGAAGATCTCCGGACTGTGAGCAAGCAACAAAAGCGCAGACTTCCGTACTGGAAGGTGCAACAGTCGAGCGGGTTGAGTCGACATAGGTAAGACGATTGCGCTGGATCGATCCGATAAAGAGAGAACCTGGACAACTGTAAGGAGACGGATATGAAAGGAACTCATTGGGGACTACTTTGGCCATGGCCTACTACAGATCGAACACCCACTCCCGAGAGCCGCGAGAAGAGGTAATCTCCCACAGTCGAAGACATTAGTGTGGAAGAAGTAGGCCTTGGCGAGGACTTGATTGTTGATATCGTGCTTGCAGAGAGATAGTTGGGATTTGGGAGAAGCTGGCGGTTCCTGGAGACTGAAAGCCGACCTGAAGCTGTTGTCTGCAAACATCCGGTCGATGTGGATATCTTTTCTTCTTTTTCAATACTCCATACGTAGAACAAGATGCTGATGCCTTCTCGCAAAACACTTTTCGCCGAATCGTAGGCCTTCAGCAGGTCCAGTATGAGGTCCGGTATACTAACTGCATGGCCACCATTGAAGCCTGGTACAGCCCTTTTATACACGGAGGAGAGCTTCGCCGTCTCCGGAGGTCCCTTATCTTGGCCTTTCCATGCCTACGTCGACAGGGCTGAAGGGCGGCGCAACTGCTCCAGAGCTGGTGCTGAGACACCATCGTGAGACATGGCAGATTGTTCGTCGAGCCAACCGCAGTGCGTCAAGGCATACTGAAGCCCAAGCGCACGAGCCACATATCGTCCCCAAGCCTGCCGAGCTATGTTCAGGAGTCAGAAGAGAAGAGGGCAAAGTCTAATTGGGGTTAGAAGCCTAAGAAAGCCTTGTCTGAAAGCAGAAGGATCTTTCGAGAAGCATGAGGCTGAAAAGCTTAATTCAACGGCCATAACGGAAGGGCGACTCGACAATGCGTATGGACTAGTAATCAGGCTTGACGCACGTCGCGCCAAGGACCTGGATTGGGATGATGAGAGCCGTCGAGCTAGAGCTAGAGAGCTAGAGATCGAGGGGCATGCTTCGAGTCCGGAGTGAGGGCGGCCCAGCTGCGCATGGGGCTGAACGCAGGCGCGGGACGAGCCGCTGCCCAGAGCCACGCATTGTACGGATCTGATTTGCAATACATCCCAAGGCGCGGATCCGAAGACAATGGACGTGATGGGAAGTTTTCGCGTTGAGCTGTCCTGATGACTTCAGGGACGTTGCCTAATAGGATCCGGGCGCTGAAGGCGTTCCGCATCGTTCTTCGGCGTAAACAAGCTCCCGGTAAAATTGCCGAAGTCATTAAGGGTCTTGGTTTTGACGCCGTCGAAGGGTCGTGTCCACCGTGGGCGAGGATGCGGTGTTGTGCCTGGGGTCCGAAAGAGCTAAGCCCATCATGTTTCCCAAATTCGTAAGCATGTGGCTAAAGGCGGCTAGTGTAGTGGCGGTGCATTTCTCGCTCGACCTTCAGCTGTCAGCTCTCTGCACTTCGCGCGTTGGGACCGAAAGTAGCTTATTGTTGACCTTGGTATTGTCTGAGGCTGAAGGTATATGCACCTCGCGCGTGCATGCCAGAGAAGGAGAGGAGGCTCAAGCAGGGCTGAAAGAATAGCTGTAGATGCGTCTACATAGATGGGCGTTCATGGTGCGCCGAAGGACGGATTTGAAATCATTTGGAAAGGAGAGCAAAAGAATGCGCAGAAAATTTTAGTGCCTATCGGTATGGATTGACATTATTACTAGGTGTAAGACTCAAGCCAACGCCAGACCATTATCCGCATGCCCATCCATCGCATCATAGGGTATCATATGCTCCATTGCACTACTCAATTTGATGCCGCAGGAAGCGCAAGCCTGAACTCCACCACCAAGGACTCCAACCGGTCCCTCATCGCTGCCGCCCTAGTTCAGCTTCTTATTTCCAACCTGGACCGTTTTGCCCTGCTGGCGCTGGTACTGCAAGAAGCCGAAGAAGCCGACGGCGAGGACCGCAAGGATCGCGATATTGCCTGCCATCTCATTAGCATCCATCCGCTCAATACCGCATGCTCGCCAGGCTCGGTCGTACTCACCCATGATGAAGCCCACAATGCCACCGGCCAGATCAACCAAGCCCTTGAAGAACTCGACGACAAGGTTGATTGCGCCGCTGAAGAAATGCAGCACGAACTCAACGGTCTTTTGGACGAGCTCGCCGGCCGTGGTGAAGAGCGACCAGACGACTTCGAGGAGCGACTGGGCGAGGTCGGAGAGGGAGTGGATGATGGAGGACATGATTGCTGTTTCTGCGTTTGGATGTCTGTCTGTCGGGGTATTGGATAAACGGCTGTATGCTCGAAGGTGTTGTAGAAGGGACTGAGGTGGGTGTATGTGTGTGTGTTTGCCGGTGGAATACTTAGAGGGAAGTGAAGGTGGCTGAAGGCTGCTAGACTTTATGCACGCGGCCGCTGAGGCTGCCGATGAGGTAGTGGCGACATCATTTGCGCGGCATGGCAATTACGCTTCAGCCTGCTTTGCCGTATTCCTTCCCGGAATCAAGAGGTGGCAGTGGCTGGTTGGCTGGCTGGGTGAACCGTGATCGTAGGGTATGACGTCGTGGGTGGTACAGGGCTGAATGCAGATCGCAGATGCAGATGCGCATGTGTAGGCACGGGTGCGCAGATCTGAGTCCGGACCGACTCGGTTAGTCCTGCTGGATTCACCGATCTTACGTGCTTACCTAGGTAGCACCTGGGCACACTGTGGTATGAAAGATAGACGATGGGAGAATCGAGTAAAGATTTTCGCATGCAAGGTATGTTGCGCGATTTACTCAATAATCACAGCTCTTAGCCACAGCCTCTGAGTACTGCATCGCATCCTGTCGCATATCGATGGCACTCTTCAGTCTCCCCAGGCTGTCACTTCCTAACAACACCCTCATCACTTTTCCGTCTCTGCCCTTCTCCTTCAGCTCCGCGCCCATTCCCGTGTCGGTAATCACGTCCCAAAGTGCGTGGGCTGCTTTCTTCGGGTCACCAGGTTGCTTGCCACTCCAGCTCTGAAGTTTCTGGAGAACCGCTTGCGCCGGGTTATCGCCCCTGTACTCTTCCGCCCAGCCCTCACCTTTGTTGGCGAGCACCATGTTGGTCGAGGTGAGAAAGTCGGTGCGGAAGCCTCCAGGCTCGACGATGATCGTGCGAATGCCTAGTGGTGCCAGTTCGGCCGCAATCGCTTCGGAGGTGCCTTCAAGCGCGAACTTCGATGCAGCATAAAGGCCACACGAAGGTAGACCGTTAAGCCCCGCGACGGACGAGACGTTGATGATAGTGCCGGTCCTCCGTGCCCGGAAGTGTGGTAGCATGGCTTGTATGAGCGCCAAGGGGCCGAAGTAATTAGTCTCCATCTGCTGCTTCGCCTGTTCGGAGGTGATGTGCTCGAGTGGGCCAATGACTGAATAGCCGGCATTGTTTATCAAGACATCGATAGGTCCGTGGTCTTTGATGGCTTGATCCGCGACGGTGGGGATGCGAGCCAGGTCAGTTACGTCGAGTGTGATGGGGTAAAAGTTGGACGAGATGGACGAGAGCTGCGAGAGCGCGGAGGAGGCACGCTGCGGGTTGCGCACCGTCCCGAGGACGATTGCACCCTGTTTCAGCGCGTACGAGGCCAGTGTCAGGCCCAGGCCAGAGGACACGCCAGTGATGAAGACAGTTGGAGGCATGTTTGATTTGAACAACAATTCCAGTGTGAAGAAGGAAGCGACATGCTCTTCCTGATACCTTTATATGCACAGGTAGTGAGATTTTTGCAGCTGGTCATGAACGAGGCAGTAGAAAGGACTCATCTGCGATTTCGCTGCTCTTCGGAACATCCGACTTCATTCGGGGAGCCTACGGGGATAGTCGGACATAGCTCTAAACATCGAAGTCCATGGGCTCGGCGGCATGCCTGACGGTAGGACTTTACGATTCCTCTTTAATTCCATTCTTTTATCGCCATCCGCGATTATACTTGGCAATAAATGCGCACTGCGCAGCGTGCAATTGGTAATCTCTCGGAACGGATAGCATATAACCCCGTTCAAGGAGCGATTGCGCGGCGAAGCAACACCGGGAAATGGATGACCTCAGGAAGCGCGAAGCCGTACAGGATCATGCCTCTGGTGGACATGGTTCATACGAGGCAATTGGTATACGAGGTGAGAAGAAAGGGAAGAGTTCATGGGGCTAGCAGAAACCTCGGTCTCGCTGAGTGACGTCATTGGCCAGCTGTGTGCCCCGCGACGGTCAGACCACGCGCCGCGGCAAGCCATTTCACAAGCCACAACATTCTGTCGGACCTTTGCATCGCACAATGTCCAGCTCGCTCAACAAGCTCTTCGAGAAGGGCAAGGCGAAGGTCAAGGAGTACGCCGGCGGGCACTCCTCGCACCACCAACAGGGCTACCCCGCACAGGGCTATCCGGGCCAGAGCTATCCAGCGCAGCAACCGCAGTACTCCGGCGCACCATATCCCCAATACCAGCAACACCCGCCGTATAACGCTCCTCCTCCCCAGAATCAACAATGGGGTCCACCGTCAAATCAATGGGGCCCACCGCAACAGCAATGGGGTCCTCCGCCGCCGCAACAAGCCTTCTCCCCACCTCCACAACAGGCCTTCGCACCGCCTATACCTCAACATAGCAAACCCCACTCTCCCGCGTCTCCCGTCCCTCCACCTATCTCCCATGAGCGTCCGGTGTCGAATCCACCGCCTCCGCAGAACATCCCTCCGCCGCACACCGAAAGGGTTTACTGGAAGCCCTCGTTCGACACGACGACGCCGGTATCGCACAACTTCAGACACGAGCTGGGCGATCATGGCTGGGGAAATAACGAGAAGCAGAACTACGTCGACAGCGCCACGAACTCGTTCCACCACGACCACCGTCTCATCGTGCGCGGGCTGGTACAAAACGGAAGCTACACGAGCGCGCGGCTGACATCGCACCAAACGCTGTCTCGCCCGCGCGGTTACCTCGGCGCAACCATCCTCCCGCCGTGCGCAGAAGGAATATGGCCGGCGTACTGGATGTTGCCGAAAGATCCCTTCCAATGGCCCAACGACGGCGAGGTCGATATATTCGAATCGTGGAATGGCGACTGTGTAAACCACTCGTGTCTGCACTGGGGCCACTACAACGGCGAGGACTGGAATAAGCATCAGGTCATTACGACGCATCTGCAAGACATGCCGCACCAACCGCATACGTATGGGTTCGCGTGGATAGAAGAGGAGGGCATCCCAGATTGGAGGGGGAGAATGATCTGGTATATTGATGGGAAACCGGTCATGAAGGCGAATATACCGAAGGGCACGAGAAGGATGGAGGAGTTCAGGTTGCTGATCAATGTTGCCATGGGTGGGGATGTGTGCGCTGGGAAGTTGCCCAAAGACGGGTACTACGACCTCATTGTGAGCGATTTGAAGATGTGCGAAGAGCCGGCAGGCGGCTGGAACGAATTTGAGAGAGCGTGGAGTAGTACGCCAGAGGGGAAGCCGATGTAGCGTTGCAGCGCCTGAAATGCCACCGCATCGTTGAGAATTCCCGTACGGGCTCGATGTCTCATCCAGCAAATCAGGAATGGCACCCCCAACCAGACCTGGCTCTCGAAATTGTTTATTCCAACAACATTCTCACTGTGCTAAACAAGAAGTGCATCACGACATCCTCATTGTGGATGGAACTTGGCAAGTGCGACCCACACGACGCATCGGCCAATCATACTACACAAGGTGGGCGTTCGGAACAAGTAAAGCCCCTACTCCACGGCGCTCTTGTAATACTTCTGCTGATAATCTGAGCTCGGTCTCATCTATTTTCGATGTATCATGAGATTCGACCATATCACGTGTTCGCTCGTGCTCATGCTCAGGTGTCTCCAGGGCTTCCTCTAGGCGCTGGTGGGACTCCCGGATAGCTATATAAAGTACGGTACCACCCTCGTCATCTCTACTTTTGACGCCCATCAAAGAGAAGCCTGCAGACGGAATGCCTTCCGAATACCAACTCCACGGCCAGACGCACCACTTCTAGCTCACTACCCACGGCCTCAAGGACCCTCGTCTCAACGAAGATGTTTCGAAGCCGAATGAGGTTACCAAGGCACATACATTTATCAACATCCAAGCCGCTGCTCTCAACGCCGAGATATGATGGTGCTTGCGCATGAGCCTATCTATTCAGGTCCTCGCAAGCCAGATCTCGTTCCCTGCGCAGATGGTGCTGGGATCGTTGAGGAGAGGCAGGGGTACACCGGCGGGGAGGAAGAGTTGGTAGCAGCAACCGGACATGGCATCACTGTCTGCCTCGGCTCCATCGTTTCTGACTTTGTCTGAACTGGAGAATAGGTGCTTCATAGACTCTGCTCCTTCCGTTTGACTCTAATGAGATAGCAGTCGCGTCAGCGGTATCAGACTATCATCTTGAGTAACAAGGGGAGACGAGTTTAGCTAGGCTAATGTAGGGGCGGGAGAGCAGTCAACTGATGTCGAACACAGTTCGTTTCGCCAAGATGTGCAGCACGCACGGGCATATGGCGAGAGGGAAAGTTTCACGGCACGTTGAGCTTCTTTCGGGAAGGAACATATAGTTTCTACTGCTCGTTTGAGGACCTGCACATGACTGATTCCACGGAAGAAAGTCTCGGACGCCATCCCTCTGAGTGAGAGAAGACTTTTACCGATTCCCGTGAGAACACCTCACTCCATGTCCACCAGCCACCATTTCCCGTCATACAATAAGAACACCGTAACCCAGAGAGAAAACGGTCCGGCGGGTGTCTGCAGCTAGTCAGTCAAGGAGCACAACTGCACTTGGACCAAAAGCACACTTACCACGAAGCCACCTCACTTGCCATAGAGGCAGTAAAAGCTCTTGGAGTGCGGAATATACTCGACATGGTCCGGCTCCATCGGACCACCGGACCAGGTGATGGCACCCTGGCAGTTCTCGTCGCTGTCACAGTGCGTTAGCAACATCCATCTGCACTTGCTGGATTTGACTTGTTCTTACTCAAACCAGATACACAAACCGCACTTCTTGTTGTCGATGTGAACCTTGTTGACGACATCGTAGGTGTTGAAGCAGTCCTTGTTGGCGTTCATGTCCGGGCACGGAGTGATGATACCGTAGTAGCAGTACCAGCCGCACACCTCCTGCGTGTCGGCATGGGAGGCTTGCTCTTGAAAGGCCGGGACTGCAGTCCCGAGGGCGATTGCCATGAGCGTGGCGAGGGCTGCGAGGAAGCGCATGATTGAGGGTTGATGCAGACACGTAGGGAGTGTTGCGGCTCAGGAAATATTGGGCTGATCTTGGAGAGAAGTGGAACTGGTACAGGAGGCAGATGTTATGGTCAAACTTCAGTGGGGCAGAAGTGTGCCGTCAAACATCTCGAGGAAAGGGAAGGCGCCAACTGACGACGAGGTTTCTCTTTCCTCATGACGTCAGCTGTAGCCAACACGGTGCTGTAGATATGAGGGAGTCTGGAAGACGGATCATAGGTAACGTGCTAGGATGCGGTCGGCGAGTGCAAGGGTTTTATTGCATTAATTTCCGAGAATTCTCTACGTGGAGTACTACCTGGATACCGACCACGACGTGTAACGAAGAGAAGAAATCTCGCCGAATATCGCAGCTCAACAGCTGCAATATATCGATTCTCGGAGCTAAGTCTGCCTCGGTTGGTAACCCATTTTGCAGGCCTTCCACATTGGTATGCTAAGCCCTATTAAACCTGAAGCGACGCAACGGGATCCGTATGTCCCGGCTGACTGCACCTCAACACCCGACCAACTAACTCATCAACTCTTTTCCCTCATATACAGATCAAGCCCACAAGCCGACCATCCTTCACCGCCTCTTAGCAAAGAAGACCCCGGCTCGATAATACGACACGTCGGAGAGGCCAACCTCGCGCACGAAGAAGTCCCAATGCCTGTATTCTTCCTCCACCGTGTCCTCCGCTTCCACGCCAATAACTTCTTTGCCACCAAGCACGACTTTAAGCAATGCGCCGTTCTTTCCTGTCTCCGCTGATTTCTCTTTCGTAACGCGAATAGACCGTACAAACTCCCTGTCGATGTACGATTTCAACATCGCGTTCCGATAGTTTGGATCCTGGAGAGTTGGGCGCGTGAACAGCTTGTTCAAGTCGGCAGAGCGAGGCTTCCAGACCCCGCGGGACGGCTTGGCCTCATACCGCGACCCAAAGCTGCATTCGAAGTTCGGCGCAATCATCTGCCGGCGGACGAGGGGAAGGAGTTCGAGCTCGTGAACTTCATCCCAGTCAATCAAGACGATGAATCGAGCCACATAACCCCGCATGATCTCCGGTGACCGAATGGGAAAGAAGGCCTTGAGATACTTGTTCAAGTTGCGAATAACGATGCGGGTCTCGGTGTGACGAGCGTACAGCGGTAGGAACTCGCGACGGATCTGATGGCACGTCTGCGTGAGACTGAAGAACTGGCGCCGATCCTGGGGCTTTTTGAAGATGCCGCTGTGCCTGGTGTCTTTGATGGGAGCGAGGATAACGACATCTGGGTCCGAAAGGCAGAGATCGTAGATGCGATTTCTCAGTTCTGGACTCCGTCAGCTCACTTTGCCAGAGGCGAAGGTATGGAAGAATCCGGACGTGACTTACCACCAAACAGGGAAAGGAGTCCTTTCGGATTCTCGTTAGGTGACGCTGTCTCTGCGCACATCTTCGATCTCTCCGTCCGCCGGCCCTGTTATCAGTTGCCGCTTCGAAAGTGGCGAATCAACGGTAGCCATCAGTGAATTGGGGGATGCCGCTTACCTGGTGACTTGGATAGATGTAGATGGACCACAGCTGTGAGAAGGTCTTGATGTAACGGCAACGGCGTTTTGGGTCAGTGGTGAGGTCGAGGTTAGAGGCACCTAGGTGAAGTCAAGCCGTTGCCCCGGTATCGTGCCTCGTAGGCAACGTGTGGCACGTGCTTCCCGAACCACCCAACACAGGGGAGGGAGTTCTTAATTAACCTTTCACGGGTTCAAAGTAGCGCCTCTTGGCACCTCATATCCCAACTCGAAAGCTCTACTGCCTGGAGCGAAAGAGCGAAACCAGAACTTTACCTCTTCACCTCTTCGCCCAGCCAGCCCCGTAATTCAGCCCGGCATGGGGTAAGTCACCGTACTTAAGTACCGCACCGAAACGGCGCTGACATTAATAGCAGTGCACAAGACGCATATGGGGTCGATGGTGCGTCGCTCGCGGTCGATTTGGCGACGCTCAGCATGGCCCCAAAGCCTGTCGGACTCCTTTCTCTTCCAGGAGGTACGCCTGCACTCAGTGTTCCCAGTCTCAAAGTTCGGCCTCCTTGCTAATGATATCTATGCAGAGCTTCGAAATAGGATCTATCATTTCTGCGTTGAGTCCTATCCCATCTATATCCGGAGCGTTTTCCTTCCGCGGAAACCCCAATTCATCGCCTTGACTCGAGTATGCCGACAGATTCGAGAGGAGTTCCTGCCGATGTTCCTGAAGAAAACCAAGTTCGTTATACTTCCCGCGCACTTCAAAACTCACGTCGACACGTTCTATCCATTCGGCGAAGAAGATTTCACTGAGAGCAAAAGCATGCGAGGGCGACATAACCCTTCTCTGGGACGCTGAAGGCTTTGACTACTGCGTCATCAACCTTACACCCGTTATCCATTTCCTGTTCCTCTGCCCATGGCTGCGGTGTGAGTTCAAGACCTTCGCTTTATGTCCATATTATTTGATCAGCGAGGACATCAACAAGCTACTAGCGGCTTCGACGAACGAGGAGTGGCGGTATGCGGTCTTACACTTCGTTTCCCGGATCTGTCTCAAGGGCTCAGCCGATATCCCATTTTATATGCTCGACATGAGCCAGGACCACGACATGTTGGACGATAATCCTGTTCCTCAAGTGTCTTTCGTTCTGGAAGACAACGTTGGGCTCTCGGATCTCGCCAGGCCCTGGGGAGGCATAAGGGGCTGGTTGGGGGGCATGGGTATTGATATTATGGAACATTGTCGGCTTACCCTGACAGTCCCCAGCAATAACTCGTTCCACTTGGAGGATCTATTGGTGCTGCGCTGAGGGTAGCGCGAGCGAGAACATCGGCTCTCAGCGCGATTACCGCATAGGGAGGACTTCGGGTATGAGATGCGAGCCATTGAGCCGGATGCATTTTCCTTGACTCTGGAAGGAGGTTATAGGAGGGAACTGAACGTCTTCTCGCATTCGGAGTTTTAGCACTGTGGGTAACTCCAACGTGGGAGCCTCCCTAGAGACATCGGGCTATTACCGTCATTTCCCTGGATACGTTCGGTCCACACTCTCTGCCTCACCCTAAATACCCCGAGAAGCGTTGAAACGGACTTGTGGCAACCCAGGGTATTTTCGTAGCTCCAGCCCCTAAGCAGTGAATAGCATAGCACGTGACTTCTATCTTTCTTAGACAATGCCCAGGTACTATTATTTGCTAGATGGAAGTACATTACATCCATATTATGCATAGGTATGGGTAAGGGAATCGCACGGTCGCCCTGACCGGGGCTGGAGAAGTCCAGCGCTGCGTCTTCAGCCGTCGCTGCTCTCGCGTATCGAATTCCCGACCCTGGGAAATCTCGCTAACGTAACCGATACAATTTCTAGCATAAGGGTAAGTTAATTGACTGCTTTTCCCCAGTAAGTAGTGTTCAAAGCGACCATATGTCCACCGAGAGGAGGCAAGCTCCGGAGTCAAGTATCACGAGGCAGGCAAGTCCGACTCAACAGTGACAAAGGAATCCACGAGCGGACTTCTCTGTCTATCGGGAGAGCTGCAGCAACATATGCACAATCTGTTCAGTACCGCATCCGCTCCGACTGCAGCCTCTAGATGCAGCAGATGACAGAAGAGGCACATCTTTCGGCGATTTGGCGTCATTTCTTGCAAACGGCGGTCAAGGGCACGGAGATCGTGACTAGTGAGGCGCGAGCTATCTCAATTAAACTTCAAGATGACATCGAAGTGCATTTTCGGACAGCCGAATACTTTGAACCCTTCACCTAGGTGCTGGATTGTTTAGGTTATCGCACGAGACCCCGCGTCCATCGCACCTTCCCTCCTTTGCCCACCCACATAAAATTTGTTCAACGCGCCAACTTCACCTCACCACACCAACGCACTCGCGACAACAAAAAAATGTCGCAAGCGCGCGAAGAGGAGATGGCTGCGCAGCGGCGGGTCCGGCGAAGCCCGGCCGACGTTGGTAAGTAATTTTAGCTCGTGTCGATATTCCCTGCTAATGAATTTTAGCCTGGCTGAGCAAGTACGACACCTACGTCAGGTACCGCCGGGGGACTGAAGCCGCGAGGAGGGTGATCGACCAGAGTGAGGACGAGGGGGTAGCGGCAAGACTCGGTGCCAAGATAGCCCATGCCGAGAAGAGGATGCCCGAGTTGCGCCGCGAACTCATCGATGCTCCTGCCCAGACCGGAGGTGTCTCTGGCTCTGCGGTGAAGAGTGGCCTCATCGCGGATGGTGATGCCGAGCAGAAGATGAAGGACGCCGTCCAGTTGCTGAAGGTGGCCAAGCAAGAAATGAAGGAGGCCATCCAGTTGTTCAAAGAGGCCAAGCAGGAAATGAAGGAGGCCGAGTGGAAGATGATGGATTTGGAGGCAATCAGGGCAAGGGAGAGGGGCCGCCAGCCGACGATGGAAGACTTCCCGCCCACTGTGCAGGGCCCCTTCAATGCCCTTTATGCCGGTGAGTACATCGCCATCCTTTATAAACCTACTAACTTTAACTCTCAGATGGTGCCGACGCCGGGTATGACCGAGATAGCATTGCCGACCCCGCCCGTTATGGGCGACACCAGACACGCCGCAACTGCGCGCCCCAGCCGGAGCCGGGTATTTCCGGGGTGCTGCCTCCACCGAAGGCAGACGAGGCGACGGAGACGGTGTCGCGGTGAAGCAGGAGCAGGGTGACTCCTCTCCATTATTTGATGACCACGAGACAGTGGTTATTAAACGTGAGGAATAGGTTGGTGTGGTGGTGTGAGAACGCCATGATTCTGTTGGAATTCCCGCTGGTTGTCAGCGAACATTGGATCAAAAGGCGTCGCCGCTGTCGGTGATGTCCCCACAACAGCTAGTACGGCTCGGTTCAGACGATACCAAAAGCATGCTGACCTCAGGAAAGAGTCGTCATCGTCTCTCATGTACTATAGATAGCCGTTTAATAATGGACGTGTCATAACCCAACTCGTTGCCCCACGCCTCGGAGACCTGTACAGTGTTTATCTTTTTATGGCGCTGTAGGCTTTATATCTGTACGCACGGCGTTGACCCACTATCTTCAGTCTGAGACATGTGTTCTTCAAAGGCATCATGCGAATCATCCGCACCAGCGACATTGGTGGCCTTTGAGCACCAGTAAAGCTGCGCTCCAGCAACATGAATGCCCTATTGTTTCCTAGCAAGGACTGGTGGCGTTGTTCAGCGCAAGTATACATCGTTACTGAACATCTATGCCGGTCATACCCAACAACGCGAACTACACCCAAGACGAACCAATAGACCACCTCCTCTAGTTACTCATCTCGTCCTCAGTTGCCAAAAACACTCCACATTCCGTCTTCTTTTGCTCCTTCCTCGGCATCGCTTCCCTACTGTTAAAATCCCATGACACTCCAGGACCGCCAACAACTACCCAGTCCCGTAGTACCTTGGAAAGCATCGCGCTCTCTCAACTGCGTCCATAACCGAGCCCACTGCGCTCTAACGCCCTTTTGTTGTTGTTGCCCAAATTGCACCGAGGGGCTCCGGTCGATCGGTGGCGGGATGTTCAATCAGGGCCTATTGCCCTTGGCCTTTATCTCGCTTAGCAGGTTCTGGCCGCTGACCTCGGAGGGCCGGCACATGTTGGGGAATTCCGTACACCGTGGATCTCACAAACCTCGCCTACAGCCATGACGGACCGCCGCCCTGCCTATGAACGCATGGACGATTTGCTTTCGAACTTTGAAGGCCGTTGGGCCGGGGTTACGGAGAGTCAGAGGAAGACTGCCGAGACGTTGCCAGAGGAAAGTGACGCCCACGAACGCAGCGACATCAACGCCTCATGCCACCTGCCCGTGGTTCTGTGATACCCTGTTCCCTTCTCTTAATTTTGGCGTCTTTTGAGTCCTTTTGTGCGTAGGCGTAGTTAGCATAACCTCTATAGGTTGGTGACTTAAAACGAGAGAAATCAATCAATCAATCAACGCCTCGCGGGCCGAGGAGGCCGACCGACGGCGAATCTTGACGACGGCTGAGAAACCTGTTGCGCCAGCCAGACTTAGAACGGCGCGGGGGTTGCGCAGGACTTTATTGCCGAGATGAAAGCCCGATTGCCAGCAGCTGCTGTCACGAACCAGTCGACGTCTCGTCGGGGATGCCGACGGACGGAGTTCTGGGCGTTCAGGAGACAAGTACGATGGGCTCTCACCCACAGTATCGCACCCCCGTTTGCTGATCAAGCTAGGCGCCAGAAAATGGACGAAGAAGCCCGGTCACAGTCAGCGCCGTCAGAGGGGGAGAGCTTGCCGCAGAGCAGTGCACTCAGTGTGATACACTGGAGGCGTCCGTCGTGATTTGTTGGTCGGGTCTGAGTCCTCTCGCCGGTTGTCGGTGACGCAGGATGGGGTAGAATCAGAGCCTATTAGCCGGTCATACGGACAAGCTGGCGTGATTGATTGATTGATTTCTCTCGTTTTAAGTCACCAACCTATAGAGGTTATGCTGACTACGCCTACGCACAAAAGGACTGTTGCATGGAACATCGGGTGGTGCAGGAGACTGCCTACGGGACTGTTCTGAGAAGGCAGGCAATGCCTGCGCGAGGTCTGCCCGTTGGTACTGAGGAGGCAGAGCACGTACAAGCCCGTCTAAATCCTCGCGACGCTGCACGCTCTAAAAGCGCCTTCCTCCCAGGCATACACAGCATCGCAGGTGAACAATGTGTGAGAGAAGCGAGAACGGCAGGCGGCACGCAGAGTCAGGATCGCGGCGTTCTTCCCACGTTACGGCGTGGCAAGGGGTTTCTGCTCGAGCTGCAACCAACCGCCACGGATCATCTGTGCCCCCGTTCATCTGGGCCATGACCAGCCGTACTGCCGCACATGTTGATGCATGGAGGGGTTGAAGCTATTTGAGGTCTACGACCGCTATCGGATGATGGACGTCTCGATTAATGGAAATCGTGGACAGAAGCCCGGTAGACAGCAGTCATCTGCAAGCGCCACTTCTCCTATCTTTTACATCTGGCCGCACATGCTTCCTGCCGTGTATTGTCAAAGGCTCTAAGGCAATACGGCGGTCGGTGCGGCATTCGGGGCGTGGGGAATAAACTTGTCGTGAGTAGTGGACTCCTGTGTCCCAGCCGTCGGGGCAGTTCATCATAATCACGAGCTGGTACAGGCATCAGCTCTCTCTGCGCACGCTGTTCACACTCTGGTCTATCTCCTTTCTAGCCCATGGACTCGGGTCCCCTAGGGCTCGCGCTGGCTGATCTGGGGGTGTACGTCCAGTCATCAACGGTAAGAAACCAGGCGATAGCGGATAGGATCTGGAGCCTAAAGTGACATAGAGGGTGAGTCATCGTTGAGGATTGCACAGCGGAGCGGCTGCAGGTGTGACGGTGTCGTGGCTGCGGCGTACGTTCGAAGCAGACGCGGTTGGGTTTCTCAGTTAGGCATAGCGCTCCGCTGAACACTATGCCTAGTTTGGAACGCTCTTATTATCCCACACCTTAGCGAATACATAGTCTTTGTCTTTCTGTAGCGCTGTAGACTTTATATCTGTATACACGTCGTCGACCCTAGCGTCTTCCGTCTGCGGCATGTGACCTTCAAAGAACTATACGAAGTAGTGCCATACCAGATACCCTTAGGCCTCGCAACGCAACACTACGCGCGGCCACGCCTCTGGGCATACCTTATAAGACCCTGTCCGCAACCAAGCCTAAGTTCTGACATCCGGCACTGCCCCAGTGTTCCTCCGTCGAATTCGAAACGGCACCTTGCCATCCGCCCGTTGAGCCCCAGCCCCATAATCGTCCTCACTCGGTCCGACCTTTCCCTTCCCCAAGAACTCCACATCAAACATCAACACCATGCTCGCCAGAATGAGCAGAATCTCTCGACGCGCAAGATGCCGTCCGAAACAGCCACGTGGCCGCCCACCGTAAGGAATCCAGTGGCCATTTGCAGCCATGCCTTGCATGTCGAAGACTGGTTGAGACGAAGAGGGGTCGCCGGATGGCTTGTGAGGGCGGCCCTCGCTCGTGACAGGATCCTTCTTGCGAGGTCCGCTGGTGGGGTCATTGGGATATGTGAGAAAGCGGTCGGCCCAGAACTCGGTGACGGGGTGCTCGCCATTCGGTCCCTCGTTCCACGCATCGCGATCATAATGCGCGGTTGAAGTCAGAGTAACGATATGAGTTCGCGGAGGCACATTCCATTTGCCGATCTTAACCACCTCCTGGGCTTTGCAGCGGTAGATGTACACGACGACGCGAAGACGCAGGGTCTCGGAGTAGATGGATTGCAGCAGCGGCTGGCGGAGGAGCTTGTCGTGGTCGAAAGTCGTTGATGCAGTTGGAGAAGCGTGGAGTGCAGATACTGCTTCGGCACGAGCGCGAGAGAGGAGAGACGGGTCGTAGAAGGTTTCGAGGCAGGCCCAGAAGGAGGAGGTGAAGGTATTAGCGGTGGCGCTAGGTCTAGTCAGCAAATTCGCCTTGTCTAGCTTGAATATTCGATGAACTTACCCCCACAAAGCTGCCAAATCATCAGCAGCAAGCGCATCCGCATCAAACCCATCAACACGGCGAAACTTCCCCGTTCGGTCGCGGAAGAACTTAGTCCCCCACACCGGATCAAAAGTGTCCTCATCACAGGCTCCAAACTTCTCATCATGCTCGTTAGCAAACCGATGCCAGTCCTTGATATCCGCGAGCAGCGAGTCCCTCAGCTTATACGCCTTCCGGTTAAAGATGCGCGGAACGCCCTTGAGCATGCTCGCCGCACACGCATTATACTTCCACAAATTGCCGCAGAACTCAGGGCAATTTTCCAGAATAAAGCGCCCGCAGATCGTCTCAACAAGAGGGATCGTGGTGTGCAAGGTCATAAACTCGAAGAAGTCCGGGTATACGACCCACTCACTTCCGATCTCCAAGCCTTCAATGTGCGTCTTGAAGCACTCAGCGTACCGCTCGAAGATCTTCTCCATGTTCGAGCTGCGCAGGAAGTCCACAAGAATCTGGTGCAGGAAGAGGTCCACGCGGTTCCGCGCGTTGACGTTGCTGAGAGGATTTGGGTGGGGCTTGAAACCGGAATCATCCTCCCAGATACGGTTGCCAGCTTCCTTAGGGATGCCGCCTAGGTACCGGAGAACGTACCAGTGTGCAGTGGGGAGGGCGCTTGAGGCGTCTTTGAAGAGGTCGACGACGTTGGGAGCGCCGAAGACGAAGACTAAGTCTAGGGAGAGGGTTTTGACGCGGATGAGGCCCTCCTTGGATGCTCGTTGGCTGTGGGATGTTAGCCCTGGAGAAGTTGCATGATTGGAGGATGGGTAAAGTGGTACACTTACAGTGTGTTATTAACAAAATGCGCAGGGGCCAGCAAGTAGGAGAGAGCGGTCCCATACTTGGGAATGAAGCTTGGGTAAGTGGGAGGAAGCTGGGTGCCAACGCGATGGGCATACCTACGGTAGTAGGATACGTAACACAGGATATAGCGAACGATGAGCCACATGAATAGTAGCGTCATTATTGCCCAAAGAGGGTGTTGAGCCACGAAGGGCATTGAGGTGTTAGTAGGAATAGAGGGATGTTTGAAGAATAGGGTGTGTAGGCCCTGCCAACTGCTCGTGGGCAGCACGCTGAGCCAGCCAGAAGTCGGTTTTGCGTTGAATTGCATGTTTGGAGTAGTTGGGAGCGCTCGATCGCGAGGACGAGCGGCGAGACTGAACGTCCGGCCATATTTAAATACTCAATGAGGAAATCCAAGAGATGTGACTTATTGCGGATGACCGGTCACTCAGTGGCTGCGCCGCATGGGGGCGGGAGGCCTGAAACTCTGTTGGCGTTGTGAATGGAGTAGGGAAAGGCAATGCTATAGGTGCTGACATCGCCCCACAAACGCGCCTATCTTCAAACGATTCTGTATGCGAGAGGATGGGCAAGGGGAAGAATCCTTCTGCAAGTGATGTTCTAGTAAAATCCAATGAAAAGACTGCCTGGCCTGTCGATGCAAGGTGAACGCGTTTACGCCTGGCTGCGCGAAGTCCGCTGAAGGCCGTCATATTGCGGCTTTTAGGCGCCAAGACTGATTTGACCGAGCGGCAGTAGTAGTGGGACTTCATTGGCAGCTAATACCATCGTGGACCATGCTAATGTTCATATTTCATTATATCAAGTCTGTGAAATACGAGTTCTATGTGCTTGAAGAAGATGATCGACCCGTAAACAACGCTGGACCCTGGATTATCGAACGCCGCCCAATGCACGAGTCCTTCGTGTCCTTGCAAGAGCAATGCTAAGCGGTCTTAGTGTGCGAGCCGAACCTCAAACATCCCACTCTTTCTTCTCATTGTAAGCAGCGACTTCCCTTGCCTTCAATCTCTCGTCCCTCTCCGCAGCCTTCCTCTTCCTACTATCGAGCTTCTCCTTGTCTTCCCGCATGCGTCGGATAAGTGCGGACTTCTCACGGATCTTGTGGCCGTAGCGGTAGAACACGAGGGGAATGGGAATCATCGCAAACTCTATGAACGAGAGCATGGTAGCGGACCAGTGAGGTCCAAGAGTCTCATACCTATGGGGTGTCAGTACGGAGCCAGCGTAACCAGCGGGGAAGACAAACATCTTGGGGCCTGCAAGCGGGAGCGTACCGCCCATAGCGCTTCGAAGCACTGCGTTACCGGCCAATGCAGATGCGGCGTAGATTCCATAAGAGTGTACGAGGTAGTTCGAGGCATAGATGAAAACGCCGCAATTGCCGGCGCCGAAAGGAATGCCGGCGATCAAGGGTGCTATCCAATGGACATTCGGCGTACAGGTCCACGCGAAGATCAACTCGCCGACCGGAACACATACAGCTGCAATGCAGACGATGCTGACCATGGCCTCTGGGGGCGGTTTACCTGTCTCAGGATCGAGCTTGTGGCTGTTGATGAGGCGGCGGAGGAGGGGTTCGGAGCAAATGGTAACCATACCTATCTCGCATGAGATGACATTTTGGGTTAGCCGGGGAGCAGCTTACCTCCAATACCAATCCCTACATAGCCAAGACCTGTAAGGCCAGCACTCCACCCGCGTAGTTCGCCGAACACAATGGGGTACGATACAAAGCACAGATACAACACTCCATAGACCAGTGCGATGTACACGTTCCAGAAGATACTAGCTAGGGTGTCAGCAGTGAGCAGGATATGCATAGAACTGAACGTACCATATTGGCTCCTTTACGCTCATCTCCAGAGGCCGAACGAGGTTCTCCTTGAGCATTGGGAAGAACTTCTTCTTGTCTGCGAGGGTAGCGACACAGTTAGCGAGCGTTTGGATTGGGAAGGCGAGTAGGGAAGTTAACACTCTAGTGTGCCTTGGCATTTACCCGCTGAAGGCCTTTAGGAAGAGTCTTCAAGAGGTAGAAGCTAAGACAAGCTAGTGTGTGTACCCCGGCGTACATACCGTCGTAGCGCGAATACCAACGGTCGTCGCCCGTCTCTTTACGCTTCTTCGCTGATTTGGCTCGTAGAAGAGCTGGCGCGTAAGTCTCTCCGATGACTAGAAGCGTTAATTAGGCTATCTTGACTTGCTTCGCAGGGGACGTACGGGCCACCATGAACCACGACAATCCCGATCCAATCATAACAACCCAATTTGTCCATCTCCATCCCAGATACTGAAAAACGAATCCTCCGATTACAGGCCCGACGACTGGTCCGTTCATAGGACCTATAGACCAGACGGAAAATGCGAGAGCCCGGTAATCATCGCTCACGATATCGGCGACAGTACCAGGCGCATTGGATATCATAGCTGAACCGGCGATGGCACCGAAGAATCGAACAACTAAAATGGTTTCCAGGTTCTTCGCTAGGGCACATGGAATGATCAACACGGTAAACATGAAGACAGCGATCAGATAAACAGGCCGGCGGCCATACATCTCACTCAAAGGCGCTAGAACGATAGAGCCGAGAGCAAGACCAGCGAGGTAGGTCGTGACGCCCAGAACGATAAGGGTTTTCGATGTAATGTCGAAGGTGCTCATCATGCCAGGGATGCCGCTCGTATACGAGGTCGAATACATTACTACCACGAGGGTAGAGAAAGACATGATGAAAATAATAGTGCCCTTCTTCAGCATGGTCCAGTCTTGGGGGTTTTCGCCGTCATCATCGAAGTCGATTTCATATCGGGGATCTGATGTCGTATTGGTGGTGACAGTGGTGATGTGCGCCAACGACTTGTCGGGTTCTTCCAGTCCGGCATTTCGACTTAGTGTTTGCTGTATGGATTGAATTTCTTCCTCTGAAGAGCTGATGGAGTTGGTTGACGTCGAAGATAACGACGAACGGTCGTCCTCGGTCTCGAGCTCCGAGGCGGTGTCCTTAGAAGGCGCGGCGCTCCCGATCTCCTTCTCGTCGATGTGCATGGCGGGCTCCGCTCTTGGCCCGCATGAAATGCAGAAACGGGATACCGGTACGACAAAAAAAAGCGAGGAAACGAAGGACCGAAGGGAGCAAGTTGAAACAAGAAATTCTATGGCGCGAGAGAGAGGACGAGGCAAGGAAAAGCCTCGCACTTAGCCTATCTCCGATCACCTTAGATCCTTTTGGCGCGGCGCCATTCCGTCTTTCTAGTAGCGCTGCCCGCTTTTCTGCTTGGGCTTGGTGTTTGCGGATCGGCCGAGGTGCAATGGGCGGCGGCATGCCCCCATTCGATCAGGATACCGAAGCCCCGAGCGCTCATTGGCCCCATCTTGTGAATTTTGATGGCGCGATAGAAAACGTTTGGTGTAGTGGACGAATCGTAGTGTGAAGATTTTTGAGCGAGGGAGGAAGGATCACGTGGCGTCGTATTCGGCACGGCAATTGTGCCGGCTAAACTGCACCCAAAATCATTTGTCATCAGATATCAACTTCAGCCCGTCCCGCAGACGTCAACGACGCGTCTTCGCAGTTCATACATCGATACATAGAGTACGTCGAAGCCTCTTGTTCCGTCGCTGGGGAGCTGACAGTCGTAGAACAGATCCAGAAGCTGACCCTAGTCTCCCTGCATGCCACCGTTCGCATCGATCCGCTTTCCTTTCCGTCCTCGAACGCGCCATCTGCATGAAGTATACATTGCCGAGAGTAGGAGTGAGTGCTATCCGTGCTTCTGTCCTAGAACGCAGACGGTGCTTAGGACCTAGATGTGGCAATGCTCGTCAACAAGACTTTGGAGAGTCGCGTACGTCTTGCACCGGAGGACTGCATTTGCTACAGATGAGAGAGCACTATCCTCCGGATATTAGTTCACTCGGCTCAACGACCATGCACAATGCGCCGTGAACGATGTCAGACCTGCGCCGTGGAACAGTACACCCCGAATTTGCTTGATTAGTTTATATCGGGATTTACTTCCATGCGAACTGCGTACATACGGCTAGCCTCGCGCGTTCGGGAAGAGAGGAATTTCTGCCCTCGGCCGCTGGTGTTCGATCACTCCGCTCCCCGTTCAGGACGGCGCAGTCAAGATTTGCGAGCTCTCTCATTGCTGGTCGCTAAGGAAGCCGCGCCCAGCCACCTTTCTTCTCTCATTCAGTCCATGTTGTCCTCTCTTTTCTTTTCAACTCTACTCTCTTACCTTGTGCGATCGTTCTCACTGTTTTAGCTATTCTTCACGCCTCTATATGGCTTTTCAAAGGTGAGAGCATGAAGAGCTCCGAAGCGCGCTGCCTTCATGCGTGGAATTGACCACAGTCCTCTGTCCCTCGCAAGGGCCCCATAGCATGATATGCAGCTATAAACTCTCTCCAACAATGGTCTACTGGTCTCGCGTTCAGGTCACAATCCGTCTGATGCGCTCCCGTCCCTCGATCGCGGATACTTACTTCGAATACCTTGGACCCCACATAGGGAAGCATCACTTCGCAACAGTCCTCCGATGGCACCAACGTCGGGATCCTCCAATCAGCATCGAACAAGGTATTTGCTGGAAGGGGGTTGCGGCTGCATGATGGTCAACCACCGTTCCCTTCATGCGTCCGTCGGAGCGATTAACACATCGACGGAATTCCGCGCACTCGTTCTAGGGCGAAATGGGAAACTGTGTCCAGGAGTTGCTTCAGTGCCTTATCGTTTGTCGAATAGTTTAGCTTAGCGGATTGCATGGGTCAATCCGTGGACGCCATCGGGGCGCTCCCGCCAAATTTCGCGATGCTTGGCACCGGATGGAAAAACGTCCTCCCGAGACACTCTCGTTTGACGGACGGCAGCGGCGTTTCGCCTCAACCTATCGACGACTGCACAACCAGCTTCCGGCACATTTGCGGTCACGCTGCACTTTCTCCTGCGGACTCTTTCGACCTGCCCCGCGCCATTTGGTTGACCGACGGCACGTCAGGCAACGCAGCCATGGCTGCTTCGGGCGGCGCTGCGTTCTACCTCCAGCAGTATCACCACATCGTTCTGCCTCGCGACGTGCCCGGGAGGGAGGAGCAAAACCTTTCCCGGGTCGAGTCGGGTCTTCTCGACCGTCTTGTTTCTGCCGTCAAAGCTTTCACACAATTCGTCGCTTCCGAACACCAGGCGGCCGTGGACGCAGTCCGTCTGGCGCTTTCGACATGCAAAACGCTGAACGTGGAGGGCAAAATTGACAAAGCGCAGTTGCTGAACGAATTCCGACAGCTTGGAGACAGCCATGCTCTCATCCTCTATGTGACGGAGCAAAATGCAGCGCTGCTCGTCTACAATGATGCAAGGTGAGTGGTACTACCTCTAGACCGTCTGGTCACTATGCGCTGACTCCGGACGCAGCGACTCTGGGAAGAGACACATGACTTTTGAGGCGTTCGAGACCTCTGCTTCTTCCGAGAAAGTCCTGGCTTCCAAGGGTGCTCTGCAGTGGGACTTTCCGGGACAGGCCGTGTCCCTTCCTCCCGAAGTCTACACCGACGAAGCGTTTCAAGAGAGTCTTGCGGCCTTTCTCGATCAAGCCAGCGGCGAATCAGTCAAGCAGTTCGCTGCGGTCACATACAAAGCTTGCGCCCCGCTCCCGGAAGTCCGAGATACCGCGGACCCTACTTTGGTGACTAGTATACTAATGGCGATTCTCGAGGCCAATGGTGCGAGTTGCTTTCCTTCACTCCTTCGCAAACGTGTCCGCGATACAGTCTCGTTCGACAAGGCTGATAAGCCATGGCGGAGGTCCCCCTTCTACCTTACTCTCCGAGTAGCCCTGCAACGTCATCTGTACAGGTTACTGGGACCAGACATCGGCAGGCTGTACTACAAGACCATCATATGCATCTTCCTGTCGACCTTCTTAGACAACGCATTTCTGCTTCTGCCGCACGAAGCAACGCATTCTTTACGGCAAAAGCTTGGTCGTCGTCTCAGCAAGCTAGAACTGGACCGCGTTAGGAGCTCACGAGCGACTAAGGACTTCTATGCTCTTGTTTTCAAAGCTCTTGGGCCGCTTTTCGAGAAGTCTCTAGCCTCGGCGACCCGCCTCCTTCAGTCGCAATGGGATGCATACAACAGGAGGACAGGGCGCATCATCCGCCCCCTACCCCGATTTGCGAGTCGACCAGATGTCTACTTGCAGCTCCCGCTCAGTGGAGCGTATCTCACTCATGCCTTTTATTGGAAGGGATCCGGTATGGCTGGTCAAGTGCAGTCACCTGCCGATTTCTTATACCGCTACGAGGATTCCGCTCCCGGTCGACCGTTCCATGCCGTCACCGATCATTACCTGCCCCTCTGCAAATTCCAGGAAGAAGTAATAGAGCCTCTGCTCACACGCGCTGATCCTTCCTTAGAGCCCGAGCTCCGATGCGTACAATTGTCGTCTCATATCGCGTCACATATCTCGACATTCGGGAACGCCTTCCATGACTACCCTGAACTGTTGAGCAGGCAGCTTCTTTCGTTGATGGAATTGTGGGTAGCCATGGACAAAGCTGCCACAACATGTTACCGCCATCTGGCCGACTATCACCCAGGTTTCGAGCCAAGCATGCTCGACGCCCTCCAGCTGCCCTCATTAGATGAACTAAAACGGCTGCACGAGGTGCAGTCATACATAGCGGAACGCCGCCGTGGATGGAGCGGCACCGGTCCGAAGACGATCTTTGCAAAGCCTGAGCAGAAGTCCTTCGCCGCTCGATACTACGACGAAGCATCGGAATCTGCACAGCTGATGGACCTTCGTCGCCGTATTGAATGCAATGCCGAGATGGCACGTGAGGCCAAAGAAGAGGAATGGGACACGAAAAGCTGCATGCACGAAGCGCTTGTAAAGGAAATGGCTTCTTTATCGTGCGTCTTCACTACGGAGGTCGATGACAACGGCTATCCCAGGCGCGTCCACAAAAAGGGCTGCCGCAGGCATAGACTCAAATGGCAAGCCAAACAGATTGAAATTGAGATATTCGAGTACCCCCTGCCGGATCCGGAGCCGGAGGTCAAAGCCGCAATATTCGAATTAGCTTGCCCCAAGGCCTTCGCAGCCTACCGAGACGCATCATGGTTGATCCTGTCCACCTTTGCTTATCCCAACCCAGAGAACCCAAAGAAAGTTTCTCTTCTTCGCGATTACGGTGGGCTACAGGAATATGCCAATGGACTGGAGCCAGGGGTAACCTTGGCGTCGTCCGTCAAATCACACCTGGATTCCCACTACGCCACTTCAAAGTTTCCGGTCATGTTCCATCAGGTCTGTAAACCGTTTGCCCTGAAGCTGGAGTACTACGACACCAATGGCAACGCTTGTGTGGTGAAGGACGTTGAACCCTCCTTTTCACACCTATTTCCATTGAAGCTTCCAAGCTCCTCACCTTTTCAGCCATTCCAGCACTCTGGTGACATCTGGCCTTCTTCAAATGTGATATTGGCGAGCCAGACTAGGTGTCCGCCTGATCTGAATGTCCACGAATTCACGGCGTGGCAAGGGCTACTGATGGGAACCTACTGTCGGTGGCCATCTTTATTGCGTGAACTGGGTTCGGCGAACATAAACTTCTCCACTGATTCAACCTGGGCCGTTGTCTCCAGGCTCATTCTTCAAGCTGGGCCTTCCTCCTCGGGCGACACTCTTCGAGACACCCATTCCATATTCCGGGACGCCCAATTCTGCAAGAAGATCCTTGGCCAAGTTGAGCAGCGTCTTGCCGCGATTCAGCGAAATTGGCGAGAGCCCGTGCAGATGGACATGCTCATATCGATCGTGTTGAAGGTCCTCTCGCTTACTTGCAACAAGAAGATCTGCGCAATATCAATAGGTCTACTCGATAGAGCCCGCGATATAACCCGCGGTTGGTCGATCAGCCTACGATCGATGGGCAACGATCATGGCCATGGACCGTCAATCTTCGCTATCTGGGCGTCAGTATTGTCCAAGAGGACTTTCTACGCCCGCATTGGAAGGCCTGGAAATACCGTAGACGATGAGGCATTGCGATGCTTCATCGGCGCTTCCATTGATCTCCAGAACAATTTAGTTGGGCAGTTCGAAACCTTGCCATACAACGTACGGAACGCAGTTTTGCAAGACTTGATCTCCGCCTATCAATTTCGTCATCATGTCCTAGATGCCGTCGCGGGCAATCAACATGCTCTTCTCGCGGCGCTGAACCATATTTGGCCCGTTCCGCAAGATTGTATGGACCATCCTAGCGAGGTCCAAGTCACTCCAAACTCGTGGTGGACACAACTCATCTTAACGTCTGTGAAGCACGGGGTTACTCGCCACGTGCACTACAATGTGTTATATGGAGCTCTCTTGATCGATGGGCAGCTGCTTGGAGCGCTCCCCCCGGAGTATCGCCGATGGCCCATCATAGATGAGCTTTTTGGCACACAGGGTCTTCAGATTCTGCCGTCTCCGTTGCCTGGCATGTCACTTGTTGTGAACCGTCTCATGCCTTACGGTCATTGGGTCCATGTTGGCTTCCGAGGGGATTCTCTGGTCATTCGAGCCGTACGTCGAGGGGAGATACTTGAATTGATCAACCGGGATTTATTTACGCGATCACAGCGATTTGATCTGCCCGCACCTCTGATCACGGGCTGCTATCACTGGTTAAATCTCAATACTGGCGTGTTAGAAATCCGACAAGACGATCCGTGGAAGTCGAAAAAGAACAACTGGTACCTGAACATTCATACTCGGCGCGCTACGAGGAAGAGTGTGCACGTCCTCGTGGACCCAAACAGCGCTGTTGCGTCCCGAGTGTTCCAGAATTTTCATATGTTCGAATACGCCCGTAACATTACGGTCTACCAACCACCAATCGGCAGCATGAGAGTGGAGCTGAAGCGGCTCGAACTGGATTTCTTCGTCAATCGGGCAGGCCTGCTCCAGAGTCCTCAACTTGGCGCTGTCATCGCGGAGTCCCGCCTACAGGACCCAGGAACCTGGCACGGTTTGAGGAGCAAGATAGTAGTTCGTTCGGTTAAGAATCACTCTAAATTGAGCATTCTGGTACCTATCGGCGAAGTTGAAATTGAGAGGGATGCACAACACGTCGCAATTGTCATCAAAAATACTGGCATCTATCTCAAGTTCACCTTGAATGAGGTTCTAGGCCGCATAGAGTGTCCGGCTGAGCCTCGATTGCTTTATACAAGGGCGCTTTTGCATGCTCTTACGTCCCACTTCTTGCCAGATCGGTTTACCGGACGCACGGGCGTGGAAGAAGCCTTGTACTATCTTCAGACCGGCTCATACCTTCCTTGGACGTCTCTCCCTGCGGAGGTTATGGACATTCTCATACACATGGCGGCACTGACACCGGCTCGAACCTATTACCCCGCTAACCTCAAATGCATGGAAACAGTACACTGGGACCACCGCTTGCCAACTTCGATCCAGGATGATCGATACCGAGGTCTCATCGAGAGAATTTGCCAGAGAAATACCGACCTTTCTCCTTTCACGGCTGCACCGGAAAATAACCAGCGTGCATGTCCCGCTGGCGATCACCATTTGGAGTCTCGTGCCCTGTCACGCATTTATGCTTATCGTGCCAAGGATGACGAGGTCTATCAGACTCGCGACCGTCGCGCGATGACCGATGAACATCGGCACATTAAGCTGACGTGCCAATTGCTCTCGGAGTGGCCTAAAAACATTCTGAATACTCCAGTATTAGGGTCGCTTCTGGAGAAATTCCCAATTATTGGTGGATATGGGCGTTTATTTGACAAAGTTCAGCTTACCGACCTCCTCAACGTTGACTTTGGTATTGATTGGGGTGCGCTTTCCCAAACCGCCATTGACTCGCATGAGAAGGACAAGTATCGCCTAATGTTCATGTTTTCCCCAATGGCGTTCTCCTCCGAGACGCCGATGGAGTTGATACGGGTTCTGATTTCTTTTGCTGTCTTTGCAGAGCTGAAAGAGCTCATTCCGCCAGCAGTCCCCGCGTACAACCGCTTCCAGCTAGGCAGGATTCCGGAGGCCAAAGAACTTGCTGAACTTCTGAAGGATGCCAAGGTGCTCTTCGCGTCAGAGGACCAAGCCCAGGATACACTGCGCGGGCAATTAGCACTTAGGCGGTTGGAGCACGACAAGGAAGCAACTCGAAGCTGCGAACAATTCGTGGAATCTATACTAGCTCAGTGGCCCAACAAAGAAATCGATGCAGACCATCTGCATAAGACTAGCGAGAAGGTATTCGACCGCGATGAAGCCTTGGCCCTTATGCTTCCGGAATGGGGGCGACTTACCGAGAACTTTGAACTTTCCCAGTACCTCGAAAAGGTACAGCTTGTTCTGCTTCGCCACAGCCGCGACGAGCGTGACCAGCCTTTTGACCATTTCGAGAGCATGGACATGGCTCCTCCGCGTCCCCTACTCTACCCTATTGCAATAAAGGGTGGAGAGGCTCCCAGCATACAAGAGTTGCTACAGAAAGGGCTCCCAGGATACACAAATCTCAGCGCCGCTACTTCTCCTTCTCAAGGCACTCCTGCCGTCCTTTCTTCGTTGCCGAATGGGGTACATCAAATGCCTCGTCCCTCTAAAGACACTCCCCGGGAGGTCAAGAACACATTGCCTATCCCCGATGCACCTGCACATATCCAGGAACTTCGTAGAATTATTGCCCCATACAGGCATTCTTCATCCTTGGTGCAGAAGCGATACGGACTAGAACTCGAGCAGAGCATCGATGCGCTAGTCACTCATATAGGCGAGCCGAAGGTCGAGCCGCAACCTTTCAACCCCACAGAGTTCTCAAAGGAGATGTTCCAAGCCAAGGAGCATATACGTCACTGCATGGAACGCATCCGTGGGGCGCTTCAGAATGGGGATAGCTGTGCCAAATGGCTCCAATACGCTGGACTATGGCCAAGGGTGACGCCGATTACTCTCTTGACTGAACTCCGTTCCACTTCCGGTGTTGCATTTGGGAACGGTACAAAGCATGCGCTTGTGGCGCTGGGCTTAGCTATCACGAGCTACCAGCGACTTTTGAGGATAGAGGCTGCGATTCAAAAGGGTGTGGGTCGTCAACAGGGTCGTCAACAGCAAATTCTTGATGAGCGCAATAATCTGGGCCATCAGAACTGGTCTCCGCTGGAGTATGCTGATTGGCTTCTTCTAGAGATCGATAGCGATGTTATGCTGCGGCCCGAACAAGTTGAGGTTGCCCAGGCTACAATATCACCCAGCTCGGGCGAGAACTCGGTCCTGCAGCTCCTGATGGGAAAAGGAAAAACATCATGCATCCTCCCTATGGTCGCGTTAATCCTCGCCGATAAACGAAACTTATTCCGTATCATCGTGCCCCGCCCGCTACTCCTACAATCAGCGCAAGTTTTGCAATCGAAGATCGGTGGCCTCCTGAACCGCGAAGTACTACACATTCCCTTTTCGCGAAAGACCCCGACAGAGCGGGACCTGATGAAAGCATACTTTCAACTGCATAACCACATTCAAAAGCACAGCGGCACCTTGCTTGCGCTCCCGGAGCACGTCTTATCCTTCAAGCTAAGCGGAGTGCAACGGCTGTGCGACGGTCGTCAGGAAGAAGCGAACATGATGATCAAGGCCCAAGCATGGCTTGATAGACATGCTAGGGACGTCCTCGACGAGTGCGATGTCTCACTTGCGATCAGGACGCAGTTGATCTACCCATCCGGCTCGCAGATGACCGTCGATGGTCATCCCCTGCGATGGCAAACCATCCAAATACTGCTGCACCTCATCCGCTTTAACGTCTCGAACCTTCAACGACGCTTCCCTCAGAGCATCGAGGTGGTTAGACGTCCCCTCGGCGGCTATCCCTTGATCTACTTCTTGCGACGGGACGCCGAGGAGCGCCTGATCGCCGAGCTGGTCCAAGCCATTTGTGAGGGACAGACAGCCATCTTGCCATGTTCCGAAGTGTCAGTCGCCGACCGAAAGGATCTTGAGGCCTTCATATCAGAGCCTTTGGTGGATAAAGGAGTGATAAGCAAGGTTACCGAGATGTTCAAGGAAAAGGTCCACCTAATGAACGTTGTCCGCCATCTTCGAGGCCTTTTCGTTCACCGGATCTTGTTGTCGACAATGAAGAAGCGCTGGAACGTCCAGTATGGACTCCATCCCACTCGCGATCCTATCGCCGTACCCTATCAGGTGAGTTGGTGTCGATGCTAGACAAGGCGGGCGCTTCTCATTTTGCGGCCCTGAAGTCTGCCATGCTGTGTAATGCTGCTGCTGACATGCTATAGGCTAAAGGCGTGCCCTCTCCAACTGCTGAATGGGGCCACCCGGATGTTGCCATCATCTTGACCAGCCTTTCCTTTTACTACCAGGGTCTGGACATTGCCCAATTCAAGCAGGCTTTCGAGCAGCTTCAAAAGTCCGATGAACCGAGTATCGAATACGACAAATGGGCAACACGAGATCTCCCTGAAGGTTTGCGCGACTACAATTCCATCAATCTTGAAGATCATTTGCAATTGCGTGAGCTCCATCAATACATCCGGTAAGTTAACCGAAGATATTCATGACTCTTGTTGAACTGACCGCTTCAGCTTCAATGTTCACCTACTCGACTATTACTTGAATGTGTTCGTCTTCCCCAGGCATGCCCGGCAGTTCAGCACGAAATTGCAGGCTTCCGGCTGGGATCTCGTCCTATACGACCCCACCCGGGAGGTGAACTCCAAGACCACCGGGTTCTCAGGGACTAATGACTCTCGACATCAACTACCAATGATGATCAAGCAAGAGGATCTACCAAAACTTGCGCATACCAATGCAGAGGTGTTGTCCTACCTTTTGGAGCTTCGAAATCGCAGATACGTGCGCACGGTCGACAACTTCGGCAAGCGCCTCAGCGAGGAAGGTCTCCTCAAGAAACTATTGAATCCTCATGGCCGCATGACGGCCCCTAAAACGGAGCGCATCCGAGTTCTGATTGATGCTGGTGCCCAGATCCTCGAGCACGACAACAAGAGTCTAGTTAAAGCATGGTTGAAGATCGATGATACAGCCTCAGCGGCTGTCTTCTTCGACGCTCAGCATCGCGCAAGGGTGATCTATGCTAAAGGTGCTGACGTGCCTCTGGTTGCCTCGCCATTCGCTGAAAACTTAGAAGACTGTCTAGTCTACCTGGACGAAAGCCACTGCCGAGGAACAGACCTAAAGCTTCCAGCAACCGCGAGAGCCGCCCTAACGCTCGGTCCACATCTGACTAAGGATGCTCTGGTTCAAGCGGCCATGCGAATGCGTCTTCTCGGCCAGACCCAGTCGGTCACCTTCTTCTCGCCTCCAGAGGTACACCAGAGCATTTTGGATCTCCGAAAGGCTCCTCGAAGCTACCAGCCTACCTCTTCCGACGTCATCCGATGGCTTCTAGAGCAGACCTGTAATAACATTGAGCAGTTAGAGCCGCTGTATTTCAATCAGGGGACGAACTACTTTCACCGGATTCAAGCCAAACTTCGCAACCCGGATTTCCTCGACCTGAATGAGCACCGTGATCGATATCTATCTGTGGTGCAGTCAAAGGAGACTCAGTCGCTGAAGCAGCTCTATGAACCAAGCCACCAGCAGAAGGGCACGGCGAAGGTGTCATCCTTTGACGTCGCACTCCAAGGACACCTGCGGGCGCTATATCAGCGCCGGAAGAACTTCCAAGACCGTGGGCTCGCCGTGCATTCCTCTGCTCTTGAAGAGGTCGAGCAGGAGCGCGAGGTTGAGTTTGAGGTTGAGAGTATCCGCGAAGTCCAACCACCCGTTCATTTCAAGGGTCACAAAGTTTCGAAACTTCATCAAGACATCGAAGAATTCGCTGTCACGGGCCGATTGCCGGCAGGCAGTGATGGGTATGAGCCAATGTTCTGCGCCCTGCAAAAGACGGCCCTGGGCATGAAACACGGTGCTATTAGCGCCGCGAACACGTCCCCCGGCCTCTACGTTTCCACGCAGTTCAGCCGGACTGTTGTTGTCAAGGGAGTAAACGACAACTTCCTCCGCCCTTCGCAATGGATTGTATGGAGTCGCACTGCCCAGCTTGGCCTGCTCGTCAGTCCTGAGGAGGCCAACCTTCTGATTCCTATCCTTCGCGAATACGAGTGGTCATCAGCCGCTCACTTGATTGTCTATGCCGCGCCGGTCACTCGTCGTATGCTCCACTTCAACAACCTCGACTACTACGCTATCCCGGCACCTCCGGCAGACTTCAAGGTCCCGGCATGGTTGAAGGTTGAGTTGGGGCTCTTCTCTGGACGTTTGTACTTCGATTGGGACGAATATCAGACATTGCTCGGGTACCTTGGGATCTCCACGAAGGGCAACCCAAGCGAGGAACACGTGGTCACGCGTCGAGAGGCTTTTGCGAAGAAGCCCCTCACATTTCGTAAGCCTAGAACCTCTATTTATCTAACCCCATTGCTAACCTTTTCTTTAGTGCACGAGTGGCTCGCCGTTCGTCGCAAAGGGCAAGACTTCGAACACACGCCAATGGGATTCATCACGACTGGCAAGCCTCTGTTATCGGATCATCCATTCTTCCTCACCGGCACCCAGGAGAACGCAGAGCTTGAGTCCGCGATGAATGCCGCCGCAATTGCTGCGCGGCAAGCCGAAGATGAGGAGTCGGAAGATGGTGATGATGGCAATGAGAATGATCATCTCTTCCACACCGAGGATGATGGGGTTGATGAGGCTGTCTATGAGGAGGATGATTTCGACGAGGACAATACGTTCTTCGATGGCCGCGAATATGTCGAGAAAACGGAGGAGCAGACTGAGGAGAATGAGTAGGGCTGCGCGCTGAGGACGGAGAGATGGTGGACGGATAGTCAAGGGCATTGTAAAAGTAGTATGAATCTCATCATGCTGACCAATGGTCAAGCTCTAGAATTATGTCTACCGTCGCTGAAGTGTAGGTGCCTGAACGCAAATGGCTTCCACAGGCTGCGTACTCAGTCCGTCTTCTCACTCTGAATTCTGTCATCGGTGGCAATAACGCAGGCCTTCCGGAACCTAAATCTTCTATACTAGAAACCCCTCACCACTCCCTTCCCCTCGTTGCACTTGCCGAGAATTCTGAACCCGGAGAGCATTAGCACTTGAGCATCATGTCATCTCAAACTTGGATTCGGCCGATGGAGATCTAGCAAAAGGTACCGTATCCGGACAGTGGAGACTACTGATTCAAATGCCCATGCAGGCAAAGGAAACAATACGCATAACCCAATTTATCCAGCAGCGACAGGCTCTAATATGCTCAACCAGCCAATCCTACATACGTCATACCCCCCAAAGCCTTCTTTCTGTCCCCCACCTTCACCGCGTGCCGCTGACTAAGCGATCGCTTGGCGCACCGTGCGCCTTCCTCTATTTATTCTCGCGCGCCCCGCTCCTTCTCACCTTTTCTTCTTCGCCCCACCTTCGCCCACGGCAGGCTCGCCCTAGCTGCCGTCTTGTCAACTGCACGGCGGGGTCCTATTTGACTGGATTAATGTAAGTTTCTCTTTAGTATACCTATGAAGGATGTTACTGACTCTTTTGCAGTCGCCGGTCGGATAGTATTTTGACCTGCTTGATTGGCCTTGTAAGTCCACTTTCGATGCTTGAGGGACTTCTCTTACCTCCCCGCAGGCGTCGTCAGACAGCAGCTCTTCGGAGCTTTCAGTTCTACGGAGCTTCATTCGGGGCGTAGCCACGAATTTCTTTGAGAAAGGACCCCAAACGGATGGGGGCTCGACAATACCGGTCGAAGGTTATCGCACGATGGCCTATCGACTCCCTCGAGCCCCCGAATGTTTTGACCTTGGATCGCAGCGCGCCAGTGCTGTAGCGGCGAACGTATGCGAACGTATGCGGACAACATGAAAATTGCTCGGATCGGTGACGTCACCCCAAACTCTCGCGTTTCACCGGCCCACCACGGCAGACATCGAGCTTCTGCCCTAATGACTCCGGGGGCTCCTCTCACGCTTTCGACAACACGGTCGCCTGCACCATCATGACAAGCAAAGCCAAAGTCGACACCGGATACGCACGCCTCTGCTTGCAGGGCGAGCCGGGATTACTGCACCCTTTCATTGGGTTGCATTTTCCTCATCAAAGCAACTCAGGGGCAACGTAGTTGCTTATCGTGGGACATGCCTCATGCAGAGGCGTTAGCGGAGTGGGATCTTCCTTCGGGAGGAGTATGAGTGGACGTACCGCCGAGAATCTCTCGGCCTGCGACTTCGCTCATATGGGGCCGCTAGCTTTCGGGAGCTCCTAAAGGAGAACTCCCGTTCAACAAGACAATCACGACCGACCATAAGCCGCCCGCGCCAGGAAGGACAAGCATCAAGGACTAAAGAGCAAGGACATGAGCGGCAACGTTGCCAACCAATGTGCGGAGACGTTGGCGGAGAGAAATCAGCTTTCGGGAGCTCCAAAAGGACCACCCGTTCAGTCATACATACAATCGCGATCGGCCACGCGCCATCGCACCAACAAGGACCAGCGGGACAACGTCGTTGTCAACGTGGGGAAGTGTCAGCGGAGTGGGATCCTTCAAACCAGACGGAGAGGAGTGTGAGCGGACGCACCGTCTGGATCGAGTATTTCTTCGATCGGCCTGCGACTTCGCTCATATGGGGCCGCTGACAATGAGCCGAGACATGGTCTGGTGTGTTTCTACCGCTCGCTCGCTATTTGGACCGGGCGCTAGGGTACATGCGGACTATGAATTTGGACGTGCAGAAAAAATACAGTGGAGGGTTCATCGAGCGGGCTTTTGTAGCTAGTGAAATGGAAACTTCCTCTCACATGTTCGTCGCACTCTTCCTTGAGCGTGAAAGCATGACCATGATGCACCATGGCCTACGGAGCTTGGCGGCTTAGGTAGGCGTAAAGCCGGCCTACTTCATCTGCCATATTCCAAACCCGAAGGGTGAATAGAGATATCACGTGATAAAGCGACCACCTTCATAGACCTCAGAAGGCTTCTCATTATTTTCAGCAGTGAGCTAGAATTACAGCACTCTAAGAAGCGGCGTATTACACTAGGGACGATCACATTCGTCCTGAAGATGGAGGTAAACACACGCATAAGAAGAAGGGTATCTGCTCCCTCGCTCGCCATGACCAACCATTCCGGCCGCATCCGATTTCCCAGGTCAGCGTTTCGCAGTCATATACCATTTTACTTCACCCTCTGCCATTCTCACACACGTATCCACAGCGTTACCAATCTAGAACCCCTTCCAATCCAGCATAAGCGAGCTCCCAGCGTCAGGAGTTTGTCCTTGGCATGCCATCGCCGAATCGGGACGTTTCTGCAACACCGCGTTTGTAACTCCAGTCTGGTACGTATGAGGAATCGTTTGCGGTGGCGTGCCCGGGTGTGGAGACTGGAAGGTAGAGGCGGGTGTGTGTGGGCTAAGTCGTGGACTTCCTTGCGGAGCATCCATCAGGGACGGGAGCCTCTTCATCAGCGCAGGTGGTGCTGGATATTGCTGCTGGGACAGGAACGCAGGCGTCGTGGCTTGGGGCGCCGAAGGACTCCCGTGCTGAGGCGGGGAGCTCTGCATCGGCGCAGGCGGTGCTAGACTTCCTTGCTGAGACGGGAACCCCTGCATCACGGCCTGAGGTACCGGACTCTGCTGTGGGGATGGGAATGCTTGCATCGCTGACTGGGGTGACGGGGCCTGCTGGGGTTGCAGTCTCTGCATCACAGCCTGCGGCGCAGCACCCTGATGCGGAGTGTGGAAAAAAAGAGTAGTGGATTGTAAGGGCGGGTTCTGCTGTTGATATTGAGGTCTCTGCATCAGCGCCTGCTGTGCTGGGCCGTGTTGCTGCACGGGCAGCGCCTGGTATCCTGGTATAACTTCGAGCGGATTTCTGCCCTCGGCCTCGGCCTTGCCCATCTCATCTATAAGATGCTGCACATACAAGTTCGCGTTAAGCTCCAGGTTGCTCGTAAAGTTGCGCAGGTTTTGCTCTGCTCGAAGATGCATTGGGTCGCCCGGGGAAAATGCCTGGCGCACTTTGAGAGCTCTCCAGACGTTCGGCATCTTTGCATGGATGATGTGCTTGGCCTTTGCCAAGTGGGCGCGTGCGGACTCGTCAATGATGGCCTGCTTTGCCTTGAGCCGCTGTTCCAGAGGCTGCTCCGAGTTGTTAACGATCGAATACAGCTTGACGATTTTATCGTTCCAGATCTGTCGAAATTCGTCCGAGAGCCAGGAGTATTCTTCTTGGAGTAGTTCGTGCGGTCGAATAATAGGTGCCGGGGGCTGATCGGACGCCGTTCTCCCTCCAGGCATGGCTGCGGGCGCCGGCTGGGGAATAACGCGGGTCGGCGGTCGCGGCTGGTACCCATCGTTTTGTCCGTTTGGGAGGCCTGCTGTAGAGTGGAAGTCTCGCAGGAATTGGCGCGAAGAGCTGTTCTGGGCAGGAGTCTGGAGCTGGTATAGGTAAGCCGGTGTAGACTGTCGAGCCTGCGATGGAGCAGGAATCTGGCGTCCATCAAACTGGGAAAGAGCGCTGCGAAAAGCGCTCGGCAGACCCGCTGTCGGGTCAAGCGCTGCTTGCTGCAGTCCAGAGAGCGGCAGAGGCTCGCACGGCTGCGCGTCCTCGAATCCGGTAGGGCGACCGTAAAGATAGTCAACGTACGCTGGAAATGGGTGACAGTCCCTCTGCAGGTCCTCCCAGGCGCTGTCCGTGAGCGGGGGTCTGCTGGAGGGCTCCATGGTGAGGTGGTGGTGAGGTGGTGGTGCGGAGTTGTGTGAGACCAGTGGGGTCACTGTGGTGAAGAGGAACGGGGGCAGGAGCGTTTGGCTCAACCCAACGGGCGCCTCACCAGCAGTGCATCAACCTTAGCGCGCCGCCGGCCATGGTTCAGCCCAATCGCTACCTTTGCTTGAAGCAGCGCACCTGCGCTGGGCCCCGTCCCGGACTGTGCTCGTGGAATGGAGCATTATGGCGACAGCTTCCCCGTCCCCTGGCCTGCTATGGGAAGTCTCACCCGTCGGCACCGGGCCCAGCAGCTACAACCGAGCGAAGAAGACCAGGCCTAGGCCTGCTCACCTATCTCTAAGTCGGGGCCATTTGATCCTCCCTAGTTACCGTAGCGGTGTGATCTATCCAACTCTTCCTCATACATACCATTGAGATCTATATCTAGCGACATCTGGGTGTTTGACGAGACGCACATCAGGAACTCACTACACACGCGCTTCCATGTCGGAAGCCATAGATAGGCACTGCAGTAGTCACATTCCCCGTTAAAAGAGTATTCACCAGCGTGATGACCCTCGCGCAACGATGGTGGGTAGGAGTGAAGTCACTGCGCACGGGCTTCCACATCTTATAAGCCTCGGCACAACCTTTCCCCGCGCCGATGCGTCCTCAAATCGTCGACGATGAGTCTACTTCCCCTGCGAACGCGCCGACTTCAAAGTCTACACCCCTGCCAAGATGGCAGAGACACCAGAGACCGCCGAAGCCCTACAAGCCCGCCACCGAAAAGAACAGCGCGACCTCGTCTCCCGCATAACGCAAAAGAAGAAATCGGCAACCAAGAAGACACGGAAAGGCGTCAACGATGAGTGCGAAAGGCTAGAACGGGAGCTCAAAGAGCGGCAAGCGCGCGAACTAGCCATACTCAATGGCGAAAATCCGGACGAAGAACCGCCGCTCGAAGGCGAGGAGCTGGGAACGAGCGAGCAGGAGACACAGGCCAACGGCGTGGAGAAGGCAGTGGAGAACCTCTCCATATCCTCGCCACACCCCGATACGCACGCCCAATCTGCACCGGAGCAGAACGGACCAAAGAAGAAACCCAACCGCGCAAAGGCGCGTCTCGCCCGCCGCGCCGCCGAATACGAAGCCCTCGCCGCGCAAGCAAAAGAGGAAGCCGCTAACATGCCCGACCTGCGCGAACAAGAGCGCACACGGATGAACCAACACTTGGGGCGATATGGACTGCAGGAAAAGGAAATCAGGGCGGACGGACACTGTTTATACGCTGCTGTCGCAGATCAGATGGAGACCAAGGGATTGGGACTGGCGCCGCGGATACAGCCGAAGATCATTGGGGAAGGGGATAAGACGGTTCCGTCATATAAGAAGGTGCGGTATGCGGCCGCGGATTGCATACAAGAGAATTCGGGCGACTTTGCTCCGTTCATGGAGGAGCCGTTGGAGACATACCTACAAAAGATTCGGGAGACCGGCGAGTGGGGTGGCCATCTGGAGCTTACGGCGCTAGCGAAAACGTACGGACTCAAGATCAACGTACTTCACGGTGACGGGAGGATAGAAGAGATTGGTCCCGGGGATGGCGTGAAAGCCGAGGAGGTACACGAGATATGGTTGGGTTACTACAAGCACAGTCACGGCTTGGGAGAGCACTACAATTCGCTGCGGAAGACGCCTTGAACGTTTCGAACTGTTCTGCTTTCGGAATTGTGGAGCCTAGACTGCCTTAGAGGGCGAAGTTTAAAATGATCCACACCCCTCCAATCTCCGTCACACCAAAGCTGACTCGGAGACGGCTACTTGTGCTTCCACACGCTCACCCAGTCGGTCACCTCCCCATTGACAATCGCAACCTTATGAGTCCGCGCCGGCTTCCAATGCGCTATCCGTACCAACGCCTTATCGCTTTCCGTCCTCTCCGTCTTCAGCGGCTTCAGCTCCTCATCGTACGAGATATCCTCTCCCGGCCGCTTGAACAGCTCCTCGTGCACGATGGATGGCAGGGCCCACGGCGGGCCGCCCGCCTTCGGAGGCTTATACGTAGGAAATTCAAGGCAGACGAGGACGCCAGTCGGGGCGAGGAGCTGTGCCATTCGGGATGCCCAGGCGGGGCGCAAGCTGGGATGTAGCGCGCACAGGAACTGCAAACATCAGTATTCCATCCTAAATCCTCGAATCAATGCCATGCCCACCGTGTTGTCATATATCACGTCGAAGCCCTCGCCAATTCCTCCAGCGCCGTCCACCCACTCGTCCTTGAAGAAATCGCCCAGCAGTGCTTTGGTGTGTCCCCTTCCTAGCTGCTCGTCCTTCAGCTTGTATTCACCTTCCAACGGCCCTTCGCCCGGGGTTTTCAGATACTCCTCGGCAATCTTGATCGCATTCTCGCTTATCTCGATTCCGTAGGCGTCGTAGCCATGGGACGCGAACAGCGCTAGATCGTATCCCTTGCCGCAGCCAGGCACTAGAGCTCTCTTCCTACTGCCGTCTGGTTTCAGCGGCGATCCGAGGATGTCGCTGCGCTCAAAGAGCGCGTCGATGAGCGCTGGATTTGCATAGCCTCGGTCCCAGGGCAGGAAGTCGGCGGCTTTCCAGAGGTCGTCCCAGCGCTGGGGATGTGCGTCGGCTTCGTGCCCGGTGAAGTGGGACTTTAGGCGGTCTTGGTTGGGATTCGGCGGGACGTTGCCGGGCGACATGGCCAGAGCAGCTACACGGGGAAAAGGGTGTTCTGGACTGCAATGTGTAAAGGGGTGAGGGTTGAGAGAGGAGGCGAAGCTGCGGTGTTGAAATTCGATAGCTGGCGGGATCAAGCTCCGTTTTGTGCGTCTAGACTAAGCCAATTGCGGGGCTTTGGTGTTCGCTCCCCTCACGAGAATAGTAATCAGGAGAACTGGAGGGGTTTGCTGTTTTGACGTAAGATCAGGCGGCCCGAAAGCGCTCAGAGGGGTTTCTTTCCATATCCTACCACCTAGGTTTATCTGCAAACGACCTGGCGGAGGGGTCCTGAGTGACATCATGCCGTCATAGATCACTCAAGTCATCAATGTTGAGTAACCACACAATCCTCCTAAAACCACACCAAGAAGTCCTCTTGCATTAATATACCAGTTACCCTGCTGTCCTTGGCTAATTCCATCTCGACTCCCACCAGAGGTTCGCGATGGCTATTCCCGGAAATAAGCCTCGATCGCGCCCCGCCATGCAACCCCGCCATGCACGTGCCACTGTCTCGTTTCCGCGATCGAGGCAGAATCTTCTCGGCATTCCGGCACTACTCACCCGAGACGTTGGCCATTGGCTTGCACCATCCCAATAGCGCTCTCTACTACCTCGACTGATCCTTTAGTCATGGCTGTTGATACCTCCCTCCCCCTCTTCTCGCACGCATGCGCATGCTGGCTGACGCCCACTTCGACATTTCGCGTCTACTCTTGCGGTGCTGACATTGCAGCTGGCGGTGTGGCCCCTCGGCCGAGGCACCTCGAGACGGATATAAGGTGACGGAGACGGATGCGGATGCTTACTTCCTACACGGAAAAGTGAAGGTGGATCGTGGAAAAGGCATCATCTGCCCCTCCTCTTCAAATACGATACCCCCGCCATCCCCTCCGCATGCTTCGCACATGGGGGGCTCCGAGAACTACCTGCCTGCGTCGTCAGGAGGGCGCCGGACTTCGGACGCATCGATAGAATTTACGGATCCCGGGATAGCAGCTAAAGAGGTGGACATTACGTCTTCGAAAGACGACGATATATCTATAGCACCGTCGCACGCTAGCACTGTCTCCGAGCACGAGCACGATGAAGAGAAGCACGTCAGTCCAAGACATGAGCCGCTGGCAACGCTATCTCAAACTACGTCGGTCACGCCAGATGCCGTCGTCGTGGAACGCAGGCATCGAAGAGGCCTATTTGCCTCCTTAACCCTCATCCCGGAGGTGGAGAACCCGTACCATTATGCGCGCAAAACGAAATGGTTCATCACGACTATCATCGCCTTCTGCGCCATGGCCGCCCCCATGGGCTCGGCCATCGTCATGCCGGCGCTCCAGGACATAGGGAAACAGTTTGACGCCTCGCCAACGGTGGCTAACATGAGCGTCGCAGTGTACATGCTCGCCATGGCCATCTTCCCGCTGTGGTGGTCGTCGTTTTCGGAGACAACAGGACGGAGGACTATCTACATCGTGTCCTTCGTGCTGTTTACGGTGTTCGCTATCCTTTCGGCTATCGCTACGAACATCTCCATGTTGGTCGTCATGCGAACGTTTTCAGGAGGAGCTGCTGCTTCAGTCCAGGCCGTTGGTGCGGGGACGATCGCGGACTGTTGGGAGCCGAAAGAGCGTGGGCGAGCTATGGGCATCTTCTACCTAGGGCCCCTTTGCGGGCCTTTGTTCGCGCCCATCATCGGCGGAGTACTTGCGCAGACGCTCGGATGGCGTAGCACGCAGTGGTTCTTGGTGATCTACGGCGCCGCTACCGTCCTCATGATCCTCTTCGCGTTGCCAGAAACTCTTCGCTCGAAGAGCATCACTCCCACGCCAGCCCAGCACCCACAAGCGCTCACCTCCGAGAAATCAGCTACCCCTCGTCCCGACCTCTCCCGCACTACGACCCGCCAATCCGTCAAAGACAAATCAAAATCCACCCTCAAAACCATCCGCCGCATCTTCATCGACCCGCTCGTCGTCCTCACCTGGCTGCGCTACCCACCCGTCGCCCTCACAGTCTACTACGCCAGCATAACCTTCGGCTGTCTGTACATCCTCAACATAAGCATCCAGGCCTCCTTCTCCGCGCCGCCCTACCAGTTCGCCACCATCATAGTCGGTCTGCTGTATATCCCAAACTCCCTCGGCTACCTCCTCGCCTCCGTCTTCGGCGGACGCTGGATCGACAAGATCATGCACCGTGAAGCGCGCAAAGCGGGCCGGTACGACGAGCATGGCAAACTCATGCTCCGGCCCGAAGACCGCATGAAAGAAAACGCGTGGATCGCTGCCGTGCTCTGGCCCGGTGCGCTCATCTGGTACGGTTGGACGGTCGAAAAAGGTGTAATCTGGATCGTGCCCATGATCGCCAATTTCTTCTTCGGCATCGGCTCCATGCTCATCTTCGGCCTGGCGTCCACCATGCTGACCGAGTTTATGCCCAAGCGCGCATCCGCCGGCATCGCGATCAACAATTTTCTGCGCAATATATGTAGTTTCACAGGCGCGGTTGTGGCCGAGGCGATTATTAGGGCGATTGGGAATGGCTGGATTATGACGATTTTAGGGCTTTGGAGTCTAATTAGCGGACTGCTAGTTATTTGGGCGATGGGGCGGTGGGGGCCCGTGTGGAGGGTGAAGATGGTGGCCGCGCTGGGGTAAGCATGCTGGATTCGGATTACACGCACGGCGTTGACCGTAGAGGGTAAACGGGACCACGTGAAGAAAGATACAATTAGCGGCATGGAACAGTAGCGCGATTTGAAACAGTAGCTTGAGATTCCTTAAGAAAACAGGCTTATTTGATAATCTTCAGTATCTCAATGTTGTCCTAACGGATAAGTGCAAGGCACATGAAACGCACTTTACGCAAGCACTTCCTCAGATGGATTCCCGGTATTGCGCATGTCCAATTACGGTAAGCGTGACCCGCTCGCTTACCCATCACCTAAGTATCTGATATGACTCTCACCCACAAGCCTCCACACCTACCACACACTGTGACTAATTAACCTCACGATGTCCTCCGCCCCCAAAGAAATAGTCCAGCAAGCCTACGACCACATCGCGGAATGGTACCTCGACTGGGCCTCCACCCAGCCCTCCCCCCGCGAGCGCTACACCGACAAAGTCCTCGCCCACGCGCCCTCATCCCCTCATATTCTCGAACTCGGCTGCGGCTCCGGCGTCCCCATCACGCGCATGCTGCTCGACCGCGGCGCGCGCGTCGTCGCCAACGACATCTCCAGCAAGCAGCTCAGCATGGCGAAAGCGCAGTGTCCGTCGGCGCAGTTCGTCCCAGGCGACATGGCCGCGCTGTCCTTCGCGCCCGCGAGCTTCGACGGCGTCGTGTGTTTCTATACCATCTTCCACCTGCCAAGGGCGGAGCAGCGGGGTATGCTGGCTAATATCTGTTCCTGGCTTAAGCCTGGCGGGATGTTCGCTTTTAATCTCGCGACGGTGGATGAGGAGGAGATTCATGGGGAGTTTCTGGGGCATGGCATGTTTTGGAGCAGTTTTGGGGTGGAGGAGAGCATGAAGATGGTGCGGGAGGTGGGGTTGGAGGTTGTTGAGGCGGAGGTGCTGGAGGCGGGGGACGGAAGGCTGGAGGAGAGCGATCCGGATTATGGGGTTAAGTTTATGTGGGTTGTGGCTAGGAAGGGGGAATAGTGGGGGACTGGTGACTGGGGTAGTGTAATGGTCATGCTGGGGAGGATCTAAAACGTCTACCGCTACATATGCTAACGCTGTTCTTTTGTCATAGAGACTTTATAAAAGCTAGGGGATCTGAGGAGGTGCTCGTTTAAGCTGCATCGTCATATTTCTTCCCCCTTCCCCCAGCGCGCCACTACTGCCAGCGCGGTTCTAAGCCCCTACTTCTTCACATCCCCGGTCTCACCGGCCCCGCCAACCTCCCCGCACTATACACGCCGCAAGCCGCCCAATCCGCCGCCTCCGGCTCCTGCCCCTGCCAAGCTCGCACGTGCGCCTTGGACGGCAGGAAAGGTTGTTGGAACGGGCTCTCGTATTGCTCTTTCCCTTCCATCAACATGTCGCCGGGGGTTTGAGGGGCTTTGGGTGGCGGTGGGGCGGGTTCGGCCTCGGGTTCGGGTCCTGATTCCTCCGTCTCTTTGGCGGGCTTTGTGAGGGGTGGCGCTGGCACTTGATGTCCTTGATAGTAACATGGGTAGTAGGCGGGGTAGTAGGCGGGGTAGAATGGATGGTAGTAGCCTGGCGGTGGGAAGGGTTGTTGCCAGGGGTTCTCGTAGAAGGCTTTTCCTTCGGTGAGGATTTGGCCGGGGGCTTGCGGGGATTCGCGCGGCATTTGTGATCAGATTTGGTTCGATGGTGGAGGCTTCGGTTGGGTTCTTTCGGCTGTCGCCGAGTGAATTGGCTTCGAAGGTACGGAGTTGGCGAAGGAAGACCTCGGGAGTGGTGGCTTGAAAAAAGGTGGATGTGGATTTATGGAGGTCGATTCAAGTATGGATGCTGTGACATGGAGTACACACGTTAAGGCAAGTGAAGAAACGCAATGTGGGAGAGCATGATGGTGAAGTACAGATAACTAATGCTGTAGTCAAGGTAAATGTTTGTCGTATGTGAATATCTCCCGCCTCCTCTCCACGCCCATTCCCAATCCCCAACAACCTTATGCAAATTAAATATCGTATGAGGCAGCATACGTCACGCTAGCCGAAGCATATTTGGGTATGTTTCAAACCCACTACTGGCGTATCGTCGCCATTTGACAGGTCTCAGCCTTGCTTACTCTGCGCGCCGCCACGGTCCGGTCCGCGATCTACGGCTCAGATCAGCCCGATAGATCGACCACTCCTTGCATCACCTACAACGCAATCGAGCGAGCCGTGAATATCCACACAAGAGTCTGAGCCGAGTGCACTGCATTCACAGCAGCAGAGTGCATTACATCATAACGGGATAGCGGCTCCTTTTTCGAATCGCCGGACCCCATTTATAAAACACCCACGGAATGGGCAGCATAAGAACAGAAAGCAAGCCGAGGAGACTGGTAGCCCAGCCCGTCCCAAGTGCGCCGTACACTGTACACCACATAAATTAGCCTCTTGTTCCTCCTTCAACCAAAGTCCACGTCAACGTCAAGGGGTTCGGTGATACGTACTCTGGACAGTGAAGAGTGGAAACACGGCACCCAACGTGTAGCGGAAGATTCCGTTTGCCGCGACAGCGGAGGCCCCGTTGTGCGGCCCATATACGTCGACCATGTAGAGCGCTGCTGACGTCTAGAGCAGAGAGCTGTCAGCTTTGAAGAGTAGAATATAGTGTGACTGCACTTACGAAAAGACACAGGTTCCCCCACGCAAACGGCACAGCGGCCAGGACTGGCACCGCCCAGTGAACGCCCTTATCCGCGGTCCATCCAAACCAAAACAGACCAATGGGAATGCCTAGGCTCCCAATCATCGCATTATAAAGACGATGTTCGGGCTGCGCGTGCGCTTGTCCCTCTGAGACAGCTTTTCGGTGGTGGACTTGGTAAATCTTCTGGTCAATGAGAATGCCGGTTGCGCCGGCGATCAGGACGCCAGTGCCGATGGCGAGGAACGTGAGGCCAACGTGGGAGACGTCAAAGTGATAGGGTGGCCCGGCAAAGACGTAAGGGAAGGCGGCGAAGAAGAGGAAGAGCACGCCGAAGGCGAAGGCTGTGTATAGGGAGAGGAAGAAGACGACGGGCTGATATCGTTTAGTATTGTTTGTGTCGCCAGAAGGGGTAACTTACTTCAGTGACCAGCATATGCAGAGGTCGAAGGAAGTTCTGCACCAATGATCTCTTCACAGCCTGCGCCTCATTGGTCGGCAATGCGATACCGAGCTTTTTAGCTCTCTTCTTGAGGATCGCAGGCTTGTACGTCTCCTTCATTGGAAGTGCAGTGAGGAAGACGGCGATGGCAACGAATAACATACACCATTGGGTCCATCGCCAATTCTTGTACTGGGCGGCGAAGCCGCCAACAACGGGTCTATCGAAGCGTGTTAGCATGAGGGCTATCACTAGGACGTGTGAGTGGGAATCAAGTAGACTCACCCTAGAGAAGGCCCCGCGAAAGGCGCCATAAGAAAGCAACTCGTGACCACCGCCCTCTGTCTAGGAGGGAATAAATCCGCGTTCGTCCCTGCGCCTACCGCCAGCGCGGGACTGCCCGTTAAGCCTGCGAAGAATCTACAAACGAGGAGAGCTGCAAGACTGTTCGAAAGCCCGGCACCGAGTGTAAAGATCATGAAAATGGGGGCCGAGACTAGGTATACGATCTTACGGCCATGGTTCTCAGAGAGTGGCGCGGAGATGATCGGACCGAAACCGAGGCCAAGTGTGTAGACGGTTAGGCCGACCAGAGCTGCGGTGCGGGAGATATGGAAGGCGGCCATGATATCGGCTGTGGCGGGGGTGTAGACTGAGGTTCCAAAGGTGCTGGGCGATGAATCAGCCTATAAGCTAAGGGAAGAGGAAGAGATACTTACACGGCGAAACCAAAGAAGCCAGGGACCGTAGCATGATAGAATCGAGAAGCAAGACCCCAGTTGTGTGGGTTGTCTGGATCATCTGGTCCGTTCCAGTCTATTACCGACCCCGAATTCGTTGGGTTCTCCTTCTCTTGGACCCTTGATTGCGCTCTAGATAGACGCTCTCCTGAGCCACGCAAATCTCGTTCCCGGTCTATTTCAGTGCCATCGTGCTCTTTGGATATTTGTGCTTGTTCGATGTCGCTCATGGATGGCACCGAATCGGAATCGTCTCCGAGTGCTGACGAGCCCATGACAATGGTCGGCAAACCCGGTTGCAAAGTTAACAAAATGTGCAAATTGCTCCTCTACGGCAGGTGCAACGAGGTTTATAAGTAAAAATGGATGCTAGGGAATACCGATTGCGAAGCACGCGGAAAAGGTACTCTTTCTTCATCGTGACTAAGGCCCGCCCTTTGGCCCTCTCCCACATGCGTTCGACCGCCATGACGACAGAGCGCTCGGCGCTGCATAGTGCATATGGCGCAATAGTATCACTCATCTTCACGCGCTTCCCATCCATCGCGGAGAAGTGTCGTGTTGCCCTCGGCAAAGTTGCACTGATAAGTAATCATCCATGTCGTGAACACGAAGACGAACGATTCGAGCCGAGGTGTTCAGGCTGCAGGATATTGATCAGCAATTGTTTAACGAAGAACTTGAACTATGTGCGGAAAGCTCGACTGCGCAAGAGTTGCGAAGAATGATGAGGGCCCTAAGATATGAACAGAGAAAGGAAGCCCTTCCGGAGGGAGGAAACATAGGAACCCCCTTCTAACGCCACATGATCCGAACGCTCATTCGATCCAGCGATCTCGTGGCTCTTTCCATTCGCAATGGCATGTTCAAATGCCCTTCTTAATCAAGCCATCTCCAGGCCCGGCGACCTATCCCCAAAGGTCAACGAAACTCAAGTTCGCTCCGCGTTGTGCGAAGCTGATATCGAAGAGTGTATCTTTCAGATTGCCCCCGCCAACCGTGAGGTTGCCCGCGCCCGATCCTTTTCCCTCGATTAAGCAGCCATCGGGCGGGGTCTCTGAGAGGAGCTGGTGGAAGTAACCCTCGCAGTCCCACCGGAACCAAGAGACTCCTGCAAGATCCTGAGGCTGCTCCGGCGGAGTTACCGTGACTATTTCTTGCGCGTTAATATATCGGCTCTTGGTAAGTAAGTACTGTGCAACTTACAGTTAACTCGCCACCCGGACAACTTATCTCCATTATCTTTCCGTTCTACGGTCGCGTTCAAGAGAACGCTTTTCGGGCCGTCGAGTGGCCAATTCATTTGGGCTGTGCAGACGGTGTCATTCGAAAGTGTCTCCGGATAGGCGCAGGGCGGCATCATGGCGGAGCAGGCGTGAATGAGGACGGATTTTGCATCCTCGGGGCCGACAACAAGCGAAATCATTTTGTCTGAGTCTGCACATGTCGCAGTGGTGGCGTTTTCTTCTCGCTTCGCGAACGGGGCGGCGACCACCGACGCGGTGAGAATGCTGATGAGGAGGATAGAGGTGTACATCCTGCTTGATGCCGCCGTGAATTTCCTCGTGCAGGCGCAGAGTCGTTGTTGTTGTGAACTAGTACTATGGTTAGCGCTTAATATAATAAGTGGAAACCAATAAGTGAAGCGGTGGACGTACCCGGAATGTTTGACTTCTTCTCGAATCTGATTCGATAGACGCGGAAAGAACGGTGGTTCGTTCAAGAAAGAGGGAAGTGTTCAATAAAGCCGGCAAGCGACTAGAAAAGGGCGAGAAAGAAAGAACGGACTGGCTCATCAAGAACCAAAGGGACAAGTAGCGACTGAACTTACCGTGCCACAGGAAATGCGCGAGAGGGAGCCAACTGAACAGGGCGGAGAGACATACTAGAAGCGACTTGCCTCGTGTCCCTTCTAATTAAACGCCGCATCTGACCTCTTCCTACACTGTCCTATGTTGGAATTGCAGTTCGACGGTGTGACCATCCTGCGGCGTCGCACCGAGGTTGTGCCCCGCGCGCTTCTATGACCATGAGATCATCTATAGAGGGAAGCAAATTCTCCGCGCTCAGATAGATTGAAATTCGTGAACTAGGTTTGCGCAAACGGAAAGTATTGTTCTAGCGCGGAAATTAGTAGAGGAAAGGCTCTGATGGTGAGGAGTCCGTTGCCCAATGAGGATGCAGCGTCCCTGGATCGCCCGCCCGGGCCGTGTTTCGAAACATGGCCCAGGTGGGCGATCGTTTATTTGCAAAGGAGCAAACGTCGGACTTTGGGAAATGGGAGGGGTGAGGTCATGCACGAGAAGGATGAAACAGAAGACGGAAGGCTGAGGATGAGGCGGGTGCGTATCGATAAGACATGAAAGAAAGCGACATGCGAAGACGACGCCTGTCACTCACGACCTCGGGAGTTTCCGCTCTTCCATTCCCCTCTCGTTATTCGGCTGAGTCGAGCAGATTAGAGGATGCCCTAGGAAGGGCCAGCTGTACCAGAATGAAAGAGCCACGTTCGCCGCATTTGCGCTCGGTTTTTGGAGGTCCCGGTTCCTCGGCAAGGACGCCTCCACGATATGGATGAAACAATTTCACTGTCCTTTGCCTTTAAAACCACCTAGAAGGGAGACAGGCGACTATAGGATGAGTGGCGACCGATATTGAAGCTCTATCGTCTCTGGGAGAGAAATGGCCAGTCACGTGCTCCAACTCAGTCGGCCTCCAGCTGAGTGGCACTACAGCATCTCCGTCTAGGGTGCATCAGTAAGCACACGACAAAATATGCTTGGATATGGCTAGGGAGTAATCCTTCTTATTCCCTTTGGAGAATGACTGGGAACAATGAAAGCCCTTCAGCTGGCCTTGGTGCTTACCTCACCTTGCGAGGAACCGCAAACGAAAAGCCTTTATTAGCTCCCCGGGTTTACATGAGTCGCCAGCTTGTCGCTATTATCGCATTCTCCTCGGGTGCGGCAAGTGTGATAAGAGCGAGGTTTTAAGAAACGCTCTCACTGTCGCCTTTGCGCTCTGTTTTAACCCCCTTTGCCACGCCCATCATCTATTCCCGAAGTCTGTTTCGCTTCCTCGATCTGTTTCCGGATTCCCAGTTATGGGCCCACCAACCCTTCTCCCTCCTTCCCATTCCCGGCCAGCCACGCGCACCCACCGTACTTCTCCCCCTCCCACCCATTTACTACCGTTAACAAGCATCAATCCTCCAACCCTAGCATCCTCTACATCGCTAGGGACATAGCCAACGTACACAACGCGCTCCTCCGCGACCTCAACGCCATCTACCTACAACACTCATCCGTCTACACCCCCACCGACATCTCCGACCTCACCTTCTACATCAAAGCCTGGGGCGACGCAGTGCAGCACCACCACCACGGCGAGGAAACCGTTCTATTCCCTACGTATGACGCAATGGCGGAGGAGGTGGGGGAAAAGGACAGCGTTATGGGAAGGAATGTAGAGCAGCATAGGCTTTTTGAACCAGGGTTTGTGAAAATGATGGAGTACATTGAGGAAGTATAGGAGGGAGACGTATGCGAGTGAGAAGCTGAAAGGGTTGATTGCTGGTTTTGCGCCGGTCTTTACGCAGCATATACATGATGAATGCTACGGCCGATCCTGTAAGTGTCGTCACCAAATATCAACCCACTTGTGAACACTGGGTAACTGAATGTTTTGTGATAAGAATATTGTCCTCCCTCTCTTCCTCAGCTGTCGACAAGATGGCCGAAAACTTCCCCGCCGTGCCGTTCTTCCTGCCTTGGCTCAACGCCTTATGGTTCTCGAGAACGCATAAGGGCGCCTGGAGGTTTAACCCGTGCGACCAATGGGGCACGCCGAAGCCGCTGGAGTTTCTGGATGGGGAAGAGTCGTAGTTCACAGTAGCTGGCGTCGGCCGTGGCGGAGGGCAGCGTATGGATGGAGTCAGCGTAGTCAAAATGGCCTTTTTCTGCTAATCGCTGAAAGGTCGACCAGCCTACCGTGTATTAATGCAAGCTCCGGAGGTTGAGAGGCGAAGAAATCGAACTCAGTTTCGTGGCTGTGTTCGGGCAGCCGCATCCTTCGAGGTCGCGCGGGAGGCCTCATGCTTGACAGATTCTTCACCCATTATCGAGACCTCATGAGATAGTCAAACTCTCAGAAATGGCTCAAAACATATTACACCATATTTTGCATCCTCACCTCCGGCGGGGACTGCATCGTGGCCCATCGGTTCGGGTCGCCTTCCGCAGACACTGCGCAGTACCACAAGCTAATAGGATCGCATTGCTCTAATCCTGTCTCGAATCAGATTACACTGTGGCGAAGTTTTGTCCATGAGGCTGTAAACGTTTCATGTACCTAGTTGTAGGATCGGGGCACGGATGGGGTCCGTTTTGCGGCACGTGACGGTCCGCCAACAATCGCAGTTAGTCCGGCTTTCTACGAGATGCCAAGGAATTCAGTCTGGAAAAGTTAAAGGTGGGCGTAGAATCTGAATGCTGAATGTATTGTCAGCCTTGCATCAGACGCGCATTGAAACGCAAAAGTGCAGAGTTCCAGGCAACCTAGACGTGGACCAGAGCAAGACCAGGCACCCACAGTCCGTGCCGCAGTAGCACAGCCAGCGAAACGCCCAGGTACCAGTAGAAATGCCATTCATCCCACAGTACGCCCGACGACGAGGCGCAAGCGGTACTGCGGCATTCCTGCATCCTACCAGGCACCATCGTATCTCTACCACGGCAGCGCCGCTCTTTTCTCGCGATGCGAATCCCACTCCTCAAGCTGACAACTCCATTCTCATCGAAGCTGACAAAATGGAATTTTTGTAGTCATTCCTCCATGACTCCCAACAAGCCCTCAATGGATTAGCTATCGCGATAACGCCGCACCCCTAGCACCGACAATGATAATGGCGAACTTCAGCGTTATCCGCGTAACGGCCCTCACATACAGTATCCTCGTCAACTCGGTCATCCTCCTCTTTCTTAGCGTCGCCGAGATCGTCCTCGAAGATCGCGTTTTGCATGCATTTCGATCCGTTCAAATCCAGTACCCCGGATCCAGTCTCGCAGAATGGTTATTCGTATCGATGAACCCGAGAAATATCGATTCCGGACCCACGACCGCGATATTCCTAGTAGGAGGTGGCGGCCTCATATGTGCGCTGGTGGGGATAGGATGCATACTGGCGACATGGTGGGGTGTGATGGAGTCCAAGGTAAATGTCCGCTCCGAACGGCAGACGAGAAGGGTGTGCTAAGGGTGTTTATGGGCAGACCAAGAAGTTCGGCCTGGCGATTTGTCTGGCAGCCATGATCAACACCGCTGCGGATATGGCAGTCCTGGTATACGTTTTTGTCACCGAAGCGAAAAACGCGACCCCTAGATTCTACGTTCAATGGCAGAAGACCACGTTTACGAGGGAGTACTGGGTCTGCAAGGCCTTTCCCAGCGTATTCGAGGATGCTGATATCCTTTACGGGTTTCCGGCATGCAATGTTGCTGTGAGTCAGAGGCGCATCATAGAGAGACCATGGTGGAGGGCTAATTTAAAATTAGCAAGCCGCGCGATACATGCTCGTCGCCATTTGCTGCGTATCAGCGGTGCTAGTGGGGTTAAGCGTGTTCCAAGTACAAAAGGCCGGAGCATTGGGGAGAGTAACCGCAAAGCCGGAGGACATAGAAAAGGGCACACCGCCGAAGAGTGGTTTCCTGAAGAGCAACGGGTTGCCGAATCACTATCGACACAAGGTGGAGATGGTGCCGGCTTTTGGGAGCGTCTCCGCGAACAACCTCGGGAATGTAAGAGTACAGAGGCCCCCCAGTTGTGTGAAGAACGATGGGACAGCGTTTCAGATTCAAGGATATTACTCAAGGCTGTGAAAGAGCCGCATTATGAGTCATGACTTATGACGTTACGAAATACCAAGACATATGGATATGCCTGGACTCTTGCTCAAGTCGTACACCTGCATTTCTTTATTTTATTTTGCCTCAGGCAGACTTCCCTCGTTGCTTTACTTCGCCGCCGGTTGGACGAGAGTATTACCTGCGAACGTCAGCGCCACACCAAGTCGACGTGACAGCCGAACCCACCTCCATCCGGATAAAGCACCTGCTCATTGTAGAAGACGCCTCCTGGACCAGCAAGAAACAGCACGGTCGCCGCCATGTCAAAGTCATTGCCGGGACGGCCTGAACATGGTCAGTGAGGCCTGTCAACGGCCACACAATAGATCTTACCGGCGGGGTTTGACATTTGCTTGTCGATAACGTACTTGTCTCTGAGGATTACGTGAGAGGTTCTGGGTACTTGTGAAAACAGGGGATTGCGAATGGGAGGAAGATTGCGAGCAAATAGTCGTAGCATGGCGGGGCGTGAGTATGATGTGTTTAAAGGAGAAGAAGCGACTGGAGTACAGACATGTCAGCATCATGACATCGTGAATGAGAGGCTAAAAGATGGGTCTATGTCGTCGGTGAGGCTGCCTGGCCCGCGATGTTAACTTTGTCATAGCTATTGACCGCTTGCTGTGCCTCTAATGCCAGATATCGATGGGAGGGCGGCTTTCGTGACGGCTAACGATGGTGTTGGACGCCTCTGTCCGGAGCTGAGCGCTGGAATGACGAAGAACAAGAGCCGAGATTCCACCGGCGAAGATCCGAAGCATGGACCCTGAGCCTTGGCAAGAGGAGCGGGCGGGCTTGAAACTGTTGGACACGCCTCATCATCCGCCATATTCGTTCACGCCCTTTGTAATCCGCAAAAGTGTCAAGCGCATCACGCAATAGGAGCTGTTTGTCAGCCTGTGGCCGCTGGTTGGCCGATGGTGCATTACTAACCTCGGGAATAGCGCGATGGCATCATTGCCACGCCGCCCCGCGAATGAGGGGTGCATCACCGTACGGGCAAAGGGCCGTTGCTGGTGTGTTCACTACTGAAGATTTCTAATCTTCGCGGTATATATACGCCTGTAGCCTCATCAGATCTGAAGCAACTCACTCTTCCGGCAATTGACCTCAAAGAGCCGCCCCTGCTTCCTCCAGAGCCTCCGCAAGTACCTAGGTACCGACGACCTCGGACACGTTCACACGCTTGATTCTTCGGAACGCCCCCAGATTGTCAACCGTCAACCCATCTACTAGGGCTTTAGTCTCCGGAGCCAGCATCATGACGACCGCCGCTCCCCTCCCAACTCCTGCCCACCAACTCCACGGCGCCGCGCCTACGGTCGCCTCCTCGAAGTCGGAAGACGTGAACTTCCAGGGCCTCCCGATCCCTCGCGGCCCCGTCACCGCCTCGTTGTCATTCTACAAAGCGCCCGAAGACGGTTCCAAGCCTTACAACTACGTTGAGAAGCAGCCCGAAGGCGTGCCACAGCGGAACTTTGGAGAATCATGGCAGGAGGTCACAATCGATGATTTGAGAGGGCAGGAGAACAAGTTCTCGTTAGACAGCAACGCGTTCCACACAGTCCAAAACGTTCCTTCGGAGGAATACGACTTCACCGACGACGCGAAGATCCGGGCTGTCTACTATCCCGAGGTCGAGAAACTACTATTGGCGAACATCCCCGGGGCAAACCGCGTACTCCTATTCGACTATACCATCCGGCGGTCAAATCCGGGAGCCGATCGCGCTCCCGTTGTGCGGGTTCACATCGACCAGACACCAGCTTCTGCCGAATCTCGTGTGAGGTTCCATGTCCCTGACGAAGCGGAGCAGCTCCTCCGCGGCCGCTACCGCATTATTAACGTGTGGCGACCGCTCAACGGCCCGGTCATGGCGCATCCTCTTGCTGTTGCCGACAGCGCGACCGTGCGCGATGAAGATCTTATTGGTGTCGAGCACAGGTATCCCAACCGAACTGGCGAGACTGCGGCTGTCCAATACAACCCCGGTCAGAAGTGGTACTACTGGTCTGGTATGAAGAACGAGGATCGTCTCCTTCTCAAGTGCTTCGACAGCGATGAAACAGTGGGCCAATGGGGCCGCGTTCCGCACACTGCTTTCGTTGATCCCAGAACTCCGGAAGGGGCTATTGGTCGTGAGAGTATCGAGGTGAGGGCGTTGGTCTTTGGTTAGGTCCTCACCATAAAAAAATGTGCGAGTAGTAGTTCTTTGCATCTAGCGATTAGTTGACGATTCTCTATTTCAACCTTCTTAGTGCCACCAGGGTGTCGGAGGGTTATGAGTCACGTGGTGCATCCATCACAATAACGGGCTTGGCACTGAATAGCTGCAAGCGGAAATGCCACTCACGTGACTCGTGACTCATGACTTCCGACATCCCTATGGTAGTACATTGAAGGTATGAGTAAATCACTTCGTTTTCACGCTTCCACTGCTACTATTACATCTGTTTTCTTCCTCGCAGCATTCTGGGTGCTGCAATAGTGTTCCCGAAGTGGAGATATGTATAAGATCTAGGGATTTGTTTGGGTCGCATGATACGGTTGATTCGCGAAATTGTCAAGGCTCGGTGTAGTACGTTTCATCCGTCTCTTCAAGCAAGCCCGACAACGGACGTATGCTTGCTACATCCGGCTCCGCCAGGACATCGAGCGGCAAGCGCACGAGGCAATCCAAGACGACCCCAGCCCCCGATGGGAAGCGTATTGGGAGAAGCGGAAGGTGCAGGTCGCTCGTCTCATCAAGATGGAGCAGAAGAAGTTATTCCGCCACTGCGTCGCTTCCTCGACTGATAAGTCATCTCGGAGCGTGTACATGTGGGGCTCGCCGGGCCCCGTGCTGGAATGCGGTGAAGGAGCCAGATATCACGCAAGACTTGAAGGTGGGCGAGAAGATATATCGGACCATGCGAGAGAAGGCGGACTGTTATGCCGCTGCAGTCTGGCCGGCGGTCGCAAGGGTCGATGAAGCAGCCACCGCGGAACCCCTCTGCCTTCCTCCTCTTGACCCGGCCAGGCCCAAACATGAATCTTCGCAGCTAGTGACTACAGAGGAGGTGCGGCGCATTGTGATGCAGCTCTCCTATGGCAGGTCCAGATGAAATTCCCACCGAGGCGTTTAAGTAGGCTCGCGACATCGTACCGTACTTCCAGGAGATTTTCCAGGCCTGTCTCAATCTTTCCTATCATCCCGAAAATTTCAAGGGCGCCATCATGATCGTAATATGGAAGGGCAACGACAAAGAGGCGGCTGACCCCACGAGTTACCGACCGATCGCTTTGCTGAGCCACATGGGTAAGATGCTCGAGAAGATCATTGCTAATCGACTGAAGGATCTCGCCAACAACCACAAGCTCCTGTCGAAGTTGCAGTTAGGTGCCCCCCGGCAAAGGCACTGCACAAGCCCTACGATACCTTCTTAATCCAGTCTACAAGGGCTGGTGTCTCACTCCCCACAAGGAGTCATCTCTGATGGGGCTTGATATCAAAGGAGCGTTTGACCGCGTTGACAGGGATCTGCTCCTCCAGGCCCTAATCAAGAAGGGTGTCCCTGACTGGTTGGTCACGCTGGTATGGTCCTTTTTTCCGATCGCAGCACCCTTCTGCGGATGCCCGGTGACGCATCCCAGAAGCACAAGTACTGGGTCAACATCGGTATACCTCAAGGGAGTCCCGTATCGCCTATTCTCTTCCTCTTCGCTGCATCTGGCATCCTCGAGAACTTCGCGTCGACTCACTCCGAATTTTGCGCCGAAGTCTACGCATTCGCCTACGTCGATGACACCTACTTACTAGTCACTTCGCCCAGTTATGAGCTGAACTGTTAGGCTTTGAAAGCTTTGCACGACCTCCTCATGCGTTGGGCGACACCGAATCGCATGACTTTCTCGCCCCACAAGTATTCTATATTGCATTTCCGCAAGCCCTACACTCGTAAGACAACGTTAGCGTGTATGCTTCTTCCTAACATTCCTAGACTGAAGGAGAACGAGAAGAAAGTGTTACTTGTGCCTAAGATTGGTGCAACGGCGGACGCCCAGGAAGCAAGCGCCCAGGAGGCAAGTGCCGGGAAGGCAAGGGCCAAGGAATAGGAGCCGATGTACAAGCCTTTCCTTCGCGTTCTCAGGGTTCATATCGACCCCCAACTGAAATGGACCGAGCACGTCGCCAAAGTGAGTCCGCCACATGTCCCGGATCTCCGCCAAGCCAGCCAGCTAACCACCGTACCCAGATCAAGGCTGATGTTCAGAAAGTGATGAACAGCTTCCGCCGCTTTTCCGGATCTACGTGGGGCGCATCTCTTCACCACATGAGGCGGCTATACCTCACGAAGGTGCGACCTAAGATCACGTATGCCTGCACCGCATGGTTCATTTCCGCACAGCATGACCGGATGCGGTGGGAAATCTCCCGTACCTTGCTCGATCAGCTCGAGTCGCTGCAGTACCAATGCGTTGTGCAAATCTCGGGCGCTTTGCAGAAGACCTCCTACGAGGTACTGCTAAAGGAGCTATACGTCGAAAAGATTACAACTGTTCTTCAACGGTTGGCGGTCGTCGAGCGTGCTCAAAATCTCCATTCGGAGCTCGAACAGCTGATAGCTAAACAACGGCCCAGGTCCACGAAAGGCACGCCAAAATCATCGCTCGCCAAACACCCTTACTGTTGGCTTAAAGACGACACGACACAGTTTGAACAGGTATGCCAAAACCGGCTTCGCGCCCTCCACAATCCCGACAAGTTCAACGCTATTTGGCACAATCCGAAGGAGAAAACGCTCGCCCTCAAAGAATATGTGAAGGTAATGGGCGAGGCGACGAGCGAGCTGGCGTGGGACTCGTACCGACAGCGGCGAGACAAGAACAAGCGGCAGCCTCCTGCACTAAGGGAGAATTGGGGACCGCAGAGCCTCGCACTCTATGCGGGTCTTCCCAGAGCTCACAGCACCATGTTGGTTCACTGTCGGACGGGGAGGATTGGCTTGAATGCTTACCTCTTTACTCTCAACTCCAAGAAGAGCACGGTAAGCTGCACTTTTCCTCGTAGATCGGAACAAGCAATTCCTTACCGTGTAACTAGATTTCTGAGACGGATTTGTGTCCTTGCCTTGAGGGTAAGCATACCGTCGAACACCTCTTCGCTCACTGCAAGAATCTGAAGCGTCAACGCTTCGAATTGGCGGGAAGGTTGGGTCATACTGACTTGAATACCCTGCTCACCCGCAACGCCGACGTCGCCACTAACTGGGCGATCCGGTATTTTGGTATCCCGCAGTTCGAGTGGGTTCGAAAGGACCTCCTTCTTACCCAGCCCACCGAACTCTCATTTCTCCTCCGCTCGGAGGGGTGACGTCATTAGCACGTGACTCCCGAGTGTGGGGCTCTGGTCATCTTTTACTATGTTGTAAGTCTATTCCTCCATAGGTTGTCACCCTACTAAGGTCTCCAGTAGTCACGACAGCGATTTTGATTTCTTCTACGACTCTCCGCCGAACTATCGCGCGCAGGTAAGCGTCCCAGGCTTCTACCCCTGAAGCACCGCCGCTGACGTCGCCGGGCTTCAGCAGCAGCAGCAGCAGCCGAGTCAAAGCACGCCGCCGCCGCCAATATCAACTTGTGGGTTTCCCAATGCCGCCGTCGAGTAAGTAGCCGCTCTCCGCATTCCTCTCGCTACAATGCCAGTTGCTGACGGGCCGCAGTCTCACCGCTCTAGGCATCTCCACCGTCCGCTAGGTATGTCACATCGCTCACCTCAAGCGCTAGATGCATTGGTCGCTGATCACGCATACACTTAGCCAGTCCGCCGTCTCCCAAGGCCCACGTCCTCGATCGAGTAAGTGCTTCTGCGAACAGAACGGTGGCAGAATGCGAAACGCTGTCAGGTCAGGCAGCTAATCCACCGTCCCTTGCAATGTTCGTACGACGTCGAGCGCTTCCACAAGGGTCTCCTTCCAGCCTTGATACGGGTTTGTGTAATTACACTTCATCGATGACCAAAGCTGCCCGCTAACCTCCTTCAGCGTCGCGTACAAGTCAATGATGAACTGGTCTTGCTCCGCAGAGAGCTCCCTACCATTTTCAAAGGCTTCCTTCAGGTCAAAGAGCAGCAAGAATTGCGCAATGATGAAGTTTCGATCGCCCTGTAACAGCCCGGGTTTCCTCATGTGCATCCTGCAGCCGAACATCGCAAGCCGTAAGTCCTCTGCGCGTCCTCATGAGAAGATGACTAATAAGTCGATCCGTTAGGCACAAGGTGTTCCTCGCCACCCTCTTTATGCAATATATCGAGGGTTAGCAGCTCCCCGCGGTTCAAGAGCTTCGCAGGCAGGCATCATTTGAGCTCTCGAGCGTGTTGGGTCGCAATCGCGATGTGGTCGAACGCGGTATGTTCTACAAAGGCACTTCGACTTCGTAGAATCTGACGAGTAAGCAGCCGTTCTGATATTCGTGGTTCGTGGGGTTTCTGAAAGTGGCGTTGGCGAGCGGGCGTCGTACAACCGGTTCGTACTGCCCTATGACTTGTTGCTTGGGAACTTGCTTCTAACCGTGTGGTTTCTTACAGGGAGCGTGGTGTTGGTGGTCGACATGGTTCAAGTCAGTGCCGCTACACGGAGTAGCTGCACGGGAAAGTATGGGGTACCGTAGACTTGCGCTTGTGGGTGGTTTTAACGACTAACACGCCCGGCTCTAGAGTCGGTATTTGAACCTCCTACGCGTTGACTTGGGCAGCACGCGAAAGGTAAGCTTCCAGGGCCCTACTCATTCTTCAATCCCCTTGCACGGCGCTAAGAGTCACAATAGCGCTGGAGGTTTTCAGCCTACGACTCTTCAATATTGCGCCATCCCCTCGTCCACCAAAGGCAATCCGTCGTACGGCACATTGCGAGTCCGTCTAAATCTAACGCTTACCTTGCTTGCACATGTGCTAATATACGCAGACGAACCCACTGTTTCTCGATACTTTCCTGCTCCCCAGGCGTTGGTCTATGGCCCACCCTCCCACGTGAGTCGCACTCCTGAGAGGCCTGAGAGGCCACAATCCAAGGCTCGCGTTATTCATGCGCTAACCTTTACCGCAGGCCTTGCCCAACTTCGTTTGGTTGTTGATATTGGCTACCAAGTTAGCTTGAACCCAAAACTCGCTATATGCATGTGCTAACCTCTCCGTTAGCGTTCCGCCTACTTACTCGGTGGTTGCCAATAATCGCTACCCGGTTAGCAGAGACCTAAACCTATCTTTTCGCACATGTGCTGATGTCTGCAGCCTTAACCGCGCTGCCCCTGCTGCACCCAACTCTTTTAACTTTCTAGTAAGCTCTTGTTCTGCGCTCGATTTAGGCGCGTGCTAAAGCTGCAGCTGTTGCCGTTGGTTTGGCCCGTTCGTCAAGAAATCGCGTCATCTATCCTCCGGCTTCTCGCACCTGACAGTACTACTGTGTATATGTATTGGATTGTTATTGTGTATACGAACAGGCGCTAGGTATAGTGCCTATACTGTGTTGCTCGCAGAGCATGTATTGTGTAATAGTGCGGACCTCTCTACGACGTAGCCCCCCATGTAAAACCTAACTTAATAAAAATGCGATACTCCGCAAACATGGTCCCACGCCGCCGGCGCTGCCCAGCAGGAATGTGTGCACGGACGCGAACGCATGCGCAGAGTTGCTGCCTGGATCTATTGATTGGGCGCGCGTTTATATCTGAGCAAGCTGCCTTCCCTCATCCCCGCCCGCGACCGAACCTTCTCCCTACAGCAGCCAAATCGCTACCCGCCCCCGCATATCATGTCCCCTAATGCGCATCTGCTGGACTTGCCCCGCGAGCTCCGCGATAAGATATACGCGGATTACCTCTCCGAGGACGGCGGATACCTCTTTAACTTCGAGCGGGGCAGGTTGGGAACTGCCGAGCACCAGCCTATCAACCTCTCGCTTATGTATACCTGTAGGCAGGTAGCTACGGAGATGCGAGGCCTAGCTCTCGGGGCCAATGCTGTTACATTCACTACTGGATATTCCAATCGGACTAGAGCGGACGCTGGTCAGTTCGACCACTACCTTGACCAAGTGCGAAGGTTCAAGAACAGCTTGCTCAGCTCCGCACATCCGTGCGTCACCGCGGAAGCCATCGAGCACACGGCTCGCCATCATGGAGAATTCCTGCCTGTCTTGCGTCGATTGCAGGCAGAAGGCTGGACGCATGACTTGATCGGAAACAACGGGGGTCTAGCTCCCTCTCGTGAACGCCACTTCGTCGCTTCTACCTTAGCCGAGCTGTCCAAGCACCCGGATTTTACCGCCATTCTCTCCCAAGACAACGGCCTTCTTTGGGGTACAGACGAGACGCCAAATCTCAACGAGATTGTTTCTTGCAATCCCTTGCCCTGGGCGATACCTACAAAAGATGATATTGCCAAGCTTTCGCAAGCGGTATCTAACCCAACCCCACTAGCGGGTGAATGCTGGGAGCGTCAAAAGTATCGTTACTCAGCGGCTGCGTTGGCTATCAACTTCTTGGCTTCACTGCCGCCCCACGTGCGGGTTCAGTTCCGCACCCTTATTTTACGGGAAGACAGGATGGCTGTCGGGTACCCTGAATGCCATGCACAGGGCCTCATTCCCTTCTGCCGAGAGAATCCTCGACTTCGCATTACCCAGACCGTTAATCTATGGAGAAACGCCTTCCCGAAGGGATCCAAACCTCTACGTATCGTGCTGAATCCAGCGTCTGTCCTGGCGCGAAGATACCAGTACAACAAGCTCAATGCTCATGGAGTAACCGACTCCGTGGCCCTCTGGATCATGGAAGCCGTAGCTCTTCCATCCTTTGGTATGCCCCCAGGCTCCTTGACAGTTATCCTTGATGGCGACCCTATCCCAAGCGAGACGGTGCATGTTTTCGATAGGGTTCTTCGGGACGCCGCCTGGCAAAGCGCCCTTGATGAGTGCTATGCTCGAAAGCATATCCCTAGCCCATCTTGGTTCGAAAGGAGAAGCCACAAGTGCTACAGATTCGAAGGATTCCCAGCAGCGCTCGACGACATCGTAAAAGGGCGATCATTCATTCGTTGCAACTTCAACCCGGGCGATGTCTGGGATGTTGAGCGGCTTGTCGAAGCAAATCGCAACTGGTCGGCTAAGGAATGGGCCCGACAATGGATAGATCACCGGCCAAGAACCTTTGAAACTACGGTACCCCTGCCAAGTTGGCTTGAGCTCAGGCGCGAGGATGCCCTTCCGGAATGATCAGCAAGCCAGGGATAATGAGAAGGCTTTTCATCGCTCAAAGTCGTGGTAACCCGTACCTTGTGTCTTGGAAACCGAGGACTAGGCGATCTCTCTTCGTTACTACTTGTGATTTATTCTGCGAGCGTGGACAGGGGAGGAACCCGAGCGCCAAAGTTCCTCGGAAGATGGGTCTTAGGTATAGCTTAACTTACAATAGCTGCGCTCGATTCGCCAATCGGACGAGCAAACAAGCTGGGAAGTTCAACGTATTGATTAGTCCAACCATACCTAACCCGTTAACCCTCCAACTCATCACCCTCGTCTAAAGTCTCCGGAGGCTCTGATCACTCGTCCGAGGCTGAAGGCATGGAAACGATCCGACGAGAATCATGGGCTGAGGCGGACAGAATGCGATGCGAATAGGTGGTGACGGCCAACCGGGCGTACCCCCGAGGGATCACCACAGGAGATCTGGTAACGGTATATTACGTTAAATGCAGGGCATGAGCGGATACCCTCTTTTTGCTTTAGATGCACCAGAAAGAACATTGTTTCTCCCAAGACACAGCGACTCCCAGCGAGCTAGCTGTTGTACAACAATAATAGCACATCTTCAAAGGTGACAGCCGGGATTTCCCTCCTAGAATCCCATCGCGCTAGACTATTCATGGAAGACGCTAGGTCGTTGCTGATCACGTGAGTGCGCGTTCCCTTCAGCGGTATCAGGAACAGTCCAAAGAAAAAATTTGGATGGCAATTATCTAATATATGGACGGACCGCAGCAAAAGTATTGTCGTTCATTTTCCCACGGTTTCCACTGTGTGGACTGGCTCAACTTGGTGGTTGATAATCCCGCCAAGCGCGGCCACAGCCGCGAATCCTTCGACGGTGGTGCCGAACGAAACCTTCTCTCCACCTCGTTTGCGAAGTTACATCGACCGGTGAGTCAAAATGCAGGCTCTTCGCGTTCCCAACGTCCCTCTTTAACCTTCCCGGCCCCCGTCGCTCGTTCCTGGAGTCCAAAAATTCCGCTATTCGTTCGCTTTCCCTGTCCGTCATTTTCGCTCGCTACACATCGCAGGATGTCGAACCCGAACGGCTTCCGCACCGTGCTACTCCTGACGCCACCGCTCTTCCTCCTTCTCCCGATTTCGGTTCTGGCTTTCGTTCTCGAGCGCATCACCCAAGCCCTCCTCCTCGCGCAGACGCTTCGCAGTTGGCGCAACGGCGCGCAGGAAATTACCGTCTACGGCCCCACTGCGAACTCCACAGACCCCTCCGACTATGACTACACCGACGTCTCCCTAGGCATAAACTATGCACCCACTGCTGCAATACTCGGCGTCAGCGTTGTCGCGTTCGTTGTGAGCATTCTAGGCGTGTGCGGGATATGGGAGCTGAGGAGGATGGAGGGCTCCGCGAGAACACAGAGGGTGTGGAGTTGGTTATTGCTGGTTGCTCATGTCGCCGTGGTGGGCTTAAGTGTCGGTGTGCTGGCGTATGCGAGTGCGCTGCAAGGGAGCGAGAAGAGCTGGAAGAGCTATGCGGATGTGGGGAAGGAAGGGCAGAGGTTCACAAGGGAGACATGGGTGTGTCAGATCGACGAGTTCTACCCCAAGCAGGATTGGGCGAGGCCGGCTTGTGGGCTTGCGGTATGTTTTATTGTCTTCTCGACGTGGCACCTAGACAGATGCTGATGATGCGTAGAAAGCGACGAGACTCATTCTGATTCCCCTGGCTGTATCCGCGGCTCTGGTAATACTGGGCACGTGGATTCTCGTACGTGACCGGGGAGGTGCGGCGTGGTTGGTTGGGGGTAAGGGTCGCTATGGGGCCTTCAAGAGCGTTTATGAGCTGCAGCCTCCTGCACCGGCATATCCGTTTCAACCGGCGCCGCAGTTCTATCAGATGCCGCCGGCACAAGCACCAGTTCAGTTCCAGCCAGAACCAACAGTCCAGAAACATGCCGCAACGACCGAAGAAAGAACTGTTTTCAGATAAAGAGGACACCGTTCAGTACGGTAGGTAGTAATTCCCAACGCTCTTACGTAAACATAATGTACTCAACTACTTCTTATTTCCATTCTTCCACTTCGAGGCTTGTTTTCAGTCTCGTGCACGGCCTGCTACTCTTGTTTGGCAAAATCCACACGGTGTCCACCCATTCTGGAGGAGCCGAGGTTCGCCTTCGCTCGTCTTCACCCTCTTCATTCCTGGGACGTCTACCGAGCTAGCACCCTGTCTGGTTGAACTTCAAGATGTCCGTGGCATTCGAGCCAAGAGCGATCGCTAGCTCAATCCATTTCTGACTTCCTGTTATAATCTTTCGCTAAGACAGTGGAAGGAGAACTCACGTCGAGCTTTGCCGGAGCAGGATGATGCTCGCGACTGAGAGCATACAGTGTCGTCCAATTCTGAGTCTGTACAATTGCGTGACCGTTGCGGTACTCTACCGATCTAGTCAATACCTCTATTCAGCTCAACGATCCCACATTATGCACATTGAACAATGTAGTTCGGCCCGGGACACGGCGTCGGAGAAGACGACGCCCAGGGCGACGAAGAGGCCGGAGAAGCGTACGTTAAGCTTGTAATAGTTTTGAGGTCCGCATTGGAGTATTATTTTGCGACCTTGAGAAGGCAAGAGACAGAACTAATGTGTAGGGTGCGACAGTAGGCGCACGTGGCTGTTCCTTCCTTGCATGTCCTCGGACGTCATCCCTACCGCCCACGGTCTATAACTCTTCATCAGCCTGTGCATGGCATGCACCTCGCCGATATTCGCTCATACTCTACGTTGAACGGAGAAAGTACCAGCGCACGAAACGGAACTCCAGCGTTCGCCAAGGTGTTCAGGACCACAAGTTTCTTGACCTGCGTCAAGACCGGCCGGCAAGACGCATTTGGGTTTATCCGGACCGATCCGCCGACCACAAAAGCCTATTTTCCATTACAAAAAGGCGCGACGACACGCACTTGGAGAGGATGTTGAAGACACGATCTCGCCGTCGAATGGTGACGTTCATGCATCTTGGCACCCCGATTCATCGGTCATGTTCGACCTTGCGACCTGCACCATCATTTGTATCCTCCTCCCAACGATGGTAACCGGTTTGGCCCGATAATATAAGGAGATGGTGAGGGGTGCTACCGGAAGAATGTCCTGGGAAACCGAGCGGTCTCGGCACGAGAGAACGAGGAAGACGTTTGCATTTCTAACATAGAAGAGGAAGCCAACAGTCGCCTAACACCGTATTCAGACACCCAAGTATACCCTGCTCAGCTCTACGCCTAAACCCAGGAATGCATTCCCGAAAGGTGTTCTATCTCCCTCTTAACTCGGCCTAGGAAAGTCTTTATACTCATCCTTCCTCACGTAAACACCCTCACCTCTGGGTATCTCTAATGTACCCTTTATCTCCTTTAGCAACGTCTTATCCGGCCACTGGCTCTTCACCACCGTATCCTCCCCGATCGGAATCAGCTGCTTGAGGTTCAGCTTCGTGCTAAACACAATCTGCCCAGTCTCCCCGACTTTGCGATACTTGCCGCCCGCATCGCCTCTATCAGAGTCCCTGTCCGAGGAGCCGGCGGCTCTATGCGTCCCGATGAGAGGCGGATATGGAGCGAGGCACCCACCGCCGACGTAGCACAACCTGTTCAGTGCGCGGTCGGACGGGAGCGCTTGCTCAAGCTCTTGATCTTCCAGTAGTCTCCTCGCCCCTTGCAGCGAGATCGCATAGCCCCAGGTGCAGAGCCCGCGACGTGGTCCATATATAACGCGATTAAACGTCCCATTCAGCTGCGGTGGCGTCAAGTTCGGCTGGCGGCGAGGATATCCCCACAGAGATTGTGGCACAGCCGTTGGATCGTCACGGATAACCCAGTACCGCTGGTCGACATCCTCTATGTTGCGCGCCCCGCAGTGTCCCACCCAGAGTATGTCCCATCCATCGCCGTAGGGAGAGTGTGTGGCCTGCCTCTCCTGATCGAGGATGTATCGCGTGCCGCGGGCGAATTCAACCAACTGGTTCTTGATGTTGACGTCCCAGTCAGCGTCGTCTTCTAGCACTAGAGCTGAGGCGATCTGCTCTGCTGCGATTCTATAAGGTGTCAGTGGTTATATCGAGAACACGAGGACGGTTGTCGAAGCGACCTTTGCGCGATGTTCATATGCACTCTCCAGCACCCATATGTTCCATTCGACTCCTCCCTGTTCCAACTTTCCGGTATCGCCTTCTCGGGAACCTTAGACGCATCGACCCCATCCTCCCACTGAAACCTGATGCCGGATAGCGAGGCCGCAAGCGCAATCATATCACGTTTATCCGTTCTCTCCGGCATCGACGCAACGAATATCCGTTCAAACTGCATCTGCATTAGTACATGGTCGCTTTCCAAGACAGAGAATTACGGTCGTCTCACCCCAAGAGTGTCATTCTTCACATCCAAAACGCCACCCGACTGAACAAACTTCGCGTACGTCGCCTGCGCATGCTCCTTCGCACGATCAATCGACCCATACGCCCAAGCGAACGCAAAGATGAACCAAACTGCCGCGAGTGCACCGACCCAAACGAGCGGACCACGGGCCAGCATCTCGCTTCAAGCGCCAAAGGAACGACTTGTGATAAATGAGTGACAGGAAAGGTCAACGAAATACGGTAGAGAGGGAATGACTGAGAAGGCCGAGACATCGAGAACAGAAGTCCAGGGGCGACAATACATTATTTCCAGGAGACAATCAATCCCCCGTCCTTCAGCTGGGCTTGTGTTATCGTTCTCCAAAAGTTACTACATCGGGCCGACATACAGGTGATTGGTCCACATGGGCGGAGTGGCGCAAACCTAGAGCCCCTGATAGGCAGCACGGCACGCGATAGTGATGCTATTCGCTGCCAAGGTGCGGGTCGATCCCTCTGTGATCGCCTTGTTACCCAGACCTCGGGACTCGGGATACGAGGTTTCTACCGCACATACCTCCGGACGTATGCTGACGTCTACAGTATGCGGATTTCGCTTGCGTCCAAGGCGAACTGGGATTGTGCGTGGCGGGGGTTGGAGTGTTGGAGCGCGACTTCGAAGCAGGGGCGTTAATTGCGCCACCTCGTATCTATTGAGGGACGCGGGCCCGGCCATTGGGTAGCGAGCAGCGATCAGCCAGCCTTGTCCTGCAGAGAATGACAGCGTCTTCTCTACCCTAGCATCTAGCTTGCGGTCCCGAAGCGTAATAATCCTGCATAATAAGTGCTGCAGCGGATGCTACACAAGCTACAGTTCCTAAATCGAGATCTGAGCGATCGCGCGGCAGATCTTGTATTGCTAGGGCATCGTGTCAGCACTTCTATCGCCTGAGGGCAAACATCCCTCCGACCTCGATGAAGCAGTACACGAGCTGGCCAGCTCTAGGCGAAGTACGCTCTCGGTTTCCGTATTTTCCGATCCGAGCTCACAAGCAGGAATACGCATCCGCCCCAGCCTATTACAGACTCCCCGCGATATGCCGTTAGAGTCAGATAGGCAAAGTAAGACTAGACATTCTGCGGCCTTGGGTTGCAATTAGCACCGCACTTGATAAAAGGCTGCGGATACGGTAAGCAACGCTTTGGGTGGACTGGACAGCCCAGTTCGTATGAGCATAGGGGGAAGAACGCTCAGCCCAACCCTACTGAACAAATCGAAAAGACCGCACATTCCACGCAAAGAGCAACCCGATTCACTTGAGTACATATTAAGTATTTTCTGCTCTATTCGAAATACACAGCTCCATCTCCTGCGAAGCCGAAATTATCTCCACGCTCGAACGCCTCGCGATGCAGTCCACTCCAATGCGCGATTACACAAACAAACAATCAAACAATCAAGCTGGGTTCTGCGGAGCCTGCAGTCTTAGACCTTCAAGCTTCTCAAGCTGTCTCCTCAGCATGACTGTAGCGCCTAGACTGATCTTGCGCAGTCCGTCGCGCTCGCCTTCTTCACTTCCGTTTGAGCTGCGTTTCAGAACGTCCTTGGCGGCTTCGATTGCCTTGTCGAGGAGCTTTGGTGAAGTGTCTGAAGTACTGCGGTACAAATACTCTAGGTCTTCCTCGAACGGAGACACATTGTTGCTGAGGGCATGGGCGATGAAGGCGCGGGCCCGGAAGTACGCGCGCTCGGTATAGAGCGCACTGCTGAGCTTAGTCTCCGGCGCTTCGCGATGAACGTCGTAGCCTGCTTCGTTGTAGTAAGGTTCCTTTACGAGCACTAGCCCCATTATCGAGACCAACACCTGGAGTAACGTGCTCTTCGACGGGCTCCAGCTCTCGTTCCGCTCGTCTGCATGCCACGTACCCAACAAACTGAGACAGATCTTCCCATCCTCATACAAGTTCGGATTGACCGGTCCGTTTCCGTTGGTCCAGCTATGGAAGAACGCTTCAGGGGGTTGCTGCGGGTACGAAGACCCGAGGTGGAAATCGATGACAAACGGTGCGAATTCGTACGGCGTGTCTGAAGGACCAATAATGAGGACCCGGATGAGGTCGAGACGGGATTCCCAGGTCCGGACAAAAATATTTGCGGGAAGTGAGCCGCGGAGGATCTTGTGCTCTTTGGCGACGCGGCGCATAAAGACAGATGACGATGATGCGGTGTGGCGTAGGTAGTGATGGTCGGATGGCGGGAGAGAGTCCAGGATCATGAATGGTGAGGGGCCATCTGAAGTCATACCATTCGCGTTGGGCTCGGACGAGTCGTGTGTGGTCATCACGGCATCTTCTGCCGTCGAAGATAGAGTGTGAGGGTCCGGTGCGCTTGGCTCGGCGTCCATCTGCACCGGAGATTTTCGGTCGGCATCGGACGCTTCTGGGGTAGTGTTTGAAGTGACAGCATCCTCAGTCGGCTCAAGGTCTGGCATGGACTCATCATCGTCACTTTCCTCGTCCTCTTCTTCCGTGGACCAATCTTCTTCATTGCTGCCACCGATGGGTTCATCCATGCCCTCGTATTCTATCCACATCTCATTGAAGGACGCGGAGTCAAAGTCGGACACGTCTTCCTCGTCGTCATAATCAACAGATCCGCCGTCAAGTGCCGGCATGCTGAAAAACTGGCTGTCCATATCGCTGCTATAAGCGAGCGTCACCCGCTCGCTCGGAACGCGAATATCCACCACGGGCTTGGCCGCGCCTAACCGGACGGTGATCTTGCCGTCCAATCCGAGATCAATGACTTCGCCGAACCAGCTCGGACCTTCTATATTGGCAGGCAGCGCCTGGAAGTCGATTGCCTCTGGATGTACAAGCACAAAGTCGCCACGACGCCGTGTCAGGCTGGGTGTAGAGCGTATATCGTAGAGACTGACGTCTTCTGTGCTGTCACAGAGCTTTCCAGTTTCAGAGGGCGGAATGAGGTCTTCCTCAAGGAACTGAATGGACGGGTTCTCGAACCATCGGACCGTGGCTATTCGATCGCGCGACTTCACGGCCTGTACTATGCCAACCTTGGCGGGCCTGAAAGTCCAGGGCACATCCCCGCCGGTACTCTCGCGTTGCCCTTTCGTGCACACTATTTCCCCGGGCCATACCTCGTCATCATCTTCCACATTCGGATCCGGGATCAGGGACGGGCTCATGTCCTCGGTAATGGTCAGATCTTGCCATTGCACAGTGACTTGGGTATGCGTCTGCATGACTAGAAATACATTCATGTCGTAGCCCAGCGTCTCGGTCCGCGGTACTTTTGTCAGCTTACCTTGGGGGTAGCCGTTGGGCATGTTCCGGGTCCCGTCGTATTTAACAGCGGCTCCAGTGAGATCTTTGAAGTGAACGCGGTCTCCAACGGTCACCTCAGCTACATGGTATGACCGGACGGCGCCGTCGGTTGAGACAGGGAGCGTGGCGGCAGCCGATCGCGAGGCATCGTAGACGAAGAGGTTGTGGCTGTCCATCTCGTCGCGATATAGACGGCTGGGAGGCTCCTGATGCTGAGAAGCACTTGTGCTGCCTCCAATTCTCCTACTGAGCCAGTGCACGGAGATGAACAGAGGCCGAGTTTCAACAACCATGCCATGAGGCCGCACGTTTGGGTCGAAGGCGCCATATCTCCATCGGCCTCTTCGCAGGTTGCCCTTCTTCGTCTTGACGGTGTCGCCAACGCTTAACCGGTCGGTCATGGCGTCGTCGTGCTCCAAGTCATCGGGGTTTTCCACTACGACGACTGAGTTGTTGGAGAGCTTGATCGCCACCTCCTCGTACACCTCCTCGATCCGGCCAATCCAGTCCTCGTACACGACCAGCGCGCCCTCGACATACTCGTGCACGTTTATCAGTTCGTCGGCGGGTACTCCTCTTATCGACAGATCGTCGGTCATTGCATGCGTAAGGTGGCCGCCGTTGAACATGGTCGCGGGGAAGAGGGTGCACACGGCCTTTGTCCCAATGACGGTCCCGCTCATCGGGTCTTTCGCGTTCCTCTTGACCACATCCCCAACATACAAGGCCCGATCGAGCAATTCTAGTTTCGACTCCGGTATCAGCTCCGTCTTCAGCTGTGTCTGCCATGAGACGAGAACGGCGCCCCGCGGAGGGATGCCTGTCCGCATAAACTTCTCGAAATCCCCCAACGCTATGTCATGGTGCTTTTCTATGTCCTCTCCATAGTCCCGCTGCGGCCGTGGCGCATGGCTGTCAACGTCGCCGAATGACCGGTCCACGACGCCGACGCTGAATCTATCGTCTTTCAGTCCGACAGTGTCCTCGACGCAGAAGACGACATCGTCAGGCTGGCTGCCCATGTGGGCGGCGGGCGGGATCGGCCTGTCTGCAGGGTGCTCGGCGAAAGCTGCGGCCGCACGGTCAGATTCTTGGGGGGAAGGATGCACGATGCTGGAGGCAGAGAAGAAGGGAACCGGCGGGGCGATGTTTGCAGGCTGCGGCGGCGATGGGTCGCTGGCGGGGCTGGTGGTGAGGAAGCGGTCGGCGAAGAGGCGTGCGAGGAATCTTTCGAACACAGTGCGGGCTTCGGCAGCTTGGTCTTGCTCGAGGGCGTTGGGGTCGGATTCAGGGCTGTCGTCGTCCATGGCGGGTGCATATGCAGGCCTGCGGCATGTGAACAATGCCTTTCAGCGTCGGCTGGGTCCGAGCGTCTGCCGCGCTAAGGCTCCGGCCCGCGCTTTGGCACGTCCGCCACCTTCGAGGCCCGTTCAGCAGCCGCTGCCGGCCAGAGGAGACTCAATTGACGTCGAGGGCCGTCTGCAGTCCCTGCAAACACCGCAAACACCGCAACCATGGCGGACCCGCTGTACGAGCTGCTAATCCCCTACTTCGACGCCCACGATGCGCATTCACGGCCCACGCTCACCGACGCTGTCACGTCGGCGTACCTCTCCCGCCTGACCACGCTGCCGCTCGCCGCGCTCACCTCCTCGGAGCAACAATCGCTCTCGCAGAGCTCGCAGTCAATCCTCCGCTCGCTCCAGGCCCTCTCCAAACGCTCGCACAGGTCCATAATATCCTCGTCCGACCACCTCTCCCGCCTCCGCCATGTCCTTCCAACGATCGGACAGGATGCAGGGACGGTTCAGACAGAGCTTCCGAAGCTGGAGACAGCAGCACATAATTTTTCGCAGAAGTACAGCAAGAGCGCGGAGAATCCCATCTTAGACAGGCGGAGAAAGGCGATGCTGCTGGCTAGGAATATTGACCGGGTATCTGATGTGCTGGACCTGCCCACGCTGCTCTCCTCCGCCATTTCCTCCTCTACAGTTCCGACTCAGGCCTCCGCTGCAAGTACTTCTACCACAAATGCGAATTATGCTTCGGCCCTCGACCTGCATGCGCATATCAAGCGTCTATATACTCTCTACCCGAACTCGCATCTCATATCGACCCTTTCTTCGCAAGCGGAACATGAAATGAAGGCCATGACCTCGAACTTGATCGCGTCTCTCCAGTCGCACGGCATCAAGCTAGCAGGTGCCATGCGCACGATCGGCTGGCTGCGCCGTGTAGCCCCCGAGCTGGACGAATCATGGTCGACACGACAAACCAACATTGGTAGCGGAGAAGGCAGTCTGGGCGCCCTATTCCTAGTCTGCCGTCTAGCATGTCTGGAGTCCATGCTCTCCGCCCTCGATCCCTTGCGAGAGCTCGCAGACCAAGAAACAGAAAAGCGTGTGAACGGGAAGGCAAAGGGAGACGCAGGATGGGCAGTCGGCCAGCAGACCGAGAAGTACTTGAAGAAGTATCTCGAAGTCTTCCGCGAGCAAAGCTTCGCCATCATATCCATGTACAAGTCCATCTTCCCCTCCGCGCTGCCCGCGCCAGGCTCCGACGAAGCATCAGCACCTGCGGTGAAGCCAGCCACCAAGGGCGCCAATCCCCTTCAACCCATACCCTCCGCCCTCGCCACTTTCCCGCTTCATCTCGTCGAGATGCTCTTCGACACTCTTCGGGCATACCTTCCAAACGTGCAAGATCGGTCCTCGCGGGATTCGCTGCTCACACAGGTGCTGTACTGTGCAGGCTCGCTGGGGCGATTAGGCGGCGACTTCAGCATGATGATTGCGCTTTTGGAAGAGGATTTGCGGGCAGCAATGGAAGAGGAAGAAGAGGTCGAGGAGAACGAGGCAGAGGAAGAATGGGTCGACGTCATGAAGAAGCACCGTGTGCAGGCTAGTCGGCTAGAGTTGCTGGCCTCTGGCGTGGGAACAGGACGCACGACCAGCCCTGTGGATAGAATCATTAGTCCAGGCCATTGAAGATAGGGGACCATAATGAATCCAGGGTTACATGGTCCACTGGATGCATCGGCCTAGTGCTTGATCGCACAAAGTTCTCAAAAGCAGAGCTGTGACCTGGGAATATCACTTTCAGGTTTAATAGGGTATTGCGAGCAAGCAAGGGTTGCGAGGCACGGGAGCGCCCCTACTCCCTGGTGCTACTCGTTGCTGAACCGTTACTGTGCAAAGAATGAGGTAACGCTACACGAAGAAAACACACCATCAAAATCTCTCTCTTCACGGTCTACTCTCGCAACTTTAGCTTTGCGCGACCAGACTCATTGCCATCAACTCTGGTCGACGGTGGCAGTTGCCCGCACGCGAACCGCGTCTTCACCATCAATTAGTAAGGTTGTAGCCGCAAACATGAACATGCCCTCCACAACACCCCATCTCCCTAATGCTGTTCAGCCTCCAGCTCTTCCATTGGGGTTGTTGTCTAGCGGAAGTGACTAAGCGAGCCATCGAACCTCTGGCGAATCGATCTGCGAGATTTCTCGTATAGCGGACGTCGTGCGATGAGGCGCTATAGCAGTTATGCGATTAATTATCTCTAATCAGAATAGAGGGAATAATTGAGTGGGCATCGATGTGGCTTGGGATACGATCCTTGTACTTTGCGATTTAGCATGTGAAAAGCTGCGACGGTCTTAGAGCTAAGCAAACGTACTAGTAAGGAGGCATTTTCGGCGGCGGCGTGATACTGACATCGTAACATTAAGCAGAAGCATTGTTAGGGTTATGGATTTTTCTTTCGCGTGTTAGCTGGCATCGAGGGGCTTCGGAAAACTAAAAGCATACCTCGAGAGAGAATGATAGCATGCACAGTACAACTTCGGTCTTTATACGAGTTCGCACGGAAGGGTTTGCATGGAAGACCGCGCTCTTCACAAATGCATACCTAGGTATCCGCCAGCCACTAATCCTATTCAGTCATCATCCTCAATGACCAGACCGCTCTCATCGGCATTCTTGACTTCCCCACCCCCATTCAAGACCTGATCGTCTTCGTCTTCGGCCGCTTGCGGAGCATTTGCATTTGGCGCGAGCTTCCTCTTCGCCCTCCCACCATCAGGTGCTGGCGTGCCCTCCTTGTCGCTGCCACCACTGTCCCCCTTCTGGCCTTTCTTCTGCTTCATCTTCCGCGCCCGCTGCTTCTCTCGCCTCGCCCTATTCTTCTCGGTCTTCTCGCGATCCTTCCGTTCCAGCTCTGCTTTCCTCTCCTGGAATGCTTCCTCATCCTCTTCCTTCTTCACCTCCTCATCCATCAGCCGCAGCCGCTCATATTCACGCCGGCGGCTCGCTTTGTATACGTGAAACTCTCCGCTTCCTGCGCCGGCGCTCGAGCCCTGGACGTTTGCGACAATTTCTGGAGGTGGCGCGAGGCTCTTCTTGGACTCGGCGCCGGGGATCCGGATGTCGCGGTCTGGCTTCGCGAAGAGCGCTTCGACGTCGGCGGCGAGGTGGGCTCGTGGAGTGAGAGCGCGCTTCTTGACGGGCCGCTTCGATCGGGGGTCTGCGGAGGTGGGAATGGACTCCGGGATGGGCTCCGACATGCCGAGAAAGATTGAGGTGGGCTGATGTAGGCAGACGTGTGGTGGTTGCCGGCGGTTAATGCCGGTTGTGGTGCAGAATCAGGCGACTGGAGAGCCGCGAGCGAGGACGCGATGGATCGGGCACTTCTGGAAGGCTGCGGAGTGAAAGAGTGATTGTATGCAGGTGCAGTGGTGAGAAGGCGCGAATGACGCGAGGCGTTTATGCGACCAGCGCCCGGGCCAACTAATTTTGGGACGATACGGCGGGGCACAGCGACCAGGTGCGCCTGCGAAATCGCCCAGAACACCTGCGTCGTTGGCGCTTGAACTTATGACGGCACGCGGTTTCACACGTCTTCCCACGCACAAACAGGATTGTTGTTCCACTGCTTCTGCGCTACAATCTTCGCTCTCTCTGGGCAACAAGCACTCGACAATACTCACGTCCCCTGGCGTAAATTACCACCATGGGCAAGCCACGGGTGAGTGGACCCTTCCAAGGTTATCCGAGAGACGTACGGCTGGCTGATGCGGGTGACAGATGATTATCTTGGTGCGCCATGCGCAGTCCGAAGGCAACAAGAACCGCGATATCCACCAGTTCATACCCGACCACAGGGTCAAGCTGACACCCCATGGCTGGAGCCAGGTACGACTTTTAGCTCTCCCCCCTCCCGCAGCGCTCGCCGCACGATCGCACAAGCAGCTGATTGTGTCTCCACGCGAATAGGCAGAGGAAGCAGGACGGCAACTTCGTTCTTTGCTCAAACCCGACGATACGCTCCAATTCTTCACCTCACCCTACCGCCGCACGCGCGAGACCACCGAGGGCATCCTCCGCACCCTCACCTCCGATGACCCCACTCCCTCTCCCTTCCCGCGCCACAAGATCAAAGTCTTCGAGGAGCCGCGACTCCGTGAGCAGGACTTTGGAAACTTCCAGCCATGTTCGGCAGAGATGGAGAGGATGTGGCAGGAGCGGGCCGACTACGGCCACTTCTTCTACCGCATTCCCAGTGGAGAGAGCGCGGCAGATGCCTATGACCGAATAAGCGGCTTCAATGAAAGCATGTGGAGGCAATTCGGAGAGGAAGACTTCCCCAGTGTTTGTGTGCTGGTCACCCATGGCCTGATGACGAGAGTCTTCCTCATGAAGTGGTAAGTAAAAGACGCTAGGTTGGCACCTCGCATGGTGCAAGGACGAGATACTAATCGGGGCAGGTACCACTGGTCCGTCGAATACTTCGAAGACCTACGCAACATAAACCACTGCGAGTTCATCGTCATGAAGCAGAACCCCACCAACGGAAAGTACATCCTGGAGAACGAATTGCGGACGTGGTCCGACCTGAAACGGCGTGCTGCAGTGGCAGGCACCCCCAATGGAAGCGCACCCACTCCAACCAGAGCTACGCCTGCTTCTGCGAACGCGAATTCGTCCCCCATTATCCCTGTGCGCCGCTGGGGAGGATGTGTGAATGGGTGTAACCATGATAAGATCAGCTGGCCGCGAAGGATTATGCGGAAGAACACTGCTGACTTTCTCGGCAACCAATCCCTGCCTCCCTCACACTTCGACGGGGAGAAGGAAGATCACCCAATCGCATCGCAGGAAGCAGACCATGCACCAGCCATCAAAGAACCCTCGCCCTCCAAGGTGGCGCGCAAGCCAAGCAACAAAAATGTGCCGATTCCTACCATGCCTCTGACGCCTGCGTCCCCGAATGACGCCTCCGACGATGCTTCATCGAGCTCCAACGAAGAGGTGGTACAGAGTAGCGAACAAGAGGAGGCCGCCGCAGCAATCCCGCGGACTCATCAGCATCCGGCACCGCGAACTGCTGCGATTCTACGACATCTATACCCACGCGACTCCAGTGGTAGCAGCACGGTGGTCTCTCCCGGTGAAGGTCTCTCCGACGACTCGGACTACTTCCCCGGCATGCGCCATGCCCATTCACACAACGGCACGCACAGCTCACCGGGCAAATCGAAGCTTCGAGCGAGCTCCAAGGCGCGGCAGCAGAGCAAGGACCGCAAAGCCGCCCGCAGGATGACGGAGAAGAGCTGGAAGGAGGAGTCCGGTATGGGAGCCGGTGCTCGTGCGGACGCGCTCGGCGACGGAGACGAGCAAAGCGACGAGGTTCCAGAGCCCAACACCAAGACAGTTGCGCCCACTACCATCGAGGGCGAGGGTATGCCGATATTGAGGGAGGCACTCAAAGGTGATATGATCGTGGAGAAAAGCGAAGACGAAAGGCCAAACGACGAGGAAGAACTAACGATACTTGATGCCGAGAAGAAAGTGGGCGAGAAAGAAATTGAGAGAATGAAGGAGGCGTCGCGGAAAAGCTTTGATGAAGTCTACTAGCTGCCGTTAGTGTTTTGGTGCCTGATGCATTGCGCGGAGTAACTATGAGCAAGCATACTATGACATGAATGAACTTTGAGATAACATCTTAGCCTACGTACGTGGGTCGGCAAGGCGTTTGGATAGAGGTGAACGAACACGTCAATCATTGGTCCTCTTTCTTCCTACTGTTTGTCGGACTTTCGATTATGCACGCTTCGTCCCGCCGGTTGGCGAGCATGGTAGTGGACCTATGCTGGACGGCGGTGGCTTGATCTTTCGTAGAGGCTGTTGAATGTGCCTCGGCGATATGTGGTCCCAAAGTGCCCGACCAGACCGGAATGCTCGTTCACAAGCTCATACTGTCGGCGAAAGCTGGCCACGGGCCCAGGGTCAGAACGTCGGCACGAGATTCCCATCCAGCGCCACCGCAATGCGCTCCGCGTTGATTTCATCACCCGACTGCGGAGAAGCCTGCAGAAGCGGGACGGCAGAAATCAGGAACATTTCGAGGCCCTAGCCAATCACAGCACTAGTGCGGCGCACACGCAATTTACGTCCGGTTAGCGCCACCGTCTGAACCAAAGCTTATATCCACCTCATATTACTTTATATTCAACCACCGTTCACACTTCGCGCTTTTTGCACTGTCCGTCTCACCAGGTCTCAGATATAATGCCTTATGCGCGACGATCGATTTGCCTCACCTGGTGGAGCCCAAGGACGTCGGCGTCCTGCGTCTGAATTTGAAGATGGGTGGGCAAGAGAAGGGTCAGACGGTATGCGCAGGGGAGCAGGGAGACGGACCTTCTCCGCATGCGTTCGTGGTTGTGGGAGACGCCATCCAGACGCATGCCAGAAGATAGCCCTCACGACCGCAGGTCAGAACCGCCTTCCCCGCTTTCGAATCTCATCGCTACCCGCGTGACGTTGGGGGGAGGTCACTGTTCGGTCCCGTCAATCTAATGCCACGCTTCTCCTCTCAAGTTTTCTCGGTTTTTCTTTATTAGCCAGCTCATCTATATCCAAGCTTCCTTGCACTGCTTGGGATTGGCCAGTTCAACTACGTCACGCAGATCCCTCTAGTATACCGTCCCTGGCTTCTACTCTCCTGATCATCCATCACTATCGTCTCGGCGTCTTCCGGCCCTTTTCTTTCGTTTGCTTATAGGTGGCCCTGCTGCTCCGGCAATGGGAATGAAGAGGCTAAATAACCCCGGCCTCGATGCCGACAGCTACGGTTGCAGGCTTCCGCAGACCGCAATGCCATACCCGCGTGCATGCGGTTCTCAACAGTTTACATGCTTGTCGGAGTTTCTCCAGCATGGACCCACGTTTCCCAGGGCGAGTGTCAGATTAGAGCACTTTTTCATATCGCAGAAACGTCAAGGCGCCATCTCACTGGAACCACCACGCCAACATCATTCGACAGACCATATCGAGCCACATCGGACTCACCCCTTGCTCGGTTTGAGACTACTTGGTTCGTCTTATAAAAAGCTTACCATTGCAAAGTACCAGGTCTAAATCAACTCCAGATTAATCCGCACCCACGAGCATGCATCTTTCAGCCTCCCCGCCCGCGCCTCTCTATTAAACCCAACGTCGCCACTTCGGAGATTTGCTACAAGATGAGAAAATAGGCCGTCGCGCCGCTGTGCCTCTCAACAGCTCCGCTAGCTAGTCGCGTTTCACACAGCATATTGAGCCTCATTTACGAACTGCGATCATCGAAACAACTTCCACGCACGTCAGATTGGCATGACGTTGTTCCGGGTGAGAAGGTTTCGATGCTGGGGCCTAGAGCACGCTTCGACGGCCTGACGCTGGTATATAAAAGCACAACTTTGTTCAACCTAAGGATGCTATCTGCGAGCAATCAGTTCTTCGCTAGACCACACTTCACGCCCTTTCTCTGAGACACAGGCCTTTTGTTGATACCATCTATCACCATGAAGCTTACTCTCTTGGCTATCTTCGCTGCTGGGTAAACCCTCCTATATACGAGAGGCGTGTACTTGACAACTAACATTCCACAGCGCCGTTGGCGCACCCATCGCTGATCCTCAGATGACTAGTACGTAACTGCTGCCGTTACAGACTCGCCCATTCTCTCGGTCCTGACTTGGAAATAGGCGTCCCCCCTGGCCTACCCTCTGGCTTTCCCTCTGGATGTATGTCGGCATCGCCCATATATTAGCCATTTTCTCTAACCATGCTGTAGTCCCAAGCTTCTCTGGTCGTAAGTATCGTTCATGAGATACCCTAAGAGACATCGCTAATAGTTGCTTAGCCATGCCATCGTTCCGTACGTGTCTCTGCAGTCACACCAGGCAAACTCGAGAGCAGCTCTACTGACCACTACGCAGCGGCACCGACTGGAGGATTCCCGCCGTGTACGTATTCACGACACGTACGCTAACCATTCTCTCTAACAGCGCCCTAGTTCCCACCGGAGGATTCCCCTCTGGCCGTGAGTAACTCCACATCACTTCCCCCAGCTCCGCTGATATTCTTCCAGCAATGCCATCGTTTCGTACGTGGTGCTATCACAACACCAATGCCCAACTAACGTCTGCATCGTAGCTATGCCGACTGGAGGATTTCCTCCTTTTCGTACGTTCGCTATGCCTTTTGGAGGACTTGGCTAATGATTTAGTAGCTTCTGGAGGCTTTCCTTCTGGCCGTACGTAGCTCTACGCCACTTCTCTAAGCTTAACTAACATTCTTCTAGCTCTGCCGTCGTTCCGTACGTGATACTGTCGCAGCTCGAGTGCTCTGCTAACGCCTACGTCGTAGCTATGCCGACTGGAGGATTTCCGGGCTTTCGTACGTTACGCTATGCCTTCTCGAGGACTTGGCTAATGATCTACCAGCTTCTGGAGGCTTTCCCAGCGGTCGTACGTCGCTCTAGCTCACCCCCGATCCTCTACCAGCAGCTAACACGCAGCTCCAGCCATGCCGTCGTTCCCCATGCCGACTGGAATGCCCGGTTTTCGTACGTTATAGTGCCCTATTTGGAGACTATGGCTAACGTCTAATAGCTTCCGGAGGCTTTCCCAGCGGTCGTACGTCGCTCTAGCTCACTCCTGATTCTCTAACAGCAGCTGACACGCAGCTCTAGCAATGCCGTCAATGCCCATGCCGACGGGATCATTCCCGGCGATGCCGTCGCCGAGTATGGGTAGCGAGGATGGCAACTAAACGGCTCAACACGGTCATGGGCTAGACGCCAGAGGTGCTATTAGCAGGGCTCAGGTGCAAAGGTGTGGGAATCGCTTGAGAATTGGTCTAATTTGTGTATGAGACAGGAGACGTATATATTCATCAATGCAGTCTTGTTCTGTTCAGAACCCTCAACCGCCACGGCGAAACTGTCAACAACCTCATTGGCACAACCCTTAACCCCGTCAACCGAAACCTCCCTGTGGCGGCTCTTCAGCAGGGGAGGGGCCTCTTCAAGCGCTTCAGGGGAGTCTGGTTGGACTGGGTACAGATATTGGTGGATCCGTCCGAATACCCGCCGCATTCAACGGTATCTATGCCATCAGACCGACCCATACCAGGCTCTCCTATTGCCGCGTTGCGAATGTCATCTCGGGAGAGACGACATATCCCTCCGTCGGTATCTTGGCGACATCTCTCGATGCGATTCATCTCGTCTTCAGCTCATTAGCTGCAACACAGCCCTGGCTCAGAGATCCGTTTCTGGCTCCTGTACCATGGCGCCAGCATCTAGTAGATGAGACGTTGGCCGGAGCTACCGCAGACGGAGCTGTAAATGATCAGAAGCCTCTCAAGTTGGGTATTTACTGGACAGATGATGTAGTTACACCGCAGCCGCCCATCGCCCGCGGACTTCGCACTGTCGTAGAATCTGTGAAGAAGGCTGGCATTAGGTGGTCGAGTGGACTCCACCAGACCAGCGCACAGCCAAGCGGGTCCACCTTGCCTTTCTGAAGGCAGATGGCGGCCATGACATCCACAAGCAACTGAGTCTATCTGGAGAACCACTGATTCCCCCTCTTCGAGCCACCTTCCAGCTTCGAGACACATTGTCACTCATCACGCATCAAGAGTTGACGGTGGAGGGTCGGGACTACGAAGGAGCATACTCAGACGACTGGAACTCGACAGCAGGTCAAGATGGTCAGCTCGTAGATGCTGTGGCCATGCCCGTGGCCCCGCATGCAGCTGTCATTCCCGGCAAATTCTATCACACAGGTAACGCTTCCTTCCGTCCCCAAATGTGCGTTGCTGACCGCAGCAAAGCTTACACCGAAGCAATCAACCTCCTAGACTACAGCGTCATCGTTATTCCTGTGACAAAGGCCGACCAGTCCATCGATAAAGCCAATCCCAACTACAAGCCGCTCAACGATGTAGACGCCAAGAATTGGAAAGCCTGTGAGTCCGCTAAACACCCTCGCCACCAGACAGAAGCTGACAAGGTCATCGTAGATGACGCAGCTGTGTATGGTGGTGCTCCAGTTGGAGTCCAGGTTGTGGCCAGACGGTTTGAAGAAGAAAAGGTTTAGGCCATCGCCAAGATTATTGAGGCTATCTTGAAGTCATCCGGTATTTGAGTCCGGGAAGCGGGAATGGTCCGGGTTGATATCATCCGGCAGCAGGATTGCGATCTAGTTTCCTTTGCCGTCAGCTCATCTCAAACATGTTAATATCAGCTCTGACAAGGCGAGACTTTATTCTTTGACAATGTTTCATCGCCCATGTCCGCTTAGCCATCCTTGTGCATCATTTACCCCAGACTTATCGTATCAATTCATACTTTGAGACGCGTGGTTCATCTTGGCCGATAGACCTATCCACTTAGCGCCAATATCGGTGGGCAACAGATATCAGACAACCTGTCGATAGCGTGTTCGAGCTTGCAGCCGTGGTGGACCGTCACTAAAGATCTGCCGTGTTGAGAGCCAGGGGCTACGAACCATTAGAAACTGAGGGATCCGCCTGCGTATCAGTAGTTTGAGTTCTTCTCGCTTGCCGATGCGAAGCATTCACACATTTAGTAGACGTCGCACTAACAAGATATGAAGAGTACATGTTCGAATAATCGTGAACCTAAGTACTCTTACCCCAGAGCACCAGCCACTACGCGGCAACACGTAGTAACCTTGCTATATAAAGCTAGAACCATTGCATCCTCCATACACCACCAAATCATCACCATCATCATTCCAAGACTCTCATTCCTCAAAGATGAGGACTATCCCTGCCGCAGCTGTCTGCACCACAGGTTCGATTTGCAGATCCACAAACGAATCTGCTACGTCCTCGAGTCCAGGAATCAAGTTCAAGGCCGCCGCCTCCTCTGGGTCCCCCTGCTGCTTCTTGGACTCCATCACCCGGAGACCCTCCATCGAATGGGCCAGCGCATTATCCGCTTCGTCCCCAAAATGGATATTGATAGGCTTCCCGACCAGGAGGCCGGGGAACCTCGCAAGCAGTCCCTCAAAGACAGGATTGATATATGAAGGCCCCCACGCTCCCCTAACACTACGCGATAATAGCATATCAATACCGTACTTTCGAGTCGACTCCGAGTCGGAGGAGAATGGAAGTGCGCCCTTTCGCAAGCCAAAAGACAGTAAGCTGGTAGAGAGAATGCCATTTGTCTCTTGTAAAGCTTGCTGACAGGCTCCACGATAGCTTTTTCCCAAACAAGATTCTCTAGGGCTCGTATTTGGACGTAACATTGACTTCCTGATGATGCCGATAACACCACAGATGCAAGGCCAGACCAACCAAGGCTCGCTAGATGCGAACTAGATCAAAAGCTACTTGTCTATGCAGCCGCTTGAATAATTCATGACGTGGATGAGCTGAAGCGGAAGCCCTACGAGACAGATGAGACCTCAACGCAAGTCGAGCTTGGGGTCGGAGATATTCGGACTATAGATAGAAAAGGTCAACCACTTTGACATGATACGCTAGAGCGAAGAATGAGCCGCATATCATGAATGCAGGGAAGGAGAAATTGGACTATTACCCCGGGTCCTCGAAAAGCTTATCATGTTGGACTTCGACTAGGTGTGCCCATTTCAATCGCGCGATCGATTGAAGGCTGAGGGCCTTCTCGCTTTGTAATGTGAGTGCGCTAGATGGCCAGTTACGCTAGGAGCCTAGGAGCGACGACACCGAGAATCCAAGATGTGCTACCGCGTCTTCATTGACGGCTTGGGACGTCCCAACCCACTGGGTATCCACACCGCTGTCCTTGTTATCCTGAGCGTCATTCATCGTCACTGGTGCAACAACGCACTTCCCTTGACAGAGCGTTTCCTTCCGGGTCGCTGTTGCCGTTGTTGCTGTTAACGGCGAACCCCTGGACGAACTCAGGTTGTATAGTCGAAGAATGGATTCCGTACTCGTGCAGACAAAGTCTTATCTCCCTCGCAAGCAGCATATAGCTCCCATCACGCCCCCAGCCGCTCGCGTCGACCGCAACGCGCAAGCTCGCGATAAGCCTCGTGTCGTCGAGCTGCCAAACATGCAGGTGATGACAGCTTATTACTCCTTGAAGGTCCGTGATATCTTCTCTGATATCATCCACTGAGATGCCTGCTGGTGTGGCCTGCAATAGAATTCTGGAGGCCGCCACACAAAGTGAGAGAGCGGGAACGAACGTGTAGAGGGTGATCAAGGCTGCGAGCCCCTGGTCAATGCGAGCTATCCAGACTCCGTGGGCTTTGAGGGTGAGAACCGCGGTGAGGATCATGGCGAGGTTGCTCAGGGCATCAAACCTGTCCCAGAGCGATAGTGGCGCTATGTTCAACAGGGTGTGGTTCTGCACCGGCTTTGTGAGATGAGGTCGATGGAGACATCGGTGGTGGTGGGTTGTATGAGGATGCATCTGGCGAAATTGAGCGGCATGCAGCCGAGATCTATGACCTCGATCGGGATAAGTCCCGTGTGCGAGCAGTGGCGTGTGTTCCAGTGGCTCATCCCCCAGGGATGTATTTTCATCATCGCTGTCGACTTGCTCTAATCGGGAAGATTCGATGATGGAATTGCGGAAGCTGGAAGGATGCACATAAATCTCGTCTAGTGCGGAATATTCTCTGGATCTTCCAAGTGATCGAGCCGGCGGTCCGGGTCTTGCATCATCTTTCTTTCGATATGTTCCATCTCCAGGTATGTTCGCTTGGTAAAGGGCTGACCCATTTGCGGATAATAGTTGCGCTTTTCGCTCAGTCGATGAGGTTGCCGTCTCATTTCCCGGGGCGACTTCATCTGAGGCGCTGCATTCTAGTGAGCTAACACTGTCTCAGTGCAGCCAGCAGTCCACGCACCTTCCTATATCCACATCCAGTGCTTCGTCCAGCGCCGCCGCATGACTAGGCAAGCTTTCCCTTTTCATTAACAAATGCCCCATGACATTGACATTCAGCCCGAAAACAGCAAGTGTGATCATCAGTTGCGGCCTGAACGAGGGTAGGTCCGGAGAGACCTGCGTTCCTACAAACTTGACGGTGGCGAAGGCACAGAAGCCGACGATAGCGACACTGTTGCTGAGCGCGGTGACGCATTCCGCACGCCTCCACTGGCCTTATGTCAATGCTTCCATGGGCTGATGCAGTCATTCTATGGTAACTTACGCCATATGTGAATACTTTGTCCGGAGTGCTCCGCGCAGCGATGCGGTGTGCGCAGAGTGCAAGAACCTGTGAGAAAACGGCGTTGAACTTCGCAGGGCGTTAGTCCATTCATTCAATCCAGTAAGTTGATGCGAGGGGAAAACTGCAGCCGATATGACTGGGAGCACTCACGGAGCGCAGAGCATCAGCAACCAGGACATATGAACCAGTCGTCGCGCCTAAACGATTAGCGAACTCGACTGAAAAGCAAACGGCTGCACGAAATACCTGCTATAATTTTCACGGCAAGAAGCATGCTACCGAGGCCCAGCAACATGGCCATTCTTGTCGATATCCGGATGGCCATCGTGCTCTAACCTTCAGCCTCGATGAAGGTTCAGTGCTGATAGGAAGCTGGTTCGAATGTCGTTTCCGCGTCATATGAAGGATTGACTGCGAGATGCGCGCTGCGGAGAAGAGAGCACAGCCTAGCTAGTAGTCGCTTAACCTCAGAAGACATGTTGATTGCGGCAAGGCGTTTTCCGTTTCAACCCTGCCCAGGTGAGAGGCTCGAGGTTATCAGGGTGCTCAAAGAGGCTTAGCCACTGACAGCGCAGCCAATCAGACGGGACGGAAACCTTCCAACGAAGACCCTCTGTGCCTGTGGGCGGGATATGGATATGGATATGAGGGAGGCAAGGCGTGGGGGATTTTATCTTATTGGTACGTGCTGCTTCCAGGAAGTGCTCTTGTTTATTCTTTAACGTAGGTTGTGAGGCTGTAAATACTCTACCAGCCAAAACGACACAACAAACAATGACGTCACCCATCGCCATCCTTCCTTTCCCACTCTCCCACTCTCGCCCCTGGCCTGCAGTTCGAAATCATCTCCTGGTGGAAATTTTCTGCGCACGAGGGTCAATGGCCAAGGGAGGACGCCATGTGTGGCGCATTGCCATTGCGACGTGTGTGGCGCAGTGGCGAGATCGTCACTGTGATGCGCTGCGCGATCGCCGAACCGCCCGTCGAGCTAGGCCAAGGCGAGGAAAAGGTTTGAGGGTACACGTGCGGATCTGAAAACCAGAGCCCTAGAGCCTAGATACATTGGCCGGAGGGCTTGCTCCGTGGGCGGGGGTAATGGATTTGCGGGGAAGCTGGAGGGGTGGAGTTGATAGACTGACAGTATGTAGACGGAATGCATAGATGCGGTGGTATGGACAGAGGGGGCAGAGTGGCTTCGGTACTTTGACCATCACGGTGCTCACACGCAAAATGAGAAGTTTGTTTCTCCAGCAGCATTCATAGCTGGCTTCGCACCAGTCCGAACATCAATCACTCATGTGCAGAAAAGCGTAATGGTGAGAACAGTGGGATCCGTATTAAATTCTCCAGCTTCCTATATATAGGAAAAATGATGCCATCAAATAGCCTCCCTCTCTCAAGTCCCAAGCCAAAGCCAAAGCCAGAGCAAAGTCGGAAAAAATGTGGACTACTCAGTCCATAAGCCCTCACCGGCATCCTGGGTATAATCGCCGCTGGTTGTAGATGTAGATAGATGGAAAAATGCTAAGCCCTCTCCCGAGGAAGGTGGTCACATCCTGACCTGGGTATCAAAGAAGTCGCTTTTTTGATCCCCAGAGGGTTGCCCGAACTCCTCGATGGTTGTTTGTGGTGTGAAAACAGTGAACAAGACTTTTTGTTGGAAATGCCGATGAAAGGTGAGTGATGATGAGGATGAGGATGAAGCTCCAAACGCCTTGCTCGCAAATGCTTAATAGACTGAGAGAATCAGGACCAGCTCTCGTCGTCGTCGTCGTCGTCGTCGTCGTCGAATGATGTATAGTGAACCGTTACAATGAGAATCGAATGCGGAATGAAGTCGAAGCCGGGATCATGCGGTTCAGCTGCGCGAGAACTGCTTCGAGACGCGGTGCCATGCGCCCTCGATGCTGCGCCTGACGCCGCCCTCAGAGTCGGAGCTCATGGTCGAGGATGCCGAGTTCTGGCGGCTGGTCCGGGGATGCAGCTCGTCGACAAGGTTGCCGGCGCCGCCGCGGCCAATGTGGTAGACGGGCGCGGCGTGCTCCCTCAGACGCTCCTGCTGCGCGAGCTCCTCGTCGAAGCTGAACATGGCGCGCTCCTTCTCGCGGTGGACGTTGCCGGCGCCGCCGCGGCCGGTGGTGAAGAGCGCGTCAGCGGGCGGGGGAGTGAGCTTAATGCGGGAGGCCGGGCCTGAAGCATCGGGGCCCGAGGTGACGCTCTTGGGGTTGACGCGCATAACGTTGCCGGCGCCGCCTCGTCCGGCGTGGTAGATGTGAGAGGCGGGGATGGAGGGGTGCGGCTCGGTGATGTGGTAGGAGAGGACCATTTTGGTAGATGTAGATGTGGATGTGGATGTGGATGTGGCGATTGGTGTTGCTGTTGTTGGTTTGGTGTTGTTGTAGTTCGTTGTATGGAATATAGAGTAGGGGTCTGGGTAGTCGAGTGGCGAAGATATACTACTCTGGGAGAAGCAAATCCTCTGGCAAGATCTGATCTGGAGACGATGGTCTGGGAGAGAAGGCAGAAGACGCAGTGGTGTGACTAGTCTGATGATGAAGAAAGACGGGCCCCGGAAAGGAGGCTTATATAGCTACCTGTGACTCCGCACAAAGGAGCAGGGCGGGCGCTCACACCATGGTTACCAACTGGCGGCCTACCAGAATTTTCTCGCGGCGCCGCGAAGCCGAATCATGATTACACGGCCAGCCCAGCACTTTGCAGTTAACGGCAGTGCCCTGATCATGCGGTGCGAAGGGTGACAAAGGAAGCGTGTCGGGTCCGGGCTTGGCTCCGCTTTCTATAGCGTAATAGTCCGCCTCGCTGGCGACGCAGCTGACTGCCTGCGCGCGCCGCGACTGGCCAGGCCCGGTTTCCTGGGGGTAACAGAAACGCTGAAAAGATTGCTGCAAATTTTCGACGGGCGCCAGGGCAGGAGACTGCGTCGTCAGAATCGCGATGTTGGACGGAGTAGGGCGATGGCCATGTTGCAGCGCTGGTTGCTGCCGCACTGCGGAGGCGAGCAAATTCTGTCCCGCCCTGCGTCGCCGCGCCTTTGATGAATAAAGCTCTGCGAGGTACCTGACGCACCTGGCCGCCGCTGGCTGTACCTTGGTACGAAGATGGATTGGATAGACCTGCTCGATGCAGCGGCTCGCGAATGGCTCAGCGCCTGTGATGAAGGACAGCCCGGCCATTGCTGCAGGAACCGGTCAGCCGCGCTCGCATACACAGTACAGTACGCAGCTGAGGCACCGTCTCGAAGTCTTCTCCTCGGCAGCCGAGCTGGTAGCGCATGACGTCGAGCATCGTGAGCTCGTCGGGGTTGGAGGCGTGGACCGTGGTCGCGTCCAGCCCCTGGTCAGCAGACGTTGCACTCAGCGGCAACAATGTCATCGTCCGAGATCTAATCATGCCATTCCGCACTTCCTACTCGTCCGCCGCTGGGGGTGAGCGAAAATTCCCCAGCCATTCGCGCGCTGGAATGATGCAGCGTGTGCCTGACATGGTGCAATTTGGCGCCATTACTCCGGCCCATCACTCAATCCGCCGCAACACCAAGTCACCCGATCCAATTCTGGCACCGACACTCACGATCCTTGGCATAAACCCGCATTCTCGACTTCTTTTCTTCGCAATCTACGTGTCCGTACTTCTCCTATGCTGTACACGCGGCCATTGCCAACGCGCCCGCTGAATAACAGATTGAGCACGCTCCAAAACGATAAGGTATCCGAATATGAGCACACAACGCCTCTCATGCACTGCAACCGTCACGGCACTTCCCCTCCGCCTCCGCTCTGAACACGCAGCAACGACGCGCTGCAGTGAGAACCGTTAAGTAACAGAAACATAAGAGGAATCGAAAGCGCGGTCAAACTGCTCAACAAATGCGGGGAAATAAACTACTCGTTAGCACTCCCGCCATGCTGTTGCATGGCCCAGGAGCAGCAGCGCGCCCCGGCTGACCACGTCGATCCCCTGAGAATATCCGACGCTCCCAGCTGCGTGGTTGGTGCGCTGCCCTTGCTTGTCGGGAGTCAAAATCCGATTCCATGACTAACGCCGCGTCCCAAGCGCCTTACAGCTGCCCGAACGATGCTTGCGGAGGCGGGAAGCTCGGTGTGGAGAACCGCAGACGGGCGGCAAATCGAAGCCTGCGATGCCACCATGCGCTTCTATGCGAATTTGGTATGGATGATGTCCGGGTTCTCCTGCCACTCGTCCTTTTCGACCCACATCTGCATTCCGTGTCAGCGCTGCATCAAACACCCTGGGCCATGCCGGAAATTCTCACCTTCTTGAAAGTGCTCAGGCCCGCTAGAATACTGCCGCCCGTCCACGTGGTGTATATTCGCTCTGGGGGCGCCAGAATCTTAATGCGCATGTCCTTCACCGCCAGCCTTTGCACCTCGTGGAGCAGTCTGTTTCCGAATCCCTTTGTCAACGTGGAACCGCCAGACAGTACAATATTGCCATATAACGCCTTGCGAAGGTCCATGTCGGTCCTGTGGATGGCCTCGACCACGATCTGATGCACACCGGGGTACTCAAGCCCGATGATCTCGGGGTTGAAGAGGATCTCCGGCGCCCGAAATCGCTCTGCCCCAATCTGATAACCGTCAGCTCAGCCCCAGGGGTTGCACAGCATTTCAGCTCACCTTGAGCTTCTGTCCGTCGGGCAGTGTGTACTCAACGCTCTTGCCTTCTGACCGCGCGGTGCCCGACCACTCTTTCTCCTCCTTTGCGGGGTCCAGCGCAACATAACCAGTTGTTTCCTTGATGTTCTTGACCGTCTCCTTCTCCGCGCTTGTGTGGAAGACACGTCCGCTTTTCCTCAGCAACTGCTGCAGGTGCTCTGTCACATCCCTTCCTGCCACATCTATCCGCCTGATGCTGTTGGGTATCGCGAAACCTTGAAACACGGGCACCGCATGTGATACTCCATCTCCAGAATCTAGAACGATACCCGTTGTCTTTCCCGATGCGTATAGCGAGAGGACGGCTTGTACGGAGGTGTAAAGGGCGGGAACGTTGAAGGTCTCGAAGAGGATCTGGGCTGCCGTGTCGCGGTTTTCTCGAGGGTTCAGTGGGGGTTCTGTTAGAAGTACCGGGTGCTGGGGAGCGCGAATGGCGATTAGCTTCCTGTCTCGCTGCCCTCGACCTGCACTGTTGCACCCAAGCTGGAGGCGCCACTTACGTCTTCGCTGACGGTCTTCAGCTCCTCTGTGTACACGTATTGCCATATCCGTTCCATATCATCCCAGTCTGTGACGATGCCGTGCTCCAGCGGGTAGTTTATCTTGAAAAGCCCCCTATACTGCTGCGCTTGCGGTCCAATGAAGACGTCACCCTCGAGCGCGCCTGCCATTGTCCGTATGTGCTTCGGCCGGCCGACAAACGAAGGAAAGAAGCATTTTGGCAGGTCCTGTCCTGCGAAGCCAGCTCGGATGGTGCCGCTGCCGTTGTCGAGCACGATGGGCGCATTGTGTAGTCGAGAGCCCATTGCGGGGGCGACTGTAGGATGGAATTAGAGAATTAGGCGGTGATGAAAATCAATATGTACGAGAAGCAGCGGCATAAGCGTACAAGTGGCGGGAAGCAGCGATGGTGGTGAGGACTGTTTCGAGGTTGAAGCTCAGATCGAAGTCGCGAAAGTTCACGACGCGAGATTGGCCGTTGGACAAGGGTCCCTGGTCGCTATCACGTGTGACCCCCGTTCTCGCACTGGGCTTCGGACGATATGAATTTCATTCTACGCGGCGGGGCAGTCGACGGGTACATAGCTGGCATCAACGCTGCTAATAAAGCCCTCCTGCCAGACCATGAAAGCTGACGAGCGTCATCCTCGGCAGGATGACCCCGCATCAGCAATACCATGTCCACACTCATAAAAGCGACTTCACGGACGTCTCTTCCCTTCAAAGGGTCTTCACTTAGCCGTGGAATCATGAGCTCTCGCACGCCCACACCTGCATCAATCCTTGACGCTCTCAAGGCCTCACTATCCTCTGGCCCGAAGAAGCATGAAGATGAATTCTACAATCCGCGACCACAGACATACTGGTACTACAATGGCTCATCCTGGATCTCCTCCTCGTCCTCCTCATCCTCCATTCTCCCAGCACCGGCCGCAAGTCCTCTAAGCCCCAAAGCCCTCCGCCTGATGTCATGGAACATCGACATCCTCGTCGACTTTGCCGAAGAACGCATGAGCGCCGCACTATCTTACCTCTCCGACCTAGTATCCTCAACGCCAGCCTCGATCCCCGTATTGATCTACCTGCAAGAAATGGGCACCTCAGACCTGCGGCAAATCAGAGAAGCGCCATGGGTGCAACAGCGCTTCTACATCACCGACTTCGACCAAACAAACTGGCTCTTTGACTTATGCGGCACAACGATGCTCATAGACCGGCGCCTAAAAGTCTCCAACGTGTTCCGGGTGCCCTGGTACAGCGCACTCGACCGCGATGGCTTGTTTGTCGATATCCCGCTATCCTCCAACAGCAGTGCAGAAGCAAAAGTATTACGGCTCTGCAACACACATCTTGAATCTCTCGTCGCGGACCCACCCATCCGGCCCGTCCAAATGGAAAGCGCGGGCAAGTACCTCCGCGAACCGCAAGTCGCCGCAGCGCTGCTAGCAGGCGACCTGAACGCCATCCAGCCCTTTGATCGCACCCTGCATTCCGAAAACGGCCTCCTAGATGCTTATCTCGAGCTCGGGGGCAAGGAAGACAGTGACGATGGGTATACATGGGGCTATCAGGTTCCACAGGCCCTGAGAGATAGGTTTGGGTGTAGCAGGATGGATAAGATCTTCTTCAGAGGAGGCCTGCGTGCGGAGAAGTTCGAGCGGATAGGCATGGGGGTTAAGGCCGCGGAAGAGCATAGGATCAGTATGCGGGACACTGGGCAAGAAGAATATGTTACGGATCACTACGGCGTCATGGGCGACTTTACGTTTGTAGACGACTGGCGACTAGTGATTGACGGCGACGACAGCGGGGCTGCGGGGTCGAAGTTGGCATGAGACAGAGCATACTGAACTTTTGACGCGCAGTCCCATTCACTATATCCAGGCTACACATACACCAAACCCCAGGACGCTCCGACAACGCCAGTCTCAAGATAATACCGACGACTCCACCCAAAGCTCCCATGTCTTCAAAGTATCCTTTTCCTGCAATGCTAGTCGCTCCGCCTAGGGAAATAAAGGAAGGAATATAGCTATGAATACATATCAAAAGATTCTGAAACTTGAACGAAGCAAACACCCTCACAAGTTTTATCGCCTCGGAATGGCCGTGGTCGGCGGCCTCGCTGCGGTTCCACCAGCCTTACTACCGAAAAGCATCTTGAACCCGTTCTTCAGCGCCGTCATGTCCGGGTACACGTGCTTGTGCATCTCGAAAGCGTTCGGGATGACTTTGACGGGCCAAGCACCAGGCGTGCCTGTCTTGCCGGGCTGGAAGCAGAGCCAGAAGTAGCCGGGGTACTTGGGCATGCTGCAGAAGGCATACATGGACCGAAGAGGGTTTGCCTCGCAGTAATTTCGGAGCCACAATTCTGAAACACCATGTTAGCATACATGTACGAGGAGAAGGAGGGAAGAAAGATATACCCGTATCATCCTTAGTGCCTTTCTGGAAACGCTCATCCTTCATGATCTCGGTGACTTTCTTTGCCATAGCTTCGACGTGATTGACGATCAGCTCGTCCAGATCTGTATAGACGTGCTTGCCGATACGGAGCTGCTTGCCGACTGAGTACTCGTTTGCCTTGTTCATCTCCAGCACATCGATGTGCTGGAATGAGTTGTCAGAAACTTTCCAAGTGACGGCAAGGTGATCGAAACCCTTGGACGAAGGGCGGATGACCACTTCGCCCGGGTCTTTGCTGCCGAGATACTCTTCTGCTTGGGCGGAGTTGAACGAGAAGAAAAGCGGGTGATTGACAACGCGATTGGGCCGACCAGAAGCAACCTCTTTTTCCTTCTCTGCGGCCTTCTTGTCTGCCGCTTCCTGCTGTTCATCCCACTCACCGGGGATGCGCTCGAACAGGCGCGGGGCCGGTTGACGAATGAGATCCTCGCGCAATGACAACTGCGCTGTGAGGGCCTTCCGGTTCAGGTACATGATCCTAGCGCGGACTGTTTGATGAGGTTGGAACACATGGCGAGGTTCTTGGCGACCGCTGCCGACACCTTCTGGGAACTCCGACTCGGATACACCGCCTTCGACACCGCATTCGAGCTTGACTTCGATGTGATCTGGGAAGGTACGCCTGATCTGTACCGGGACAACCATGCCTTCGGTCAGAGACTCCTTGGTTTCACCCGTCAGCATCGTGAACACCTCGTCCGATGACATCAAGGCAAACATTTGCCGGATTTCTTCGTAAGGCTCGGATAGTTCAGCGCGAATGGTCTCCAACGTGGCGCGTTTGCGGTTGCCGAGCTTCTTCTCAATCTCAGAGGCATAGTCTTCCAGGATGAGCTCGTGAATCAGGTCGGTTTGGTCATCCCTGACCATCCTTCGGATGACTGCGCTAGGACCGCCGTCATCGACTTCTGCCTTGATATCTTCCTCATCCATGTTCATGGCGTCAGCAACCATCTTCCGAGCCAGGTCGTAGTCTTCCGGATGCACTCGGGTGTTGTCCAGATAATCGGAGGTTTCTTCGCTGGAATCGAAGGGCAACCATAAGAAGCTGGCACAGTTCTGGAAGACCTTTGGCCCCATAGCGGCCTTCAACTCGCGGGTTTCCTGCTCCGAGACACCGAGCAAGTCGAAACGCGAAAGAATTTCGTCGCCGTTGGCTTGGATGGCCTTGACGAGTCGGTCGGCCTTTCGCGGACCCAGACCGCAGACATATGGCAGGAGCCTGGACATGTATGGGTCGTCGTACGAGTCGGGCAGGTTGATACCAACGAGGTTGACCATATCCACCATTGCGTTTTCTAAGCGATCCAGAAGCTTCTCTTGTGGGATAAGAGTCTGGTTCTGGACGAAGGGTAGCGACACAATGTCCTTGCCGAGGGAGGCATACTCTGCCAAGGGATTCTGGAGGTACCGGCCCAGAGCGACACAGTATCTAGTAAGCGGAGCCAGCTTGGGGAACTCGCCAGCCGCCCGGGCGCTATTGTAGTAGAGACGCGCGACTTCATCGTTGACCATAATGACCTCCAAGGGGTCGCTCTTCTCGGTGCCGTCCTCAGAGTCCTCGTATTGCGGGCCTTTTAGGTTATGCTGGCTGATGATTTCCTGCAGGTCCTTGTACAGTTTCCGGGTCTCCACGGAGAAACCACTGATGCCAATGACGTCGGGCCGTCGCCGATTGCATACTTCCACGAACAGTTCAATGTCTTTGCCGTCCGGAATGCCTCGATCCCGATTGCCAAGCCTGAACTCGACTAGCCTGCCGTTCTCTAGGACCCTGCCGTCGTTTTCAATGTAGGCCCACATGATGGCCTCACCTCGCTGTCCTTTTCCGTTCGACAGACAGAGAACGTTAGGTGTTGAGCCAAGCTCCGCGCCTCGCGGTTTGAATGGAGCCTGATCCAGTTTATTGTAATAGTTCTCCCGCGCTCGACTAGCGAGTTCGTCTTCGCATCGCGCTCGCAGGGTCTCCTTGACACCCGCTGCAATAGCGCTGTGTAGCTTGTCGAGAGCGTTGTCTAGGAGTTCCTTACGAAGGGCATTCCATAATTCCGAGACCTCGCTGACGTTGTCGGAAACGATGTGGTTATGCAGCTTCCGCTTGAAGTCATCGTAGTTGTCCATGCGTATCTCTACCTTGATGAGGCCTTCCTCTTCCGCCTTGAGCATTTTGAGGAAAAGGTCCGGTCGTCCGTGCAAATCCAGGAAAGTCTGTCGGCGGAGGTACTTAAACTCGTAAAACGGATGATCCTCGGTGATCTTGCGCATTCCTTTCTCAGTACGAATGCAGTCGATGGAGGCGGTCTGGTAGAAGCTCCCTCTCATATATCTCCGCAACCGAGGGCTCATCTGTAGTTCCTGAATGTATAGCAACTTCGCGGACCTGAGAAGAGTAAGTCCTATTTCTGGCGGCTCAGCCAGGGTGTCAGCGAGTTCCTCTGGTTTCACCGCGGGATCCTCAATGAAGTGGCCGCCTATTGTCGCCCCTTCAGCCCTCTTGGCGAAATCGTCGGGCGTGATGCCGATGGCATGCACGAAACTGTATGTCTTGCCGCCTCGGAGTTTATCGAAGAAATTCCGGGCATTATTGGCGCGCTTCTGTGTTCCGTTCGTAGAAGTCTCCTGTCGAACGTCGCTCATTTCTTGGGAGTATCGGAAATGCAAGTAGTCTTGAAGCTCCTGGATCTCTTCAATCGTGACGGCTTTGTGGATCAGGTCCTCGATGACCGTGTCCGTAATATCAGGATATACGCTCTTGAGGTTGTCGTAGTTCTTCTGTAGAGCATCGCGCTTCTCGGTGAAGGCCCTGAATTTGAGATCGAGGTCGAAAACCTCCCACAGCTCGCTCTGATTCAGCAGTCGCTCTGGCCGAGTATCCCTAGGCGTGAGATTGTCCGGATCGTCCTGTGCGTCAGAAGGAGCATGAATCAGGTAGTCCTTCCGGTGGTTGAATATGAAAGGAACTTCGTAGTCTTCGATGTTGAGGAATTCCAGCACCTTTCGAACAGCCTTGCGGAACGGCTTCTCGAAGTACGGATCCAAGGGCTTCTTCGGCCAGAGCAGCTTGGTGATCCACGTCGCTTCCTCATTGAGTCGGGTTTCCATATCATCCGGAGTCAGCTCGAGGTCCTTGAACGGCTTACGGGCCAGCTGCAGGCGCTCAGGCACATCAACCTCGCGGATGATGTTGTCCTCATCCGTAAGCATGCGCTCTGTAAGCTGCGAGGGTTCGAAGACATCTTTGAGCTGGAGCTCGCGGCCCTCGCCTGCCTCTTCCTCGTCCGCCTGCTCTTGTAGCTCCAAGGCCCAGTCATAGTCTGTACCGTCGCCAAAGGCCGCCCTGTAGTCTTCCTCGGCGCCCTCGTCCAGACCAGCAGCTTGCAGGCCGCTTGTGATTATAGATATGCCCGGTTGTCCAACCTCGCGATCATCCTCGATCTCGTCTTCGAACTGGTCTTCTTCGATGAAATCGGCGAACTCGTCTAGGTGTGTAGGCCGTCGTCGGTCGTCTTCGACTTCATCGGCGAGGTCCTCGTCGTCGGAGAAAATCTCTTCGACGGCGCGCGATCTGCTCGGGCGCTCCTTGTGGCCGCGCTTCAGACGCTTGTACTTGGACTACCTCGCGGTCAGCACGCAAAGCAAATGAGAATAATGGAAGCTGCTCGCACCTGTGTCGCTTCCCGCGGCTCGACTTCGACCCCAATGAGATCCAAGTCCTCCTCATCCAGAGCCTCGTCTTCCTCACGGATCTTGCGCTTTCGCCGTCGCTTGCGCTCCTTACGGACCTCGGCTTCCTCTTCTTCGTCCTCGTCGGCGATGAAGCCCGCGCCTTCCTGTAAGCTAGTGAGCAGAAAGCCAAGGCAACTAACTTAAACAATACCATACCTGTCGAAGCAGGTCTTCATCATCCTCGTCCTCCTCTTCGCTGGAGTCTTCGATGCCATTTGCTCCGTTTGCCCTCTGGCGTGGCTCGCCAGCCTCACCATCAAAGTCCTCGTCCTCCTCCTCGCTGCCCAGCTCGGCCGCGGTATCTAAGAAGTCCTTGGTCGCCATGTTGGGTGGTGCTGACAAAGGGGATCGCGGAGGCTGTCAACGGAGGGCGTTCAGGGCGCGTTTTCCTGATTCACAGGCGGCGATGAGGGCGGTAGAGGGCGCAGCGGCTGCGATGATGGGTCCTAAGAGGGCGAAGAAGCGTCGGTGGATGCGCGCAGGTGGAGGTCGCTGTTGCTGAAATTGTTCAAGCCGCACGAGCACGTGATGGCTAAGCCCTGTTTGGCTAGCTCCACCAGCCACAGCAGCCCCGTTTCTTTCACCGTGCTCGCTTCGAGCTGCAGGGGTGCGCGGGGACCACCATGTTCCGGACTTTGATCAGAATGCTTCGCCGCTCTCAGGCAGTGAACAGGGCGACGGCGATTGCATGATTGCGCGTCGCGGGCTGTCTGCGCGTTGTGACTCGCTGCGGCCGCGTTAGAATGGCGAAGGGCAGCCCGCAGACGACACGGGAGCAGCCATCGAGTGGCCTGCGCTAGAGAACAAGGTGAAGCACAGCACCGAGGGGGTCATGCGAAACTGAAACCCTCCTGAAAAGATACGATAGCGCCGCCATCTCTCTACATAATACCAGCGACGCCTGCGCTCGCAAGGACGTCTGCGTTTTGCCTCTGCCATCGCGCACCGCTTGTGTTGTCGTACCTGGCGCCCCAGCCCCGAGGTGCTATTTCTGTGCCTCTGCATGCTGCACGTTGCTCCCCACCCACGCGCGCCCCGCTACCGTCGACTTCACGACAACAGCCCTCAGAGAGCCCTTCTCGCTGCTATTTTGGTCGCGTCGCTGTCGGGCACCATTATCTCTCCCGCCGTCCGGGCTTGCCATCGCAGCCGTCCCGAAAGCGTTAATCCAATAGACGCTGAGGCCCTCCTTTTTTCTAGTACCGCCGTGATTGGCGAGACATCTTTGTCGCATCTGGGCGGCAAACTCAGAACAGCGGGCAGAGCTGCCCGAGCTGGTCCTTACTTTCCTGTACAGTAGCCCCGTCGACACCGCCGTTCTTCACAGCTGTCAACCCGCCGCGCCGCTCCCACGTCCCCGCTGTCACCGCACGCCGGCGCCCGCCCGGAGCTGCCACCATGGCCGACTCCGGCTTTAAGACGAAGACGATGAAGAGGAAGAACGTCAAGGGCCTTGCACTCAGCGCTCCCCCTCCGAAGCCAGTGCCCTCGGCTGGAGACTCGCAGATACCTGGCGCGCTCGGTCACGACGAGGGAAGGGCAGACACACTCGAAATTGGCGTCGAGTTCCGGCTGGATCTTAAAGCGGAGGATCTGATAGTCCTCCGTGAGCTCGGCTCGGGGAATGGAGGGACCGTGAGCAAAGTGCAGCATGCTGCGACAAAGGTTATAATGGCGAGGAAGGTAAGGGATGCCCCGAGTTGCCTGGACCGGTGTTAGGGTTAACGTCCGGCTAGATTATACATGTCGAAGCTAAGAACGAAGTTCGGAAACGGATTGTGCGCGAGCTGCGAATCATGCACGATTGCAACTCTGAACACATTGTAGCATTTTATGGCGCCTTCCAGAGCGATACTGGGGACGTGATAATGTGCATGGAGTACATGGACGTCGGGTGCGCCATACCTGATCCGTCTCTACTGTCTCTTGAACGCTAACCCGAGAGACAGATCCCTCGACTGGGTATCGAAGACATTTGGACCTGTCCGCGTGGATGTTTTAGGCAAGATTGCTGAAGCAGTGCTGGGCGGGCTCACCTACCTTTATTCCGCGCATCGTATCATGCACCGAGACCTCAAGCCGCCGAATATCCTGGTCAACTCCAAGGGCCAGATCAAGTTGAGCGATTTCGGTGTTTCCAGCGAACTGGAAGGGTCCATAGCAGAAACGTTCGTTGGGACGGGAACATACATGGCACCGGAGCGGATACAAGGCTCACCATACACGGTAAAGTCGGACGTCTGGAGCGTTGGTCTCACGCTTATGGAGCTGGCGATCGGGAAATTTCCCTTCGCCGGCAGCGACGACGATGCCGACGGGCCTGGCGGGCCACAGGGCATTCTCGATCTTTTGCAGCAGATCGTTCTAGAGCCGGCCCCGAAGCTGCCCAAGAGCGACGCGTTCCCTTCGATCTTGGAGGACATGATCGCGAAATGTTTGATGAAGGATCCTGCAGAGCGACCGACGCCGAAGGAACTTTATGTAGGTTCAGCAGCCAGCCATGGCAGAACCAGCTAATCGATTGCAGGACCACGACGCCTTTCTTCAAGCCGCGAAACGAACTCCGGTCGATTTAGAAGCATGGGCGATTAGCATGATGGACCATAACAAGCGCAAATCTCACCTCGCTCCCTCCGCACCATCCTCTACCGTGCGAGAGAAGCTACGTGAACGATCGCCTCCTTCGAAGACACCGTCGAGTGTTGACCCTAAGCACTCGGATTCAAACGGCTCGACATCGGCGCCACCGCGGCCCGCGTATCCTTCCAGGACGTCGAGCGCCTCGAGCAGCCAGAACATGATGTCTTTACCTATACGACCAGCACCGCCCGCCATAGGCTCGCCCCAGGTGAGAGGTCCTCCCAATGGAGGTCTACCGGCGGCTCCAAAGAGGTGGAATAGCGAGGTATGAGAGATGGGGTGGGGCTAATCTGATGTTGTTCCTTGGAAAAGTTGCAGTCAGCGCATGGATAAGCTCTTCGGATTAACGAGTGGAAGACAGTAGGGCTTGGATACGGTTCACTTCGCTCCTCCTTTTTTTCCAACATGCGACTCCGCATCTTGCATTCTAAGGCGCCTGCTTGTTTGGATCTCAGGCAATGTGTCTTGGGCACAGAAGGATGTCAGCCCGCTTATCTGTGCTATGTCTTCGCGTCACGGCGGAAGCGTACAACCTTGGAACAATAGTTTTCTGGATTGGTGTATTGCATAGAAATCTGGGCATTTTGTTCTCACGTCATGTGCTACCACCAGTCGTACCTTCCCTTGAAGTCTAAGCGTCCATGCACCTTTCTGCTCGCCATCTCTACCCCACAACGTGACATCCACAGCCACCTCGTACCTACGAAAGCTTACTCTGACCGTACGCCTTGTACCCACTTACCACATGCAACGAATCTTCTCCAGCACGACGCGCATGTCACGATGTGTAACGCAATACATCCGCAGATAGTAGCACCCGTTGAAGAGAACCAGCCTCCCCGTTCCTCCAGCGTCCATTAAAGTACGCTCTTTCACATGCTCAAAACTACCTCCACGCCTAGCTCTCTGCACGCCGTCACGAGAGCAGTTAGAGCTTACGACAAGGCCTCACTGCATACATCGAGTCCTACATCCTCTCCAGTCAAGCTTTTCAGATCCACGCCTAGCGCAAGGCTCCTACCCGGTTCGGCGATCGTGTGATGGCTTTCTCCCTTGGCCTCTGACGTCGCGATCCTACATTGGGTATGCGATATATTAACGGTGAAAGCGAGTAGGTGTACAGCCGAGGCAAGGGTCTGCTTGTAGCAATTCTGACCTGTTGTAAGCTGCAACCGCGCCTACGAGAAAGTATTTCCTTCCGAGTATTTTCCCTCTACCTGCGAAGCCCGAAGGCTATCCTCAACACCTATCGATCTCGCAGCCGACCCCTTTCTCTCGCTGGTGCTAAATTCACCTGAGCGATTTTTTCCTTTCGTTGGATGTTGAGGCGATCAGTCTGCACCCCAAAGCAGTCTCTCGCGCGCTAAGTGGCCAGGCTGCGAATATCTAAAGTGGGTATTTGCATGTCGAGCGCCGCCGTCTGATTCGCCAGCGCCAGGTATTATCAAAATTAAGGACATGGTCGTTTGACGTTTTCAGGGCAGTTTTGCTGGCAGCTGGGGCTTAGAGCGTTATTTCTGAGGGCCCTTGAAACATTTTTGTTTCTAGTTTATATCGAAGGCCTCGACTTCGTGTTACAAGGCTTCATATCCTACTTTTTCCTTGAGCTCGGCTGTCTCGGAGAACTGCAGGAGGGGAGATGGTTAGGATACTTCGCAATGCCGCTGTGGCTTGCGCTGTGGCTGGTGCCGTGAATGCAGCGACACCGGAGCAATGGAGGTCAAGATCAATCTTTCAGGTTCTTACTGATCGGTATGTTGTTATGCCTCTTGGACATAAGAATGCTTTTTCCTGACATCTTCAGATTTGCTCGGTCGGATGGGAGCACCACGGCCTCGTGTAATACAGCGGACGGGAACTACTGTGGAGGGTCATGGCGAGGAATCATCAACCAGCTTGACTACATACAGAATATGGGGTTCACCGCAGTATGCCGATAGAACTAATTACCGATTGGATTGACTCTGGCTGACCCTCTCGCAGATATGGATCTCTCCCGTCACCTACCAGATCCCGGAACGCACGGTGTTCGGTTATGCATATCACGGCTACTGGCAGGAGAATCTGTACATGCTAAATGACCACTTTGGTACCGCGGATGATCTCAAAGCACTCAGCCAGGCGCTCCATGATAGAGGAATGGTACGCCAGATCCTTTCCCGCACAGCTGGAGCCTCGGCTTGAATAGAGATCGTAATTGACTTCAACGCAGTATCTCATGGTCGACGTGGTCCCGAATCACAATGCCTGGAACGGTAGCGCAGACGCCGTCGACTATTCCAGATACTACCCCTTCAACGACAAGAAGTACTTCCACGACTATTGTCCAATCAGCAATTACTCCGACCAAACCATGGTCGAGAATTGCTGGCTAGGCGACAGCAACGTGGAGCTTCCGGACTTGAGGACCGAAGATCAAGCCGTACGTGATGAGTACAACAACTGGATCAAGGAGCTGGTCTCCAATTACTCGAGTGAGTACTTCTAGCTGCAAACCTCGCGCCTCCTTCTCATTTACTGACTGAGTAATAAAGTCGACGGCTTACGTCTCGACACTGTCAAACATGTCGGTAAAGACTTTTGGTCGTCTTTCAACCAAGCAGCAGGAGTCTTCTGCACTGGCGAAGTCCTAGCAGGAAACCCGGATTACGTCTGCGACTACCAGAACTACCTGGACAGTCTCCTAAACTACCCGGCTTACTACCCCTTTATGGGCTTCCTCAACTCTACACAAGGAAATACAGTCTCTTTACTCCGGGCCGTCGAACAGCTAAAGACAGAGTGCAAAGACGTCTCCGTCCTCGGCACATTTACCGAAAACCACGATCTCCCAAGATTCGCATCCCAAACCCAAGATCTATCCCTTGCAAAGAACGCGCTCGCGCTTACCATTCTCTGGGATGGCATACCGATCGTCTACGCCGGCCAAGAACAGCACTACTCCGGCTACGCTGACCCTGCCAATCGCGAGGCTACATGGCTGGCAAAGTACTCGCGCCGCTCGCCTCTCTACGAGCTCATTGCGTCCGTCAACCAAGTCCGCAACCAGGCCCTGTCTATCGACGCCAACTACGCGACATACAACGTCTGGGCGATCTACAATGACACCAACACGGCTGCGCTCCGCAAGGGGTTTGACGGCAAGCAGATCATCTCCGTCTTCACCAATAAGGGGAACAGCTCTGCGAGCTGGACGCTGAGTCTGGGGAACACGGGATGGAGTGCGGGAACTACGGTGTATGAGATTTTGACGTGCAACCAGGTCACTGTCTCCGGCGATGGGACTCTCGCGGTCCCCATGGAGGAGGGCGTTCCCCGGATATACTTCTCAATGCAGGCTGCGAGTGGGAGTGGGATCTGTGGGAGCATGGCGGACGGAACGACGACGGGTGCTGCCGCGCCTAGCTCGACGAAGGAGAGCGTAGGAGCTGCGGGCCGGAAGGCTAAGAAGACAAGGAAGCAGGTGGCTGCTGTCGCCGGTGCCATTGCTGCGGCTGCGGGTGCGATATAAGAGTCTCAGACGGTGGATTATGGCCAATCTCCGCTGTGTTTGAGAGGTTAGAGACAGCGCTCGACAAAGTGGCTTCGAGCGTTCAGGCAAACGTCGATTGGCATAACGATAGAGCATTGCAGGGTATCAGAATAGCATATAATTGGTCGAGAGCACACACGTTACGATGATAGACTCTAGTTCGATAGTAATTTGGTTCCCATGGTTCGTAGGGCCTGGACCGTCGACCAAAAAGCAATGCGTGCTTCTGCGCGGCGATCCGCATTGGCTCTCTAGCCGCTGTGCAGATGGGTGCCCATAAGATGAAGATGTACAGGAGACGAATAGTGATATGTAGCAAAGTGGAGAAATGTCGGGTCTGTAAGGAGACTCGAACAAAAATCGCATTCGAAAAGCAATTGGGAAATCGTGTATAGAACAGAACGCTAGACAAACGTATCAAAACATGCATATTAAGGCCGCAAGACCTGTAACATCGTAACCTCGTAATTCCCGCAATTCAACTCCCCGCAATATGCAGTCTCCACTCTTCCCCTAAGCAGCGTTATAGTTATCGTACCTCGCCGCTCCATCCCTCCTCTCGATCCCATACTCGGTACTCTGATACGTCCCCGCATTCGCCTCAAGGGGCATGCTGTTCGCCCTCTGAATGCCCCACTGCTGCTCCCTGACCAGCCTCATCGGACCCCGCACGAAACACGACAGCAGGTCTGTAATGTTGAAGGCCTGGATGAGGGCCGTGACAGGACCGGCAGCGGGGCCCTGACCACCCTTGTATGGGGACACGGGGAAAGCGAAGAAGAGGAGCGTGGCGAAGATGGGCATTTCGCAAGCGAGGATGAGTGACGGAAGGCCGACGGCGAGATCGTTGTACGTGAAGTATTTCGAAGGATTGATTGTTCCGCCGCCAACGAGGATGTTGATGATGAGCTGTGATGGGATTAGATTGGGTGAGGTGGAAGAGGATATGGAGGAAGACGTACGGTCTGGAGGGCGTTCAAGCCAATGATACCTTTGAACGCAAAGAGCTTGAGGAACACGTTGTACGGCGCCAGGTGCTGCTTCTGGATCTTGTAGAACCTGAGACAGGCAATAATGGCTACGGTGGTAACGATGCCTTTGAAGACGCTGATCCAGATGTGTGCGAAGTGGATGCTATTGGATGCGGCGCAATAGGTACCAGCTGCGAGGGATATGCAGGTGGCTAGCCAGATGATGATGCTAGTGGGGATGAACTGGAGCACCATGTACCAAACGCGCTAGAGCTTGGGTTAGCAATCTCAACCTACGGACTATTGCTGAGGAGTGGAGAGACACACCTTCAACCATGCAGGGCTGTCTGATGCGAATTCCCTCCTTTTCAAAGCGCCTTCGCCAAAAAGGTCGTCAAAGCCACCAGGATTCGAGAGCACGTAGTCGCACAGCAGCAGCAGGAACGCCGAGATGGCGATCGCACAACCGAAGTCAACGGATTCCATCAGATATTCCCCGGCTCCTTCCTGCCACACGATCAGGAAGGCAAAGAGAGCCACCCAAGGGACGAGCAGGACGATTCGAATGATTTGGCGCTGTTGGATCGGGTTCGAGTAGTTGGTAGCATGCAGAAAGACGACGACGAAGATCATGAGACAGCTGACTATGGCGCACACCCCGGACAGGATGTAGGCGAATTCGTGGAAGGTGATGCTCCCAACGAATGGGACGATTGGTGGACCAGTCTTTTCGGTGGGGCAGACATTCTTGTCTGAGGAGTCCGAACTATCGTCGAAGAGCCTCCTTGCGGCTAGCAATGAAATACTCATGCTGATGGGAGGAACGCGGGAGGACGAGGGGGATGGCGCAATTGGTGAACTCTGTCTGGAGAGAACAGGAAACGACACAGAATAGAGGATGGTCTGATGTATTGGAGCTGGATGTGAGGGCTGAAATAGCAAACTGAGAGGGACATCGCACTGGCCTTATATATCTTCCACGCCAGGATCGACCAGCTACAGACGCACGCAACTTGATGCTGGGAAGAGGGCGGAGCGGGAGCACCTTCGCTGAGTATACCGCAAAAGGCCTAGTGTGCGAGATAAGCCTTTTCCCAGACTGGGCAACGGCTTAGCGCTAAACCCCACAGGCGGCGGCATTGCGCCTGTGCTTGATCCTTCGTCGACATTTTCCAGCCTGGCTTGCTTCAGCTGCGGTTGAAGAATGTGCAGAATGCAGTAAGGAGAGCGTCTTCATCCATCGCGGCTGTGTAGTGCAGCATTAGCAGGCTCCAGTCCAAACAACGGACAGCGCTCTGCGATGTTCGGGCAGTGCTCTCCGACAAGTACATAAGATGCTTGACTTGGCTTGTTCCTCCCGCTTCGGACGCCGTGGGCCGAGATACGCCTGCCTCTCCATGGCGGACCCCAGATGACGTTGGCAGCTGTTTCTCTCGCTCTCACTGCTCTCACTCCACACGTGGAGGTGCTTCTGGAGGGTGAATCTCTGACAGCAGCCCCTTGACCGTGCAGGAAAACCAGGCGGCTACAGCACTTGTATTGCTGCAAGCAAAATCATGCTTGAAAGCGAATGGATTGGCGCATGTCTGTCCTGAATCCTGGCTGTCGCTTTCGAGTCTTCATTTTCGCCTTTTTTCGGTCTGCACGGCGGGTGGACGGGTCCGTACTTGCTCTCGCTCGCGGGGCGACAGGGCCGTTGGTAGAGTTCGAGAAGTGGTCAGCAAGACGGCGGTTTCCGGCGCATTGCTATAAAGACGCGATAAAGGGCGTCTTCTTGCTGTTGACCGAGTGACGAGGGAAGGCTAAGGGACGGCGCGACGACGCCTGGAGTTTTCGCGTTGGCGCTCTCCCCACCATCCGTCACGGTCCAATCAAGCGCTTCTTAGGGCAGTCACGGCACACCACGCAGAAAAGGAGGCAGGTGTAATAATAATATTTCTTTTCATTGTTTAGTGCTTCGTTGTTTAGTAGGTATGAGCACATGCGGCGCGACCGAATTGGGCGATCGAGCTGCCGCAGTGGAGAGCAAAAGCTAAAATACATGGTCAATACATGTCCGCCCCAGTGAGCAAATCCGTCCACCGTCGAACGCCGAGTTCCCATCGAAGAAGTTCCAGATCGAAGATGCGAAGACGCGAAATAGGCCGAAACATGTTGTTGCCGTACATGGTGTGAGGGAAGGAAGAACAGGAGGCAGGAGTTCGCAGCGTGTCCATCACATTTCCATCGCGTCGACATCAGCAACAGGCACGGCCATGTCCATGTCCTGACATGGCGGGGTCGCGGGTTCCGATGGAGTCCGTTCACGAGCGTTGATGCGTTCACCTTCGACTCGGGGGACAGGGCCGGCCATGAGGTTGTGCACGGTTCGCTGCAGAGACCATCCGACGAGCTGGCACCACTGGAGGCTATCAGAGAAGAGCCAGTAGCCTTGGACACCATGCTGCTTGGCGCGTACGAGGTAGGCTGACAAGGACTCCTTTTCAAGCATGACTAGGGCCTCGGTGAGATCGAAGTGGTTCTCAATGACGCGAGAGTAGGCGCGTGCGGCGTCGCGTAGTGCTGGGTTGGTCATGACGTTTTTCCAGCCGACCCCGAGCGACGCGATGAGCGCGTCGATGGTGTTGCCGTGTTCGTCGATGATGTTCTCGGTCTTCTGGGCGACCGTGTCGTTTAGCGATGGAATGGTGATATCGGTCGCCGAGTCCATCCGTTGGGACTTGCGCGAGACAGCGATGGGTCGGACGGGGTGAGGTTTCTCTTCCTTTTCGTTCTTTTCTTCGCACCATGTGCCGGTTTGCGACTCGGCTGAGATGATGAAGCCGGGCTCGCCAGGGTAGATGAGCGTCATCCCTGGGCCGTAGATGGGTTCAGGCTTGGGCTTCGCGGGCGCTGGAGTGACAACCGCTCCGACTGGTTGGTTCTCCTCGGGGTCGTCGACGTCGGCGATGGATCGTTTTCGCCCGGCTGTGGCATTGGACACAGCTGCTAGATAGTTGAGCGAGGGCGGCGTAGGATACTTTGGGCGGAAAGTGCTCGGCGAGTGAGAACGTTGGTGAGCGAAATGGTCATGCGGCTGTGGTGGTGGGAGCACGACGGTTGGCGACGAGGCGTAGTAGTTGAGACCCATGGTCACTGTGTGTTTAGTAGATCAAGAGAGGGGAGAGAGTTCAGTGATACGACAGTCGGCTAGCAACTGAGCAGACGACAAGGCTTGCGACAAGCAAGGTCACGGTCACCTGGGCGACGAGAAGGTGGATGAAGGAGATGGCAGCAAGGTGGGATGCGCCGAAGGAGGGAGATGGATGATGTGCGAGGTGGGCAAAGGAGTGGATGAGGGTTAATTGAGGAGTGGGTGGCCTCTAAGTGGGAAAAGGGAGAGAGGCTCGGCGCAGTGAGAGGTGGGCGCAAGTGAGGTGTGGTGAAGGAGAGATGGATCTGAGGGCGCGGGAGGCTTCTTGTAAAGGTCCGCGCTGAGTCCCGTGAGAGGCTGGTTGGAGGCGGTATCGGAGGGCAGAATCAGGGTAAATGGGCGATGCCAGGGTCGGCATAGCGCCTTGGCAGGCCGAGCGAGGCCGCATGCGGAATGAGTGCACGGTGGCCAAGAAGCCGAGCCGACAAAAGGGCCGAGCAGGCGCGGGGAAGGCTGCATCACGTGCGCTTGCTTACTCATTGCATTTGTGTTGTGGAGCCGAAAGGGCATAGCGCGGTAGCACTCGCCCGGGCGGCGTCGGAGAAACTCACCGGCCAGCCCGACGCGTTTTTTGGCGGACCAGAGCAGAGCAGAGCTGCAAGGCACCCGCCCACACAGCTTGATACCCACAGACCTCCGTTCTCTGTTGTTTCCTTCCGCCTTCCTTCCGCCGACCACAGCTACCCGCGCCAAGATGCAGGCACCGGTGATTGTTATGAGTATGTTTTGACGATCCAGCGAAGCCCCGACAGGCAGCTCACCGCAAAACAGACTCGCAGACCCCCGGCGGGGAGCGGCAATTCGGACGCAAAGCCCAGCTGTCAAACATCACAGCTGCGAAGACGGTCGCGGACATCATTCGATCATGTCTGGGCCCCAAGGCCATGCTCAAGATGCTGCTCGACCCCATGGGCGGCATCGTCCTCACCAACGACGGCCATGCTATTCTCCGAGAAATCGAGGTCGCACACCCCGCCGCGAAGAGCATGATTGAGCTGAGCCGCACGCAAGACGAGGAGGTTGGGGACGGCACTACTACCGTCATAATATTAGGTAGGGTACAGCACTCTTTGGCCGGAGAAGGTCTAACCCGACACAGCTGGAGAAATCCTCGCCCAAGCACTCCCGCAGCTGGAGCGCCACATCCACCCGGTCGTCATCATCCAAGCCTTTAAGCGGGCACTCGCCGACGCGCTGGAGATTATCGATGAGATAGCGGTGGATGTGGACATCGACGACGACAAGGCCATGTACCAGCTCATCAACGCGTCAATCGGCACAAAATTCGTGTCGCGGTGGTCGGAGCTGATGTGCGGTTTGGCACTCAAAGCCGTGCGGACGGTGTCGATCGAGGTTGGGGGCAAGAAGGAGGTGGACATCAAACGCTACGCGCGTATCGAGAAAATACCAGGCGGCGAGATCGAGGACAGCCAGGTGCTGGACGGAGTCATGCTGAACAAGGACATCACACATCCCAAGATGAGGCGGAGGATCGAGAACCCCAGGGTCATGCTCCTCGACTGCCCTCTGGAGTACAAGAAGGGCGAGAGCCAAACAAATATCGAGATCAGCAAAGAGGAAGATTGGAACCGCATATTGCAGATTGAGGAAGAACAGGTGAAGGCTATGTGCGATGCCATTATTGCGCTCAAGCCTGACCTGGTCATTACTGAGAAGGGCGTCAGCGGTATGTCGCAACGCGCTAACTCTGGCTATTTCGCAGCTAACAGACCGCGCAGACCTTGCGCAACATTTCCTCGTCAAGCACAACATCACTGCTATCCGCCGAGTACGTAAGACAGACAACAACCGCGTTGCACGAGCCACCGGCGCCACAATCGTGAACTCCGTCTTCGCTGCGACCGCATCCGACATTGGCACACACTGCGGTCTCTTCGAGATATCCAAGATCGGCGATGAATACTTCACCTTCTTGACAAAGTGCAAAGACCCCAAAGCATGTACGATCTTGCTGCGAGGCCCGTCAAAGGATATTCTCAATGAGATTGAGCGGAATCTCCACGATGCCATGGGCGTTGCTAGGAACGTCATCTGGAACCCTAAGCTCTGCCCTGGAGGCGGTGCTACTGAAATGGCTGTCGCGGTTGGCCTCGAGAGGAGATCGAAGCTGATAGAAGGAGTGGCGCAGTGGCCGTACAAGGCCGTCGCTGAGGCTATGGAAGTCATTCCTCGCACACTCATCCAAAACTCGGGTAACAGCCCTATCAAGGTGCTCACCGAGCTTCGGGCCAAGCACGCGGAGGGCTACGAGGATGGAAAGCATAGCGGCAGCTCATGGGGTATCGACGGAGACGCTGGCAAGGTGGTGGACATGCGGCAGTTCGGCGTGTGGGAACCGATGGCGGTCAAGGAGCAGAGCGTAAAGACGGCCGTGGAGAGTGCATGTCTGCTGTTGAGGGTGGACGATATCGTTGCGGCGAAGGCGGCGAAACAAGCCTCCGGCCCCATTGGAGGCGGTGGCGATGATTAGACGGGGCGGTTGACCAGATCGATGTAGTAAGCATCTAATCGTTGGGGTTTATAGATCTTACGTCCGTCCCCAACTGAAGATAAAATAGCATGAAGCACACCTTCAGCGTCAAATTCCATCCAAGCCAGCTGAGGTGATTGCGTTCTGAGGCTTATGCGGTGCTCGTCTTGGCAGTCGACCTCGTCCAATGGCGAAGGCTGCTTAAAGATAGGACGGATGTGAGCGACATGCGACGGGCGATAATCTGACGTGCCCCTCCCGGAAATCACCATCACCGCTCAACAAATGAGCAGAGCCTGCTCAGCTAATGTTTACATCTACGTGGACGTTCGGACGTTCGTGCGTTCTTTCGGGTGCATCATCGCTCCACGCCAAGCTCAGGAGGCTTTTGGGGGCTGGTTTTAGCACACCTCACCCAAACCCTGATTTATCTGCGAATTTGCAAGTGACACAGGCGCTGCCTCTCCTCTCAACTGTGCCACAACAAAGTCCGCCGCTCTCTTATCCAGTATAAGGTCCATCGGCTTCTGCCACCGCACCTTGTCATGCGGCATCGTCCATGTCTCGCCTCTGGAGCAACGCGAAGAGTTGGACCCAACAATTGGGCACAAGAAGGGTCCAGCAACAGCAATGGAAGGACGCGGATTCGGTAGAGCTGCGGAAGCTCGCCTCGGAACCATCTGAATACGTGCCAGGCGGCTATCAGTATCAGGACACCCCATCTCCATATCGACCGTATTCGAACTACTATGCCGATGTCTTCGTCGACCCGAATGACAACAAGGCGTACAGTCGCGGAACCCGGCGTTATACCCAGGGCTGGCGGTTTGGCGCCATCAATTGCGCCATCTCAGCTTCTGTCGTTTTCCTCATCAATTTTATCGTCACGATTTGGGGTTCTGTGCATGACAAGGGGAAGGGTGGCATTCTCATGGAGGGCGACTGCGAGGAGGTTCGCCGAACGAATACCGGCCTCCATTTCCTCATCAACTTGCTGAGCACGATTCTGCTCAGTTCGAGCAATTATTGCATGCAATGTCTCTCGGCGCCCACGAGGAACGAAATCGATCAAGCGCATGCAAAGGGGACGTGGCTCGACATCGGTGTCCCAAGTATCCACAACCTCAGGCAGATCAACAAGAAGAGAGTAATACTATGGGTCTGCCTTGGCCTGTCCTCTCTTCCCTTGCATCTCTTGTAGGTTCCTCCCCTCCGCCTAGAGCACGTGATTAACCACCTTGCACTAGCTACAACTCAGCCGTCTTCTCCTCCATATCATCCAACAACTACTACGTCTTCTCCGTCAGCCAATCCTTCGTCGACAACGCAGAGTGCTACAACTGCGGCAACATCTCCAACAGTTCATATCCAAGGATAGAGCAACCGGTACGCGACATGCACGCCAAAGCTCACAACGGCAGCCTCGAGCGCCTCTCAAACTCCGATTGCCTCAACGCATATGCCGAGATGATTCAGAGCAACAGACGAAACCTTCTCCTCGTTGCCAGGGATGATAAATTCCCTGCCGCGAGCCAGTCCAAACTCGGTGCTACGAATGTCTATGCCTACGACACTTTTGATGCGGTGGATGCGTCTTCGTCGGAGCCGGCCGTCAACGCCTACTCGTGGATGTGCGAGGGCTCCGAATACTATGATTACTATAAGAACCCTTGCGTCTCTGCCATCGATAAGGTTAAGAGCAGCCCGGATGTGTGGAGAGTGGGAGCTTCATTTGGCAGCGCGGCGTATGATACCGGCGCGTATCCAGTCGAGTATTGTCTCAGCGAGAAGGCGGAGCCGCACTGCAAATTGCAGTTCGTTCCGCCGATTGCGATTCTGGTCACGATTCTCAATCTATTCAAGGCGGTTATTATTTTCTACACCGCGTTCGCGGTCAAGGAGGAACCGCTCATGACGATGGGCGATGCCGTGGCCTCGTTCCTCGAGAAGAAGGATCCTACCACGAAGGGCATGTGCCTCTTATCAGTCCGCGACGTCAAAAAGCACAAGGGCTATTTCCCCGCGGGGCCAAAAGAATGGACAGACAAGAAGTACCGCTGGAAAGACGTCGCCAGCCGCACACGTCGCGGTGTCACCACTGCCATGTACGCCTACCCTCCCCCCTTTCCTCAAGCCGCTCGCTTCTAATACGATTTCCAGGTTTACTATAATTCTCGTCGTCGTCACAGTGCTCATGAGCTGGGGCATCAGAGCCCTGCCTGACACCCAATCCCGCTCCCTCCCTGCGCTCGCTAAACTTGGCTACGGCGCCATCGACCCCCGCACCATCATCTCCTTCGGCTACTCCATCTCCCTCGTCTCCAGCGTGCTCATCGCCAATATCGCGCAGCCTATCCTCTCCTTCCTATACTTCAGCTACAACGGGCTGTTCACATGTATGCTGCTCGGCTACGAGTGGGCGTCGTACGCGCAGCGCCGGAAGGGGTTACGCGTGTCGAGGGCCCCGGCGGGTGCGCAGAGGAGTACGTACTTTCTGCAGCTGCCATATCGCTTTGCGCTGCCGCTTATGGCGCTGAGCGGTGTTTTGCATTGGCTAGTGAGTCAGAGCATCTTCCTCGTTGCTGTTGACGTGTACACCTGGGATGGGGGTCGCCACGCAACCTCTCCCTTCTCTAGCGGAGGGGACTGGAAATCCTGCGGCTACTCGCCTATCGCTATTATCTCCGTACTCGTGCTGGGGATTCTCATGACGTTCGCGATGGTAGGGTTTGGCTTCATCCCGTACAAACCTGGCATGAATCTCGCTGGGAGCTGTAGCGCTGCCATCAGCGCGGCGTGTCATAACACCGAGTGGGATGATGTCCATGGGCATGTTGCTGCGATGGAGAAGCTGAAGTGGGGAGTTGTGGGGATGAGTGTAGACGGCGAGGGCCATGTGGGTCATTGTACTTTTTCAACGAGGGAGGTTGACATGCCCACACAGGGCGTCCGGTATGCTGGGTAATTGGGATTGGGATGAGTGTACTCACGCATTTACCAGGGATTACGACTATCCCGTAGAATATAGATATCAGACGCATCATGAAAGCAACTCCCGAAATAGCGTGGCGTGTGAACGAATCACCCTGCACCTGGGCAACCCTGTCGGCTCAGACTTCATTTCCTCTACCCCAAAAGCCTTCATGTTCAAAACATCCATGTTGCCTTCATACTAGCTATTATTCCCATGCACGATTGTTAGTCAGAGCGCACCGCCCAAGCTGAACTTATTTGCAAGCTCGATATGCCGCGCCATAGAATGCTACAAGCAGGAAGCTGACACGCACGCAGCCTGAGATATTTACTATGACTAGCCACCGCGCAACTCAAGAGAAGGCTCCACCGAGCCAGTCTTAAGGGAGCACAGAGGCTTTCGCGGAGCAATAAAGAGTAGGGTTTGACTGGATATGAGGGAGCGGGAAGGTTCTCACAGCTGTTGCCCGTCTGCTATGCTTCCATCTACTATGATGCGTTAATCTCATGCACCAACTTCATAGCTACCACGGGCTCTTCGACCTCGAATTCGCTTCATCTTGCGACCGTGACATCCACGTTGATGTCGAGTAGCGTTCGTCACAATAGCGCACCCTTCCTCGAGCTCGTTCCCCTTGTGTATCTTGTCCTTGACATTGGCATAGATGTCCATCCTATTTTGCCGCCTCCTCTCTCTACTCTGTCTTCTCGAGCCGTTTCTCTAGTGGAGAGGCCTTGGATGGCCATGGCCTGCGAGGTCGCGCAGCATGGTTGGAAAGCGTGCTTGCATAGCTACGGCCTACTATTTCATGTACAATTGCGCCCTTAAAGGTGGGTAGAAGCAACACATACTGCAGGTGACGTAAGTTTGCTCCCAGCAAACTGCGCGCCATCGAAGTGAAACGCACGCAGCGCGTTGCCTTCTCGCTCCAAACAACCAGAGACTTCATATTTACCTCAACTGCACACCTTCCACCTCACCCAGCAAGTCCCACCAGCGCCCCCCAACCATGGCGAAGTTCACACAACAAGAACAGAGTGACCTCAAAGCACTGCTTCAACGTAAACTCCGCGGAATCCCAGCAGACCACCTGCCATACCTCAGGCTCTCCGACATCGTCAACCAGACACCCACGGCGCTGACTCTGCCAAACATCCCGCGCGACCTCCAGCTCCCCTTCTTCCTCGCCCATCGCGACACCATCGACACCTGCCGCGGCCTCGCCATCAAGGACGCCGCGACGCAGCACATCGACGTCACCCGCGCCATCTTCTTCTACCGCCTCGACGCCGCGCACCAGTTCCAGCGGTACCACGACTCGCACCGCTGGAACATTGCCATCTTCCTCGCGCTCCTGACCTTCCCGTCGACTGTTTACCGTGTCTCCATGGCAGCCCGCCGCTTCATGGCTACGTACCTCGCCGCCGTGCTCGAGCACCACAATAACCCTGCTGCGTTCGACATGCGCGAGGAGTTTGTAAGGCTGTGGAAGGGGGGGAACTACGACTTCTTTACCTTTGGCGCGAGTCAGAAGAAGCTGTTGAAGTGTGAGATGAAGCGGCTGCATAAGGAGTGGGAGAAAGAGTTGGGCCGCGTGGAGGTTGAATTGGGGCGCGAGGCGTATGAGGCGCGGGTGGCGCGGTTTGCGGGCGTGTTAGTGCCGGCGGGGGAGACGCAGCGCGCGCAGCGGCGTCAAGAGGCTGTCGTGAGCATGGAGGTGGCAGCAGCGGATGTGATGCAGGGTATCGAGATGGAGAACGAGAAATGGGAGAATAAGTTGCTGGCGGCGTTGAAGGTGCCGGTCGGTGAGGTGGATACGGAGAAGGAGAAGTTGAAAGTTAATCTGGATGCGGTGCCAGTGACGAGGAAGAGCGATGCCCTTTGGGCGGTTCAACACTGCGAGCCGAGGGACATACTGAGGAATTTGAGGGAGATGTTTCCGGTGGAGAGAGATGTCGCTTCCCCTGTTTAGGTTACGAACGAAGTGAGTATCGAGGAAGGTTGAAAGACGCGGGGAAGCTTCCTAACAGGTTGCAGCCTAGCCCGATCCGTCCAGGCAGGCCATGGTGTTGATAAAGGATGCTAAGGTCACTGGAATAATTCTGGATATGGGAAAGCTTGCTTCAAAACTTGGGGCGGGCACCTAGTGAGTCCGGACCAGGAACTTGATTCCGTTGAGGTAGTTTACAATGCGTCTGAATACGCACGTTCTCCGCTCAGTACCTCGCGCCCACCGAAAATATCACACATACCCATGACCACTGCCTCGTTCAAAAAAACCACTCGTATGGAACTCCTCCCTCCCTCAACACCACAACGTCGCAGCTCTTAGATTTGCGGGATCAACACACCGCGGTACCTCATCTTTCCGTCACGAAGGGTATTCATCGCCTCTGTGATACCCTGCTCAGTCATAGGGAACTTCATGATGACGGGCTTGATGCCATGCAGCGCCGCGAAGTCGAGCATGTGCTGGTGAACGGCTCTTGCAGCAACGACTGTGCCTTGGATAGTGATGCCACTCTGGATGAATGGGAGATGCGGGATGGAAAAGTCGCCGAACGAGACCGTGAGCGGAAAGATAGTGCTCGTGGGAGCCAAAATTGGAAGCATGACAGACCAGTCTATACCGAGATTAGCGAACGATCTCTGCACAAAGGCAAGCGTATTGACAAACCAGGGTTCGCACTGGTAGTGACGATGAGCGCATCCAGCTTCCGTCCAATATCCAACTCCTTCTTGCCCTTCATCGCGACAAACTCCTTCGCGCCAAGTTGCTTCGCCTCCTCTTTCTTGCTATCGCTTCCCGAGAAGACAACGACATCGCACCCCATCCTGGCGGCAAATTGAATCGCCAAGTGCCCCAAGCCGCCGACGCCCATAATACCGACACGATCCGTGGATTTGATGCCGAAGGAATGAAGGGCTGTGAAGACAGTTGCACCTCCACACATGAGCGGAGCCGCCTCCTCATCCGACATGTTGTGTGGCAGCTTAAAGAGAAACGACTCTTTCCAGACAGTGTGCGACGCCAAGCTACCCTGATCCAGGTTGGCCTCGCCATAGAATTCGCGCTCCGGGCAGTAATGCTCCTTTCCGGTAAGGCACCACTCGCAGTGCCCGCATGAGTCATGCTGGTAGCCCCATCCCACGCGATCGCCCTTCTTCAGAAACCTGACATTAGGGCCAAGGTCCTCCACGACACCGGCACCTTCGTGCCCGAGAACGATGTCAGCGGACTTATAGTGCTCGTCTGTGCCGCAGAGACCGGAGGCGGTAATCTTGATGAGGACTTGGTCGTCTTGCAGGTCTGGCTTGGTGGTTTGGGCTTTGACGATTTTGCCGTCTTTGTTGCCCTTGAAGACTGTGAAGGTAGGCATTGTGGTTGGAGTACGTGGAGAGTGGGAGGACGGATGACGGATGTAGATGGGATGTGGGAATGAAGGATGTTGGACTGATCATGAAATGACGATCGGGGTAGAAGTAAAGTGACTTAATACTTACGGAGGAGCCCTTCGCTCGTCTGAGTGCCTCAAACCTGCTATTCCGACCCAGTGGTACTCCACAAGGGAGCAAGCATGACGTTGCACATTAATAATATGCATAGCATTCGAATTGGCCTCTCAAGGCTTCTGTTGCAAAAGTCTCCGACGCACCGGCAGCCACTAGATAGCGTCTTCGTGAGGCCTCCCATGGGAAGCGTGTGCATTTGACTGGTTCCAGTATCGTATAACACTACGGTAGTAGATGCATGGGATTCTATACTGCAGCTCTTGTAGCTTTACTCAGCAATGCGCGCCATCTTTGATAAGGCTTCTAAGCATGTCGTGTCTTGTGCTTGGCGAACGCATTGGGTAAACAAAGGGAGAGGACCGGGGAGATTCGGCCAATGAGGACTTCTGGATGCGCTCGTCTGGCAGTCGTTGATTGGTTTCGGAAATCTAGCGAAGCGCTCTACGGGGAGAACCCGGAGACACGGCATTTGACGATTGGGATGAAGTTGAGATGCATGTGGCCTCGTTCTTTCGTTGAGGTTTGTGCGGATGCATCTGATGACGTAATCGACGAAATGTCGAAAAACCTGGCTCGTGCGGGAAGTGCCCAGGACTCTCCATACTCGTACTGGCTTTCAAATCTTTGAAAATCTGCAGGATTTCGTTCTACGATCATGCGGGAATCCCTGAGTATGCAGGAATGGCCTGGTCTTATCGGGATCCACTTTCCGCCCTCATTATCTGTTCACGCTTGGACCACCGATGACGGATATCCGCCCTGATCTTCTGCAACACTTACATATCCATCCCTTTCGATTGTTGCCATGTGTCCCTTATCTCCGTACGAATGTCAAATAGATGGAAAGAAATGCAACAAATGCTTTGAGGCCTGGAACGTTACTAGCAGTTCTCTCGGACTAATTTTCCACGCCGTACCTCTATTTCATTAATATAAGTATCCGAGCCCAACACGAGCGCCGAGGACGATATTCGTACACGGTCGAAAGCAAAAAGAGTGGCGCGTGCGAGAGACGGAAGTCGCGCATTATGCAGCTCCAGCCGCAAGCTTCTTTCCCTTGACATTCACCCACTCTAGCCCGAAGGCGCAGAAGACGGACGCCGCAGTGATGGCAGCCGCAAGATAGAACGGGTCCAGAAGAGCGCGATTGTATGATTCGAGTATCCCGGGGAGCTGCTCTGGTGTCACCACCGTCCGGATGGCCGCAGTTCCTGCGTCGAGTAGAGCAGCAACGTCGATGCCGGGGACGTTCTTGGCGAGTTGCTTCAATAGTTGCTCGTTGAAAATAGTCTGCGAGAGAGCCACGAAGAGAGCGCCGCCGAACATTTGGAAGAAAGTGACTATAGCAATGCCGACCGGTGTATCTGAAGGGCTGAGCACTACCTGAACGGCGACAAGGGGGCCTGTGAGGAACATTCCGGCCCCTAAGCCATAGATGACTTGGTACCCAATCCAGTAGGAGTTTCCCGTGCCCTCTTCGAAGGTTGTAAACAATCCGCTACCGATCGACATAAGGGCCGTTCCCGCTATTATCCAAGGGTTATAGTAACCGAGCACCGTGATCAGGGCCCCAGATACGATGGCGGAAACGGTTTGAGCAAGGAGGGCGGGCAAAAGATGGACGCCGGACTGCACGGGCATATCTCCCTTGATAACTTGGAACCATTCCGGCATCCATAAGGTGAGTATCGTCTGTGCTCCCATTCCAAACATTGCGGTGAGAGACGCGCAGAAAACGGAACGCTGTGCGAAAATCGAGGGAGGAATCATTGCCATGTCGCCGATGCGCCACTGCCAGACGGCGAAGATGATGAGGATGATACCTCCGCCGACTAGCAGGCCAATGATACGGCCCGAGTCCCATGGGTAGGTCAGGCCGCCCCACTGCAGTGCCATCAGTATCATGACGACGGCGGGGATGAACATGGTGGCACCGAGCAGATCAAGCCTCTTGATCCTTTCCTTCATTGAGTCGCTCTCCACCTTCCTTGTTGGAGGATGGAACATGTAGATAAGGGCCAGTATCGTAACCCCACCAACAGGTAAATTGATGTAGAAAACCCAGCGCCACGTGACATGCTGAGTAAATGCACCGCCGAGGAGAGGGCCGGCGATCGTGGCAATGCCAAATGTCGAGGAGAGTATTCCAGTGTAGAGGGCACGTAGGCGCACGGAAACGACGACCGCGATGATGGAGAGAGTTCCAGACATTAGACCGGCGGCACCAGCGCCAGCTAGGGCACGGCCGGTTATCAGCATTTCTGACGATGCAGCAGCGCCGGAGGTGAGGGAGCCGAGCTCGAAGATGAAGAAGAATGCCATGAAGGTCCACTACAGGCGTTAGATACGATGCTACGATGAACATGTTGTGAAAGAGCATCATCGCACCTTGAGAGAGAAGTTCGCGTATAATTTTCCGCTCAAAGGCTGGAGAGAGCATCTAAAGGCGTGAGTCAAGCGCCGTCGAGCGCCTCAGAGATCGCCTTACATGGTCAAAAGGTATCCGCTCATGTACCATCCGATGTCCGCAGTGGACTGGAACTTTTCTGTGATATAAGGGATCGCGGTGACTACTATCGACATGTCCAGCGCCATCAGAAAAACAGCAAGACCTAGGCCGAAGATGAGGATATGAAGCTTGATGCCGGACATGAATTGGTCCTTCGTCTCCTGCTCATTGTTTTCGTCTGCCGGCGGATTCTCAGCTAAAGAACTGACATTGTCGTCGCTCGAATCTTGCTCCTGAGGAGCGAGATTCGTCTTAGTTGCGGCATCCATGGTAATGTAGCACCTGCCACAGCGACCGTCGTTTCTGTGGAAGTGAGGAGGGTGGAGGTCGTCCAGCTCGAGCGGTAGCTTCGAGGGCTGACGGTCGTTCAGTCTTCCCGGGATGCTGCCCCGGAGAAATCCTTTCCGGCCGTCCGAGTTCGCATGCCATAGCTAAAGCCCTCTCTTTTGAAAAGGACCCTGGTTTCGGGGTCCATCAGTTACCCAAGATGCGGGCTTCAGCCCCATGTGGTGGAACGTAAGCTCGTGCTCTTCTCAGCAGAGCGGGGCTCGCAAGCACTTGCGATTGGCTCGACGTATCTCCCAAGAGGCACAGTTCTCCGGATCTGGTTGTCGGAGCCATTGTAGTCTCGAGCGACAACGAGCTGGTACGTTCGGCGCTGAACGCGGTTGATGTCGCGAACGGGGCGCGGGACGGTTTTAGGGGCCGGTGCCGGTCCCGTCGGCTTTCGAGGCGCTGGTCTGTGCGCTCCTCCTACTTCGTGGACATCCACCTGGCCCTCCCTTCCTCTGCACCTCACAATGCATTCCAATTCTCTCGCCGTCGGGTTTGGCTCCACTGAATTGCCCCGCCTTTGTGGGTCTTCCGTCAAGAGCCCCAAAAATGCCGCCGGATGATACGAGGAGGCGTAAGGCGTGCCGATCCTGCACACAGGCGAAGGCGAAGTGCTCTCCCTTCGAAAACAGGCCAGACGGGTGCTATCGGTGCCAAAGGCTGAAGAAGGAATGCGTATTTGAAGAGGCCGTCGGGAGTAGAGGACCGAAAACACGCTCGTGAGTCTATTCGATCGTCTAACCAGCATTCGATCGTTCATCGACCTTGAATCTCCAGTCCACTTTCTGTCACGTGCATCGTCGTTGCCAAACCGCCCAGGTGTAAGCTTACATCTTAGATAGGCGTGTGAGGAAACTCGAGCAACGAGTCGACAACCTCATAGACCTGTTAGCAACCAATAGCCGCTGCGCTACGATCGAGCGGCCAAGAGACGTATTGGCCGCCGCTTACAAATCCCCAATGGAACCTGTACTAGGCTCGGCACCTTATGGCACACCTGCGGAGATACCGCGCGGCAGCCCTTCAATTGCGAATGCATTCGAAGCATAAGATCCTGTCGATTCCGGGATTCTGGACGAGCCCTGCGCAGCACTCCTCTTGGCTGAGTTCAAGCAATCATACATCAACTCCTTTCCGTTTGTCATAGTACCAGTGTCCATGGATGTGAACACCCTACGTCAACGCCAGCCGTTCTTATTCCATTCCATAACGGCGGTAATGGCATACGGAACGCCTTCCAAGCAACGCCTCCTTGCAACGGAGTTGAAGAACCAAATTGCATCTCGCATCATTGGCCACTCGCACAAAAGCCTGGAAATCCTGCAGGGACTCCTCGTTTACGGTGCTGGGTCCTACTTCTTTTATCAACCGGAGAACCAACAGCTGGCTATCGTCCTCCAACTATGTGTGGCAATGGTGCAGGACCTGGGACTATCTAAGAATCCCAAGGCCACGATGCGAAAGCCGAACTCGTCTGAAGATCAGTGCGGAACGGCGTTCAACACGGAGCGGCTCGCGGCGGAGAATCGAGCATTACTCGGAACGTACTTCCTCACTGTCGCGTAAGCCTGCACTACCTTGTACCTCGTATGACCCTCACGCTGAAGCCTTTTCAGATTTTCACAGGCGTGGCGGAAGCGTTGCACCTTGAGCCATACGCCCTTCATGGCTCAGTGTGCTCATTCTCTTACAGAGCGCCCAGAACAGTCGTCAGATACATTTATCAGCCCTTTAATCCGATTAAGTGAGCTCATCTGTCGGGTCAACAACTCCTTCTCATACGATGATATTGATAACGCAGCGGTAAAGGGAGATATAATGCTCAATCTATTGATCGCGAACTTTCTCAGCGAGCTGGATCAGATACGGAGTTCTTTTCCTGCCGCCGCAAAGCATAATAGTAAGCGATGATATTAACCATCATCATAGCTTATTCAGCTAATCCACTCCCTATAGCAACTCTCAACCTGCAATGCTGCCTTCTCGACATATGGATCAATGAATGTTCTTTGCATGGTGCCCTCTGGACCTCATCCTCTGAGCATAACGTGATCCAGGTGTCCCTCATCAGGATCCAAACACTCCACCGCTGCTTCAGCGCTATGAAGTCATACCTCAATACACTCATCGCGGTACCTCAATCCTCAGTCCACAACCTTTCGTTCCCCTCTTGGGCAGGCTAGTTCTACGCAATCATCGTAGCATGCAAGCTCGTCTTCCTGGAGGACAATGAACGTCAAGCACAAACAGACCTCGACCCTACACTACGCGAGATAAGCAAACTGCTCCCGGAAGACTTTGGACTAGGAATGCCAATACCCCACGAATTCTGCGCACTGCCTAGCGACGTCAATTGCTCATCGCCTTGGGATCCAATCGAAGGAGCTAAAGAAGCGGAAATCCAGCGTTTGTTCGCCCGCTTCATCGACAAAATGAAATTCACCGTCCCCTCAGACCCCAAAGCGTGGATGGACAAAAAGCGGACTACGACCCTCTCTTCAATATTGCAAGCTTGCGGTGCAGTCTCCTCCACGGCTTCACTAAACGCATGAAAGAACATATCGCGAAAACAGGAGCTGCCGAAGGTCAGGGCGCTGCTGGCTACGCATCAACGCACCCGGATTCATCCTCACACCAGCACCAACAGCAACATACCTTCAGCCGTACACTGGAATCCCGAGAGTTGCGCCAAAGAATACAAGACAATCCAATCCACTTCAACAGCATCGACTTCGACAGCATATCTTTGACGGACCCGCTACCAGCGCCTCAGAACGCGTACGATGACTGGTTGTGGGATAAGCTGATGGAAGACTTCACGATGCCACCTTTATAGAGGTCTACTTCCTGGGCTCCTGAATTTGACGCTATAACTTGCGCATACCCATTTGCGAACGGAAGTTCAAGGAACAGTGTATCAGTTTGCTTGGCGGGCTACGACGTTCTTTCCCATGCCACAATGGAGAATCGTGAAGGGAGCTGAGACATTCAGCATGCGCGATATGCTCTATGATCGGTATCGGGATCAGGTGCTGAAGGCCTTGGGAGGTAGGGATGTGCACCCGAGCCACAGAGGCCAGAAGGCAGATGATTTGTGGAAGCAGGAAATCTATTATACGAGAGAAGTAGCATGACTAGATGTTACAGCAAGGAAACAAGGAAACTACACAAGAGAAGCACAACGAGTACGTAACACAACGTCGCCCAGACCCCGACCCGAGCACCAACCCCAACGCCAAACGGTTCCAACAAATGAAGCCACCAAGTCATACATCCCAGCCCCAAGGCTCCCTGCCACTTTACTTCCTCGGGCTATCCCTCCGCTTCAACCCCATCTTCCTCGCGAACGCCCCTAACCCGCTCCCCGTCCGCTCCATCGGCGCCCTCTCCCCCTTAACCAGCTCCTTCTTCCTGCCCTTCTCGCCCCACGGACTCATCTCCTCCTTCTCCAGCTGCTTCTTCCTCTCCACCGCCAGCAGGCCCACCTGCTCCACAAATATGCACTTATCAATCATATCCTCGACTCTCACCCTTAGCCCCTCCTGGTCCAGGATCGACGTGATCTGCGCAAGCCCCATAATGTCGCCGCCCAGCTCGAAGAAATTGGACCCGAGCTCGAGCGGCACGGGCGCGCCTTTGTCGTCGCGCAGGATCTGCTCCCAGGCGGAGCGCAGTTTGGTTGCGAGGATGGAGAGCTCGTGCTTGGAGAGGCCGGTGTCGGTGGGGAGGGTGACGGGCTGTTTCTCTGCGGACTTCTTGCGCGTCGTCTCTGAGTCGATGGTTGTGGAGCTTCCGGAGGAGAGCTCGGAGGGAGACGGGAGTAGGGTGTATGGGTCCTCTGCGAAGGTGATGACGGTGCCGCAGAGCATGTCGAAGACGTGTTGTGCGTACTCGGTGGTGATGGTGCTGTTGGGCGCGTAGGTGAGGTGCAGCTCGAGTTGGTCGCCGCCGCGAGAAGTGGATGTGATGGAGAAGTCGGCGAAATCCTCCTGCGAGCCTACGGCGCCAACGTTGTACTCGATGCCTCCTAGCTGTAGCTTCGCATCGTCGGAGTGCACACCTTGATTGTGCTGAAGCACACTGGAGAAGTTCGTCCAGTCCGGCCAGTCGGTGCAGTTGCGCGTAATCTCCCGAAAGCCCAGAGATTCGTATGGCATGTTCGCAATTTGCTGGTCTTGGATGTAGCCGAGAAGGTCAAGCACGGTCCACTCGGGTCGATATACCACGCGAACGGGGACCATGTTCAAGCAAGGGCCGATAATGGTCTCGATGTTGTGCAGGCCACTGTTGCGTCCAGAAATGACGTGACCGAAGACGATGTCCGACTTGCCGGCGATCCGAGCAAGGGTCGCGGCCCAAGCAGCTTTCATGACAGTAGCTGTCGTGATGTTGACATAGGACAGCGTCGGGACGGTAAGCATCTGCTTGAGCGTGACGGTGCGGCCGGCAGAGCGTTGGTAGTTAGGACCGTAGCGATTAACTATTTCGGTCATTTTGGATCCTCTGAGGACTTCCCGCCAATGATCATGAGCACCGGCGACGTGCTTGGCAGATTCCCGAACGAAGGTGCCGAAGCTGGGAGCGGAAGAAATTGGAAGGCCATTGTATCCGGCCTGGAGCGAGCCAAGGATCTTCGGGAGACAGTATCCATCGTACTGTGCATGTGAAAGGCGCATAAAGATACGATAGTGCTCACTCTTCTTCTGCTTCGCGACGACGAATTGAACGAAGGTCTCGCCTAAGCGGGGCCCGTGCTCGCGGTCCTTCTGTCGGAGTTCTTCGGTGAACTCATCTAGGTCAAGATCGGTCTCTTGGTAGACGAAATCTGGCTGAAGCTTCCTGAGTACGACTTGGAGGAAGCGGTCGCCATATGGCACGAAAACCGTCCGCAGGATATCGTATGCCTGGACAAGGCGGAACGCCGTCTGCTTTAGCTTACGGAGATCCAGAGGACCTCCACCGTCGAGGTAGAAGTAGTTGAGCATCCATTTCGATTCCAAGAGCGTTCCAGTGATGGCAAGCCCTTGGAAGTCGGTCACGGGAAGCACATCAGAGATGCCGCCCTTGAAGACTTGTACTTTGGAGATGACGCTGTCGACGTTGGGATCTCCAAGCAGCGAAATGGACCTGGTCGCTGAAGGATCTTCGTGGATCGTCTGAGGCATGTGGCGCTTCTGGCTTGGTGCGCGTTGCTGTTGTTGCATTGCGGACTGCATGGTGGATGTGAAGCCTTGCCATTTCTTGAACATCTGTTCGGCCTGCTCTCGGTCCGACTTTGCGGCTGGAGGTGTGTTGGCGGGAGAGGTTCGCGTGCTGTCGGCTTCTTCATCGGCGACAGCGTGCTCAGAGACAATGGACTGGAAGTCTTTCCATGCTGAAGCGGTCCGCTCGGGAAGTTGGAGTGCTGGCTTAGACCAGCTGCCAGATCTGCGTTTAGGGGCAGACGACTCGCCGCCGGCCTGAGACATGACCTGGTCGATGACCTCACCAGCCACTCGAACGACCTTATCTCATCAGTATGATGCTTGAATGGGGGGAAGTGAACTCACTCTGGACATGTCGGCAAACGTGGGGTTCTTGAACACATCCGCCACGGTCATAGACAACCCTTCCTCCCTTGCGGCGCCGACAAGTCTCATAGCAATAATACTATCTCCACCAAGTTGCTTCGGTGTATCAGTAATGCGCCTTAAACCACGTACGCAGGCGGACTTACGAAGAAGCTATCCTCATTCCCAATAGAATCCTCCACCATATCCAACAACTCACTCCACAACGTCAACAGTTTCTTCTCAACAAAGTCCGGAGGCACGGACTTCAAAGCTTCAGTAGCCATGACACCAGCTGCTGCTACCATGTCGGCAGCAACGTGAATCCTACTCTCGGCGTCACTCGCCGTGCTCATACGGCGTGACCTCATCGAGCCGGTCTCGAGATTTGACCGACCACCGCGAACTGATTGCGACGCTCTCCTCGCAAGCATTCCCGCCATTTGATTCGTCATCTCGCTCATTGTGGATGGTGCAGGGGTGGCGGTGAGCTTGTTCTTCGACATCACCTGGTCCACGATCTGAGGCACCATTTCGCTGACAATGGACCGAATGAGACTGCTCCAGTCGAGAGCACCTGGTGGCATGGATGGCGCCGCCACCGGTGTAGTCTCGATCTTCGGTACGGGAATCGAAGCCATAGGGTCAGGAATGTCGAAGCGGGGGGAGGTTTTGAATGACCGCGGAGTGGGTAGTGGTATGTTCACTGCCCTGACGTCTTCCTGGGGCTTGTCTTCGATCGCCGCGTCAAGCTCTCCGACAGTTTGTCTTGCGTCTATAAGAGCCTGACCGAGGATCTTGGCCATAGTTGAAGCGATGTTCTTCGCCTCGTCGTCTGAGACGGAGTCGGTCCAGTATGAGAAACGCACTCCCTCATCGTTGCGAGTTGCATCGATATTCACTGTGATAGCGAACTCGCTCGGATCATGGGCGTCCAGGTGTTCGAATTCGACATTCGGCTCTTCAGCTGGTTGGCCTTCGGCGGCACCATGGTTCTGTACCGAGACAGCAGTGTTAAAGAGGGCTTTCCCGGAGAGTCCAAGACCGTGCTGGAACTGCGCGAGAGAACAATGCTGATAAGGCAAGCTTTCGATGAAGTCGCTCTGGACCTTCTTGAATATGTCCACGAGTGAGAGAGAGCCAGAAACTTTGACGCGTGACACCAGCATGTTGATAAAGGCCCCCACTGCGTTCTGAATGTTGTCGATGGGAACGTTGCGACCGGACGTTAAGTAGCCGTAGCACACGTCCGAGGACCCGGTGTAGGTACGTAGCAGTAATGCCCACGCTGCAAGAAGTATGTTCGCGAACGTGACGTTACTCCTTTCCGCGAGAGTTTGGATCTCCGAGAATCGACCGAAGTCCATGTACCGCGAGTGGAGTTGTCGGTTCTTAGTAGAGTGCTGCGGAATAGTCGGAAAGTAACAGGGTTGAACGCCGCGAAGCTGCTCTTTCCAGTAGTTGATCCCTGCCCCGGCCGGGACGCTGCGAATGTATTTAATGTAGTCGCTGTACAGCGGCCCCTCTTCGTCGGATAGGCGGCCTTCGTAGGCGGCCTCCAGATCGCGCCGGATGACTGCATGAGATCCTCCATCGATGACGGCATGGTTGATCTCCATCTTGACAATGACTCTGCCAGACTTCGTCTCCACGATCGTGAACTGGTGCGGAAGCCGAGGCTTCTTCTTGCCATTGGAGTTGGCATACTGGATAGAGTTCAGCTTCGCGGTCAGGCCGGAATCGTCGCAAATATAGGTCAGGACTCCAGTATCCGGGCTCTTAATGACGATCTGGTCGAAGACGCCTCCTTTGCAGACACTGTCTACAAAGATCGTGCGCAAGGCTGGGTGACGGTTGACAACCTGCTCCCACGCCCTAGCTACTCGTCGCACATCCACCACACTCCGTCTCGCTCTGACCTCGAACGTGGAATAAGACCAGTACGAATCGGGATCCTTGATTTGACTGAGGATCATACCCTCTTGCATCGCCGCGCAAGGATACATGTCCTCTACTTGGTCGTACGATAGGATTCCCGCCGCTGGGAAGGTCTTGACGACTCGGTCTAGGCGGTCGTACGACTCTAGTGGCAGGAGCGGGAAGTCGGACATTGTTGGCTGAGGATTTTCGATATTGGCAAGAGTGCTGACGATCTCCTCAAGCGTTCGCTGACACTCAACAATCCATCTGCGAATGCTCTTCCGGCTCTTCATCCAGCGGTTGTACATAAAGTTGAACTGGATTTTTCCATGCGTGACCGACGCAGAGATCTCGAACAGTGCAGGTCTTCCCGTCTTGGCACCCAGATCGGTCATCTCAGCTTCATCGTCTTCGTTGAACCGCATCGGCTGGAAGAGGGAGTCGTCGGACTCGAGCTGCTGCATCTTGCCAAGATAATTGAAGAGGATCTCAATAGGTGCGTGATCAGCGAACCGCTGCTTGCCGTCTTCGGTAAGGAAGCGATGAGCAAAGTACGGACGGCCATTATCGGTGACCTTCCTGCGAGAGTCCTTGACTTGCCGTACCGTTCGGACAACATCATCTTCATCTTCGGCGATTGGTACACAGATCGGATACATCGTTGTGAACCAGCCGACGGTGCGGGAGGGGTCGAGATTGCTTGATTCCCACGTCTCGCGGCCGTGCGTCTCATTGAAAACGGTAGGCGTCTTGCGGTTGATGAAGATGCGAGAGAAGGAATGCACAACTGCTGCGACGAACAGGTCGACGATGTCGGTTCGCAGGACGCTGTGGTCTTCAAGGGCTGCAGCGGAGATGTCTTCATCGATGGTGAAGGAATCACGTTCCACATCACCATACAAATTGCGACGTTTGTCGAGGGCCCAGAATGCTAAATCTGCGGGCTCTACAGCGAAGTGCTGTTGTTGCATGGCCTCGACCTGGTTAGGCTGGAGAGCATGGGCTGTTTGCTTCTCGCACCAGGTTTGGAAAGGGAGCGCTTTCTGCAGAGCGTCGACCGACCCAGATGCGAGGCACTCTTCAAGGTCTCCGAGGATCACCCTCCAGCTGACCACATCGATGACAAGGTGGTGAGCGGTGATGAAGAGAATCTGCTCTCCGTTTCGTACGTTGAAGAAATCGATGGCGAAGAGTGGTCCATCCATTATGTTGAGGCTCTCCTGGGTGTTCGAGATGGTGCCGACGACCTCATGTACAGCAGTGACGTCGTGCACTTCAAACTTGTATGCATTTGCGGAGTGCCTTATGATGGTCTGATGCCACTTGCCTGCCTCATCTTTGGTGAATCGTGCGCGAAGCATGGAGTGACACTTGACAATGGCATCGACTACCTTCCCTAGACTTCCTGGATCGGTGCGGCGGGAGAGGCGAAGAGTGAAGGATTGATTGAAGTGCGAATCCTTCTCGTTCCCAATGGATTCGAAGTAGAAGCGCTGGATGGGCGAGAGCTCGAAAGGCTTGTCGGTCTGCTCTGCGCTATGATCGAATCCGACGCCGGAGCCAACGCTCTCAGCGAGATGCGCAAGCGACTTGCTTCGAAGAACTTGGTTCAAGGTAAGGTTTATTCCATCCTTCCGGCATCGGGCAAGGAGCTGCATTGCAGTGATGGAATCTCCACCGAGCGCTGAAATATCAAATTAGCACTGTCTGAGAGGATTGAAGATGGTACACTTACAGAGCCAAGACTTGTTCAACTTCACGTTGCTGACAGGGATATTGAGCACCTTCGCCCAGATGCTTTGGAGCTTTGTGGCCACTTTCGTGGCAGTAACGGTCGGCTCACTGCTGCTTTCAAGCTCCAGAATGTGTCGGTAAGTGTCTTCATCCATGCGTTCAAACCAAACAGCTACCTGCTTCCTGTCGAGCTTCGAGGAAGCCAATGTCGGAATGTTATAGACGGCGGTCCAAACGGTCGGCACCATGTAGGAAGGCACAAGGTCGGAGACCCTCTCTCTCACCTCATTAATCCAGCGGAAAACTTCAGGCGTCGCTACAGGCGTGTTCCATGGCTGCTCAGCCATGTCTGCAGGCGAGCAATGGAAGGACAAAACGGCAGTCAGCTTCCTTTTCCCGGGACCGAACTTCGGCATCAGTACTACAGCTTGTCGCACGGTCTTGTCAGCTTGGAGATGGTGTTCGATCTCACCGAGCTCCATGCGCTGGCCAGCAAGCTTCACTTGGTTGTCCTTACGTCCGATGTAGCGAATGGAGCCATCTGGAGCGTATTGAACAAGATCGCCCGTACGGTAGATCCTGGTATGCGTGTTCTTGAAGAACTCTTTGGTGAAGGCTGGGGTCTCCACAAATGATTCCTTAGTCTTCGCGGGGTTGTTGAGATAGCCTCTAGCGAGGAGCGGGCCTTCAATACAGAGCTCAGCGACCGCTCCAACAGGGGCGAGCTGGTTCGGGTTCTCGGGGTTGGTGAGCCAAGCTCGGCCGCTTTGAAGGACCCGTCCAATGATGGACGGATCTCGCTGAGTTGTGACCTTGTCGTTCGCAGCAGACACGATGGACCCCTCGGTTGGGCCGTAGGCATTTAGGAGCTGTAAGCCAGACCACTTGTTGATCGTTTCGGGAGTGAGAGCTTCTGCTCCGGATGCAAAAGTCTTCAGGGTAGGAACGGCCTCGGGCCCTTCGATAACGTTGGCCACTGACGGCGTAAGGCAAGTCCACGTAGCCTTGAGTTTGTTGATCGCTGAGGTGATGTCTGTCGTCCGCCCTTCTTCGGAAGGAATGCAGACGGCGGCACCGCAGGACAGCGCGGTGAGTATCTCCATGACTGAGGCATCGAAGACGAAAGATCCGAACTGGAAGACTCTCGAAGCTGAATTCATGTAGAGAGCTTTGCATATGGCAGCGGAGCTGGAAGCAATAGCCCGGTGCTCGATGACTACACCTTTGGGCACACCAGTGCTGCCGGACGTATACAGCACGTAGCAAATGTTGTTGCTCTTTGCGCGCGGAGGGACTTGCGACTGTCGAGCGGAGAGTTGGCGAATCGAGGCCTCGTTGACCTTCACCACCTTGCTCACCGTCGCCGTGAACCGAGACTCGTAGGCCGGCGAGCACAGGAGGATCGACGCATTGCAGTCTTGAATGATCTGTTTGTGGCGTGAATCTGGATGTTCTGGCGAAAGCGGTACGTAGCCCGCGCCCGAAAGAAGGATACCCATTATCGCGACTACTGCCCAGCGAGACTTGTCAACACAGAGTGGTACCAGCTTCTCGGGTCCAGCGCCCAACCTGATAAGCTCGTGCGCTAGGCGAGAGGCGAGGTCGCGCAGCTCCCCATAGGTGAAGTTGCCGTCAAAAGCAGACACCGCTGTCCCAGAATGTCGAGCTGCCACTTGCTGCAAGAACAAGGAAGGAATTGTGTCGTCGACCACCACCGGCTCGCGAGCGTTCCATTCACGTACGAGCTGCATGTCTTGCTCGCTGAATACGCGGATGTCACGAACGTTGCTGACTGAGTTGAGCTGGCTGAGGAGAGAATCCAGTTGGTAGAGAATGCGCTGGATCTCCCATGCCGACATGACGTTCGCATCGTAATATGCGGAAATCTCAACGCTCGTTTGGCCAGCTTTGCATTCAATGACTAGCGGGTATGTGAAGTAATTGGTCTGAATGCCCGTGTTGTGGAACGACCACATGGACTCCGCAGGCTGCTCGCCTCCAGTCTGGATAGCCAACAGGTTTTGGAAATCGCACGCGGCAGCAGTGTCCTGATCGATCCGCTTGATTTCCGAGAGTCCGACGTGCTGGTAAGGTATGCGATCGGTCGTATTCGTCGCGATCCCCTTCAGAAGGTCAAGCACGCTGGCTTTCTGATCGACTCTGACTCTGGTAGGGACGGTAGTCAAGGTTGGACCGCAGATCTCGGTGACGCTGGAAACGGCGATGTCTCGGCCGGTCAGTGTCTCACCAAAGACAACATCATTGCTCCCCGTGTAGGCGGTGAGGAGCAGGGCCCAAGCGGCACGGATGACAGTGGAGGGCGTGATGTCGCTATGACGATGGGCAACGAACTTGGCTGTGTGCTGCAAGACTTGACCATTCGGAGCCTTGTTCGAAGCCGAATGCGACTGCTGTGGGAATTGGTACGACGCCGAGCCCGCCAAGTTGTCCTTCCAATACCTCGCCGAAGTCTCTGGATTGGCATCCATGAGGTATTTGATGAACCTGGTGTATGGAGCCTTCGGTATGTCTGATGAGCCAGTTTGGTAAATCTGCTGCACTCGCTGCAGCATGAAGGGAATGCTCCAGCCATCGTAGAGAGCATGGTGGATAGTCCAGACGAAGTAATGTTTATCGGTTGTCGTACGCACGATAGCATAAGCTGCGAGTCGACCTCCGAGGTGCGCGGGAACCTGAGTGGCTTCTCCCTCGGCTTCCTCCAGTGTGTTTGTCTCGCGCCATGTGATTGGATCTTCTACAAGGACAGTCTGTAGGAAGACACCCGAGTGCAGTTGAGCGATGCGGGTGCGGAGGAGGTCGATCTCTTGGACCGCCTTGTCCCACGAAGCTTTGAACTTCGTGATGTCGACAGACTCCGCGAGAGCTAGGATGTGTTGAGCGACATAGGCCCCTGGCTGCTTGATGGAGAGCGCAACGAAGACCTCCTGGAGTGGACTCGTCGGGTAGGCGTCTTGAACCTTGTCCTTCGAGACACGGCACTGCTCTGCAAGTTCACTAAGGACATGCGACTTGGAAAAAGGTTGTCGTAGTAGTTCGAAAGGCTCAATGGCCCGGTCCCTCTTGGAGTCTGTCTCGGCCAGATTGCATTTGGCGGCAAGATCAGACAGCTTGGGTTGCTTGAAGATGTCGATGACCGAGAGTTCTAGGTGCTCTACCTGGGCTGCCGCAACGAGTCGCATGGCTGCGACAGAATCCCCACCAAGGCGCTAGAGATTGTTAGCTATAACCCTATCAATGATGCGGACAGTACTCACGATAAAGCTATCGTCCGCTCCGACCGCTGAAGACGGGAGATTGAGCACAGAGCACACGAGCTTCTGTAGCTTCTTCTCCGCAATTGTGGTGGCCTTTCTCTTGTTCATGGCACTGTTCAGCCGGTAAGGTGCCATGTCTTCCTTGGTGAGGGTTCCCACGAGATTTCTCAGACGGTTGCGGTCTAGTTTGCTAGCCGTCGTCCATGGCATCGTCCTGATGGGTATGAAGATGGATGGAATCATGTAGGACGGTAGAACACCAGCAAGCGCGTTCTCCATGGCTTTGCACATATCCCGGAGATCGTCTTCCATGGGAAGGAGTAGCTCGTCGTCAGTGACTCCGGCCTGTTGGTCGTCATTGTCTAGAGAGAAGAAGACAGCGAGTGCCTTGGCGCGGCCACCCGGCGCAACAAGCTCCACAGCTGATTGAACGCCCTCGGGGAATTTGCTCTTGACGTGGAATTCGATCTCGCCAAGCTCAATTCTCTGACCGTTGAGCTTGATCTGTGTGTCCTTGCGGCCGATATAGGTGATGGAACCATCGGAGTTGTAGCGTACCAGATCTCCCGATTTGTACATGCGCGTGGTGAAGAACGTGCCGTCGTGCCAGGGTAGGCGAGATACCCAGTCAGGGTTCGAGATGAACACCTTCGCTGTCTTGACTTCATCGCCAAGATATCCGCGAGCTGCGGTGAAGCCCTCAATGACAAGTTCTCCAACGCTGCCCACCGGCATGAGTTTGTCGTGATTGCGAGGATGGACGATCCATAGTCGGCATCCGGAAGGTAAGCCAATGGTTCCAGGATCGATGTCGATTAGCTTCTTTTCCAGCGTCGACTTCTCGCAAGTGACGGCAAAGACGGTGGTCTCGGTTGGACCGTACCCTGCTTAGAGTTAGTTATCGCTGTGCGTGCTAGGAGTCATGCCACATACCATTCATGAGGCAGGTGCTCTTGCCCCACTTCGTGATCACCGGTCCGGGTACAGCTTCTCCACCAGCCACAAGGGTCTTTAGGCTAGACACCCGTTCGGGCTTCATGGTACCCAGGACTGAGGGCGTCATGAATGTCCAGGTAGCCTTCAGTCTACGTATTGCGCCGGCTGGGTCATTCATTCTTTCGTCCTCCGTCGGCACGCAGATCGTAGCACCAACAGTAAGAGCTGCGAGGATCTCTGCGCAGCTAGCATCGAACGTGTAGCTTGCAAACTGGAAGGTGCGGGACGTAGAATCCATGTGCATAAGCTGCGTAAATGCGGCTGCACTGGTGCAGAATGACTGGTGTGGGATGATGGTGCCCTTAGGCGTGCCCGTAGTTCCAGAAGTGAACAAACAGTATGCAGCATTGTCGGGAGTAACATCTGACCTAGGCTTCAGTCCCTTCGAAAGTGGCATCTTGCTGATCGACTGCCGGTCGATGATGACCGCAGTGTTTGCGACTTCGCTCGCCGTTGCATGGTAGTTTCTCGAGCACAGCACGACCTTTGCACCAACGTCACCGATCAGTTGGCGTAGACGCCCATGTGGATGCTTAGGATCAAGGGGAACGTATGCGCCGCCGGCTTTCATAATGGCGATCATTCCCACAATGGTCCATGAACACTTCTCAAACAGGATCGGGACGAAGGTTTCTGTCGAGATACCGATGCTTTTAAGGTAGAGAGCCAGTCGGTTGGTGACCTCGTCGAACTCTTGGTAAGTGAACCTTGCATCCCAGCCTTCGATGGCGTTTGCAGAACGAGGCCTCAGTAGAGCCTGCTCCTGGATGAGCTCATGTACGCACCGGCGGACCGGTGGCGGAAGTTCGGCATTCCACTCCGTGATCTGCTCAAGGCTCCCGGAAGTGAAGAAGTCGAGATCACCGACTTTGAGCTCATCGTCACCGCCGGCAACAATACCAGAGAGTATCTTCTCAAACGTTTCGATCATGTTCCGTGCCTGTGCCGGGTGTACCTTGTCTTGCCAGAAACCGAAGTCGACAGTGGCGCCCTCTTCGGACACATCCGCATTGACGGTAACGTGGTATTCTCCAGGGTCCGCTGCTTCAACGTTCTCGTACACTAGCGCTGTCTTCTCCGGGTCGCGGGAGAGCTGTCGTCTCTGGAATGTGAAGACAGTGTTGAAAAGGGATGGAAGCTGAAGCTCATGTTGAACGTCCGCGAGCGAGCAACTCTGGTGCGACAACGCGTTGACCGAGTCCGCTTGCAATGCTTCCAGTAGCTGGCTAATAGGAGTCTCGTCCGAGAAGTTGAGCCGGCAAATGAGCATGTTGACGAAGCATCCTGCAGCCTCCTCGATGTTCCTGACCGGGATATCGCGCCCAGACGCGACGACGCCGAAGGATACGTCGGAAGCACCGACGTAGCAGTGCAGTAGAAGGGTCCAGGTAAGCTGGAGGACATTCGACAAAGTGACGCTGTTCTTCCTGCAGAAGGCCTGAATCCCCGCGGTGTCAGTTACGTGGACTTCATAAGACCCAAGCGCGTGGGGTCCCGGCTTGCCATCGGCGAGCGTAGGGAAGAAGCACGGTTCAACTCCCGACAGATAAGACTTCCAGTAATTGACGTCGGCGTCTCTTGAACTTGAAAGAATGTGGGCGATGAAGTCGCGATAGAGAGGTCCGCTATCGGATCGGGAGAGCTTCCCTTCATAGGCCCGGGCCAAGTCGTTCAGAATGTTCGGGATGGAGCTACCATCGCAGATAGCATGGCTCATCTCTAGCTTGGTCCACACCTTGTCTGTCCTGGTCTTGCAGATAGTCAAGCGGTGAGGAGGACTGAATTCGCGATAGTCCGTAGCGGGCTGTTCGCGTAGGATTCGAGTGATGTCATTGTCGTCACAATCTGACATCCACGATACCCTACCTGCCTTGTCCTTGAACACGATCTGATCCATGAGCGTCGTCTTGGAGAGACTTTCGATGAAGACAGTCCTGAGGGCTTGGTGGCGTTGGACCACAATCTGCCACGCCTCTGCAAGCTTGCGTGGGTTGACCGATCGGCCCGGCTCCGTTGATCGGACCTCAAAGATGCAATGGTAGGCGTAGAACTCGGGATGCTTGAGTTGTGAGAGGAGCAGACCCTGCTGCATGGGAGAAGTCGGGTAGATGTCTTCGATGTCCGCGAGAGTGACTCCGGACGGCAGCACAGCGGACAGCCTGGACATACCGTTGTACGACAGTGGCAGCAGCTTGAAGTCGCTCAAGCTGCGCTCGGGTCGCGAATGGAGGAGCTGGTCAACGGCCTCCACGAGAGTTTGTTGACACTCGGCGATCCAACGCCTGATCTCTGGCTGGCGCTTCATGTGCCGATTGAAGCCAAACGAGAGCTTGATGGTGCCCTGCGTTACTACAGCACTGACCTCAAACAGCGAGAGGCGGGGAACATCGTCTCCGATGTCCATAGTTGAGATACCGTCCATTCTCTGGAGCAATGCATCTTTGCGCTCCAGGTTCTGCATCCTTCCAAGGTAGTTGAACGTCACTTCAGCTGGCCAATGACTGGAAAAGCGATCCTGCCCTTCCTCAGTCAAGAGCCGGTACGCGAAGTAGGGGCGTCCCTTGTCGGGAATTCTCTCGCGAAGGTCCTTGACCCATTTGATAGTGCTGATAATGTCTGTGGGTTCCTCTGGTGGCACGGGCAGATGGATTGGCGTGAGGGTGGTGAACCACCCAATAGTGCGCGAGAGATCTTGTTTAGCATCAAATGGCTCCCGTCCATGGCCTTCGTTGTGTACGGTGACCGTAGATCTATCGGGGAACACCTTGCGGAAAGATTCGAGAAGGGAGGCAATGAAGACATCCAAGGGCTCAGTAGCGAGCGCATCATGAGCTCCGAGGAGGAGCATGGAGTCCTTAGGGCTGAGCTCGATGTCCTCAAAGATGACGTCCGCGTTGATGTTGCAATTGGTGTTCATTCCCCAGTATTCGAGGTCAGCAGGAGGGATGCCAGCCACTGGAAGCACCTTCCTAGCTGTGTCGTCCTTGGCCCGTGAAACTTGTTGTTGTGCCCAGGTATGGAATGGAAGACTCTGAGGTGGCGGGTTGGTGTCGTTCAACAGATTCTGTAGATCCTCGAGGACGATGCCCCAAGATACAACGTCAATGACGAGATGGTGCGCTACAAGTGCGATAGCTTGCGAGAAAGTTTTGTCGATATCGAACAGGTCGACTGCGAAAGTCGGCCCAGTGGCAATGTCTAGCGTGGCCTGACTTTCATCGATGATCGGCCGCATGCTTCCATCAATTGCCGTATTGATGCGATGATGTCGTAGTCTAAAGGAATTGGCCGTGTCCTTCTCAATTCGCTGTTGCCAGGTTCTAGATTCATTTCTTGTGTAGCGTGCTCGCAGCATGGGATGCGTAGTGATCAGCGAGGTGAGTGCCGCCTTGACTTCATCCAGCTCAAATGATCGGGCGAGACGAAGGACAACGCTTTGATTGAAGTGGTTGTAGGTATCGCCGACAGCATCGAAGAAGACTCTCTGGATTGGAGTGAGATTGAAGGGCAGATCGTACTCCTGGTCCTTAGGCGCGTTTGCTTGGTCATCCGTGGTAACGGAGACCGTTGAGGCGAGCCCGGCGATAGACTTGGACCGGATGATGTCCTGAACAGTAATAGCAAGACCTTGGGATCGACACTGAGAAGATACTTGCATGGCAGCGATCGAGTCGCCACCCAAATGCAAGAACGATTGGTTGAGGCGGATGTCCTCGGGTGGCAAGTTGAGCACCTTCGCAAAGATCGCTTGAAGCTTGCTCTCCACACTGCTCTCAGCGTCTCCGCCTTCATCCTTCGGCGCGTCAAGACCCAGAGCAGAGACAACGCGATAGGTCTCCTTGTCCATACGCTCGAGCCATTGCACTACACGCCTCCGATCCATCTTGCCAGAGGGCATCAATGGGAATTTAGTGACCGCGACCCACAGCGATGGTACCATATAAGAAGGGAGGCGTTCGCAGACTCGATCTCGGATCGAACCGATATGGAAAGAGGCGTTCTCCTTCGGCAGGAGCTGCAATTCCTCATTCGAACCGCTGACATTATTCAGCGTCACAACGCCAACCAGACGCTTAGCGCATGGTCCAGAAGTTGGCACAGAGGCAAGCGCGTTCTGAACTGACGGATCATCGATGAGATGGTGTTCGACCTCTGAAAGTTCGAGTCGCTGTCCCCGGACTTTAGTCTGGGAATCCTTGCGGCCAAGGTACTGAAAGTATTAGCAACTGTAACGCAATGAACGGTCATTGGACTTACCATCATGGTGCCATCCTCGTTGTACTTGACAAGATCTCCAGTCTTGTAGAAACGTCTTAGTGCGCCACGATCGAGGGTATCGGCTCCCAAACTCCACTGCACCTCTCCGATGAATGCTTGAGTGGTCTTTTCCGGGTTATTGAGGTACCCTGCGCCGACACCACCACCTTCGAGCAGTAGCTCTCCCACTGCTCCAAGAGGTGCCAGAACGTCTTGGTTATCCTTCGAAACAATCCATCCCCTAGCGGTGACAGCCTTCCCAAGATTGTTCGGCTTCGTGGTCGGTGTCATGATATTAACTGTAGCAATGGCGCTGCATTCAGTCGGGCCATAGCCATTGCCAAGCATGACCCGATCAGCCCAGGTGAGCAGCTCTTGCTGAGACATGGCCTCGCCGACTAATACAAGAGCCTTAAGCTGAGGCACCTGGGAAGGCTGCATCGTTCGCACAACAGAAGGAGTGAGAGTAGCCCAGTTGATGTTGAACTTGTTGATTACGCCGGCCAGGTCGTTCATTCGCGAGGCTTGGTCAGGGACGCAGACCGTACCACCGAGCATCAGTGTGCTGAGAATCTCGATCAAGCAAGCGTCGAAGGTATATGAAGCGAACTGGAGTACGCGGGATGATTCGGAGATGCCCATGACGGGAGCGAACGCAGTGGAGCTGGACACCCACGAGCAGTGCTTGATAACTGCTCCTTTGGGCTTGCCGGTCGAGCCAGAGGTAAAAATTACATAGGCTGGCGTGTCGCTCTGAACGTACGGCAAAGTGTAGAGCCGCCCAGGGTGACGTTCGGTCGCGTCTCGGTTAATGGCCATTGTTTTGCAAGGGATAGACTGGCACAGGGCTTCGTACTGCGGAGCACAGAGTATTAGCTGGGCCTTCACATCTCCGACGATCTCGCGAAGCCGGAGGATCGGAGCCTCGAAGTCCAAGGGAACGAACGCGGCTCCGGCTTTCATCACGGCGAGCATGGCGACGATGGTCCAGCCCGACTTGTCAAAGCAGAGCGGGACAAAGGTCTGTGGCTTCACACCGAGCGAGATGAGGCGAGAAGCCAGTCGTGCAGCCCGATCATCCAGCTCCCGATAGGTCATGACGTCAGTATCCCAAGCCTCCAAGGCAATGGCTGAAGGACGAAGGATGACTTGGTCTTGGAAGATCGCATTGTGGATGCATCTGTTGATGATGTTGACGGGTCGGCTGTTCCAGGCAGCAATGACATCCTGATCGCCCGGGTTGAGTAGTTCCAGATCGCCTATAGTCTGTTCAGAGAAACCATCCGCGTTGAAACGGCTGAGGATGAAGTCGATCTGCTGGAGGAGGCGCTGCACAAGCCAGGGCTGAATGACCTGGCTATCGTAATGTGCTTCGATACTGACGCCGTCCCTCTCAACGGTGCAGTTGAAGATGAGAGCGTAGTTGAAGAAGTTGGTGCCAATAGTTCCTGTGCTTTGAAGGTCCCACAAGCCACCCTCAGGATCTTTCATGCTGTCGCCAGCGACAATAGCGAGCAAGCTTTGGAATTCGCACGCGACGGCTGTGTCGGAACTGAGCTTGCGTATGTGCTGCAGGCCCGCAAATTGGAAGGGTAGGGCAGCGGAGGCTAGGCGTTGCACCTCGTGCAAGTAATCTTGAACCTTCAGCTGGCGGTTCAGCCTCAGGCGCATGGGAGACGTCGCGATAGTAGCGCCGATGATGTCTTCGATTCCTGAGACCGGGACTTCTCGCCCGCTGTTCGTCTCTCCCCAGAGAACATCGTCAGAGCCGGAGTAGGTAGCTAGAAGAAGACCCCACGCCGCTCGGATCATAGAGGGCATGGTGATGTCCATTCCAGACCGGCGGCTGGTTTGGACATGGTGCAAGAGCTGGCTTGACGCTTGGACCTTGTAGTCCGGGGTCGGCAGCTGCGGGAATTGGGGAGCTGTGATGTCTTCAAAAGTGGATAGCCAAAAGCCGTCAGATTGTTTCTCGTCAATGGTTGACAGGAATTTGATGAATCGAGAGTACGGCACAGAAACGACAGGTTCCTGAGGAGTCTGCCGATAGTAAGATTCAACTTTGCACAGCAGGTTGGGCAGACTCCATCCGTCATACACCGCATGGTGCGCCGTCCAGACGAAGAAAGGCGAAGCCGAACCTTCGCCGACAATGGCATAGGTGGTCAGCACGCCACCATTCTTAGCTGGAAGATGTCGATGGCTTTCATTGATCTCCCGCACGTCGGCCAGGTTGTGCCACTCGACGCCTTCTCGAACGACAACCTGCAGGAAGCCATGCTCCTCAGTGTAGATGACACGGGTCCTGAGAATGGCTTCTGATGCGATGACTGTATTCCATGCCTGCTTGAAGCGGGCGATGTCCGTGTCGGATGGCAGGCGATATATGGTTTCTGCCACATACGCGCCCGGCTCCGTGGTCGAGAGCGCGATGAGGCCTTCTTGGAGGCGACTGCAGGGATAGATGTCTTCGATGGAGTCAGGGAAGATGCCGCATTCGGATGCAGCGAATTCAATGATGCGGCGTCTGGCATCCCCTGGCACAAGTTCGAATGGAATCGTGTCCGGCTCAGGCTCTGTGGAGAGCTCGTCGGAGGAGAGCACAACCGCGCTAGCTGCCATGTCGACGAGCTTAGGCTGCGCGAAGATGTTCGCGACGTTCAGGATGATGCCCTCTTTTCGGCTAGCCGTGACCAGACGCATCGCGCCAATAGAGTCGCCGCCGAGACGGAAGAAAGAGTCGTCGGTGCCAACGGTGTCAGCATTCAGGTGCAACACGGTGGCCCAGAGGCGTGCGAGGGTGGTCTCGACAGGCCCCGAAGGCGCGCAGCCGCTCTTTCCCGCAAGCCTGTAGACATGCATCTGCTCTTCTGGTACGGCCTGGGCTAGCTGTCGCAGGATCTTGCGGTCAAGCTTGCCAGAGGTCGTCATGGGCATGCTCGTCACTGGCATGAACATGGACGGAACGTAGTAAGCAGGGAGGGCGTTGGCGAGCGCAGCCTCCATGTCCTTGGCGACAGCCCGCACTGCGTCCGTCAATTCTCCAATAGCAGATGGAACATCATTCACCGAGCCTGCGGGCTCCTCGGAAAGGCAGAGAAAGCCTGCAAGAATCTTCGTGGCTTTGGAGTCGGAGAACTTGACCAGCTCAACCGCTGACTGTGCATCAGACGGTAGATTGAGCTTCAGATGGTACTCTATCTCGCCGAGCTCAATGCGCTGGCCATTCAACTGAAGGGCATTAGTAACTCCGTGTATATGTTGGGGAAGTGAGCTCACCTTGACTTGACTGTCTTTCCTGCCCAGATACATCATTTCTCCTTCCGATGTATACTGCACAAGATCACCGGTGCAGTAGAATCGGCGACCGGTTGCACCACCAGCGAGCGCCCATTCAGGGTCTTGAATGAACGCCAACTTGGTCTTCTCCGGGTCGTTCAAGTAGCCGCGACTCAGGATCGGTCCTTCGATTAACAGCTCGCCCTTGCAGCCGATGGGCACAAGCCGGTTTCGGTTATCTGGGTCAACGACCCAAGAGACGCTTCCGATGGCTCTACCAATGTTGGTAGGCGCACCACCGTGCTTGAAGTCCTTCCATGCGGAGTTGATGGAAGCTTCGCTCGGCCCGTATTGGCCGTGCAGATGAACGTGCGGACTCCATTGTTCGACGACAGCCTTCGTGAGAGCTTCGCCACCAAGGGCCATCCCTTTGATCGTAGGTACGTCCGAGGGGTTGAGCAAAGCCGCAACAGTGGGTGTCAAGTCCATGAAGTTGGCGTCTAGCTCGGCAATAGCACCTGCTAGGTCATTCATGCGCTGCTCTTCAGACGGCACGCACACGCAGCCTCCTCTCTGGAGAGTTGTGAACATCTCCTCGAGAGAGTTGTCGAACGTGTAACTCGCGAACTGGAGAAATCGAGACCCGGGTTGGATGCCCAGGTTCATACCGTGAGCATTCGCACTTGTTACCATAGCCGCGTGCTCAAGGACCACGCCCTTCGGCCTTCCAGTGCTTCCGCTTGTGAAGATGACGAAAGCCGGATTGTGGGGTTCGACCGTAGTGCAAGCCGGCCCATCAACACTCGGCAGATCATCCAGGAGGACCTGGTCAACGATCACCACGTCGGGGACGACATCTTCGAACAGCTCCGAGCAGGCAGCCGAGGTCAGCACCACTTGGGCCTGCGTATCCTCAACGCGGGACTCAAGAGCCGGCTTCGGGTGCTTCGCGTCAAGAGGAACAGCCGCCCCGCCTGCTTTTAGGACCGCGAGCATAGCTATGACCGTGAAAGAGCTCTTGTCAAAGCATGTGGGGACAAATACCTCCGGGCCAATACCTAATTCGACGAGATGGTGCGCTAGACGTTCGGTGATGGCGTCTAGCTCGGCATAGGTGTAGTCTCCGTCGAAACCGCGTACTGCGGGGGCATCAGGCTGTGGAGCTACCCATGCCGCAAATCTTTGATGGACGCATTCGTGCAGGGTCTCAGGCATTACGTTCCAGTCGCTGATTTGCTGCCAGTGCTTCCCACTCAGATGATCAAGCGTGGCGAAGCCTTGTGCGCCGTTGAAAACAATGTTCTCCAGGGCACGGACAAAAGTGCTGGCGACGTTGGCAGCTTGACCCTGAGAGAGATGGTCCGTCCAATAGTCAAGATCGACCATGGCCGCGTCATCTCCAACTTCAATGTTAATCGAGACGGGATACTCCGTTGGGTCGTAAATGGGTGCAAGTTCAACGAACTTGAGGCTGCTCCCATCGCTGGGAGCGTCCGGCGGCAATCTCCGGTACGACAGGGCAGTATTGAAGAGGTTTTCACCTGACAACTCCAAGGCATGCTGAACCTCAGCCAAGGCTATGTGGCGATGGGGCAGCGCGTCCAGGTAGTCCTTTTGCACCTCACGAAGGACGTCCAGGAGACATTGCGAGTCTCCCGAGAACTTCACGCGACAGACCAGAGTATTGATGATTGGTCCGACCATGTCATCAACGCGATGGATGTCTTGCGAGTCTCTAGCCGAAGTGAGGTAGCCAAAGGTGACGTCGTTAGCGCCGACATAGGAGCTCAGAGTAATTGCCCATGCTGTATGGAAGATGTTTGACAAGGTGACGCCATGCGCATTGCAGAAAGCCTGAAGATCCAAGATGCCGAGGTTGCCAAAGTCCACTCGTATCGATCGCAGTTGCTTTTCCACGACTTGCCCGTCGTTCAGGACTGGGAACGAACACACCTCGCTGCCCGTGAGATAGGACTTCCAGAACTCGAGGCTGACGTCCTGGGATTGATTCATCAGATACGAGATGTAGTCACTGTACGCCGGGCCGTCGTCGCGGAGCCGATCATCATATGCCTTTCGAAGGTCGCGGGAGAGGAGGCTCATGGAATGGCCATCCATGATCGCGTGGCTAATCTCGAGACAGCAGAAGACCCTCCCACCGGGGGTATTGCAGATCGTAAAGCGATGCGGAGGAGATCGGCCGCTATCGTAGCTGACCGAGCGCTGCTTCCCGATGAAGTCGAGGGCCTCCTGCTCAGAGTGGCATTCAAAGTGGACAATGTTGGGCTCAACGTGTTTGAGAACGACTTGGTCGAACAGACCTTCCTCGGCGCTGACGCTCTCGAGGAATATTGTCCGTAACGTCGGGTGGCGGCGAGTGACTTGTTTCCAGGCATCAGTCACTCTCTGCCACTCTGGATGTCCATGCGGAAGGCTAAGCTCGTAGATAGTGACCGCTGCATAGAATCCGGCATCCTTAGTTTGCGAAAGCAGCAGACCCTCCTGCATGCTCGAGCATGGATAGGCGTCTTCGACTTCGTGGCCTGAGATACCAATCTTCGCGAGGTGATGGAGCATAGATTGGAAACGATCCTCGTTCAGAGATAGAAGGGGGAAGTCGCTCAAGGTCGGCATCGGAGTTACCGTAGGCAGTTGCTCTACCATTTGCGTGAGGCTCTGGCGACATTCGGATACCCATTGCTGGATTCGATCTTGATGACGCATGTGGCGATTGAAGGTAAAAGCAAACTTCAGGCGGCCCTTGAAGACGATGGCTGAGATTTCGAAGAGACCGAACCGAGGAGCATCTTGGCCGACATCAGCGGTGCCTCCAGCTTCTCGTGTCTCTCCAGCCATGCTTTCAAGGGGCCGAAGCAGAACATCGGATCGCTCAAGTTGCTATGCATTGGATTAGGAGTGTTCGGAGCGCGACCTTCATAGCTACGTACCTGATACTGGCCCAGATAGTTGAATGAAATCTCCCACGGCCAATGACTGTTGAAGTGCGCACGACCTTCGGCAGTGAGACATCTGCGGGCGAGATATGGTCGTCCGTTGGACGGGATCTGTCGTCGGAAATCCTTGACCCTTCGAACTGTTTCGATCGGGTCTTCGGTCCGGTTGACGAAGATAGGGTAGACTAAGGCCGTCAGCTAAAGGGGACAATAAAGGACTACCGAGCCAGGAGCTTACCAGTCGTGAACCAGCCAACAGTGCGTGAGACGTCAATCTCTGAGTTCCATGGTTCTCTACCATGTCCTTCGTTGAAGATGGCCGGGTGGGGCCGATCCGTGAACACGTGCGACCAGGACTGGATCAGTGAGGCCAAGAGAACCTCTACCGGCTCAGTCCTCAAGGCACTGTGACAGTCGCCTAGGAAGAGCGAAGTGAGAGTAGGATCCAGCTCAAAGCTCGCGTGACCGGCATTACCATATGTGTTGTCTTGGTGCCGGATGCCCCAGTATGAGAAATCTATAGCAGGAATGTCGACAGGCGGCAAGACTTTGTCGAGCTGGAGCGTTGCGGCATGCTCTTGTTGCAGTTGGGCCCACTTCTGGAAAGGAAGTGCTGGCGGGAGCATTATCCCGCCCTTCAGAATCTCTTCCAACTCTTCGAGCAGTAGGCGCCAGGTAACTAGATCGATCACCAGGTGGTGAGCGACGAGGAAGGCATGTTGTTCATCGCCAAATTCGAACAGATCTGCGGCAAACAGCGGACCGGAGGCGTGGTCCAAGCACTTTTGCGAGTCTTCGACCATTACGTCAATCTCCCCCTTTGTCGACGCTGCCTGGTGGCGAAAGCGATACGAGTTGGTTACGTCTTCCGTCACGCGTTGTTGCCAACCATTTTCAGTAGAAAACGAGAATCGAGCTCGGAGCATGGAGTGGCGCATTACAAGCTGCTCAACGGCCGCCTGAAACTCTTCGGCTGTTGTTCTCTGTCGGACCTGAAGATAGAAAGATTGGTTGAAGTGACCATGTCCCTGGTTTGGAAGCTCAAACCAAAGCGACTGAATAGGTGTCAGGTCAAACAGCCTTTCCACTTCTTCCTCGAGGTGGTCTGAAGACATCTGGATGTCTTTGACCGCCGTAGCTAGTTGCGAGATTGACCGGCTTCGTAGGATCTCCTGCACACCAAGGCCCAGGCCCCTCTTCCGGCATTGTCCCATGACCTGCATCGCGGAGATAGAGTCTCCACCCAAAGAAAGGAATGGACGTTCAAGTGAAACTTGCTCTTCGGGGAGATTCAATACATGAGCCCATACTGAGCGTAGAGTCTTCTCTGTGGAGGTAGCAGGTTCGTTAGCGGATGATCCCTCCTCTGTCGCCGGAATGGCGCGTTGGTAGAGTTCCGCAGACATGTTGGTCAGCCACTGCATTGTCCGCTTCCTGTCCAGTTTTCCCGAAGGGAGCTGAGGAAGCGCGTTGACAGCGATCCATATTGTCGGTAGCATGTATAAGGGCAGTCGTTCTGAGACCCGCTCACGAATCGATTCCAGCTCTGAGTATATGGATGCCTTTTCCGGACCCTCGAAGAATCGAAGCGAATCATCTTCAGCAGTGTGCTTCGTGAGCGATACGATGGCAACGAGTCGCTCCTTGCAAAGCCCACTTTTAGGCAAGAAGACAAGGTTGTGCTTGATCGAAGATTCCAAGTTGAGATGATGCTCGATCTCCAGGAGCTCAATACGTTGGCCATGATATTTCTAGATGTGAAAGTTAGAAACAGAGCATCATCTGGTGGTAGACCTGTACTTACCACTTGGTTGTCCTTTCGTCCAACGATATTGAAGCTGCCGTCTGGATTTTGGATCACAAGGTCTCCCGTCAGATACCCTCGAAACGAACGATTGGTAGCCCAAGCGACGTCCGTGACGAATGCCTGCGACGTCTTTTCCTGATCATTGAGGTACCCACGAGCGGCGATGTACCCTTCAAGCAGAAGTTCTCCCGTACAACCGATGGGAAATATTTCGTGCCGATTGTTGGGGTTTACCACCCAAGCATGACAACCAATAGGGAAACCAATGTTTCTGGGATCAGATTCCGCTGTCATACGGGGGTACGTGACTGAAGCGACAGCGCATTCGCTCGGCCCATAACTATTTGGGGCATTAGCAAAGGCCGCAAATGTAAGATTCGCTTGGCTACTCACCCGTTGATGAGGTTGATCTGGGACCATGTGTCGAGATTGGCTTGCGACATGGCCTCGCCCATTAAAACAATGCTGGACAACGTTGGAACCATCCGAGGTTCCAGGAATCGAACGAACGTTGGTGTCAGGAAGGCGTACGTGACTCGCATGTCATTGATTACCTTGGCGATATTGTTGAGCCTCTCGTGTTCATCCGGAATGCAGACAGTGCCTCCCGTCATCAAGGGTGTCAGGAACTCTATGATAGAGGCATCAAAAGAATGGGCAGCGAATTGAAGGACTCGCAACGGCTTCGTCACATCCATGGCCAGGCCAGGAATATGTGCTTGTGCTCCAGTACAAAAGTTACCATGCTCGAGTACGCTAAGTTTAGGCTGTCCCGTGGTTCCGGAAGTGGGAATGATATAGGCAGCATTATGGCTTTCTGCTTGAGCCTGTGGGCGTTCTGATGATGGTGAGAGCGAATCGAGAAGCTCCTGGTCGATTGGCACAACGGCCTCAACGATACCGCTGAAGAGGTCGGAACAAGCGCGTGGACAGAGCAAGATCTTGGCATCCACGGCATCGACGAGATGCTGCATACGTTCCTTCGGTGCAGCAGGATCGAGTGGTAGGACTAGGGAAGGTCAGCATTTGTGGCGGTTTGGAGGGCAATGGAATATAGCAGAAAGATGAAGTTGGGTTACTGCCCCTGTCGCCGAGCCACATGCATGAAGATAGATGTAGATACGCGAGTACATAAGTGGAAGGACAACTTACATGCACCCCCTGCAAAAAGCACGCCAAGCATAGCCACCACGTTCCATTTCGACTTGTCGAAGCAAAGAGGGACGATGACTTCTGGGCCGACTCTTAATGCATTAAGATGGCCTGCAAGACGGCGCGCACGCTCAACAAGCTCTTGATAGGTGAAGCTTCCGTCCCACGAACAGATAGCTTCGTCGCTGGGTAATTTTTGCGCTGTCTCGGCGATTGTTTCGTGTATGGTCCTCTTGACATGTTCGAGAGGTTTCGAGTTCCACTTCTCGAGCTGGGCACGATTACGCTCGCTCAAGAATCGCGCATCGCGGATAGGTACGTTCTCCGACGTTAGAATGTAGGTGAAAACTTTATCGACGGTGCTTGCGATGTTCTTGGCTTGGTCGGTCGGGAGGAAAGAATTGCGGTATTCGAGGAAGATGCTGACGCCCGACTTCAGGATCTTGACCAGCAGACGAAGGTTGCACTGCTCTCGGCTTAGCATGTGTTCAAAAGGCAACGGAGGGGTGAAAATACCATATCAGACATCGCCGTCGGTTTATGAGGGAGCTGATTTCGGCCAGCTTGAGGCCCAAAGCGAATCAATACCGAGGTGTTGTATTGGAGTTGGTGCTCTTTCGGCGAGGTCACAATAGAGCCATCATTCCTGCTGGACGCGATGAGTTGCCCGAAAGGCATTTCATCGTCGATGCGCAGCACTGCAACGGCCTCGCAATCATCGCCGGTAGCAGAATTTCCCGTGATGCTAGAGAGAGAAGCACCCCCAACTTCCCCCAAGCCGAAGCAGACCTCGTCCAACCCAGTGTAGATGCGCAAAAGCAACGCCCATGTCGCCCGAACGGCGGCGCTCAGGGAGCTGCCGTCATGGTCCTCTGCGAGAAGCTGCCGCACCAACTCAGGGTGCTGCAATTCCACCCGAACAGACAGTGGTCGTTTCTGGCCACTGCGTGATCTGCCAGTAGCTGGGAAGAGGCAGGACTGAACCCGTGTCGCACTTGAAGCCATTGATGTACAGTGTTGATCTGCGAAGTAGAAGTGAAGAATTCGGGGTATACGTACAAACACTATAGCCGTAAACTGTGTAGAATTGGCTCTCACTTGAGGTTCAATAGCTGGAATTAGCGTCGATAGAGCTTAGCCAGCCTTGTGGCGACTGGACCTGGGTTGTTCGTTGCGAACGATTTCACGTTCGAAGGAATCAATGATGGTAGAGTGGAAGACAGCACTCAGAGCAGGCAAGAAGCTGTCCTCTGCAATCTGAAAAAAATCGATCAGCCTCTGGAGCTCTACGGGGTAGGTTGGGAGCTCCTGCAGGGGAGGGAGCTCACATGGTACACCAAGGTTGATCTTGACCTTCGATCACGCTGGGAAGGGGAATGATGGGCGAGGTGATGTGTAGCACTCAAAGGGGACCGTGACAGACAACGCAACGCACGCATACAAAAGCGGGGGGCAATAGACGTGTAGTTCTTCTACCAAGTTGGATCAAGTTCGATTCCTGGTTTGCCTCCCCCTGAGAATGCGATAGTGGCAGTCCATCCCCGGGTGCGCGATGAAGTCATCGATGGTGATTTCTAAAGAAAACCACAGCTGCTCAAGTAGCAGCGCGTCTCAGGGCCGCTTGCGGGTAAACATCGTGACCTAGAAAGAGGAAGCAGCTAGCGAAGGGGACCGGGATAGCGTCTGGGGAACGGTAAGCCATGGGAAGATCGACATTGCCATATTGCTGTGGATATCGGTGCTCCAGCGAAGCAAGGGCGTCAGCCGTCGCGCAGGGCCGGTGAATGTCGACGAGCGGGCGCAGGAGAGGCAGAGGGGGCCACGGGCTCAGCCGGCAGAGTGCGCAGAGGTGTCGTCGTAAAGTGGGTGTATATTGACGGGGCGTGCATGCGTCTGGAGTCGCACGCAATACGAGACGGCCTGACGAAGGCTGGTGGGACAAAGAGTGGTGGGCAAGGGACGCGTCGACAGGGACGACCGGGGCGCCGAGCCCGCGGCTTATTGGCTCGCGTAGACGGCCGCACGTGACGCACGCGCCCTGGCCAGGACACGGAATGGGGCTAGCCGCCAGCGGACGCACACGAACGGACTGGGCATCTCCGTCTTCATCCCAACCCTCATCGCGCTCAGCTGCGCGCCGCGCAGCCATCCGGCGGCTTTCCCAGCGCCACGGCCGTCTCCAGCCCAACGTCATCCTCTCAGAATTCTGCTCATTCTCGCGACTTCTCCGCACTCGGCGCCTCCGCCTGCGCACTCCCCCGTCCGCCAGCTGGCACTCCTGTCACCCACCTCGCCACGCCCTCCTCCGTGCCCACTATTCCATCCGCCCGTCCCGGGCGCCGCGGCGGCCTGGCGGACCCCCAGACGGCCCCTCCGCTGCTTCCCCGGCTCATCCATTCAACGGCCACTGCGGCAGCAGGTTGCTATTTCCGGCGCCCAACCCTGGCACCTCATCATCAAGGCCTGTCTATGATCCGGCTTCTACAGTACCACAGTACCACTCGCGTTCCGTCGTGCCGGTTCCCAACTCCACACATTCTGCCTGTCTGCCTTGGACTCGTGGCAACACGTCTGCAAGGACTGCATTTCCATTTGGAATTTGCTCACGCCATCGTGCGATCCCAGCGAGATCATCGCCGTCAGCTGGCTGCGCTTGCAGCTTCTCTGCCTCTCCAGCAGGTTGTTCAGTCAGCCATCCGTTTCAGACGTCTTCCTCGGATTCGTCCTTCCAGCCTCCCAGTCTTTCAGGCTGAAGGATAGAACAGGATCCCCGGTCCTTAACATCTACTTGCTCGATCCCCTAACGCCGATGCCGTCAGATCACCAGTACCCACTTTCCCCAAATGGTGCCGCATTGTGGGGTGCTTTAGCTCGTTCGGGTTTTCCAAACTCCCAAGGGTTTGCGATCCAGGTATGGGGAATCCTCATTTATCCATACGAAGCTCACGACCCAAGGGCACTTCGCGCATTTGCATTGGCAAACTCCATCTGTCGTGGAACGCCCAGAATGCGGCTTTGCGTCAGCGACAGCTGTCTTGTTCACGGTTCCGATTCCTTCAACCAAAACTGCTTATTCCACAGATTCGGCAAGATCTGCGTCGCATCAGCTTCCAGTAGCCGCAATGCCCTTCCGTACCTGAGGATCAGCGTTTCTAGCCCTGATGTTGCGCCAAACGGCGTAAGCACATAACGGCAAAATCCTTAGCGCCACAACGTGCGAGTTGCGAGTTAGACGTCGACTCTATTGCCAAACCTAAACATAGACGGCTATGACAGCACAGGTGAGGATGCTCTCCTCATGCCTCAACTCGACTCCATATGCTTCCCTAATTGACTGAAGGAGCATTTCTCCCGGCAGCGCCCCAAGCCGCAACGCTACACGTAGAACGCCATCTTGACGCCTCGGAGTCCTTCGCAGCCATCGCAGCCATCGCAGCCCCTTCGCAGCCCTGAAAAGCCAGCAGCATGGATCTTTCCAAGATTCCCGCTTACCCATGCTGTTCGGGCCTTGCCCGTCAATTTTCTCTTCAAGTCACCGCTAGGTTTGTCTTTTCTTTTACGCAAATTCCGCAGACCAGGCGGACCCTATGAGCGAACCGAAGCGCGCAATTAAAGTGGGTCTCCACCAAGCTCAAGCAGACCTTCTCGAAAATTTTCACTTCTCAGCTTCACTTCTATTCTCGCCTTGGCTGCGCTAGCACCTGTGGGATCCCGTTAGCGTATTGTTGAGCCTTTCATCCCCGCAGCTGGCACCAAGAGAAGGGTGCAGCGCCGAGACATGTTCGAAATGGCATTTACAACCCTCATCTAGGTGCGTTGGAGGCATCCCTGGACGTCCAGAAGGCTTTTCGCCTGCCGGATGTCGGTCTATTAGGTGTTCGATGATGTATAGCTGCAGTCTCAGAATAGGCGCCCTATACGCGCCTCCGTCACCTGCGTCGAGCCATAGTCAATAGCCTTCCAGCTAAGCGTGGATGGTTTCGGTGGAGTTCTCTGGTCGCTGCGTCGCCACGGGGGGTAATCATCTCAGGCCATCCAGTTTTCCTTGATTTCCCCGACCTCCAGAAGATGTTGACATGACGATCCCTCACCTCATGCCACCGCGCCATCCAGCGTTCAGTTTTCACAGCATCGAAGAGGTAATAAAACATGGCGATCTTGCTTGCGCGCAATGCAACCTCAATCTGCAGTCTCCCGGACATCCGACTTCGGTGGAGAGCATGTATGAAGCGTTTCAGGGGACCGCTGGAAGCGTTCGAGGCACCGCTTTGGCCTGTGCATATCAACAGAGCGGATTATAAGACCATGCAATATTGCCATTAGGTCGGCTTCGCTGCTCACTGATCACAGCAAGGATGTTAGGGCCTCTCGGGTTTGATATTCGAGCGACAGCGCTGATCAGCGTAGATCGGTCTAACAGATGGTGAGAAGACAGCGGCCGTCGAGGAATTAAGGTTGGTGCGGCTGTTCCTGAGCGGCTCTCCGCCAATCCAGATGGATGCAAGATGATGGGTGTGGCGCCGATCTTTACTCCAAATCCGGAAAAACCAGACACGCATCTGTATATGCAATTTGGCCAACCAAAGCATGCGTACATACTAACTATTCCTTGTCTGGCCACGGAAGTTCCGGCATGCACCTTAACTTACCGTGAGAAAATGGGCCTGCAAATTGTTCTCTGCAAACCCGGGTTTGCAAAGTCATCCAGCCCAATGATCACCATCACGGTGCCGGAGGCCGTCCAGGGTTGCTCCCTATGTCGTCAGAAAGGGGAATTGCACGACACCGGTAACTCCAGAACCACTTAACCTTACCAGCTCTACAAGCACTGACCTTACTCTCGGTATGATGCTCCGCTCTTCCAGGCCATCCAAGCTTGACAGGCGAGCCTACCAGATCCCGCCACCGCCTCTGAGGTATGTGGAGAGGGGTGCACGTTATGCCGGCGGTTGATCAGGTCAGCACCAGGTCAGTCAGATCAACGGTAGCCTGGCAGTCCCAAATTATGAACCCTCAGATCCCATCAACCTCCCATCTAATGCCCTGAGCAACATCCTCCAGATAGGCAATTGATTTTCTCTGGTATCTTCGATGGCATCGACTTCTGCTCAGTACTGTGCCTCAGTCGACCACACTTTGGGGCCCTATGCTGGGGAACACTGCAGAGGGGGATTCGATTTTACTCTTCTTTTCGAGGAAGCCATCCTCTCGATAACGCCAATTGCTCTTCTTCTTTGCATTGCACCGTTTCGAATCTTCTATCTCTGGCGGAAACGAACCAAGGTCTCCCGGTCTCTACTGTTACCCGTAAAGCTGGTATGGGCCATCTCTACCTGGAACTATTCCCATTGATTGGAAAGTGCTAACATGAGACGAACACAGATAACATGGCTGTTTCTCGCCGCATTCGAGCTCGCACTCCTCGTGCTGTGGGTGGGCCTCTCCACCTTCAAGAATCGCGCTGCCGTTCCCTCAGCGATTGTCAGCTTCGTCGGGGCACTACTCCTATGCCTGCTATCATACTTTGAGCACCTGCGCTCTATCCGAACGTCATTCCTCTTGAACGTCTACCTTCTCGTCACCGTCGTTTTCGATGCAGCTCGTTCTCGGAGTTATTCGTTGGATCCTAGCCTGGAAGTGATGTCCGTCCTCTTCACGACAAGGGTTGGAGTTAAGCTGTTCCTCGCGATCTTTGAAGCGAGGGGGAAAAGGAGTATCTTGCTCCCGGAGTTCGCCGACTGTCCTCCAGAGGCTACAGCTGGCGTCTATAGCCGTGCACTGTTCTGGTGGCAGAACTCGTTATTCAAGAAAGGCTTTTCCAACGTGTTATCGGTCGACGACCTCTTCCATCTCGATAAACATTTGTGCTCGGAACATCTGCATCACATCATCCAGACTTCGTGGGACACATGTGAGTACTCTTCGCGATTGTTGTTGGTCTCTGGACCTTGGCTCACTATTCCTCTTTCGGCAGTGAGCCGCAGAGGATCAAACTCGCTGTTCGCAGTCACGCTGAAGAGGCTCAAATGGGACGTCCTCGCTGTGGTACCGCCACGTGCATGCCTCACGGCCTTCAATTTTTGCCAGCCGTTCCTGATCCACAGGGCCGTCACCTATTCCCAGCAGAATGACACCGACCAGACTGCGCACATCGGGTACGGTCTAATTGGCGCCTATGTCCTAGTCTACGTAGGTATTGCGGTACGTTCTGATCATCCCAGTTTATGCGCATAGTTCCGCTAACATGCGGTTAGGTCTCGACAGGGCAATACCAACATCTGACATACCGCTTCATTACCATGATGCGCGGCGGCCTCATCTCGATGCTTTACGGCAAAGCAACCGACATCGCGTTGGTCGACGTGGACCCAGCAAACTCGATAACTCTCATGAGTGCTGACATCGAACGCATTGTCCAGGGTATGCAGACAGGACATGAGATCTGGTCCAACTTCATCGAAGTCGGCTTGGCGATCTATCTCCTGGAGCGACAATTGGGAGTGGCTTGTGCTATACCTATTGCAGTTGCCGTTGGTAAGTCCACGCTTGCACATGGTAGTATGTCTCAACTAATGCGCCGGGTGCAGTATCGCTGTTGGGGTCCCTGGGCGCAACAAGCCTAGTAATGCAACGCCAAGCGCTGTGGCTCGAGGCCATTGAGCGACGCATTGCGGCCACCACCGCGATGCTAAATTCCATGAAGGGCGTGAAGATGTCTGGACTCACCGACGTATTGAGGGGTGACATACAGCAACTCCGCATCGACGAGCTCAACATATCGAAAAAGTTTAGGAAGCTTCTCATTGTGACCATGGGCTTCTGTAAGTACCTTTACCCAATCAACACTGTGCAGATAACCAACAGCCCAAAGCCTACATCTCGCCCGTTGTGTCGCCCATCCTCACTTTCGCCGTCTTCTCTGTGCTTGCGCGAAACAGCGATGGCCGAACGACGCTCGATACCGCCACGGTCTTCACATCGCTATCGCTCTTCACCTTGCTGTCGGAACCCCTCGGGTCGCTGATAATGGCGCTTGCTGCGTTCATGGGCGGCGTCGGTTCCTTTCGAAGGATACAGGGGTTCCTGACCGCAGAGACCAGGACGGAGAAACGTAAGTTACCCTTCCTCCGCAGCAGCATCGGTTCCGCTTCAGACCTGGACTACGAGTCCGATAAGGGTTCTGATTCTTCCCAAAAGAGTCGCTTCTCCCTTGAGATACGGGACCTGGGCTCCACTGGCTCCCTGGCTGTCATCATCGAGAGAGGCCACTTCGGGTGGGACAAGGAGAAGCAGACGGGTGTGTTACAGTCGATCAACATGTCAGTACCACGCGCCAAGATTACCATGGTCGTGGGACCAGTGGGCTGCGGCAAGTCAACCCTGCTTAAGGCTGTCCTGGGTGAGCTTCCGGTTATGGGTGGCACAGTCCAGGTGTCGTCCCTGCGTATCGCCTTGTGCGATCAGACGCCGTGGCACGTGAACGGTACCGTGCAGCAGAGCATCGTGGGCGTTTCCGATTTCGATCAACGATGGTATGCAGCGGTAGTTCGTAGTTGCGCATTAGACGAAGATCTACGCCAATTACCTCAGGGGGACCAGACCCAAATCGGAAGTAAGGGTATCGCTTTGAGTGGGGGACAGAGCCAACGTATTGTGAGACGCCCCCATATTAACCCCGCTCCTCCCCTCCTTCTCGCTACTAACACACCGCGCAGGCGCTCGCCAGAGCGATATACGCTCAGAAAGATATCGTCATTCTCGACGATGCCCTTAGTGGGCTCGATTCCCAGACGGAAAACCGGATATGGCACAGTCTCTTCGGCCGCGACGGTCTTCTACGACGTTGCAGGACGACTGTTCTCATCGCTTCGTCATCTGGTAAGTAAACCCACGCTCTCCTTGATACCTAGATGCTTCCCGCTAACTCCTGTCCGTGTTATAGCTAAGCGTCTCCCTTACTGTGATCATATTGTCACTCTTGATAAGGACGGTCAGATAGTAGAACAGGGCAGCTTCGACAAACTCAACAGAGCCAGTGGATATGTCTCCAACTTTGACCTTCCGCCGCCTGACTGGGATTTTGCTCCAGAGAAGCATCTCTACGAAGCTCCTCCGAAGTATACCGAGCGCGCAAACACCAGCAAAGTCACTGAGGATGATATACAAGCCGAGACGAACAGGCGCACTGGTGATGCTGCCATCTACCTCTACTATGTGCAATCTGTCGGATGGATTGCGACGTTGATCTTTGTCGTCTCTATCACAATCTTCATTTTTGGTCAATCGTTCCCAAGTAAGTAGCGCCGGCTGCTCACTGCGCTTGCGCTGACGATCCCTCTTAGCGATTTGGGTCAAGATGTGGGCCGAGTACAACGAAGATTTCCCGAACCACCGACTTGGCTACTATCTCGGCATCTACGGGATGCTTGGTGGTTTGGCGATTACATTCCTCCTGATCAGCTGCTGGTCAGTTTAGCCCCTTCCTGTCCTTTACACTGCATCGCTAACTGCCCGCAAGGCAATTAATCATCACCATGGTTCCGCGCTCCGGCGTTGCCTTCCACAAGAAACTCCTTGACACCGTTCTTGGGTGAGTCCACGCAACCACGAGTGGCAAACTTTGACTAATTATCGCAAGCTCTCCCATGTCATTCTTTTCGACAACGGACACCGGCGTCACGCTCAATCGCTTCAGCCAGGATCTACAGCTGATTGATATGGAGCTTCCAGTGTCAGCTCTCAACACTTTCGCGAGTAAGTATACGAATACTAGATAGTCCTTCATTGTATGGAATACTAACTTCGCAAGCCTTCGTTCTCTGCATCGGACAAATGGCTCTCATCGCCGTTGCCACTCCCTTCGCAGCCATCTCCTTCCCCATCGTTGGCATCAGTGTCTACTTCATACAGAGATTCTACCTCCGCACATCGCGCCAACTGCGATTTCTTGATCTCGAAGCGAAATCGCCACTTTACACTCAGTTCAGTGAGATGTTGGACGGATTAGCTACAATCCGCGCATTCGGGTGGCAGAGCTTCCTCGAAGAGAAAGCGAAGGCACTGCTCGACCGCAGTCAACGCCCATTCTATCTCCTCTTTGCCGTTCAGCGCTGGCTGACACTTATCTTGGATCTAATCGTTGCGGCTGTCGCTAGTATACTCATCATTCTTGTTGTCGCATTGAAAGGCAGGCTGAGCGCAGGCTACGTCGGTGTCGCATTGCTCAACGTCATTCTCTTCTCGCAGAGCATCAAGCTCCTCATTTCCTTCTGGACGCAGCTGGAGACTCACATCGGCAGCGTTGCCAGGATCAAGACCTTCACGACAGATGCTATCACCGAAGACCTCGAGGACGAGGATCAGACGCCGCCTCCTAACTGGCCGAGCAACGGTAAGATCGAGTTCAGGGATATCACTGCCTGCTATCGGTACGTTTACCTTCAATGACACACTAAAACGGTAACTAACCTTTCAGGCCATACGAACCCGTCATTTCCAAATTCTCACTTACCATCAATGCTGGCGAGAAAGTTGCCGTCGTCGGCCGTACTGGAAGGTAAGTTTATTGAGCTTCATACCCTTCCCATAACTAACGATTCTGCCAGCGGCAAATCCTCTATGGTCGCTTCTCTTTTCCGCATGATCGACCTTTCCGGTGGTAGCATAACAATCGACTCCGTCCCGTTGCACCGTATCCCACGCCAAGCTATTCGCTCCCGCCTCATCGGTATCCCCCAGGACGCATACCTCTTTCCGGGCTCCGTCCGCCTCAACGCGGACCCTCTCAGACAGAGCAACGACAAGGCTATCATGCAAGCGTTGAAAGACGTACAGCTGTGGGACATCATCGTTGGCAAAGGCGATGAAAGCAAGTATGCCCATCCGCTCGATGTCGAAGTCGACGATCTGCACTTTTCACATGGTCAACGGCAACTATTCTGCCTCGCGCGCGCGTTCTTGCGGAGGGACAAGGGCAGTGTGGTCGTGCTCGACGAAGCTACCAGCCAGTAAGTATCTAGCACCGTCTTCCCATTAAGATGTCGTCGCTAACACTTTCCCAGCCTCGATCATGCCACCGACACACATGTGCAGAAGTTCCTGCGCTCTAAGTTTGCCTCTCACACTATCATCGCGGTGGCTCACAAGCTCGACACAATTCTTGACTTCGACAAGGTCGTCGTCATGAACCAAGGTCAGCTCGTGGAGTACGGCGAGCCGTACAGGCTGCTGGAGCGCGAGGGTAGCTGGTTCAAGTCGCTGTACGAAGACGTGGCGAGGAACGAGGGACCTGAGGCGAACGACGAAGATATTTTCCAGATCGCACAGTAAGCGCATGGGGCCGTCATCGGGGTTTTCGGTTTCGCAAATTGTGTGTTTTTGCATTTCTCTCTTTCTCAACCTTACCGTAAGCCTATTGCTACGCGAGATTACGCGGCGCAAGAATCCCCCGAGAGCTGCATCGTCCCATATGCTTTTTCTTTTCTACTCGAAGGTATATAGGCTTGGAAGCTGCCGGAATCGCGCTCCTTGGTTCGGCGTCTTTCCTGGTATTTGTATATATACGTCTGCTCAGCGGACAAAAAGGTCTCCTAACGTAACCTGTATGTACAGCATGAAGGCAAAATACGATTGTCTATACTTATCGCTGAGGCGGCCTGAAATGAGGCCATGGCCAAAGTCACAGCTGCTCCAACACACGTGGCTCAGTGAAAGGCGAAATCGAGCAAGTTCGCTGCATAAGCCAGCTTGGTCATCCATAGCAACCCCCGTATCTCCTTCCCCCTTCGTCATTTCCGCACTGCCGTGATACGTGTCCCCCTCCGCGGACGAGCTGGAAGGAGAAAAGCGCGCAAAGGGGCGATCACTGCTGCTTCCAGCAGGCTCTATATGTAAGCCAGCGGCCCGCGGTCGCCGATGCTCGGAGCCCAACAGTGATGGAGGTGTTACGTAGGCCGCGTCCGAGCCGTAACCTGGTCTCACGGCAGCAATGGATAAAGTGTACGCGCATATACAAGGGGGTCAGGGACGTGTACTGCGGTGTAACTGTCGTGCTACTAGTGCGGTGTTTCAGTGTGTAGTGGTGTCTGGGACGTCGGGCCTGCTGGGCGGCGGGTGGCCTTGCTTACGATAAGGGATAGATGGTGAGTGATGTACTGGATTTGTATGGACAGGGGTGGTTGGATGGTAGAGGACAAGGTGACTTTGGGTGTATGCGGGTCATACTGTTCCGCTCGATTGCACCTCCCAGTGCTGTTGGTAGGCGTATCTGGGGCAGCGTGCTCAGTGTGTCTTTGCAAGGGGGCTTAGTGTCAGAAGGCTTGTCTGGGGACTTTGTATCGCTGGTAGGCTTCCAACGCTTCACCGCTACAGAGCAGATGTTGAGATAACGAGGAGCAGAGCTGCGTCTCTTTTCTACCGGGACAGCTAACAGCATACGCGTTTTAGTATTCCAATTCACGGCAGTAACGTACCACGACCCTTCCTGCCACAGCAGCTGCACAAACCCTTCCAAACACCGGGTACACGATGAACCCACGGATGCCGCCGTGAATGCCGTGCTACCTCCTCAACCACGGCTCCGTCTCCTGCGAACTATCCTCGCATCGAAAACCAGGCGTCCATCTCCAGCTCCACAGCATCACCCAGAGCCATGGTCTCTACCCTTCCCCTTCCCGCTAGATACCCGAGGTGGAGGCCTAAGACACTGCATATGCGCATAGATAACCGCCTCGCTCCCGCTCCACCACCATCGCAAAGTATCTGCGTAGCATCTGACACCTCCACCCCCCTCCACGTCATCCTCCCATCCAATCAATTCACGCAAGTCGACGCAAGTCATCTATCTCCCGGTCTTGGCCCAGGTCACCATTCAACCCCTACACAAACCTCGTGCCACTACGCTTTCGCCACACCGTTGCGCCTGGTAACGCACCGCGTTAGCTAGATCTCTGCCGCGGGGTCTCGATCTTGGGAAGCGGTTTCCGAGGACCAGGTGCTCGACGAGGAGGACGAGGCGGATGGTGAGGTGCGTGCAAAAGCTGTTTAGTGTAATATTTGCGGTGAGGGCGGTGAGTGAGTGTGTGGATACGTAATCTGGGTGGGTTCCCCTCTTTGGGCCCCTGCGCTCGCGGAGATATAAGGTGAGTCGGGGAAGGCCACAACCTTAAACGCAATTCATCCCCTCCTCGCCGCCGCTGTAACGAATCGTTCGTTACTAGGAGCTGATGTTCGATTCTCGATTTGTTGATAAAGGAGCCATGGTCACATGTCGTTCTATTCACCGGTATTTCGACCTCCCAACCCGGATGAGGGGCCGCTTGAGCGAGATTTCGAGCCTCTACGAATCCCAAGACAGTACTTGACTGTTTCGCTATCTCTTGCAGTCCCCGTCAGGTCGCACAGGTACGTCTCGTCGTCGCCGTAGGCCTTTGTGGTCACCGCTAGGTACAGCCTAACACGAGTGTCAGCGAACGATTGGTGCTTCAAAAGAAAGTAGGATGAACCCGTGTCATCGTGTTACAGGATCGAACGAGGGCGCATCGTTCTCCAATCCTGCTAACTCTGCAGTGACGCATCGTTCCCCGACTACGCCGTCGCACCTCTACGTCACACACTCGTCGCCTCCGCGCACCATCGAGGCAAGTAAGGCGCCCTAGACAGGCGGAATAGGGCCCTATACATTACGCGTCTCCAACCGCTGCGTTATAGGCCCCGGCCGCGGCTTCCCTTGGTCGCCTCTGACTCCACACAACTACGCATGGATGTCGGCATATCGCTATAGGCTGACGATAGCGATATCCATATAGAAGCAATACCAGGAGCTGGCGCTAGAGACAAAGGGTCGTCGCGCCGACCAAGGCAGGCCGCCAAAGCGAGGAGCAAGCCGATGAGGGCGGCTCTAATGAGGCAACCCCTGCTTTGAGCTGTATATTTTCAGTCTGCGACTTGGATTATACCAAGGTCGAGGAGCTCGATCCATCAACGTATATAGCGGACGTTGAGAGCGCGGACCCAACACCACGGTCCGGGCAGTCTAGCGTACCGAGAAAAACGCTCCGTGAAGTGACCTCACCTGACCAACATCAACCTCATCTGCGACTATACGTATGGCTGGCCGCGAACGGAATGAATTAAGAATTTGATTTGGCCAATTGGTGGACATTGTGATAGGGAATGCCGACACTCGGGAAGGATTGGACATCCGACTGGGCAACGGAACGGCCAACGGAGACGCCATCTCACTCACTCTTCTTCCGCCTTGTCAGACCCTGCACCCAGGCCTTGAAGATATGAAATGCGAACCAGGCTGTCCAGCCCACCTTGCCCTGATCATACTCCTGTGACCTCGGCACTACTTCCGACATCGCCAGGACCGTCTCGCTTAAGGTGCCGGGCCAGCGGTGCTGCATGTACACGGCGACCATGTCCATCCCATTAGTGATACCGCCTACAGACTTTCAGTATTTGGTTTCCATACCAGGAAAGCGCGGAGGGCATACCCGATGTCCAAATCTTCCCGTCCTGAATGTAGCGCTTATCCACCCACTTCACCTTCGGGAAGGACTTGGTGAGCATGTCTTGCACACCGCGGGTGCCGGTTGCGCGCTTCCCGTCCAACACGCCTGCGTATCCAGCTACAAAGGCGCCGGAACATATCGTCAGGAGGTCCACGCCCTTGTCCACATGCTTTCTCACGAAGTCGAGGACTTCTTCCTCGGGCTTCATGCCCGGTGGTGGACCAGGTATCATCAGGATATCGAGCTTGCCCGGCGCAACGTTTGGGTCGTCCAATCCGACATTAATGGCTAGTCCGAGACGAGCGGTTGTAGGTGATGTCGTGTTAGGGCCCGTGTGGGATATGTATGTTATGGTAAGGTCGGACGTTGGGATGGCGGCGTCGAGGAGGGGTTTAGGGAGCTTGCAAGCTTCAAAGTACTCTTTGGTCGCCATGGCAAAGAGATCGATGGGAGCTATGTCGAGGAGCTGAATGGGTGGGACGATGAGAACGCCGATGTGAGCCATGGTGACTAGTGTGATGTGGTACTTTGAGAGGAGCTAGGAAAGCGGTGGGGTCAGGGTCGGTGGGGAATCAGGGGATGCAGAGACGTGTTGTCCAGACAAGAAGGACCTGGAGTATATATACGTCTAGAATGAGTATCAAGGCCATTCAGGCACCTACATTTTCATGGACGGGATTCGATGAATGAAGACGTGGCGTGTTTAAGTGGGTATTAGTGCGAGAAGCTTAGGGCATCTTCTTACGCGGCTTGGCTCTATTCGAACACGGAAAGTGAGGACTGCATATTTAAGGCGTCCAGTGAAGCTGCTGGGTAAAACTTTCCCAGAGCCATTATGTGCGTTTCCGTAGGAGAGAGAGTGGGCGGTGGAGGTATGCTAGAGGCTAAAAGCGCAGGGCAAAGTAAAAAGTTCGTAGATAAGTTCGGGCATCTGCTCGTAATAGGGCGGATTTCTCGAAGAAATGCAATGCCTTCCGCCAAAAGTGGCCACGAGTGCGGAGGAGTGGTGATCGGATGTCGGATGAAACCTAACGTCCGTTCCGACGGAGAGCGGCTGGTATGGACGTCACCGAACCGATCCAGCGAAGAGATACCCCGCACCTACGCGTCCGAGAAAGCTTTTGGACTGGGTCGAGATGGCCTTGATATATTTGGTAATGACTAACGTTCTCGACGAAAGTGGAAAAGGTAGGCGTCGCCGTGAGAGGCAAGGGAGAAATATTTCACCGAGCCTCGGCTCAACCCAGCTTCCCGCTCCCCTCGGCGTTCCGACGATGAGCTCATGAGCCGCCCCACCGTACATTTCCTCCTCGCCTCCTCTTCTCTGTACAAGACAAGTACAATGGATACTGCAACACTCTTCGACGTCAAGGTACTTCGCCCCTCAATTGCCCAGTGCACCCCGCCTTTAGAGCTCCAAGCTGACACATGCTAGAACAAGGTTGTCCTCGTAACCGGCGGCGCCAAAGGGATTGGGCGCATGATATCCCAAGGCTTCATTGAAAACGGCGCAACAGTATACGTATCGTCTCGAGACGCAAAAGCCTGCGAACAAGCGTGTAAAGAACTCAACGCGCTGGGGAATGGACGAGCAGAGTACATCACAGCCGACTTTTATAAGGAGGAGGATGTGAAGAAACTGGCGGAGGAGTTGGGGAGGAGAGAAGGGAGTGCGTATACCGCAACGGGTCCTAATTGAAGGTAGAGCACGACACGCTGACCAACAAATAGAACTCCACGTCCTTGTCAACAACTCCGGTAGCAACTGGGGCGAAGCGTACGACACTTATCCCTCCGCCGCCTGGGACCGTGTCCTTACCCTAAACCTTAAGCGCGTCTTCCAACTCACACAAGCCCTAACGCCTCTCCTCGAAGCCGCGTCCACGAAGATCTCCCCGTCCCGTGTAATAAATATCGGTTCCATCGACGGACTGCGGGTCCCCGCGTTGGAAACGTTTGCTTACTCGGCCTCGAAAGCGGGCCTGCACCACATGAGCCGCGTGCTCGCAAACCACCTAGGCAAAAGAGGTATTACTAGTAACACCATAGCGTGTGGCCCCTTCCAAAGCAAGATGATGAAGGCGACACTAGAGAAGTTTGGCGATGTTATTGCGGAGGGAGTGCCGTTGGGCCGCATTGGGAGTCCAGAGGATGTGGCGGGAACATGCATTTGGCTTAGTAGTCGGGCGGGGGCGTGGGTCAATGGGGCGACGATTGCACTGGACGGGGGGAGTGTGATCAGTTCGAAGTTGTAGGTTTAGACGAAACTATAGTCGCATGAGACTCGATAGGGCTACATATCGCAACCAAGGCCTAAAGCAGGAAAGATGGGAGAATACACGTACCACCACAACACGAGCGTGCGCGTCGACTGTCAGCGAGCTCTGCATGACGCGAAGCGGGAAGCCAGCCACTTCTCACCCCACTACCCATCCGGACGCGTGCCTTGATCGCGATAAGGCGTTCGCAGGGAACGCAGCTCAAAATAAGAGACTTGTGTTTGGCAAATGCAAGGTACGAGGATGCGTTGCGGCCCGGTTGGGAGATCCGGGGCGGCGTGGCGGCGAGCGATGGCCCTGATTGGCGCGTGGGGCCGATGAGGCTGGGCCCCAGCCACACCAAATGCGCAACAACAAACATCGAGCTGCCCCCGGCCAGAGCTGCTGCCAACACCACCGCTCGGCGCTCGATGCAGGTAGTCGCTCTTTTGCAGCCGTCGCTCGCTCCAGCTCTGTCCGCCCGAGCTTTCACTTGTCGAATCGCACATTTGCAGCGTATGAACTGCATCGGGGCTCCACAAGGCTGCGTGCGCGGCTTCACCACCCCTCCCTCGCTTTCGCCCGCCCTTCGAACCCCGTTACCGACCTCTATTCTACACTACAGACAGCATGGCGACTAAGACGGCAAGAGGGGGCCCACTGGGCGGCATGCATACGGCGGGAATCTTCTCGGACATGACCGTGGACGGGCCTGTCATCGGTACCCTGGTTGCCATCATGGACCGCGCGAAGAATCTGCCGAACAGACGGTCAATGGGGAAGCAGGACCCGTACTGCGCTGCCCGCCTGGGCAAGGAAGCAAAGAAGACGGCTACCGACAAACGGGGAGGACAGACGCCCAAGTGGTGAGACCTCCCCTCGAGGACCGCACGCCCCGGGACTGAAACTGACAAACACGGCAGGGACCAGGAACTACGCTTCACCGTCCACGACTCGCCCGACTACCACCAGCTCAAAGTCTCAGTCTTCAACGACGACAAGAAGACGGAATTGATCGGAGAGACGTGGGTGACGCTCGAGAACGTCATCACACCCGGCGGGGGACAGAGCGACACATGGCATGGCCTCAATTGCAAGGGCAAATATGCAGGAGAAATCCGCATCGAGCTCACCTTCTACGATACCCGGCCGAAGATGGAGAAGACACCAGTCGAGAAGAAGAGGGAAAGTACACGGCCGGACAGCCAGAGCCCGGCCATCGGCGGGCCGCGCGAGAACACGCCCGTGAAGCGTAGGCCTCTGCCATCTGACCCCACTGGCGCGTCGCCTTCGCCCGTCAATACTCCAGAGCACCGCGGGTTGCAGGGCGCACAAGCCGGCCCTCGTGGGTACCCGACGCCCCCACGCCAGCAGCGATCGAGCGAGCATACGCCGACTCACCAGCGCCGGAGCTACCATCCAGATACACCCCAGCGGAGGCCTCTGCCTGATGCGTCGCCCTCAACCGATACTCAGACTCCTCGACATCAGCATGCGCCACGACCTGCGGAGCAGGACTTGTACCACACGCCACCCAACCCTCGCTCGTCGAACACCAATCTTTCCCAGCATGACGAGAATGGTTTCGATATGTCCTATACAGCACCGAAGCCATACGAGGTGCAGCCAGTCGACCCACAACACCCCAGAGATTTCGAGAACCGGACCATGTCTCAGAACGACTCTAGGTCCTCGCGCGGCTTCTCACACCCCCAGCCCATCGATCTTCCTCATTCCCACTCCGCTCCCGTAGTTCCGACGCACAATTCATACGATCCGGAGCCTGTGCCGCAGGACCCCTATAGCGACACCGCTGGCTATCCAAACGGGCACATGTCTCAGCCTGATGGCTACGCTCAAGACACATATCAAGACCCGGCATACCAGGTGGAGCCGCTCCGGCTGAGCCGTAACAGTCGCAGCCCTGCCCAAGTCTCGCCAGCGGGTCTTTACCAAGCAACCAGTAGCTATGGGGATCCGCAGAATCCGTATACTTCGCACGGACGGAGGGCTAGCTCAATGCAGCCTACGGTGGAGGATGAGGATGATATCCCGCCTCCACCACCGGTGCACAGGAGCGATGCACACACTTTGGTTCAACATCACCAACCGCCTCCGCCTGATTACCGTGGTGACGAGCTAGCACCTCTCAATACCCAGCGGTATAGGGAAGAATCGTCCGGTTTTGGATATGACTCACCCCCCGAGTCGTACGGGTTGAACGACTACGGCAATCCTTACGTCCAGGAACGCCGGTATACCCACCCCGCTCCATCGAGTCGACCGGTATCGCGTGATGTGATGGTGCCATCTCCTTTACGGAACGAAACCTCTGTCATTCCTTCCAGTCTAGTGGCTGGCTACAGTTCCTCTCGACAGAACAGAGACTCAGCGGCGTACCAATCCCCACCGTCCTACGAACCCCCGCCGTGCCTGCGACAGTACTCTGAGCCGGATTATCGAACGCCTTCGCAATATGACACGCCAACTCGGCCTCATCCGTTAGCTCATCATCAGTCGGCACCCCCACCGGATGCATCACCGTACTACCCGCATGATCCGCCCGAGCAACCGCGTCGTAGATCTCCTGCTCAAGATCCCGCCCCGATAGTCAAACCCCGCGCGATAAGCCCCGGTGCAAGTCCCGTACCATTGCACAGCCCGGCTGATAGCCGTCAACCGAGAATGGCTGCTCGCGGCATGCCAACACGGAAGTCTGTCTCCCCCCGACCACCTTCTTTTGTTGAGCCTGAGCGCCGACTCTCTGGAGTGCCTTTCAACCCGGACAGCTTCGACGTATTCAACCCAGCGCTGTCTAAAGCGAACAGCAATGGGGCTCCGGATCCCGAACGGCCCAGCAGTAGCATGGAGGTAAACGAGAAAGGGCAGATTGTCACGTTCAACGGCCGTGTTGTCGATGCATCCGACCATCTGCCCGTCGACAGCTGGGCGCCTGAACCAGAACCGAAAGGTGACAAGAAGGAGCGGACAACTCGTTCGCGCCCCGCGTTGAGTGGTGCTCGCGATCTCGAGGCTGCGAAACAGAGAGAAGAGAGGTATCGCCGAGAACGGGCAGAGCGTGAGCGGATTAGGAACGCCGCGAACGCGACGTTCGGCAGTTCCAGCAATGCCTTAGTGACTTCTCGTCATAATTTCAGCAATAACAATTCCCCCGCGAATTCGGGAGCGATGGTACTTGCTGATCGCGATGGTACGCCGCCATCTGCAGGCCGTAACAGGCTTCAGAAGCGCAATGGGCGTCCGATGTCCACCTATGATTCTCCGACGCATTCCCCCCCCGTTACCGTTCCTATGCCGAACACGAACGTCCTTCGCGAGTGCGAGAACCTCGGCGGATATGGCAGTAGTCTGGGCTACAGTAGTGCCGGGGCTAGACACCCGGTCGCCGCACCACCCATACCTGCAAAGATTCCCCTGGAAAGAGGGGACGAGGATATGACGGCGCTGAGCTTGGAGCTACAGAGCATTGATATCGGGCCCGGGAGCGGCGGACGGCGGGGCAGGGGCACAGCGCGTAGGTATGGTTTTTAGCAGATAATGCATAATAAGTAAGTTCCACGCTCTCCTAATCTTGGGCGGATGCTTGTGTATATATAGAATCGGGGCGGGTAGGTTCGGTGGGCGGCTTTTGTGCATTTTGGTTTCTGTGTTCAGGCGTTCATACATTTGCATGGCGGCGACCTTGCATAGAAACAAGGCTGCATGACCCTTCGGGCACGTCTTTCTTGTATGTTGTTTGCTGCATCAAGAATATTGATATCGTTACCCCTATCTTCGCTTTTCCGGGCGTTAATGGTCGGAACATTGCCATCCCAAGGATGCCTCACGATGCATCTATCCTCGCTCACGGTATACACGGCCTCAACCTGAACGACGCCGCTATCTATGATGCATATTACTAAAGCTCTAGATAACAGGTTCACTGTTGCCTGTCCTGCTTTATTGTCGGAATTAGTGCTCACTCGCGCATGGAGTTCAGCTCATTTCTCTTTCAAAATGGGGCGACTCAAAATTGCCTCCTCGCAACCATTTCATTCAATCAATGTCTCTTTTGGGACTCTTCACACACCAGATCGAGCCCGTTATGATACCATGCATACCCTGCCTACCCACCACACTCGCCTCTCCTCTCCTCTCCCCAACCCTCCTTTACTTCTTCAATTTCCCCGCCATACTCCCCGCCGGCCTCACAGTATCCCCGCCCTGCCGCACATTCCCCCGCACGTCGTCATTACCCGGGTTGTTCTCGTCGTAAATGCGGTCCTTGTCCTCGGGGCCGCCGACACCCTCGAAGTCGCGCGCTTTGTAGGGCCTGGAAGCGCGTTAGCAAGTATGCATGGCCGAAGTGAAGGAGAGGAAAAGAAGAGGGATGGGGAAAGGAAAGGGGTAAGGAAACTGTACCGTCCCATCCTGGGATCCAGATCCCTGCCCTCACTCAGCGGAATCTCGCGGTTGTCTCCCGCGCCCGAGGCGCCCGAGGCGTAGATCACGTCTGCGCCGGGAAATTTCTGGCGCACGGAGTCGTCGACGCCAGATGCGGGGGCTGGATTGTTGAGGGTTCGTTAGCGTGCATTTCTCTCTTTGCATTTCCCGGGCGGGATACGGGGTAGAATTGACCAAAGGGAGGGGACAGGAAAGGGCAGGGGAATGGGATGAAGGGGAATCTATACAGCTGTCTGAAGCGCCCGCGGCGCCCCGTGCCGTATTGCCTGCTTCGCGGCCTTAGAGTTTAGATCGCGCTCTGCTTCTTATGCGAGCTGGAGCGGGTCGACGCCGGAGTATTCGCGGGACTGGGACATTATGGCTGTGGTGTTGGTGTGGAGTATCGTCTGTGATATTTAATGCGTGTTCTTCAGCGTTCCGTAGGTTCAATTGAGTTATTGAAGGCGTGTTAGTTTCAGGGGAGCGAAAATAAAACTATTACGGGGCTTTAAAGCTTTTTTGTATAATATGTAATGCCTATCTAGCTAGAGACCTCTTAGAGCCTTATTAGGCTAACTCTAGTTATATGCTAGCCTAAGTTATCTATTTAAAATAATAAGTTTAAGAAATAGAACTAGAAGTTATCTAGGTAACGTGCGGCCATGCTAGGAGATACTGTTCTTGTTGTTCGCCTGGAAGAGACCCCTAATAACATCTACATTGTACCCGTACGTCTACACTTAGGCCTGAGGGATATCCGACACGAGGTACTGCTCCGGCCAGAAGACGCTAGACGACGAGGACGACGAGGACGAGGAAGCATGTGCTTGTTCCATGCTAGTTAAGGGAGACGCGGCCCCTCGTCGCGGCAACAAGGACCTAAGACTTCTGTGCTTCTTGCTCGCGTCGCTGCGCTCGCTAGTCGCAACCAGCGCGGTTTCCTAGGTCTCTCAAGGATGGCCGCGAAGGCCGTAAACAAATATAACACTATAAAAAGTAAACAAACACCCACAAATGTATACAACGTCGTCTGTCTAACTTCAGGTTGAGCTGGTCAGCGCTCGTGTCTCCGCCTGGCAGCCTTGTGAAGCCATGGCAGTGGACGGCTGCCATGAGCGTGCCGCGGGTCTAGCAGGTATCGCCTCGTTTCGAGTATAGAGGAGCGCGCAGTTTGTAGTCTTCGCAGCGTGCGGGCGCCGTAGAAAGGTAGGCTCGAGAAGCGCATCATTGCAGGTGTGGCTGAGTGGGCGGCTCGACCTCAGCCTCGTGCTTGGCTGACGGACGCAGGATGGGCTCCGCCGGTTGCATTTTTCTAGTTTGCAAGATCGGGACTCTATATTTTCCGTTGTCGTATTATAGCTTAAACTTTTAGTATAACCAGGAACTAGACATTGGTCGTGGGTCGGGCCTCCCGCAGTAAGTATGGAAACTTTGTGGGCAGCTAGCAACCGGCGGACGGCCCGTGCGCGCGACTATCCGCAGCCGCCAGGATTCGAGGATTCAGCCCATCCTGCGTCCGTCAGCCAAGCACGAGGCTGCTCTCTCTCCAGTCCGCCGCACTATTTGTAAGCAAGATACAGCTGTAACAGGTACTTCAGCGGTACACAATCTTGCCACCGCTAGCAGGGAGGACAGCCGACCCTCACCGGCACAGACCTTGCGCCGGAGGCGATCGAATTTTGGGTGTGGATGGATAGAGACTTCGGGATGGGTCGTGCTGTTGTTGTTACAGTATCACTAATAGGGAAGCCATGCGAAATAGCGCTCGCCAAGAGATTGAAGCCCAAGCTACGATCTGATTAGATCTTAGGGGGTTGAAATCTGGAACCTGACTCGGAACCTGGTCCATTGCCGGGATCAAAACGTGGTCCATTGCACGACCCGAAAAGGGTCCCATTGCTATCCAGGCAAAAGGCCCTCCTCTACCTGCGAAAACCATGTGTCAATTTTCCTTGTTGTTCTTCCGCCGTGACGATTGACCGCCGTATTCGTATGCCTAGGCTGGAGCAGAATGTCTTGTGTCAGTTGTCGTGAAAACGGGTTGGGGCGCGGTTCTTTGGCAGAGGCGATGATCGGTTCGCCTCGGCAGCATCGAATGCTTGGCGCTGTTGCTGAGTCAACCAGCGCGCTGACATCAAACTACGACCTGTATGCGCGACAGCTACCACGCAACTTCGCAATGCGGTGCACACTACGGACATGTCTCCGTCGCACGCCACTATAACAAAGGACTCACACACTACGCCGCCGTCAAGTTTCGCAACCCGTCCTCTAACGCCGCCGCCGACCGACGAGAAGCCTTTCGCGCAAGCCCCTCGAGTTATCGCGCTTTTCAAAGAGATCCGGGCTGGAAGGCACGTCAAGCGAGAGCCGTGGACCGAGTTTCAGCTTTCGGCAGGAGAATACGATGAGATAGAGCGTCAACTGGAGCGGGACGAGGACTTGCTAGGATACGTCAAAGACAAGATACGGTGCGTGCGCTGCGGAAACGTAATTGATGGCTACTGACAATAGAGATGTGCAGGTATGATTACAGCACAGAGAGTGATCGTTTGGTCGTCCGCATGCCGACGGCCGTGCACCAACTGTTTGTGGCTCGCATTGAAGATGCCATATTCAGCCAGCTGAAATCGATTCGTGAAGGCCTGGGTGCCGCGGCGAGTTTTGCCCAGAAGGTGTACCCAGCTCGTTCTACAGAAGTACACTTTCCAGTATACGACACCATCACCGGCAGAAATTCGAAGCACGAGCCCGATGCGTCTTTCTGGCACGACGACGCGAAGTACCCTGGAGTTGTGATCGAAGTGGCATATTCACAGAAGAAGAAGAGGCTAGGCCGGCTAGCTGAAGACTATCTGCTTGATTCGGACGCAAATATACGTGTTGTTGTCGGCCTCGATATTGAATATGGCAAGAAAGGGTCACGTAGGGCGGCGGTATCGACGCGGCGAACCCACCCGGTCCATACCGCCGACGGAGATGAACTACAAGTAGTTCAAGAGGCTACCGACGAGGTATGCTATCTTATTGAAAGACTTTATTTACGTATGATACCTGACAGTGTTAGATGTTTCGTGACGAGCAAGGAATCGCTACCGATTATCCAGGCTTACAGCCGAACCTCAGCGATTTCGCCCATAAAGGACTTGTGCACGAAGAGATGGGAGACCTTGATCAAGAACTGATCATATCTGCTCGACAGCTTTGCGAATTCCTCGATGCAACAGAGGTAAAAGTGCGCCAGAAGGGATCGCTTGGCAAGGATCCATTGCCCGCAGGTGTTAAGAAGAGGAAGCGGTCAGAAACCCCTCCGGAAGAGATTGTTTCTGCCGATAAAGCGAGATATGTTGAGGAAGAGGTGAGAACGGCAAAGCGTATAGCAGAGGGTGATTCCGACTATGAGGATGATTCAGTAGAAAGCTCGTTAGAGTAAGCATAACAATGACCAAGTGTTGACACATCTTTTGGGTGCACTGTTCACTGGGGATGGAGAACCCGTGAGGCCGAAACCTGAGTTGCAGCTTTACATTCGCTGAAAAACGTCACGTAATGGTGTGCTAACCAGCTGTGTTCTATAACAATGACGCTTCGCCTGGCTCGTAGAACAATGCGCTCGCTCATCATCTCGTCCTCTTCTCGTTGCGACATCAACTGGACTCACTCTTAAGCCAAGCATTTGCCGCTCCATATTACGGAGTCCTCGGCTGTGCCTGGATAGGCGAAGGGTCTAATTTTAGTTCCCGCAACGGATCTTGTTCCAGCCGATCGTGGATCTCACCGAGATCTAATCAAGGTAGAACTAGGGTATACCTGGAATAACTTAATGTTGCTACACTTAATGGCTATCACGCGCTTGACTCTATCACCAACACACTGATAATCAAGCGCCTCCGGCGCAACCCTGTGGCCAGAGCGGGTCGGCCGCCCTCCCTGCCTTGGTAGCAATCGCCACTGCCAAATCGCTCGGATTACCGTTAGATATCACTCATAATCATGCTTACATATCATGCCCCTCTACTTTCGCACTAGCTTTATATTCTACACTTAAAGCAGCATCAATGTCCTATCTTCATGTCCTCCATCTGCCACTTATTTAATGCTTCAAGCGACGACTCTGTGTCTGGATGATGATCGCCAAGAATCTGCTTCCGCTGCTGAAAGCATGCTTCCATCAATGAGATGGCCTCCTTGTTGTGGCTCTGGGACTTGAGCGTGAAGGCGAGATTACCCGTAGCCATCAGCGTGTCCGGATGCTCCTCCCCAAGCACCCTCTTGAACGTCTCCATTACTTGCACCCCTAGCTCTTCCGCCTCCTTCCACCGGCCCTGATTCCTGTACGTCGACGCCAGGTTGCCCATGCTGGCTAGCGTGTGTGGATGCTCCTCCCCAAGCACCCTCTTTCTCGCCTCTATTACTTGCACCCCTAGCTCTTCCGCCTCCTTCCACCGGCCCTG